GCCAGCTTACCATAGTATGTGAGTTGAGGTTGCTCTAGCGTTCTGCACAATCTTCTCGAAGGCTTGACATGGCCATGTGGGAAGTGGAGCGATGGAGGCTCTCGAGGCTATTCGGGGGTCCTTGTTCAGACGTTGAATGATGGTGGATAAGACCCATATCGCTAGAACACTCATGGAAGAATATGCGAACCAGCTCCTTCCCGCAGATTTATTAGTAACACAAAAGACTGGGTCTCTCGAAGCTGCATTTGACCAGCGTCAACCCTCACCAACTCACAGCAAGCAAGATCCGATCCCCGGTTGCGAGGACCGTGAGGTCGTCGGTGGATCGCATCTAACGGCTGCGCTTGAGAGATGTTGCGCAGGCGGGAAGATGGACCCCGTTCCCATGCTTTCATGCCAGGCCATGCCAGCCACGCTCTTCAGACGAGAGGATCCACTGTGCTGTACCGTTGACCAGCTGCTTGGGCCCTCTTAGAAGCTGCCACTCAGGCGGCGAATAGACACAACACATTTTATGTATTGAGGCTACTACTGGATGATTGATGCTACTGTGAAAACCCATCAGACGCCTCTGGCTTAACTTACTTGGCTGTGTCAACCCGCAGGCGCCGAGCACGTCGCCAATAAGGAGGCGGCCTTGTCAGTCAGCCAATTGCACAATCCCCTTGGAATCTTTGACAATTGTGCGCTCCGACAACCGGATCGACGGACCATCGTAATTCGCCATGGCGATGTGCCTCGTGTTCTGCACATATCGTCGCGGCCGACCAACCGACGGGCCCTTATCAGAATCCGCCTGTGTACCAGTTATGAGCGGGAAGATTGCTCAATCTACTTTGGGCGTTGCCGCGGCACGGGGGACCACTCGGGGACCATGACAAGGGTGACGCTTTGATGCTGTTTCGCTTGACTCGCCGTTGGGCCCTGCAACGCCAAACATCCTGCAACGACGAGTCGCCGTGGCATTCGGCGCCCACTTTGTAACGCTTTACTGTAAGATGGAGCGTCGCATCTTCGCTGCCTCAAGTCTGTGTTTGGAGCTGCAGTGTCATGGATAAGATGTACTTTGACCATGGCGTGCCACCACGATCTCCTGGAGGATCAGCAGCAAGTAGCAACGCGAGACGCGGGAATCCTGACATATTCGTTTGCAATTCGGTGAGCGCATATTTCTGTGCTGGGATACGCTGCGCAACGAAGCCGAGAAATCTCCCGAGCACCAGGCAAATTGTCTTAGCGCTCCCGACGGCGCCGGGGGCAGGTGCTCGCATGGCAAAGTACCGCTACTTTGCCTTGCCTGCTTGCTTGCAACTTCTAATGCTCAGGATGGCTACTGGGATCCTGAAGCATCCATGACCGAAGCTCCAGGCGTCAGGAATCAGATATGAATCCAATGGACTCGCTCACGATGCCACTCCTGCAGTCGAGGCAGGTGGTAGATGAGTTATGCAGAGACTCGGTACCTCACACGATGGTTTCTCATTTTGTGTTCCACGCGCACCAGACACGACAACCTGTGGAGGGTCGAGCCAAGCAAGCTTCTGGTTTAGTGGTGTGACATCACTAGAAGGACATCGTCAGACGTACGATACACCGCCATGTGCAAGTCAGCCTGAAACTATGAGATGCGAAAGGTGGCTAGGCGTGGCCAGCCCAACCTTTCTGGGACGCCAACTTGGCCGCAAGCAATTCCCAGAAACGTACAATTCACATGCGCAAAAACAGAAAGCCACTAGCACACGTGTCGCCAACGTTCCTACACACCTCATGAGTCGCGTTTTCCAGTGGCCTGGCCATCCTGGTTCTCCTTCCGAAGACCATGATGGGACGGAAGAAGTGGGCAACGACGTGGACATTCGTGGCCGAAGTCCCAATCTTTTTCGCGGACTCCAACGAGGGTGCTCCCGCGTGGACCTCCGGATAACGGCGGTGCTGCTGTCCGGAAAACTGGAGACCGAGAGCGTTCGACAGCCAATTTGCCGGATTTGGGGGTCCTCTTTGACAGCGGCTGCAATAGCCCTCATCCGCATGCGCGGCTATCTCTACCTTAATTGGATGCCAATGTGCATTAATATTGCAAGGCACGTCCATCCAGTCCGCGCAATCAGTCGGGAGATTAACGCCTGTCTCCATGACCCCTGCTGTAATTGTAACAGATCCTCTGGCTGAGATGATAGTATGAATGCCACGCCGTCGCCCACGATGTTCAAACCAGCTGGGCGCGGAATGCCGGCCGGATGACACGAGGGGTATGCGAGTGGGTGTGTTTAGGTCCCTGGGGCTTACAAAATGACTGAGTAATCCAGAACGAATTAACGCGTCACGATGCCCTCCCGGGACACGAGTGATCATCAAAGAGTCATGGACTCCCGATGCAACACACGTACACGCACACACTTTACCTTTGCACACATACGAATCAATACTGTGGAGGGTGTGTGCTACACAGCCAAGCTGCAGGCAAGGCACAAGTACTGATGTGTAGAGAGTGCCGGCAGCATTAGTCAGTCCAGGTATGTCTGATTGGCCTGTCGCTACTAATCGCATCTTGATACGATATGGCATCACATGATCCTCAGACTCGTCAAGATTTCTGTCGTCTCCAAAAACAAAATTGAAGCCCACCGAAGAACATGATATGCTCTCTGTCTGTGCATGCATTGCAGCGAGTCAATCTCATTCTGCGCCTCACCAGATGCAGGACTTGGTGGCATAGTACGCCCGTCCCACCGTTCAGAATAACTACCTCAAGTTACCAAGTTACGTGGTTGGTAACCGCAGCCTTCAGCGCTTCGGTGCCCCTAAAGTGTCTCAAGCGCGGTTGTGGCTTGGGGCGGCATTGGTACAGCAGCCCGAGTTCCTCGTTAGGTTGACGCAAGATAGTATTGCAGACGCTCGCTAGACATTTGGGCAGCTCAGGGCACTTTTCCCAGTATACGAGGAGTTCGTAGCAAGCGGAAAGTGACTTATTTTGTTTGATTATATTCAAAAAGACGGACCAGGTGTGTAAGACCTAGCGTGAAGCGTTAGTTGCGCGTGGTAAAAACGAAGGCAACGAAAAGCCATGCTGCTGTTAATAATCGCCTTGTCAGCACCACATTAATCGTTTAGCAGAAGATCGAAGTCTGACCCCGGCACGGCAACGTCCCTCCTGGGTATCCTTCCCCTTCGAGTGTGAGCGATATGTACCTACGTAGCGCGCCTGCCCGCCTTGCCTTTGCTACCTGACTGTTGACCATCTGCTGTACCTTGACTAAAAAAACCACGATCCAAGTACCAGAGTATTCCCGGCCGCGTTGCTCGCGATTCGAGGTCGACTGTCTCTTTTTTTTTTTTTTTACCTTACCTTCTCGTCTCCCTCGCCCACACTCTCCCGCTCCCTCTCCTTTTCTACCTCTTTTTCACCTTCCACTTCCTCTGCATATTTCTACGCCCGCTACAGCGAAATAACGGCCCGACCTGTCAGACGTGGTGGTTTCATCGCGAGAGGACCCCTGAGCAGCGTGGGAGCAGAAGCCACAGCTGTTGAACCAGCGTGACGTACGTACCTTTTTTTTTTTTCTGTGTCGCTTGTGGAACGGTCCCAATCCGTACAGGCTGGTGGATAGGATCCATCGAGTCTCCATCTGGCGTTGAACCCTTCACTCTTCTCTGTCAGCACTGGTCGAGTTTTATTCCGCATCCGCCTGCCCGTTGTGCACAATTGATTCATTACTCACCCATCCCACCCATACACATCCCCATCAGGCCCCCCCTTGCTCTTCTACCCACCCCCCTTCTCACACGGACGGCTGTGCGCCCACTTGCCACCTGCCTCCCTGCCACCACCCTTCGCCCACCATCCTCGCACCCGTTCACCCTCTGTTACTTGCATGTTTGCATAACAGCGCTTGGCTTGACACGCCGTCTCATCAGTTCATCGTCACCACCCTGCCCCCCTATCCCTCCACGTGCATGCCGCTAAGAGCGGCCGGCAGGAGCAGACGTAAACGGTTCTTGACGGCACTCGTGCGAGGCCCCACCCAAAGTTCTTTACTCTCGCTCGACGTGGGCGAACCGCCTTGTACCTGAACCTTGGCTTGGCCCTTGGCTTGACTTTGCCTGATCGCTGGGCCTGTCAGTTCGAGCAAAGCTACAGACCAGCCGAGCGGAAAGAAATTTCTTTCTCTCTGCGATCTACTCTGGAAGAGGCAAGACGCCCTGGGGGAAAATAAAAGAGTCGGCCGTCGCACCGCGCACACATAACCCTCTGAGGACCCAATTTGAATCTCCACTTTACAAAGAACTCCTTTCCCCTTCCGCTTCCACCTTTTTTTTTCGGACCCCATCCCAATCCCATCCATCACGGGAAGCAAGCCAGCCAGCCTGCCTGCCTGCCCGCGCAGTCCAGTCAGTCTTATCCTATCCTGTCCAGCCCTGAGGTCGTCCGCCTCTGTCTCCCGGCCTCCTCCCACCACCACCCACCACCCACCGCCCACTACGTCTGCTACCTGGTTTTGGGTTTGGAGCCTCACCAAGCAATTCACATCCACCAGCTCCATCCACGCGCGCCCCCAATTCTTTTACCCCAAAAACAACCACCACCATTCCCCTCATCACCCAAGATTTTTTTGAACTATCGCGACCCTGCATCACCACCACCCGCGTTGCATCCTCATCCATCCAGCACTGGCGGCAGCTCACTCTTCTTCGCGTCAGGTACTAGTGGAGGATTAATTCTGGACTTCTACCACCGCGTGTCGTCTTTCGTCTCAAGGATCAGCAATCGTCGACGATCGCGTCCTGCGTGTTGTTTTCTTGACGCGCCTCGCCTCGCCTCTTGCATCTAAACACACCCAACCGTGCAGCTCGCGAGCCCACTCGACTGAACCCCTTCGGATCACCTTCGAGGCCCGCCATCGACCACCCGCCTTCTCCGTGAGAACTGAAAATTCGCTCTTGTGCAATTTTCGTCCTCACTTCCGGCATCGTCACCCAGCTGCCCATTCTCCTAGGTTATGGACGGCTCCCACTACCCCTCTAATGTCATAGGCACATCGGCACCTAGCTATCCGTCGCCAGCAGCAATCTCACCTCATCAACTCCAGAACGGTCACCTGCCTCCTCACACTCTGCCGCCTCTACAGCCCCAGAATCCGGCCATGCAGTCCATCTACGGTAGTCACCCTCACACCCCTCGCACCCCGGGCACTTCGGGTCCTCCCACCCCGACCAACAACATGAGCAGCTATCCTCCTCCCCCCCAGAATAACAATCGGGGTGGATACCAGCAGATGATGCCCAACCCTTACCCGCAGTCGCACCAGGGCTATGGTACTTCGGCTTCCATGATGCCGCAGTCCTCGGTTGCACAGTCCCACCCGCAGCCTATTGCGCCGGCGCCGGCAACCCGCCCGCCCGTCCTGCGCCCCATGCCGGCCGGTGGGGTCATGCCCCAGTCCGGCCTGTCCTCGCCCTACGGACAGAGCCCCCTCATGCCGCACCAGCAGTCCATCCTGCAGCAGGAGGCTGATCAGCCAACTCACGTCGTTGGCTCCCAGGGTCGCCGCGGCATCCTTCCGAGCGCTCCTGGCCGGCCTGCCGCCCCGACTGGCCCCGGCGCCGGCAAGAGCACTGTGATCCCCCAGAAGGATGCGGACGGCAAATTCCCCTGCCCCCACTGCACCAAGACCTACCTCCACGCAAAGCATCTCAAGCGCCATCTCCTTCGCCGTAAGTAACCACTAACCTGAACATGGTGGATAGATCAGTGTAGCTGACCAGATCGTGGCAGACACCGGTGACCGCCCATACATGTGCGTGTTGTGCCGGGATACGTTTTCTCGTAGTGATATCCTCAAGCGACACTTCCAGAAGTGCTCGATTCGACGAGGCAATCCTACTGGGGCGAGCCATCTGTCTCACCCTTCTGCTCACGTTAAGAAGCACCAGGCTGCCCAGGCCAAGGCCGCGGCCGACGGTGAACTGAACCAGATCAACGGCATGAACAGCATGCAAGGCAACGGCATGCAAGGCGACAACGTCGTGCACCCCTTCGGCATGGTCCCCATGTCTGACGGTATGCCCAACATGAGCAACGACCAGAGCCAGCTGTCGCGATCCAGCAGCATCAGCCGCATGGATGACAACAACCGCGACCGACGAAGCATGACTGGCGGAGGCTCGGTCTATGGTAATGATGTTCAGAGCTCCATGGCTTCCAACATCAACCCTCAGTTGGCCAACTACAACATGCCCCAGAGCCAGAACGGCATGCAGATGTTCGCTGGGTCGAATTCAAACCAACAGAACCTTGATTGGTCCATGTTCCAGGCTGGTGCGCAAGATACCTACAACGCAAACTCATTTCAACCTCCTAATCTTGGGCAGACGCAGGTCGGAACGAAACCAGAACATCATAATCTCGACGCCGCGAGAGCCGCCGTGAACGACATGAACGACCGATCGCTTTTCTTTTCCAATTGGATCACCACACCCACGATTCAAGATCCGTACCAGTATATTTCGAACCAGATACATACCTTCTTCCACCCTCCTGGGACCGTCATCACCAACCAAACGGCTGGTGTCACCGCCTTCTTTTCGCCAACCAATATCAAAGACTTCCTCGAGCATTATAGTCACTACCATTGTCACTTTGCATTCCTGCATATTCCAACTTTCCGCATTTTGGAGGCTTACACTGGCCTTCTCGCCAGTATGTGCTGTGCTGGGGCGTGCTACTCAAGTCGCGCGTCACCCGAACAGGTTCGCGAGTCCATGAATTTCTTGAAGATAGCCCTCGAGCGCGACTCCAATCTGTTTTCCGGTAGCGCCATGTCCGACACCAAACCCAGCGCAGATACCTCAAGCGCTGCCAAGGGAGAGATAGAGAAATTGCAGGCTCTCGTGCTCATGTCACAGCTCCTGGTCTGGAATGGGACGCCAATGCAGCGCGACAGTGCCAGGCGCCTATTTCCCCAGGTTGCCGACATTGCCCGCAAGCTCGGTCTTTTGCAAGTGTCTTCTTCGCCAGACTTGTACAGTGTTCTGCATCAGCCGAATCTCGCACTTTCAAGTGTCACTCCCGACAACTTTGACTGGCATGTCTGGATTCGCCAGGAAAGCCGTATCAGGCTAATGTACATGCTGTATCTGTCCGACGTCGCGTATGGGCTTTACTTCAACTTGGACGCACAATTCAGCAATTCGGAGATGCACATCCCTTTGCCCTCCGACGATGCTGCTTGGGAGGCATCTACGTCAACTGAGTGTGCAGAAGCCCTTCATCTATACGGATCTGAAGCTGCAAGACTACGGAACCCAGACGGGTCCCAGCGAAGCAAACAACCGGAGCTCAACTTGGCCATGCGGGCACTATATCATGAGTCTTACCAGATTCACCCTGGCAGCACAAATCTTTACGGAAAGTTCATTCTCATCCATGCATTGTTGGCCCAGATTCGCCGTGCGCAGCTAGAAGGCAGCTCAGTCAACATTAGCCGGTCGGCCACGCCCCTATCGCAAAGTGATTGGGCCTACAAAATGGAAGCGAATGTCAATGGTAGTGCAAACAACAGCGGGCGAGCGACTCCTGTTCCCGGTCAGCCGCCGCTCATCTCCTCACAAGTCTACAAGTCCATCTGCGTTGCCCTCGACAAATTCAAATCCAACTGGGATATGGACATGGCGATTCAGTTCCCGCCTACCTTCTCAAACTCAAGGCGCTACGGCTTTTCACGCGACGGCATCCACTTCTATTACCTCGCCAAGTGGTTGTTGAAATCAACTGACGCGAACGACCTGCGCGCGTCTGCCGATCGTCGGTTTGCGCAAGTCATTCAGTTCCTCAAGAACGTGAAGACTTGGGTTCTGGAAGATGGCGCCAAACGTGGCGAGGAACTGGGGTCCGTAGGCGAGATTGACCATGCATACGGCGTTACGGACCTGACACTCAACATGGCCGATTTGTTCAAGCCCCTCCCCCAGGTTGTTCAGTCACCTCACATGCCTACAATCAAGACGGATATCTGAACGTGGTGGTGTTTTCTTCTTTGGTCAAAACGATAAATCTTCATTGCATCGGCGGCGTTGTTCTTAGTTTCCTTATGTCATTTTCCCATTTTCACATTTCTCAAAAAGTTGCGATTCCCCATCCTTGCATCGGACTGGCATGACGGCGGCACCTCTGATTTGCATTTCCCGGGGTTGGTTGCGAACGACTTTTTCTTAGACCGGCTTGGCTTCTTTTGCATTAGATCCCACAAATAGACTAGGAATGGAGGCATGTGGCGGCCTCTCAGCGAGATGGTTCATGATGACTATGACCAGGCAAGACATTGATTGTACTGGTGGGGCGAAGGGATACTTTTCACATCCTTTGGTAGTTTGAGAAATAGTATCCTGCATTGGTGTATCGTGGTTTGTCTCCAGTGTTATAGTGTGCGCGAGTTGAGATGTGAATAAAGTGGATCTACATATAACAGAAATGTGCTGTCTCGCTATTCCTTTTTGCTAATTAAAGGGAACGTTTCGCCCCCGACTTTCATGTTCGTGGCTTTAACGTACGAGATCGCGGTGACCATAATTGCCAATGTGAAGGATGAAAAGTGCCCGGTCTTTGGTGCCAGTTTGACCTTATGAATATGATTTAGTTGCAGTCAGGTCGGGGACTGACACCTAGGGCCAAAGGAATCTACCGTAAGATCTCCAATCTGCGAGGAGTATTCCCAGCTTCAAGGTAAGCAAGGCACGACATCACATACTGTATTATTGATCTCTTTGTGTCTTGGTTCTGAAGATGTCTATCAACCTTGGCTCTACGTTCCTCCACCTACCAGTGAGCAGCAGTCGACAACTTTTCTGGCTTCCGATTGATCATAGGTGTGGATGTGCTCTGAGCCTCACCTTGCTGTACATGTTATTTTTTGGTGTACAATGGAACCATCATGCGAGTCTGGCTCCAAATATGAAACTCAGATTTGAGTGGCCCCCAAATGACACCGGCCAGCCGACTAAAGTGGGTTCCAGCAAGTCCAGGTGCATATTTCTGCTTGGTGGTTCACCCTGTGATAGCTAGTGGCGCCCGATCGCAGGATTGAGTTGTCAAGGTGACTGCAGGGTCATGTTCAAGTCGCGGCTGAATGTTGTCCTCAATACATGGCCTAACCTAGTCTAGTTTCAGGAACCTGTAATCCATTATCTAGGTTGGCTGGCGTGAAGAGGGTAGTAGATTGCTCCTTCATCAAGGATATCTGAATACGCGCTGTGCCTACGATAAGTATAACCTCATGAGTGCCATATGTTATCGAGCAACGATCGATCGTAGCCTTTGCGTGGTAGAACCAAACGTCGTGTTAGGGATTAGAGGTCTAGATCGTTGGCGTCCTGCCTTCTTGGTGGCGGAGAGATCTGATTCAGACGTATTCGCTCATAGCCACTTTGGAGTGATTTTCGTATTCATTCGATATACTACAAGTATTATGACTAAGTTTATCTAAATTATTGATAGTGGGGGAAAATATATATTCAGCTGTGCACCGTGTTTAGAGTGTTGGCAAGTGTTTTCGCTCGGGGATTGGTAAGTTGCTTGCTTAGTTTTATAGTATAAATGCACCGCAGGCGCGGTCATCATCGGGCAACGTATCAGTAGTGTACGACAGCAAGTCTTGTTACTTGTGCTCGCGTGTATGGCTCGCGGCAAGATCTTCAGGTCGATAACGGGCCAAGTTAGTGGTTGTGACCCTTGAGGTAATTATGTTTGTTTCGCTCTGCAGTGTGAACGACCAAAGTTACAGAAGGGCAATTCTCAAGTGCACCTTCTCCCATCAAACCTGTCATATGTTTCGATTCAGTCGGACAACCTAGTCAATATACGGCAACCCAGATCAGACAATGAAAATTTCTATGCTAAAGCCGGGCGGCAGTGTCGGACTCTGGGAAGAAGTTCCAGCATGTACCAGATTCAAAGCCCGAGATGGTAACAATGACATCGTGAGAAAGCTGGATGACAATGAGTAGTGATATTTATACGAGAGGAAGTATGACAACCACTAGCATGGCCACTACAGGAGTCGTGAAATAGTCCAGTGCAAGAGATATACATGGTGCTGAAGGTAGGCATGCATGGGCATAGCACGAGACAGACAGACAGAACCAGCATCCAGCTAGATCCATCTGTCTCTTCCAGCTCCAGAAGTACATCCCACCCACGGCATGCATCACTGGTATATTGCGCCCGTCGGGGTGAAGTTTGACATAACCAATCCTACTTGTTCTCGCCCACAGGACCTATGACACTCATTCAGCGGCCAGAGCTGGTCGGGCCTGTCAAGTAGTCTCATTCTTAAATACATCACGCAGCTTAATGTGTACTGGTTAATGTGAGAGAACAGGAGATTATCTTATCTTGACCAAAGTCTAGTGACGCAGAAGCATGACAAGGACCTGCAAAGTAGGAATGTGCACTACAGGACTTTACTGTGGTAATTCAAGTCGACCCTTGACCAAGAATAGATGCCATTCAAACTATTGGAACTATGCTCGTATGCACCTATTTCAAAGCCGAGTTGCCATAGTGTGCGGGCTATCACTCTCCTATCCCCCCTGGTACCGCATAAGCGTAAGCGAGCGCCAACTATATACGAAGTGCATGCAGATCAGGCGCCTTGGCGTTAAGTATAGCTTGGATCGGGCAGTAATCATGCTCGGGCCGCAGCACGGCGTCTGCTGCATGGCGCATGGCCTAGCTACCATATTCTGCAGTAGCGAACCCGAGACGTGGAATGGGATGGACGGCAGTCATTTTTGCAGAACTCATAGGCATTGATCGTACGTTGTTGAACTATCCTTACACTACCGATCGATCATACGTGATCATTAGCCGTCCACATGACCAGGCTTGTCCAGCTTACGCGAGACAGCGTCGTGAATGAGGAGACTGAGAATGGTTCATTTGCTGCAACGGATGACGGTAGAGTTCAAACTCATGTCACCATACTCGTGGTATCAGGCACATTGCCCGCGTGATGCACACGACTGTTCGCGTGGGATGAGATGCTGTTTGCCAAACGTGGGCTTACACACCGCCCCTCCTTCTCCCGGCAGTCTATGTGGGCTGGCTGGATGGGGGCGCACTGAGCGAGTCCCCGGACGCACCAGCTCACCGATCTTTGCCTTTGTCCACCGTGACCACTCTCGGCGCAAGCTGACTGAGAGCAGCCTTGTCCTCGTCGCTAGCCTTGAGACCAAACCTCTCTTCGGCGCGGTCGGATAGCTGCAGACCAATGACGCCCCAGGCCAGGAGACCGACACCTACCCCGAGACGCATGCGCGGGGACAGGTTCCGGAAAGATCTGACGCATGGCTTTTAGAACCCACCCGCCGTCACACATTCTAGAAGGTGCAGGATGTGGATACTCACTGGAACACCGACATCTGTGCCGTGTCTATACCCAGGTAGTCTATAGCTCGAGGTGGGTTGTGATGTGTTGGCGTGTGGTTCGCGACGAAGCTGTTACGGACATGGGGGAGGCAGAAAAGTGAAGTTCGGGAGAGACGACAGCGACAACCCCCTTCTTCTTTGTCCCCCAGGTTTGGTTAGCTGAGCTGGCTGGCGGAGACGGGATTCTGGAGAGTCGGTGTGACAGAGGCCCTGGAGTTTGGTTCAGTCGTGTGCGACCTGGTCGCTGTTCCCCTGGCCTGGCCGTCAATCACTGCGCTTTTGCCCTCGCCCTTTGCTTTTTGGGCCTGGATATGGACTTTTACTGAGTCGGATCCCAACAGATGCATGCAGTGCAGATTGTGCCTCCAGCGATAAGCAACGGAAGCCAGACAAGCAGAGAGCCCTGGGGCCAGTGATGAGAGGGCGCGCCACTCGGACCGGACGGACGGGCTCCTCTAGCCTAGGTACCTAGGGCCAGCCTGCAGGTGCTGGCACTTCACTCTCGTTATCCAGGTACCTGTGGAGCTATCTAGCTCCCCTTCGATAGCGCACCCTCCCAGCACGCTGTCAGCCAGTGACGCCTCGAAGCCCGCTGGAACGCCCTGGGAATCTCCAGGTGTGGCGGGGGCCGCGTGCTCGTTGGCAGCCAATGCAGGTACCTGGACAGGTACCTTTTCACTGTCGGGTCGCTGTCACTGCCTAGCACTGGGGCTACCTTTAGGTATGCTCTCTCTCCATGTTCCCCCCCGGGGGTCGCGCAGATCTGCCCAGTAGCGCACCCTTGCCACGTCAAGGTAGCTCCGTATTATGCTCCGGTGTCATTTTGTATCTGCATACAAACCTCTTACCGCCTTACCGCTCCCAAGCCGACTATCCCAACTTACAGGCCTCTTTTTGATGAGAGGGAAAGGTTAGGCCCTGCTGGCGTCCGTACAGAACCCAGCAGAAAGTTGTATGCGTGTCTCACCCTCACCGATACTTGAGCTGCGCTTTTCGGACTGCTAGAGGCTCGTTGCAGAACATGCAGCCGCATCCTCGCCGGTCTCTTTAAAACGTACCCGGTCCCGCCACTTTGCCTCCTATTGCCTCTGCTGACCCTTTTCACCAGACAAAGTCGACCTTTTGGCAACCCTGCCATTTGTCGAGGAGGACTCGCCGGATCTCATTCTTTGGCCACCGCCCGTGTTGTGTTGGACTGAATCACCTATCCTGTTTTAATTTCACCTCCCCCGGACAGGTTCCTGTTGGGAGGCCCATCCCGCCTTTTGCATATGCCGGCCGCCCGACTCTCGTGCACTTCATGGACGCCCTGCCCGTCGAGCTCCTGAGGCTCATCTTTGCTCACTGCGACCGTGCCGCCGTCAGAGACCTCCGCGAGGTCTGTCGAGCCTTTGCCAACGTCGGATATGAGTATATGCTGCCGCCCAAGTTCACCATCCTTGGCTTCAGGAACGACATTGACCGGCTTCGCAACATCGCCTTGCACCCCCAGCTGAGGGAATACATCGAGTCTGTCGTCATCAACTTCTCGGACGTGGACGAATATGATGCCAGACACACCGCTTGGTTGCAACTCTTCGCCCAACTGCCGGAAGACCGTCAACTAACCTTGAGCAGTGCATGGGGGGAGTTTCCCAAGATCACAGCGAGTCGCAAGGTGCTGGGCCAGTTTCACCTGAGGGCCGATGATTTGCGACAAGCCTTCCGGGGCCTACCCAACTTAACAGAGGTCGACGTTACCTTCACGCAATGTCCGGTGGATAACGAGGTTTTGCGAGATGTCTACGACGTACCTAGCTGCCGCAGAATGGACCGTACGGTCGCCTGTAACAACCTGAACGCCGTCATCTCTTCCCTACAAGGCGTCGAGCTGTCTTCATTCTCGGTTGACCGGTTCCCGCTGGAGATTCTTAGGATACCAGACTTCCGCAGGCACTGGTTCGCTCACGCCCAAGTACTCAACAGCCTCACCCGTCTGGATCTGACGCTGGATCCATCCGGTTTGCAAGGACCTGCTTCCGTCAGGAAGGCCGTCAACGGACTGAGTTACTTGCTACAGCGACCGGCCGAGCTGCGTTGCCTCAAGATCGCGTTTCACCCTTACTCGAGTCCAGACTCGAAATTTGGCCTCTCGCTTCGAGAGTTGTTGAATGGGTTCACGTACCGCCAACTTACCGACCTGACTTTGGCTGGCATCTCGTGCGACGAAGACGACCTGAAAGACTTCATTGCGCGGCATGGGGCTACGTTGCGCCGGCTTCGCTTGGGTGGCCGTGGGTTGGCGAAGCCATACCAAGCCTCGCTGGGAGGATTGCACTTTTACGAGGGTACATTCAGATCGCTCTTTATGGGACTGCGTTCCAAGTTGACGAAACTCGAGCGTTTGCATCTTGAAGGTATCTTTGAGTGCGAGCAGCAGTTCGAAACATACAATTTCTATCCGCTGACGAACGAGAAGTGGGAGGAGGTTCCGCGCCCTGGTTGGGTTCGGCCTTCTCGTGAAACCATCAATTGCTTGCCGTTCGAGCAATTTCTGCTTTCCGGAGGGCCCTACCCAGGTGCTGCAACGGGTCAACAAAATGATTAAAACTTGTGACGGAAATAATGCGATCCGGTCGTCTAGAGTCACTTGGCACACGCCTCATACTATTTCTTCTCCAAGGGAGGGGTTTCGGCATATCATAGGACAGGTCGGGGCGTTGGCGTATACAACCTTTTCCAGAATCTTGATCTTGGTCACCACTTATACCAAGACACTCACCAGTTCTTATTTGAACATATGTAACGTATTGTCTTTGTGGTTGGTTTTGGCGCAGATTATGCAACACAGCGAAATCCTGCTTTTGGGTTGTGGCAAATTTCGTCACACAGCGTCGAGGCTCCATATTGCAGAACAGAGTGAAAACAGGATTGACCCCATGGGGATACATACTACTAGCTATAACCACCGAAGATATAAAGACTACAGAATGCAAGTCAATGAATGAGACACGCACATCCATCTGTCATTTCCCGCCATTTTACAACTCCTTGTCTCAATTGAATCTACCCTGCCTCGTGCACCGCTATTGACAGGCAACCAACTCTACAGAAGACTATCAGCATGGAGGCTTGGCAATCAATTCTCATTTCCCTTGTGATCGTATGCGCTGTCATCGCTGGCAGCTATACCGCATACGAGAAGGGACTGTTGGACCCAATTATTGAAGAAATCGGGTAGGTCGAAAGACTATGAGTTCTTAGTCTCGATGGGGTCACTAATCTGACTATTTCGTCTCAGTGTAATGATGTTCAAGGCCAAGGCCAAGGCCGAGCGCGAGAAGTACCAAGCGCAGGGCATGAAAGCAGGCGAGGACTTTGTCGACTGTAAGTAACTACGGGGTTCCAGACCAAATCCTAGATTCCATTCGCTTCTCGGCGGATCTGTTTTGGGCAGAGAAAAAAAATGCTAATTGGGTTTCTGTTCTCCCTTCCAGCCCAGCTCAAAGGAAACAAGCAAGCCGTGGATGTCATTTCGGGCCAGGGACCAATTGGAGGGCTGAAGAAGCAGCTGTGAGAGAATGGAGGATGGGCCGGATCACCGGGTTAGAGGTTCCCACTTTTCGGGATCTCGTCAAGAGTTCCTTGCCGTGACGATGCTGGGCAAGCTGGGCTCAGCTTGCCTAGGCCATGTGTTGTTGATCAAGGGTCCAGAGCCCAGACTGCCGGGCCCACTGGACTCAGCTGGCTGGATGATCTCCTACTCAAGCGTCCCGTGGTCTCCGTGTGAATAATTCGGGAGGGCCTGGGCTTGCGAGCAATGTGCGGAATTACGTTGAATTGACTAGGACAAGTCCGAGAGTTATTAAGGTTCCCAAGCATGACTTTGCTGTCTTCACTCTAGGAGGGCCAGATGCACTCGGTCCATGTACCAGTCTATGGCCCTGTCTCCATTTCGGAAATGCTCCTTGTCCTGCACCAGCCATTTCAAGGTACCCACGCGGATCGTCATTCAATAGCCGATTCTGCGGGTTTTGGAACCCCGATCAATCTGCATGAACCATGGACGACATGTTGAAGAGAAGCAAAATCAAGTGATTGGCGTCCGGGGTCAGTACTTGGAAACCCAGATCAAGCTACGTAGATCATTGCGGCAATGCCACAGAGCCATAGCCCAAAATACGAGTTCGACGTCAACTTTGTTTTTCCCCCTAGAACGGATCTCCCGAGCCCCCAGGCTTTCCCAATTCGGGTGCTGAACCTGCGTCTACGACACGCCTTCCAAGGATATCCCGGGTTCGGACAGGAACTTGCCCAACGGTGCGGAACGGGGTCTTATGGGCTACTGAAGAGCCTGATATTTCACCTGTCTAACGCCGACGGCGCGAACGGGTGAGCAGCTAGAGTGGATAAGAAGAGGGGAAAAACAAAAAAAAAGGTTCGAGAGGATTCAGACTCAAACCACGGCTACAATTCTCTTCAGTCGGATGGTTTGGAGATAGGGCGGTACCCCATCCGTGGACACTCCAAGCTTTGCGATGGACCGCCAGGGAGAGAGCGACTGAGATGACAGGCAAATTGCGCGGGGTCCTGTCGTCTGAAGACATTCGTCCTTTCTAACGTCCTGAGGCGGCCAGTGTGGATTGGTCCCATAGTTTCCGTAGGTCCAGCAATAGTCTCAGTGCACACCACATCCAGTCCAGCTGGGCGCCACGTCATTCCAGCAGTGCCGGGGCCAGGAATCTTGGAAACGAACGCCTCCGCAAGCGAGCCCAGCGCGAGGAATCAGCAGCGGGTAGTGTACATAGTAGCGAGTGGATGACGATGGGAGCCCCGGCCGCCCGACTTGCAGCAACGTACTTAGAGAGGTAACTAACGTTGGTAGTAGGTGTTGCATTGCTGCACGGCTGCTGGCCCCAATGCAGGCGGCCATAAGCTGTGCATCTCGCAGGAACCACTGAGCGCGCAGGGACTAGAGCACGACTAATGGCCCCCCCAAAACACACACTAAGTCATGCACGGCGAAGATGAAGGATTCAGGACTCAGACACTTTTGTGATTTGGGGGAAGGGCAAGAAGGGTCGAGGGCGTGGGACTTGGGCGCGGACGACAGTCGAGGAGATGGCCGAGTTGATGGGCACCCACACGATTGGTGCAGTTTCAGCAGAAGAAAGCAGCCCTCGACTTACTAGTTCGCACTCGGACGGACGAGCGCTCCCTGGGAAGAGACTTTCGACGGTGGAGAAGATGGGAAATCTTGAGGCTTCATGGGCCATCCCAGATGCAAACGTAAAAGACCACGCCGTCCTGCCCGGGTGCGACCTGTGCGACCGTGTAAGATGGAGGCTTGACAGCCTTGCCGCAGCTTGGGGCCGGGCTCGCAGTTGATAGATAATAAGTGAAAACCTGCTCCTGTGCAATCTCAACGAATGGGCATCTGCGTCTCTGCGTTGCTTTGCTTATTATTACCGCGATTACGGTGATATCCATCCATCCATCGACTTGTCGCAGCATAGCACAGCACACTTTCCCATTATCTACACCCATCGTTGCTTCTTCGCTCGGCTGGCGGCGTCCCCTTGTCTCTCTACCTGATACAGTTTATCCCCAAACGAGTGTATTGCTCGCCGTCCGTCGTCTCGCCCGTTGCCAATTGGACCAGTCCAACTCTCTTGCTCTTCCTCGCCCGTCCCCCGCACCGGCACACGAGAAGCCCAGTTCGCCCAGGGGGGTCCCCCTCTCATTTGATCATCGTACCTTAATCGCCCTCGTGCCTGGATTCAATCAATAACCTCGTCGCTATTGGAGCTACGAGTCCACGACCCGTGCTGGCCCCAACTGGCCCCGACTGGCCCCCCGGACGAGTGCACACCCTCTTTGCACCTTTTCCGGTCAAGTGTGCCCCCAGGCGTGCGAGCCGGCAGCGCCACATGCGGTTTGCCTTTGGTAGCATTGCAGCTGGGCAGGGCAGCAGCCTTGGATGCCGGGGCCGTGAATGAGTCGGACCCAAACGTCACCATCCCAGGAATTTGCACTCCGCTTTAATAATTAGGCCCCCCTCCCTCCAATCTGACCCTCGCGATCGGGTGCTGCGCCCGTCGTCTCGTCTGGACTCGACTCGACTCGACTCTTGTAAGCCGCCCTACGCCTTTTTCCTCGACCAAGGTTGTGGAGGCCGGAGAGCGCCTTGCAACAACCAAAAGTCAACAGAGAGGCCACTGTCACGCACCGAGCTGGCCGGTTTGCATTCCGTCGGGCGTCTTACACCAAACTCCCCGAGCGAATGAGTGCACCCCTTCAGAGGCGATAGACCTGCACCTGCAATATGCAGCGGGTTTCCGCCTTGCTCCCGTCCTGGGATCGCACCAGCACCAGCACCACCAGCAGGAATAGTGCCGGGTCCGGGAAGACGAGTCTCGACAAGGTTCGCGGTTGGGCCGACAAGATCCCTTCGCCCGTCAACAGGCTGAGCACATCTTCGAAAGTCGGGCGGGAGGTATACTGGCCTTCGACATTGGACAAGGAATGCGACAAGGCCGCTCGAATCCTTAACTCCTTCTGCCGTAAGTTCTCGTGATCGAACGGCCACTCTCATGCGCGGCCCAGGGCACTAACACACGTCTACCCTTCCAGGCGATGGCTTCTTAGTAACCGACGATCGGCCCTCCAGCCCTACGACGACCTCCAGCGGTAACTCGGTGCGCAAAGTCTTAAAGAAGATACCTCCTCGAATAATTCAAAATGCCGTGGGATTGGCCGTCTTCACCTCCATGCGCTCGGGATTGTGGACGTCCGGGTCGGGAGGCAGTGGAATCTTGATTGCTCGAAAGACAGATGGGACGTGGTCGCCACCATCCGGGCTCATGTTACAAACAGCGACTCTGGGATTTCTTCTCGGTGTCGACATTTACGACTGCGTTGTCGTGATCAACAGTTTCACCGCATTGGAGGTCTTCGGCAGGCCAAAGGTCGCGCTCGGTACCGATGTCCAAATGGCGGCAGGTCCGGTGGTAGCCATGGGGCTACTGGAAAACGAATTTAGGTGGGCCGACTTGAGCGACACTGTTCTCACCTACGTCAAGTCCAAGGGACTGGCCAGCGACGTGAAATTAGATGGTACCGTCCTAAGCGAGCGGGCGGACGAAAACGAGAGATTCTACGGCTGCAATTTCGGCGTGCCCAAGATCCTCGCTGGCGATATCAACCAGAGCATGCCTCAGCTGAGGTCACTCCACGAGGTACTCAAAGCTGCAGAAGGCCGGACCGACTACGACGCGAATCTTCTGGAACAATTAGCAAGCCAACTAACACCAGGGGATGCCAGCATCGAGTCCCCGGCTAGCACGAGCTCCCTGTCTCCGTCTTTCGGCTTACCAGACCCTGAAGATCCCGACCCGTTCGGCGTTCTAGCTCTGGGGTTGGCTGGACTGGAGATCCGGGAGGCCGGAACGCGACTCAGGCCAGACAGCTCACAGTTTGAGTACTGCCCAAGTCCAGCAAGCTCCATCTTTCCAAAAGTCGGCCGACAGAGCGTCGATACGTACTTGTCGCGAAGCAACAGGGGCAGCTACATGTCCAATCGAACGGAGCGCAGCCATATGACAGACAGTGGGACACAGACCGAAACCCACACGGCCGCCACCACCCCTAGTCCTGGGCAGAGTGAGGCCGGATACCAGCAGTCGCACGATGAAATCCCCGAGGTGGTAGAGCCTGTAGAAGTCGACTACACAAAGATCGACATCAGCGCCCTCCGGAACTTGAGCGCCTTCCCCGATCTAGACGACGACCCGATCGTCAGCACCACCAACGACGACACAGTTCGCGTTGAGGAGATTTCGAGCTCAAAACCTGGCTCCGAGGATGAGCCCGAGCTCGAACTCGATGCCGATGATGAAGAAGACATCGACGAGGACGAGCTAGACACGTCGGATGACGATGAGGACGAGTTTGAAGACGCCGAGGAGCCTGTCGTCTATGAGGTTGCGACAGTGCAGAACCCACGAACAGCCATCGTTGCGTCACAGGCAGTCCACGTCAAGGGCGCCGTCGTTACTATTCCCCGCCGCGTGCCGCCGCCGTTGCCAACCCGCAGCCCGGCTCGCATGTCTCGCAGGAGCAAATCCGAATTCGGCGATGTTGGCATGATCAGCAGCCCTCTGCGAAACGAATTCGACCTTGGTACTCAGGCCGACGGGGCGACGACACCGAAGGCTGGCGAGACCTTTGCCGCTCCGGATGCGGAAGTGACGAGTGCGCCTGCTGCCAGTGACGTGGTGCCTGATGTGGAGGAGACCAAGGAGATACAGAACCCCGACACGGCGACCCGGACCTCGGTTGACTACTTTGCAGAGGCAAACACGAAGGAGACCCCGGCTGCGCAAACGACAGTCTCAGACACGTCCAGCAATGGGGACAAGGATGAAATTAATTCCACCGGTCATGGAGTCACGGTGTCCGTCGCGTGAAACACGCAATAATGTGTATTATTCTGACGGTTGTTTTCGCAATGATTCGCCATGGGCATGGAGTTTTGGGGATGGGTAAACATATATCACGGCATATTGGGGTCGCAATCTCTCATGGCATGTGAGTTGCAGAGGTCACGGACAGGCTGCTTTACGGGCGGGTTTTTACGATAACATGAGAGCGTGGCATTTGGCTCAGTGAGGCCCCAACAAAATACCCCCTTCGCAATCTATTAGATAATTTTATTTTGTATATACTTACAACTTTCGGGCAGCTCCGCAGTGGACGAGCTGGGAAGAGCCGGGTGGTGTTGCAAGACGGATGGGGGTTTGGATGAGACTTGTGGTCGTCGTCCAAGGCCTTGCAAGCACAACGGGGAAGCCAGATACTAGGTATCATACCATCAATGAAAAGATGACAGCAGCAGGGAATTTCGTCTCCTATGGTGAACGGAACCCTAGTGACTATTGGACGACGTGAAAGGTGAATGGGATGCTTGGTTGCCCCCAGACCAGGCTGGTCGCCGCGTTGTCAGGCCACAAGTCGTGGATTGCATTTCACCTTTCACCTCGAGCGAACCACGCGGAGTCTCCTGGTGAAGTTCTCACTTCATTGGCAGCGGCTGGGACATTGTTGCATCATCTTCTGGTCTCTTACTTCTCCTTGTCTTTCTCGTTCAGCGTTGACTTTTTGCCTTGATCGGCGACGTATTCATCGTGAGTTGATCTTGGCCCATACCGCGTGCAGGAACAATAGCCCTGGGTTCACCATCGACGACAGACGGACTGATTCATAATTGGCAATCCGTTCCATTGTCAGCGACCGGTACATTTGCGTGTCTCTTTTGCATTTTCCTCCTCGGCGACACCACTATCACCTTGGTGGTCGTGATTTTCTCGAGAGTTGATCCTTGCCTTGCCATGCTACGCATTGGATGATAGGTTTGCTTTCATCTACGACGATTGACGAAGATTGATTTTTTTCCTTCGCCAGAGTACTATTCAGGCTCTGAAGATCACGATGGCTTGGCCCAAGGGTGTCAAACGGCCGCATGGTCGTCATACTCGAATGGACGGTTCGGCAGGTGGGCCGAAGACGCCTGCCAAGGCCACCACCCGTGATGCTCCAGCGTAAGTCAGCCCCCGGTTATTACATACACCAAGCTCTTCTCGGCCACGATCCCCACTGAAACCACCACCCCTCGGCGATGCAGATGCTTCTCACGGGCAGCAACTGCAGCTTAGATGGTAAATTTAACCACAAATATCGTCCAAACGGGTGAAAACAACCACGGGTTTGCTGCATAAATATCGGTTTACCTATCCCTACCACTGTTCAACACCATCCATCATCCATCATCCCCCATCCCCCATCTCCATCGGGTCCTCGGGCTTACCAATATTCCAGCACTGCTCCAGCCAAGACCGGCCACCACCGCACCACACCCGGCGGTGCGGCGAATCAGACACGACCTGCCTCTGAGAAGCGCGTCCCTCGAGAGCTTAGCAACATCTTGAACCCTTGGTTCCTGGACGGCCCTCGCGACGAGAGTGACGACAACGAGGGCGCATCATCCGGCGACGAGGAACAAGATCTCCCCCAGCTTTCGCCCAAGTTCCAACAGCGCCCTCTGCCCCCGCTCCCGCCTCTGCGCAACAACCACACGCCCCGAGAGCAGCGCGCCGCCCGTCGCGATTGGCTGAGGACCGTATCCTTTCACGACCAAGACGACGACGACGACGACGACAGCGACGACAGCTACCCCAGCAGCTACAACGGCAGCACCCGCAGAGGCGCCGACATGTCGAGCCAGCAGGGAAAATGGCGCGAGGAGCAGGTGCTCATCATCTGCCCCGGCAGCAAGACCACAATGGCCCAGCTGGGCTGTGGTGAGCTCACCCCTCCCGCCCACCGCATCCCCACGCGCATGTTCAAGGACGACGAGACGGGCGAGTACCTGCCCTACCACACCTTCAAGAGAAAGAAGAACGGCGCCGCCAACGGCGCAGAGGGCACGAAGCTCGACGAGGATGACTACGAGTACGTCGAGGACCGCGACTCGGTCGAGGGCGCCGTCTACCCCATCGTTGGCGGCCGCATCGTCAACATGGCCGCCTTCCTGGCCTTCCTAGACCACGTCCACAGCCTGCTCACCACCACCTACCACAACACCCCCATTGTGCTCATGGCGTCGCCGCAGTGGTCCCGACTCGACTGGGAGGCCATTGCTCGTTACATCTTCGAGAAGACCAAGACCCCCGCCCTCTGTCTGATCCACAGCGCCGTCGCCGCACAGTACGGCATCAAGTGGCCGCACATGACTGTCGTGGACATTGGCTTCGAGAAGGTAGACGTCACCTGTCTGTACGACAACATCGTCGTCGGCCACAAGCAGCTTGGTTTCCCGCGTCCGGACCGCGAGATTTCTGGTGGAGACGTTTTCACCAAGAAGCTCCTCGCACTACTCAAGGACAAGGGCTTCACCTACGACATGGCGGAGCAGCTGAAGACGAGCCCTCTCTGCGAGGTCCTGCCCTACGCCGCTGACTTGGACGAGCTCATGGAGCTTCCTACCGAGACTGGCGCGCCCTACCACCCCCTTGGCGCGGACGCCCCGAAGTTCAACGAGCCGCCCAAGCCAGCTCCCCAGATTGGCGCCGAAGATGACAACGGCATTGTCGACGACAAGACCAGCAACGAGGAGGGTGTCTTGGACGTTGCCAACATCGTCACCAGCGGCAACACCAGGGAGTTCCTGGCCAAGAAGGAGAAGGAGAAGGCCGAGAGGGCGGCCAAGGCCAAGAAGGGCAAGGGTCAGGAAGCCGAAGCCGCTGCGGCCAAGCCGGTGCGCCTGCCCAACTCCAAGCGAAAGTACGCCACTTTCCATTATGAAGAGCTTGTGCACGAGGATGTTGAGGTTCCCGTGTCCAACGGCAACGCGCCCCCGGCAGCTCCCTCCGAGCCGGCCAATGGCGACTCGGCACCTTCAGAGGCTGCTGCTGCCAACGGAGAAGAGTCGAAGGCTTCTGCTGTTGGAGACACAGCCACTGAGCTGCCCTTCGCTGCCGAGGTTGCCAGTTCAGTCACCGAGCGTAGAACTAGACGCGTCAAGAAGGACATCGAGATCGGCCTAGAGAGATTCCTCTTTGCTGATCGCGGTGAGATTGACCGTATCACAACGACCATCTACCAGACAATCCAGAGCATTGAACACATCTACAAGCGCTCCAGCTGCTGGGACAACATCGTCTTTGTCGGCAACGGCAGCCGCCTGAAGGGACTCAAGGAAAACATCATGCAGACGCTTCACGCCCGCCACCTCATCTCCCCGAGCACCGCCACCATCTTCACCTCGGAGCTGCCCTCTAACATGGCAACCCCGACTGGAACTGGGTCCCAGACTCCCACTGGCTCCTTCACCGGCCAGCTTCCGACCTCGAGCTCCGTCAACCCGCTCTTGCAGGCCGCTACCACCGCCTCGCTGGGTATTCCGGGCTCGACTCAGGCACCTGGATCGACGGCAGGTGACGGTCCCAGCCACCAGTCTCATGCCCAGACCCCCACCAGTATCAAGATGGCAACTCTGCCATCCTACCTGGCCGAGTGGACCAAGAATGGTTTCGAGGAAGCACCCTTCCTCGGGTCTCTCATTGCAGCTCGTCTCGTATACTGCATTCATAACCTCGACGCGGCGACTCAGGAGGCTCAGCGTGGCTGCAGTCTCAGCCGAGTTGAGTACAAGTACGTACCGAGTCCTATACTCCTGTTCAACCATCTTGAGCTAACGTATCGATAGTGAGCTTGGCCCGAAGGCCATTCGTACCTTCAACCTGATAGGTTGATCAAGTACATTGACTGGTCCATCTACGTACATGGATGGGCTTGCATTGCGTACGTGCGCTCTTCGACGTTGCGGAAAGCTGCATCATACGCGCAAGTGGCTTTATTTGGGGTATTTGACGAGGAGTTTTCACACGGGATTGACTTGGTTTGGCACTGGAGTTCAGGTCTGTAAAAAATCGGGGTCCGACAGGTCGACCGACGGGGATTTGCAGTCAGCCGAACAAGGGAGAGCCGAACAACACTGACTGCACGTGAGGCTACAGAGAGAGAGACAGAGAGAAGAGCTGTCCGCTCCGAAGCCGGTTTGCTGCTGTTGTCCCTGAATTCTAGATGGGGGCGCTTCCATAGATACCCGCGTCTCCAGATCTGGTCTGTACACTAGCGGCGAATAGATCACCAGAAAATGTGAGATGCTCGAGTCTGTATGCTTGTGATGCTCTGCTTTGCCTGTATTTCGCAGCAACGTACGAGAGTGTCCCGCTAAAAGCCAGAAACGAACGCGATCGGGTTCGACATGTCAATGCCTGTTTCGACCGCTCTATGTTATTGCAGACCAGCATCACACAGATTAACGTGCCCGGCTTCTGTGTACAGCCAACTATTGAGCCTGTCCTAGAACGAAGCAAGCTTCTCGTAAATGTCTTGGGAGTCTATTCTTATGGGGTCAACTAGTCTGGTAGAGGGGCACATGGAGAATAATTGGTTGAAAATTGGTTGAAACAATGATGAGCGTACTTCCCAAGTATGGACGGTTTGGAGGACTCAAATTATAGTAGTTAGATGGACTCTGGCTAAAACTCAGCGCGATCTACGTTTGTGTACGGAATATCTGCGTCCATTCAATATTCACGGATGCAGTCGTTTGGGAGTTGCTCGTCTGTGAAGGTACACAGACGTTTCGATATCTTCATGTTTGGTCTAAAGCAGCCTCGTTTAGGGAGCATAGGCTTCTCAGGCTCGGTACGATTACTTAAGGTTCAGAACTTGGTCTATTTACGTGTGCTATCTCAAGGATAGTAGCGCTAGCAGTATAGAACACAATTGGAGCCAAACACGGTGTGTCCATGGGAATGATCTTGAGGTGAGTTTGTTGATTCCTGGTTGAGATTTACATATGTCGAGTATTATATTACGCCATCAAAGGCCCCACAGATACTTTCTCCCTGAGCTTCCTCTCCTTTTCCTGTGTTAACAAGGTGGCCTGCCGCTCTTTTCGTCGCCGATCTACGCCAATCGATGCGAAGCGTCCTCGTGCACCGTGCTTCACCTTTGTGATCATGTCTGAGGCCTTGCCCATTGTGATTGACGTCGGCGACAACTGATTGTCCTTGGCGCGCAGTTTGTTCAAGAACTTCAGCTGGCCCTCGGTGGCGGGACCGTTACGCCAGCCCATTCTTCTGGAAATGAATTGGTGCGGGAACTTCTCTGCTGCGTATTTGTCGGCACCGTGGACGGCGTCTGCAAACGTGGAAGCTTTGAGCAGTCGTCGTGGAGCTGCGAAGGGTGACTTGGAGGCTGTCCCAGGAGGCAGGGTTCTGATTTCCCATGCAGCAAACATTCGCTCCTCCTCTTCAGCAACATCATCCCTTTCAAGTCGGAGGTAGGTCCCAGAGGGGCTTGACAGTATGTACTTGTGAGGGCCGACCTCCACCCAAGCATGTTGGCTGATCGAACGGATGTGCTTTTCCCCAGAGGTATCTGATATCAGATCGAATACAGAGTCATACTCGGTAAAAGTGATACTGCGAGCAAGACCGCCGTCGCTAGCCTGCGTTGGCGTTTCTTTGTATGCTGTTGCTGACCGCTGTTCTTCAGCCTTCTTCCGATCCTTTAGAGCCGCCATGTCATCGACGGAAGCGTCAGCCACTAGTTCGGAGGGGTCAAGACCAAAAAGTGTCGGCGTAGTGACGATGCCCGTCTCCAGACTAGAGACCATGTCGATGATGTGGCAGTTTGTCTTGCCCTTGTGTAGCCTCATGCCGCGTCCGATCATTTGCACCAGCAGATTGCGAGAGCGAGTCGGCCTGGCTAAGATTACGCAATCTATGTTGGGAATGTCCGTCCCTTCAGTGAACACACCGCAGTTTACTAGAACAGGGAACTCGCCAGCCTTGAAAGCCTCGAGACGTTCGCTTCTTTCTACCTTTGGAGTGTCGCCCGTGACAAATCTCGCATCGATGCCGTGTTTCCGAAAGGTCTGTGTCAGTCCAGCGACATGGGCGAGATCAACACAGAAAACGAGAGTCGACTTGCGCCCGTCTGCTCTGGCGAGCCAGCTGCGGACAGTGATCTCGTTGATCTGGTCTGTATTGACTACCCGTGACAGCTCGCCGGGTTGAAAGTCACCATTGGCTCCACTTCGGACTCTTGAGATATCTGCCGTGGACTCAACGGTGGTGAAGATGACGTCCGAAAGCCACTTCTCGCCAATCATGTCGACGTAGTCTTTATGATAGACAATCTCATCAATGGCGGCCCCTAGACGCAGTCCATCAAAGCGGGAAAAAGTAGCGGACACGCCAATCAGAGCCGGCGAATCTTCCCTTTTCTGGTCGAGACCAAAGTGCTCAAGGGTCTTCAGATACCCTGGGGCCACGATGTGATGAGCTTCGTCCACGAGAACCAGCTTGAACCGTTTGGGGTCGAACTTGCTCATCCTGTCGCCGGAAGTGATGCTCTGCACACTGGCGATGGTGATGTCGGCAGTGCCGGAAGCGTGGATGTTGCCCATCTCGATGTCAACCGTCTTGCCGGGATAGGCATTTGTGCAGTGCCGAGCAGCTTGCTCAACCAGCTCTCGCCGGTGCGCCAGGATCAGCGTCTGGGTCGCATGGTGGGAGGCAGGCGTGATACGGTCAATCAGTTGCGTAAAGATAACCGTCTTGCCTGCCCCAGTGGCGAGCGAAATGCCCAGACGTTTGTGTCCATGTTTCAATGAGGATAATACGGCTTGTATACACTCCTCCTGATAATTGCGAAGGCGCACCTGAGTGAATGGGCGTTTGGCGAGTAATATGGTGGTAGGTTGTTTTGAGATTTGACCCAGTTTGTGAGACGGAGACGATGTTGACTTAGGAGACCTGATCAATGGTCTCATCAAGCGCCATCTTGCACCGGTTCGCAGCATGGCATGTTCCCCAATGCAGGCAGATTGAGACGTCTAGAGATGGACTTGGAGTGTAAAAGGCGATGGCGGACAGGACGAAGTTGCAGTAGACTTTTGCCAGGTGGCACAGGGCCCCGCCGGTCCGGCGATCGTGAAATAAATGCATAGGCGATCCTATCTCGAAAAGTAGCCTTCAAGTACTGCATCACGCACGAGTCGTTTTCAAGGCAATGCAATAGTATATACATCTTGCACTGTCATGCAATGACAACCGGTGGCAGGCTGATTCGCTTGTGTTCGGCGAAGATCCAGGTACGTGTCTTGGGAAAAAGAAGTCGATCCCGAATTACTGACTATCGCTAGTATTAGAGCTCTGGCGGACTGGAGACCTTCAGATTTGACCAACTAAATAGAACCATCGTCGTCTGATGACGCTTGGCCAAAGACTGCGTAATGTTGACGGCAGACTTCATGGACCCCACATCATCACTCCATACCACATTCCGGGCTGAAAGGGGATTGGGCTAGAAAAATGGCGACTGCTTCCGACGAGGACGAGTATCGACCAAGCGACGTCGAATCTGTCGACGCAGGAGCTGAGGCTGACTCGGGCCACAATGATCTTGTTCCAGTGTCAATGTCCCGGAGGGCGAGCTCGTCTGATGGGAGGGCAGGATTCGACGACGACGATGATCTTGATGCATCGTCACTTTCGGCCGCATCAATCACTTCTCGCAAGCGGCGCTACCTTCCAGACTATTCGGGCGCTCCCCTCAAACGACAGCGCCGCACCTTCAATCCGGACTACCTTGCCATCTTGAATCAGGATATTGCTGACGCCGCGGCCAACTTGGTTGGTGAGGACGTCTCTCACCTCAACCCTTCTCAGATTGGCGCCGTCCGATGGTCCGACATCGAGAAGGAGGCCTTCTTCTCCGCCCTCGGCCGTCTGGGGCGGGACGATCTGCCAGGTATCGCTGCCCGCATTGGAACCAAGAGCCAGCTCGAGGTGCGGCAGTACATTATGCTTCTTTCACAACGCGAGCGCACCCGCAGGGACGACACGGAGCTGCGGCGGAAGACTCTGCGGCCCGCGGACCTCCCCGCCGCCGCCGAGCTGAGCCACGACTGCTGCGCTGCCCTGGACGAGGCGGCGGACGATCTCTCCTTGCGGCAGGAGAACTACGAAACCTCGGCCGAGGAGAAGCGATGGGGAGACCACTGGCTGATCACGCAGCAGACGCTCAAGGAGCTCGAGGCAGCGCAGAATCACGCTGAGATGCCGTTCCTGGACTTGTTCGTCGCCAGGAACTGGCTGAGGCTGTCGGACCGGATCTTCCTCAACTCCAAGATCCCCGACTTCAACTGGCGATACGTCTCGGAAGAAGCCCCGGCCATCAGAGCCACGGCCTTGTCCGACTTCCATGCGCTGGTTGTCAGCGTCACGAAACGCCTCGTGGCGAGCACGCTGTTCATGGCAGGAATGCGAATCAAGGCGAAGAGGGAGTATATGCCGACGACCAGAAACCTTGTCCGCGCGACAGACGTGGAAGCAGCGGCCGCTTCACTGTCCATCAAGACCAGCAGCCGCGAGTTCTGGGCTCGAGCTGCCGGGAGATTGAGAATAGATATTGTCCAAGACAAGACAGACCCGAGCGAGGAGGCTTCAGACGAAGGGCACAGCGATGACGAGGAAGCGGTCATGTCGTACAGAGAAGTCGAGGCAGCGCTCGGAGGCAGCCAGGATGGACCCAGACATGACTCTGCGCAGGATTCCTCAGTGGATACCGAAGACAGCTCTGAAGAAGATGAGCAGGAGCACGCTGAAATGGCGGGAGCAGACTCGGATCTGGATATTGACGATACCCTTAATGACGAAGCCATCAAACAAGATATGCGCGAGGCAATGCACTTCTCAGCCGATTTTGAGGGTACGACCCGTGCCCGGCAGGGTCTCCAGGGCCGCATCGAGGCCGAACACCGAATGGAGGCCGAGGCCGAGAGCAGTGACTTGCAGGCCAGCAGGGAGGAGGAAGCCCGACTGTGGTCGATGATGCGACAGTCTGACGAGCCAATATCTGGAGGAACAGCAACCAAGGAGCAGGCCGGGGGCCAGGTTAGAAGGCCAGTGCATGAGCCGATCATGAAGGACTGGAGAGATGGCATCAGATATGTAAGCCCGTGGGAGACCCGTGCCGATGTTGAGTGATGGATGTCTGGGTGAACAGCAGAAGCACATGCATAGCCAACGGCCTAGATCAGATCTATGGAAGTAAACGAGTGGCGTTGTCAGGGCTCGAGTGAAAGCTTCAGCGAGCGACCTGTATTCGTCATGTGGCTACGTTTACAAATTTCAGAAAATTCCTGATATATAGACCGACTGGCAACGAGGCCCGCTCCTGATCAAAAGTGTTTTTCTTTTTTACAAGCACGGAGCTATGTTGTTTACCAGGCACCTGGGTTGCCTACGCAAGGCAAAACGCAAAGATAGCTCAAGAGAGGATCAGGACAGTGACACGAATGGCAAAGGTCAAATATCTGGGTCGAACACTCAGTCTGAACGAGAAAATCTCCATTGCATAGCCGCGAACGCTATCGGTGCTCCGTCAACTCCTACAGCGCCAAGAGCATATCACTATGTCCTTCGTATTGTAGGCCCCCAGGGAAATCAAGTATCGCGCGTTGAAACAGTATGGGCGACGCCCCAAAGTACCAAATAAAACAATCCATTCTCATATGGCCGGATATCCACTATATCTGGGAAGCCGCCTCCTATCTTTGTTTGGTGGTACAAGGTTGTTAAAGTGTTTTTTTCTACGAAACATGTACGCGCACAAGAGATGCCTTGGGTGGAGCTGTCTGAGCTCACCCGCTGAAACGCCAGAGAGAAAAACCAAAAGCAGAACCCTTAACCAGTTCCCCCCTTTCGCCGCTGCCATAACACGTGGTGCCTCCCCCTCTCTCCTACCGCAGTTGTTTCCTGCTGATTAAGCCTCGTAACTCTTGATCTGCCCTTCGGCACCAAGGGGCTGGACAGACCCTACTGCAGGCGTGGATGCAAACGTCAAACCCCCGTCAAAGCCGGCCATCTTGATGTCCCCACCATTGGCGGCGGCGGTCTTCAGGCCCTCCTGGGTGTCCCGAACCCGCTTCTTGAAGGCGAGGCGGTCCAGGAATAATTGTTGGCGGCCGCGCTCAAGTTCGCGGCGCTCGGCCTGCAGGATGCTCTCCATCTCGTCGAAGAACTTAAGCTTCAGCTCCATCTTCTGCAGAGTGACGTTGACTGCGGCACTCAGTAGGCGAGTCATCTCGCGCTCCTCATGCGAGGCGAGGCCGCCAGCGCGAGCGGCCATCATGGCAAGCGGGATGCTTGCGGCGGCGGTGGTGGTGGTGGTTGTAGTCGTGGTGGTGGTCGTAGTGGTTTCTTGCCTGATGTCAACCTCCATGGACTCGCCTTCCTTCTCCTTGCCCTTGCCGTTCGCCTCGCCGCCCTCGATCTTGTTCCGCAGGCCGGCCCGGAGCTCGTCAACCGACTGCTTGGCAGCGGCCGCGGTGCTCTTTGGGTCCGCGAGACTGGCCAAGAAGCCGATGACCGACATGACGGGGTTGTCAGCCTTGCTGAAGGGTAGCTGGCCGCCTTGACTGCCAAGCATGCCCAAACCGGTCGGTGCATGTATCGGTGCTTCCGACTCGAGATATTTGTCTTCAATGTCCAGCTGCAGGAACTGCAGAACGCACTCCTCTCGCGTCCGGGTGCCAACGTGCTCTGCAATCTCGGCCCAGTCGTCATCGTACTTCTCAAGACCCTCCAAGAGGCGGAGGAGCTCGGCATCGGTCCATGGAGCGTCACGATCCAGCACAGCCGAGTATGTCGGGTTCTCCAACTTGACGAAGGAGTTGCTCATCTGGTTGTGGGGCATGCGACCATCCATGAAGCAGCTCGGGCACACGTCGTACTTGGTCTTGTTTGGGGAGGCTGCCTCGGGCAGGTGGTAGTAAACTCTGGTGCAGTCGACGCCGCAGTTCTGGCAGTTGATCTTGACAATGGGTGCCTTGGTCAACTCCTCAGCGCTGGGCGAAGCGCTTGCTGTGCCGTTGGTGGTTGCAGCCTCGCCGTTGGTCTTGGACTCGGTCTTGTTCAACTGCTTCGCCTTGGCGCTGGCCTCGTAGATGTTTCGGCCGATCTCGAGGTTGCGCTCGCCCGCGGCAGACGGGGTGGCGGCAGCCTTTTGGTCTGTGTCGGCGCTCTTCTTTCCCTCCAGCACGATGGGGTCTGCCGACGGCTGCCAGGGTTGAAGCCCACGTGGGGTATCGCAGATGACCTGGAAGTGACCAGTGAAAGGTGGGCCGACGGGCGCGGGTCTCTGGTCGGCATCAACCTGGAATTTGGTCAGCTACAGGACGCCGAGAAAGGTAGGCATGGCAAGGCAAGGCAAGGTGTCGCGGTCATACCTGGTAGTTGATCAAGCCCCACTGCTCCAGGAAGGCGTGGACACGCATGATGGCACAGACATCACCAGCCAGGTTCCTCCGGCAGGCGGTGACGGTCAAGTACTCGCTCGGGTTCAGACGGTAGGTGTTGATCATGAAGTCGCGGTAGTCCTTGTAGACGTGCGGCGTCTTGCTGCGGTTGCGGCTGTTGAAGAACTCGGGCAAGGCCTTGCGCTCGATGCTGTGGACGGTGTTCATGTCGAACCAGGTGCTATAGCTGGGCAGGACAATGGAGTGCGTCTGGGAGATGAGGTGTTCCCGGGCGGCGTTCTCTATGCTCTCTTTCGACTTGACCTCGGTCGCCGCACCATCGGCGCCTGGGACGGCGGGGGCGGCCGCGGCACCGTCAGCGCCCTCCTTGTCGCCGGCCTGGGGATCCTTTGCAGCGTCGCCCATCTCCTCATCCTCCTTGGCTCCTAGTGTGGTCTCAGCGGGGGGTCCATCGGGGGCATCAAGGGGGTTGTCTGAAGTACCAGCGGGCGCAGGGGTGGTACTGTCCTGCTTGATGTTGGGCTCCGAGGTCGCCACTTCGGACATCTGGACATCTGCAGGGCGACATGGCGGTCAGCTAGCTGGTTCATGGCACAATCACAATCACAAGCACGGGCACGGGCACGGGCACGATGGTGGGAGGATAGACGTACCTTCTGAGGCCTCGGGCGCGGTTGAGGTGTCGGCCTGCAGAGGCGGCTGGGCGAGAATGGGGTTGCTTCCGGGGGTGGCGGCATCGGCTGGCGACCCGTAGCTGACATTGCCCTCGTCCATGGTGGATGGTGGCGATGGGGGATGCTGGTGGTGGATGTCGCCGTGTACAGTGCTGCCTTGTCGTGGCCGGGCTGGTGGGAAGGGAGACGGAAATGCACCAGTGTGGATGATCAATTCGGGAGGTGCAGTCGCGCAGAGAGCGTTTCCCGCAGAGCGACGGAGCGTCGAACGGTGGACGGCGATGGAGCGCGGAGGGAGGGTGTCGCCAATCGCCGAGACGTGATGCCGCGTGGTGGATGCGATGCGATGCGATTGCGATGCGATTGCGATGCTAGTTCTCTCTACTCTCTACGAGGCTGGAGTCGCGCGTTTGGGGAAAATTGCAGCGTCGCGAAACCGAAGGCTGACCTGGCGCCTGGCTGCCAATGCAATGCGGGAAAAGAGGCCTGAGCTCTCGGGCGGGTCCCACTGTTCTTCACGTCGGGCCAACCAGGGCTGCCCGCGCTAGCTCGACCCGCTTAGCCAGATATCCCCCCCGGACCTGGACGCGCTATGCCGCAAAGACAGGCTATGCCAATAATCCCCTATAACGAGATGCAGCCGCCTGCAAAGGTTCCCCTTGCCCCCCCAAGCCTGCCAGCCCGCGGCCTGGCGGGCCCTTGCAGCCCTCCAGCCGATCGCGGCTGGGTCTGGCTCAGTTTACCTCGGGCGGGCCCCCGGCCGATGACAGCCGCTATCATGACATGAACCTCTCTCCGTGCCCGTGCCCGTGCCCTTGCCTCTGACGACCGAGTGAGCCTGTGTCTGGTCTTGGTCGAGACCACCACGGGAGCCGCCAACACAGCTCAACCCACACCACCACCACCATCACCATGTTTTCCACAGCAAGGCACACGGCCCTCAGGGCTGCTCGCAGCACCTCCAGGGCCAACGGCCTCTCCGCCGCCTCCTACAGCCCCTCGGCCCTCCGCCGCCTACTGTCGTCATTGGCCATCCTCGAGCAGCGCGACGGCAAGCTGAACCACGGCTCTCTCAGCGCCATCACGGCCGCAAAGAAGCTCGGCGGCCCCGTGCACGGCTTCGTTGCTGGTGACAACATCAAGGGCGTCGCCGACGAGGCCGCAAAGGTCGACGGCGTCGACAAGATCATCGCCGTCGACAACGCCGCCTATGAGAAGGTGGGTACCCAGCCAAACACTGACTGCCTCCCATCCAATGTTTCCGCATGCCTCTGACATTTGCCATCGCAGGGCCTAGCAGAGAACTACGCACCGCTCCTGGTAGAGAACATCAAGAAGGGCGGCTATACCCACATCATCGCCGGCCACACCGCATTCGGAAAGAACCTGATGCCCCGAGTTGCCGCGCTGCTCGACTCGCAGCAGATCTCAGACATCACCGCCATCGAGAACGAGAACACCTTTGTGCGCCCCATCTATGCCGGTAACGCCATCGCCACCGTCGAGTCCTCGGATGCGACCAAGTTCATCACCATTCGAGGCACGGCCTTTGCCCCCGCCGAGGTGGGCAGCGGCTCGGCTGCCGTCGAGGACGGCGTCGACCCCAAGGCCGAGGCCCTCGCCGAGTGGGTTTCCGAGGACCTGGCCAAGTCAGACCGGCCGGATCTTGCGACGGCGGGCAAGGTCGTCTCCGGTGGCAGAGGACTCAAGTCCAAGGAGGAGTTTGACAAGGTCATGCTGCCCCTCGCCGACTCGCTCGGCGCAGCCGTCGGTGCGTCGCGAGCTGCTGTGGACAGCGGCTATGCCGACAACAGTCTGCAGGTCGGCCAGACCGGCAAGGTCGTCGCCCCTCAGCTCTACATGGCCGTGGGCATCTCTGGTGCTATCCAGCACTTGGCTGGTATGAAGGACAGCAAGGTCATTGCCGCCATCAACAAGGACGGTGATGCGCCCATCTTCCAGGTCGCCGACGTGGGACTGGTTGGAGATTTGTTTGAGAAGGTCCCCGAGCTGACCGAGAAGCTCAAGTCGTCATCGTAGAGTCGTATAGTACAATGTATTACAATATGTACAACTACCTGGTCGGTATCCATGCTCCGTGTCTATCCTATGCAGCCACCGATAGCATTTCGGCAGTGCTGGTAAACTTCTCCCGCTCCTTTCCTACCAATTGACCCCTTTCCTTCTCCGCCTTGTCTATCTTTTGCCATTTCTCCCATGTGATAACTTGGCTCTTGCTATCGTCCACCTCTTGCTTCAAGCCTTCCCAGCCAAGGCTGGGCTCTTCATGTAGGAATGGCGCTTCTGAGGCCCAGTCCTCGACGATGGCATCACCCGTGGTGAATGCGTCTTGCATGGTGGAGGCGATCACGCCGGTCGGGCCTCTCTTGACCCAACCAGCACAGTAAACCCCTCCCAGATGCTGCCTGGGGGCTGCCTCGTCTGCCGCGTTGTTTGTATACACCCTGCCCAGCCCGTCGTTCTGAATGATGCCGCTTCTATCGTCAAACAAAATACCCGCTTCGCTGAAGCCAGGCAGTGCGACCGACTTGTAGCCAATGGAACGGAAAGCCACCGCTGACGGGATCTCCACCAGCGCGCCCGTGCCGCTGACCTTGGACGTGGGATCGAACGGCGCCGCCAGAGAGGTCCGCTCGAGAATCGTGCTGCGCACGTTGCCGTCCGGCCCGCCACGGAACCCGACGGGCGACAGACAAAAGTCCAGCGACCAGGTTCGCGAGGCGGTGTCGATGTTTGCGGTCGACCCCTTCACAATGACCTCGGTCAGTCTCTTCTGCGCGCGCGGCAGCTTGGATATCTCGTCGGGCACCAGCGACATGTCGACCTGGTGGAAGCCGACGTCGTGCAGCTTCATCAGCTCCCGGACCTCCTTGATCGTGTAGGCAGCCTGCATGGGGCCCCGCCGGCCGACCACGTGCACCCGCTTGACGCGGCTCCTGGACAGCGTCTCGATGGCCGCCTCCGTGATGTCCGACTTCCTGAGCACGTCCACGTTCTCCAGCAGCATGCGCGCGACGTCGAGCGCCACGTTGCCCTGCCCGACGATGACCGCCTCGTCCCCCTGCGTCAGGTCGGGCGCGAGGCCGGCGTACTCCGGCAGTCCGTTATACCAGCCGACGAACTCCCTCGCCGAGTAGATGCCCCTGAGCTGCGACTCCCCGGGGACGCCGAGCGTCTTGTCCTTGGACGCGCCGTACGCGAAGACCACGGCGTCGTAGTGCCGCATCAGGGCGTCCAGCCGGACGGTGCAGCCGCCAAAGTGGTCCCCGGCGTTGCCGACGGCCACATTGCCGACGAAGGTGAAGTCGGGCGAGCGCGCCACCTCCTCGAACTTGTCCTGGCAATTCTTGACCTCCGGGTGGTCCGGGGCCACGCCGAAGCGCACCAGGCCGTACGGCACCGGCAGCGCCTCGAACATGTCGACCTTGGCGCGCTGGATCCGCGACATGACCCTGTAGGCCGTGTAGAAACCGGCCGGCCCCGATCCCACGACGGCCATCCGGAACGTCCTGTCATGGCGGCTGGCCTTGGTCGAGTACAAGCCCCGTAGCGTCCTGGACTGGAGAGGCGACGGGTTCAGTGCCTTGCGCTGGCACGCCATGCACGTCCAGGACCTTGCCACCGAAGCCATTTCTGAAATTTCTACCACCGTTGAACACGATGGGCGCTGAAACCAATTTAAGGAAGAGACTGAAATTTGTGAGTCAACTCTTGGGGTAGCGAAGCCTTCTGCGGTCGAAATCGGTCAGTCGGCGCTACGCTGGCTGTGTCGCCGAGAAGTGACGTTTTATTTCCGGCTTCCGAGCCCGGAAACCACAGAACAACCGAACAGACCACCGGCCACCGGCCACTGACGCACCTCCAGAGCAGTAATTCATAGCATCACACTTTCATCCTGTCACATTGGATGCCCAATGCCTGTTGACCGAGCACACGCGGTGCCACCAGGGACATTTAGAAGCAACCGCACGGAGTGTCTTGGCGCCCGATTGCAGGGCGTAATACCAGCGACGGCGAGTGCAACAATAAGCACATGATCCAACATGTATTTAGAAACCGCCTGGTAGAATGCATATAGTCCTACTGCTTATGCAGCTTTATCTGAATACACATTCCATTGAATAAGTAGCAGGAAACCGCATCAGGACAAAGTTAGCCAGCTGTGGTTTAGTTGATTCCTGGGCTATTACATGGGTTGCTGCATGTGTCGTCCAACTATTAGTTGGCGTTGCTGTGCCAACCTACCCGCCATAGATGAGAGCTCAGCCCAATGAACTCACCACCCGCTCCAACACACCACATGCGCGCGCAAGGCTCTTTAACCAGCACATGATCGCATGAATCTCTAGAACTCAGCATTCCAGACTTTCATACACCCTCCACTACTGATCGCCCTCGAAATCGCGTTGCAGCCTCGCTCAATCGTAGCGTGGGACAGCAACCATGGTTCAGCAGCCTTACCTCTACGACCCAGATCGATCGGACCCGCGTTTCTCGCCCACGAAGCCGTTCGATCCCAAGGCTGTCACGAGAGCTAGCTGGGAATCGAAGCCGTCCACACCCAAGAAGAAGGATGGACCGCTTATGTCTTTCAACCAGCACCCTGAGTAAGCTAACCTTCCAAGCAGCGCGCCGTTGAGCCATGCTAATAACACGCTCCAGCCTTCACGAGGTACCTCCGGGACGAAACACCAATTTCCGACCCATGAGCAACAGGACAAAATCATGGATCGTGGGAATGAGACGTGTACAGCTGGGCCTTCGATGCTTTGAGCTCGTTGGTGCTGTGGGTCTAGTCACGCTCATGATCTTGATCTCGAATGTCGATCCTCTCACGGCGTGGGTCATGAGAATCGCAGTAAGTTACGACAAAGGTAGAAACGAGCCAGGAGCTCAGAACTAACACTTTCAACCCAGCCCGGCGTCTTTGCCATCGCTTCTGTGTACGCTATCTGGCATCTCTCCAGGAGCGCCGGCAGCAGAACTCCTGCCTCGTCGGCAGCGTACCAGCTATTTGCAGCCTTCACTGATGTCGCGATTCTGATATTCTACGTCTATGGAGGCCTCTCGGTCGTCAATCACGGAACCGAGTGGGGTACTCTGTTGTACAACGAAACCCTTGTGGCTTATTTCGTGCCCGCATATTACTACACGCTCATCGGCGCCGGAGGTTTACACGTTGTTTCGCTCCTGATCTCGCTATGGCTCGGTTTGATGTTCCGACGAATTACCAACATGCCCCCGGACATGAACCCGTTAGAAGACCACCTGACTGCCAGACACAAGCGCAACAAGTCTTCGATTGCTACCAGCTACATGACGGAAAGTTCTAGACGCCTGTCTACTCCACTGGAGGAACGCCGTCGCTCTGGTGCACCGTATGAGACTCTTTCTCGTCCACCGAGCATCCCCTTCATGCATACTCGCTCCAACTCCCGGGACTCATTCGTCTCTTCGAAGGGCGACCTCCCCAGCCGCCAGTACCAAGTTGAGCCCAGCAACTCGCCGCGCAATAGTGTTGCATCAGCAGCTGAGCTCAAGCGCTTGTCCAAGCCTGCTTCTAACCGGGGTAGCTACACCGAGATCCCACTCCACGAGACAGGATCTCCGCGTCATAGTAACGGCATCGATTCTGCCAACGCTTCGCCCACGCGGGTTGGCAAGTTCACGGAGTCCTGGTACGCCTCGGAATCGCTCATCAATCGCACCCAGCAACGCCAGCGTGCAATGAATGCAGCTGCCACCTCCGCAAACGCCTCCAAGTTCCGTGCCTACGAGGCCGTCAGCCAGCAATACGACGACGTCTCCGATGATGACTCGGACCGCGAGAACAACATGCGCCCTGACCTCGACGACATGGCGTATTTGGCTGACAGTATCACTGGCAATGGCTCGCACCCCAACCCTCTGCGATCAAACCCCACACCCGTCTCCTCCGTGGGCTCCTCGGAAGTCTCCTCGGTAGCTCCACCCGTCCCCTCTCACGGGGTGAGCGGCGGGCCGCGATCCAAGACGCCGTATTACCCGCGAGTCTCGGCACTCGGAGAGATCTCGTCGAACAGGCGGTCCGTGAGCGGCAGCCAGGACATCACGGACCAGAAGCCGGGCATGTTGGCCGCGCCCGTGGGTTCCGGGATGGGACGGAATAGAGACTCGTCCATCCAGCCCGAGGACGCCTTCTACTCGAAGCCGTATGGCGATCTCAAGCCGGCCACACCTCCCATCATGGTCGGCACCGGCCGCCAGGTGTCCTCGGGCAACGACTACGACCTAGGCAGCGCCCCCGGTGCCTACGGCAAGTACCGACGGAATGTGAGCGGCAAGGCCGCCGAGGAGGGTATGGCAGGGAAGCGGTACTCGCGGTACAGCGTGCTGAACGACGATTAAGAGGGCTCAAGATGGAGATGATGTGATGCGAGGAAAGCGAGTATTTGTGTGCTCTGTGGCTGGCTGGGATTTGTCAGGGTTCGAATAACCCTCGGGAAGGAGTTTCTACGGCGTGCTTTAGACGATGATGCATGATGAGTCACGGATGTAATTATAGGATAGGCAAAGGGTTCGGCAAAGTCAATGGAAACTGGTTACTGACTGTATCATTTTGTTCTCTTTGGCATGCGTCAAGGTAGGAGGATTGTTTGAGCTTGATCAAAATAGGCAATCGCTCAGCGTCACAGCTGGGGATATGCGTGAAGACTCGCACACGCTCCTTCTCTGGAATTTCACATAGCCACTCACTTCTGTGTCCGCGCTCGGAGACCATTTTCGCCTACATTCTTTCGCATCTGCCTCGCTATCCTCGACCATATACATATATTTTCGTAGGGCTGCTAGCAAATACATATGACTAGTCGTTTCTTTATAGCAACACACTTAGGTTGAAACGTAATACAATTCTAGAGTTCATGTATCGGCCTGCTATGTTCCTAAACCGGATCAACTCAGTTTGTATCCGCCCTGAATTGTTCAGATCTCATAAATCCGAATTCCAAACCCTTCGTGTGAGCGCGTGTGATTGCACAAGGCAATGGGCCCCAAAGCTGTGGCAATCTACACAGATGTGAAAATCTATGGAACTACAGGACTCACAGTAATAATATGTATCTCCCATTTGGGCGAGACATACGTCACAATGCCACTCGCCAACAACGAAGTCCAAAGGGCATCCAAGCTCCAATCCAGCAGTAGATAGTGGATCTGAAGTCCCATGAAGCCCTCTCAACTTCTCTACAATGTGAGAATGACCCTGTTTCTGAGCCCACCAAAGGGGAGTGCGACCAAAATTGTCTCCTGAGACAACATCAATCCCCGGCAATTCCGCGAGCTGTCGAACGATGTTTTCATAACCATGACGTGCGGCTATAGACATTAGGGTCGACCCATAGTGATCCTGAATGCCAGCCTCTATCCTAGTGTCCGCGCACAAGATAGCCACGAGCTCGCTTTGACCACGCCGGATGGCGTAGAACAAGGCTGTTCGCCCAGCAAAGTCCTTGGCCTGGCCATCAGCCCCGTGTATCAACAACATCCGCGTGATATTCTCATGACCTTCGACAGCCGCCCAGAACAAGGAGGCCCAGCCAAAGCAGGTGTCTGCAATATCAGTCCGAGCACCTTTATCGAGTAGCATCCGTGCTATGCCCTCATGGCCGTTTCTCGCTGCCCAAGATAACGGTGTGTAGCCGTCTTCATCTGACTGGTCGTATTGAGCGCCTTTGTCGAGTAGCATCCGTGCTATGCCCTCATGGCCGTTTCTCGCTGCCATAGATAACGGTGTGTTACCATATTTATCTGACTGGTCGTATTGAGCGCCTTCGTCGAGTAGCATCCGTGCTATGCCCTCATGGCCGTTTCTCGCAGCGCAGTATAGTGCTGTTTGGCCATTTTTGTCAGGAAAATCGACTTGAGCATTTCTATTTAGAAGCGATCGGGCAGTGGCTTCGCGGCCGTAGCGGGCAGCGTAATACAAAGGTGAACGGAGCTGGCTGTCCTTGACATCGGGATCATGGGTTTGCAAAAGTATATCCGTCGTAGTGCTCAACCCGAACAAAGCACTCAGATGAAGTGCTGTCACCTGATACGGAATATCGTCGAATTCATACAAGTTGAAGGGAAATTCCCATGCCTGAACAGAAGCTTGCACATGGTCTGCTCTTCCTAAGAAATCTCGGATTGCTTCAGAGTCTTCTTCAGCGTCTGCGTGAAGGCTCCAGTACTGGCTCGAATACTTGTAAAGTGGGAACTGATCGAGTCGGTCCTCGAGATCTTTCCAATCCTTGCAGCACTCACCCGCGAAACTGTCAAACGACAGGTAAGTGAGACACGTATTCAGAAGCTCGTCTTGCGCGTTCGGGAACCAGAGATGCCCTGTTGCTTCGAAAAATTCTTGTGTCGTATAGTGAACCAGCCTGACAATGTCGCTTTGTTCGTCGACGGTGAGAAGCCCGCAGCAGACTGAGATAGTATCCTGAAGATCAGGCACATTGTCTTCGAAGAACTCCGTCTCGCCGATTTCTGCACCGAGTGCGTGCCGAAGTTCGACTGTTGTCAGCGGCCTTTTTGCATGGACAACCCACATCAAGGCCTGAATAGCAAGTTCCTCTTGCTCTTTGAGCTGGCCGCGAATTCGGTCCATGGTATTGCTATAAGCTTTGGTGTAGGCATCGTCTCCTCCAGTCAGCGAGGCTAACGTCTTTCGAAGATCCCGAGCTGATCTTTTGCCTTTCAGGGAGTCGAGATGAAGTTTTGCGAGCAGGAACCTAAGTCAGGTATGTCAGTACTGTGCTTGGGCAAACCATCAGGCTGCACTCACATCCCATGAACAGCTTTGATAATCCCGTTCGTGATCTCGCTCTGGAGTTCTAGGTTGCGAGATACGAAGCCTGGAAGATCCTGCATATTCCCTTCGACGTATTTCTTAATATCCTCGCCGCTGGCAAGGATCTCTACCGAAGCAAAGTCGGGGAACCTTTGCGTGATGTGCGGCAGTGGACGAGAAGTTACCAATATATTTGCCCCCGCGACATGATTGAAATCAATCAGTTCCGACACAAGTTGCCTTTGGCAGCCATTAGATGATTGACATTCATCAAGTGCATCAACGACAACAAAAACCGTTGAAAAGGAGGCAGTCACCGAACGAAAGGTTCGCAAAGCGTCCTCGAAGGTTGGACGGGTACCGTTCGTCTTGTATCGATCAAACAGTTCAGTGAAACACGTGGGTAATGGGGACATTGCCTGGCCAAGTTGTCTGAGAAGGCTCAAGACAATCTTTTCGAGCAGTTGTTCCTCCTGGCGTCGAAAATCGCAATAGAAGTAACACAATGCGACATCTGTGTTGGCGTAACACCTTTTTTGCAAGCTGTCCACCACAATGGATGATAGCATAGTCTTCCCTGCACCGGGTATTCCATGACAAAACAGTAGTTCTCCCTTGCTGGTGCTCCATTTGGCATATTCGGGTGAATCAAGGAGCCACTGGCCGGTCCCTGCTTGGCGCCGCTTAATCAAATCTGACTGCTGGGTAGCAAAATCGGCCGGCGCCAGCCAGTTGAGAATGGCTTTGTTCTTCTCCTCGTCCTGCCGTTCTACCAGCTTGATTACACCATCTCTGGTATAGCTCGTGATGAATGCATTGAGAGCTGTGACATTCGACGTAACGCGACTTCGCAGATCACGAATCTCGTCGGGTTCCCATTTCACTCGTTGCCAGACCCTTCTCGCCCGCTTTCGGATACCATCTTCTTTCAACTCCAAGGCGGAAAATGTATTCAGTATACGATGGATGTCCTCCAGGGTTCCCCGACAATTGCTGATGACCTCGCCCTGCGATAGTAGAAGTCAACATCTTCTTAATCAGGCCGCGTTGAAATCGCTCTCTACGAATAACCCAACCTAGGACATACGTACGAGGCTCTCTTCCTGGGCTTGCACGAGGTCATGTTCGTCGAGAAATGTGTCTACGTCTTGGAGAACAATGGCTAGATTCCTGACTCTAGGTAAGGACAATAGTTAGTACCATACAGGAGGCTGGCACGAGACACATACTCGGAGCTGATCTGGTGGAATTGATCAGGGGCGCCCGCGAAGTCTTTTCGAACACCGTTGGCAAGCTTGATAACGGCCAGAAAGTCGCCAACACTGAAACCGAAGCTCATCGTGACGTTTTGGCCGACTGAGAACCACAGCGCGGCGCACAGTGATGGAAGAAAATGAAATGCGGCGTAGGCTGCCAGTTGAGTCAGTGATTATCATAGTGAGGCAGGCTGCCGAGGGGCTACCAGGGTGTGTGTACAGCCACTGGCGCAGCAGAGCTGCAGATCACATCTGACGACGTGCATACTTCTCGGGCCAATAGATGATTCTTGTCGAGAAAAGCAAGAAGCGAAGCAAGTCAAAGGTGTGCAGTGTTCATCTAATTCCACACCGACATGACGAGGATTCTAGATGTCCATTCCGCGGCGTACTCCCAGGTTTGAATGATGGCATGCCCCTCTGAATGTTTTCGTGCCCCACCAACAACAGCTTATCAAAGTGTCGTCGTATACCTGAGGTGGTATCTTGTACCCCAGGCACTGTCGTGTTTTATCCCTCCTCTGCGGATCATCCCCTTATTACCGTGAGACGAGTGCATGAATGCATGCCACCCGTCGCTACATCTCACAGATCTCGAAACAAGACTGAGCATTCATGCGATCTATCATCCTGCCATTCATTAGTGCGAGAAGCCTTGGTATCAACCAGGGACATGCTACTATGCTGACAGTACCAATGCAAACAGTGATATAATCGAGGCCACATGGGATTAGCGCCATTCAAAGAAATAAACAAGCTTTCCAGGTATCCTACCCGTAGCAAGTGACTATTATATATATATACATATATGTGTGTGTGTGTCTTCAGCACTACTACTCCGTTGACTCAAACGGCCCAATTTTGTATAGCTTATCGGGCTTACACTTTGTTGGCAGATAAGATTTCTCGGATGGTCCCGAGGAAGACGAAAAGGTTCCCATTACAGGAATTAGAGTACTTAAGTAAGCAATTACTTACCCTGGCGGAACAAGCTCCGCGGCAAAGTGCCATGCCCTACGCGGGACGCCTTACTGTGGTACACACGCCGACACGGGGTGGGCACGTGCCGGGGTCGGTGGGATTTCGTCATTGTCGGCTTGGCAAGCGCAGAGATAGGCGCCCGCTTTAGGGTACGGGGGTGCTACTAGTAGGCTCAGGGACCTCAATGGGGGCCGTTCGGCATTGGGGGCAATAAATAGCAGCGGGATTGGGACCGGACCAGGTGGGCAAACAGCCAATGAGGCGATCTGGCCTGGGCGAGAGACCTGCCAAGGTGCCTGAGGCGACGAGGTCTTGGCCGCGTTTCCGACGTCAAGGCCCACCAGCCCACCAGTCCACCAGTCCAGGGCTGCACGCACGCCCAAATCGGCCTGACACGGACCACGACGAACCAGACAGGCAGACGGGGCAGACAGGGCAGACAGGGCAGACAGGGCAGCGAGCGCAGGACCTGGTTGGACAGGCCAGCCCCCCCAGCAGCCCAGCACTGGGTACTGGCACCCGGCACTGGCAGCCTGCAAGCCTCTCGACTCGGCTTCCCAGTCGGCGCAGGTGCTGCAACCCAAACCGCGCTGTACTGCTGCCCGTTTTTGCGGGCGCGCGCCGTTGCGACTGACTGCCTGACTGACTGACTGACTGACTTACTGGCTGGCTGGCTGCCCATGAGTCCATCCAACTGGAGGTGCAAAATCCCACCTCGACCATCCGTCGCTCTCCCATCCACGCCCGTCGCAACGCATCGCAACACATCGCACCGCCCTGCATCGTAGTCGCCCTTCTCGCCCAGCGTCTGCGCGCCCGCCAAACGTGCCCCCGGTTTGCTGCGCTGCACACGGTCCGACCTTCGCAGGCCGCTGTTGCGATGCTGGCTTCGTCTCGCCGTGGCCGATAACAGTCAGTCTTCTTCCTGGCCGAGTTTCGCCTCGCGCCGGCACGGCCCCAAAACGCACCCCAGAGCAGAGGGGCCTACTTCGCCATACGTCACAACCGGAACCCGGTGAACATCTATCTGTCAGAGAGCACTCTCTGCACCTGCCTGCCGTCGGTGCGCCTCGTGCCAAAAGGAAAGCGTCTTGCTAGAAACTAGTCCACAGCCCACCTGCGAGCCCATTTTGATCGTCAGCCCGTCTGCCCAGGTGGTGTCTCCCATCCCATTATCCGTAACCCCCTCTGCTGGCGAGCGAGCACCCGAGCCCCGAGCCGCGCAGCACCACACAACACAGCACAGCACAGCACAGCACAGTCCAGCACAGTCCAGCCCAGCCGGTCACGCAGCCACTGGACGACTTGGACGACAATTGAATTGCGAACAGGGTCCGGGTCCAGGTCCTGGGTCCCAAGGTTCCAGCCTAGCATCGGCGCTCACGGACGACAGATCCACCGCCCACCCTGCCAGCCTGCCCGACTACCCTTCAACCCGCGCGCCGCTCGCTCATCATTGATCCAGGCTCAGCAACTCAGGGCCCCCCCCATCCCCCATTAGCTCGTCACACCGTCTCGACCCGCAGCCGCGCAGCGCATACTTTGCATAATTTGCGATCCAACTCAATTCTGACCTCATCCACCTCCCCCATCCTTCCGTCCCGTCGCGTGCGCGCCCGTCGTAAGCGCGCCGAATCCTCGATAAGCTGGCGGCGCTCACCGTCCTCGCCCACTCCGACACCGAACTGTCGCTCCAGCAGCACCTCGACCTCGCCCCCGAGCTGCTGCAGTACAACGCCCGCCACCGCCTGGCCGACGACCTCGAGCCCGACGACCCGTTGACGATGGCGGCACAGCCCGTGCCTCATCCGTCGACGGACAAGAAGCGCGTCAAGGTCTACGAGCTGCGCAACAATGACTGGTTCGACCGCGGCACCGGCTTCTGCACCGCCGGCCTCCAGGTCACCGAGGATGGCCAGCGCGAGCCCAGGGTCATCGTCGAGTCCGAGGACCAGCCCGATCGCATCCTGCTCGAGACCAGAGTCGCCAAGGGCGACTCCTTCCACAAGCAGCAGGGTATGTCCCACCCATCATCCCATCATCCCACCATCCCGCCATCCCATCACCTCATCTCCACCTTCGCCTGTCACCACACCTTCCGCGCGCGCACTTGTACTGACCTCGAGCGCGACAGAGACCTTGATCGTCTGGACAGAGCCGAGCAATGGCGTCGACATGGCCCTCAGCTTCCAGGAGGCCGACGGCTGCACCATGATATGGTACGGGTCAGATCGTGGCTACGCGCGCAGACCTCCCCGCTGACAGATCCGCAGGCGCTTCATCAACGGTATCCAGACGCCATTTCGTGCTAACGGCCAGGGCGACGACAGCCTCTCCGATGATATGGCCATGGACGTGCCTGCGGCCATCTCCCTCCCGCCCGTCGCCATAGGGAGCCTCGCCGAGATCGAGGGCCAGCTACGCATGATGAGCAGCACCGGCAGTGGACGTGACGCGCTCACCAAGTATGTCATTAGCGAGCGCATGATCGAAAAGCTCTGCCCACTGGTTTCGACGGCAGAGGACCTCGAGAGCCTCAATGACCTCCATCGATTATGCAACATCATGAAGATCATAATCCTCCTCAACGACACAAGCATCATCGAGAACGCCGTCTCCGACGAGTGCGTCATCGGCGTAGTCGGCGCCTTGGAGTATGACCCAGACTTCCCAAGCCACAAGGCGAATCACCGCCAATGGCTAGAGGACACGAGCCGGTATAAGGAAGTCGTTCGCATCGAAGATGCACAAATCCTCAGAAAGGTCCACCAGACCTACCGCCTGCAATATCTCAAAGATGTCGTATTAGCGCGTATTCTTGACGATAACACCTTCTCAGTACTCAATTCTTTGATATTCTTTAACCAGGTGGATATTGTGCAGCACCTACAGGCCAACGCCGCTTTTCTGATCGAGTTGTTTGACGTATTCAAATACCCCGGCCAGGACCCGAAGCGCAAGAAGGAGGCCGTCTTGTTCATCCAGCAATGCTGCACCATTGCCAAAAACCTCCAGCCTCCTGCGCGACAGACGCTCTACAACAACTTCATTGTCCATGGCCTTTTGCAGGTGATTAACTTTGGCCTGCGCCATAACGACGTCGCTGTTCGGATCGGCGCTACCGATATTATGGTCTGTATGATCGACCATGATCCTCAGATGATCCGCCAGACAATATACAGGCAGATAAACGAGAAGCAGACACCGCTCACCGACTCCCTCATCGATCTACTTCTCGTCGAAGTCGACCTAGGCGTCAAGTCCCAGATATCTGATGCTCTGAAAGTGCTATTAGATCAGGGGCCGCCGCCCCAGGACCAGGCCTTCGCCAAGGCCAATGGAGAATACGCCGCGCGTGTACAAGCCCGACAGGCCGCCGTGGACCCTCAGCAAGAGCGATTCTTGGAACTTTTCTACGAGTTCTCGGCCGCCAAGCTGTTCCAACCCCTAATGGCACTCAAGGATCGGACGAGCATGGACTTTTCCGTCCAGCAAGCTTCCATGTTCACCTATTTGATCGAGATACTCTGCTTCTTCATCCGGCAGCATCATTACCGCTGCAAGCAGTTTGTCATGACCAATGAGATTGTGCTGCGCATAGCACAGCTTCTGGGGTCTCAAGAGAAGTTCCTGAAACTTGGTACGTGCTCCAGGCTGAATATGTGACACATAAACTGACATGAAATAGTCGCGATCAGGTTTTTACGCCAGGTCTTGGCGCTGCCGGATGAGCAATGGGTGCAACATGTAGTAAAGCAGAATGTCATTGGTTCGATACTGGACGTTCTGATCGGATCCATGCCTAGAGACAATCTGGTGACCTCTGCGTGCCTCGAAGTCTTTGAACATATCAAGAAAGAAGGCGTCAAAGAAATCTTCAAGCATATTGTTGAGGACTGTCACGAACAGCTTGACAAATTGGCCTATGTCCAGTTGTTCCAACACATCAGGGCCCGGTACGACCAGACTAGAGGCTTCACTATAAACATGGACTTTTTCATGGAGGGAGAGGACGATGTAGCCCGGAGACGGAACACGATCAATCCACGGAATGGCGCCCTCATGGAGCACATCTCGATGGATCCTGCAGAGGAAGAATACTGGAATACCTCTGACGACGAAGAGGATATGCAGAACAAGGCCGGTCCAGCCTCTGCAAACGGGTCGTCGCCGGCTACAAAACTGGTTGACTATGCATCAGATGAGGACGTTGACGAGAGCATCGAGGGGGCCGAGGTTGGCGCCGACGCGCAACCCGTCGAAGGCGGCGTGGAGGAATCTGAACCTAAGACGGAGTCAAGTCCAGTCTCTGCACCGCCGGAGCGCCTGTCCGAAAAACGTCGGAGGGAAGAGGATGAAGAGGATGAACTCGGCAAACTCGTCTCACACAAACGACGCAACAGCACATCGGCAAGTTCGAATGCCTCGAGTACATCGGGCATTCTCAAGAAAAAGAAAAGTATTACTCACTCGAGAGATGCTGGAGGTGGCGTACCAAAGAAGATCTCTATTAGTTTGTCACCTGCCGTTAAAGCGGGCAGTGGGTCGCCAGGGCAAGAGGACGAGGTGTGACACGCTCAGGAGTTTAGTTTCATACCGGTATTCGTGCACCTACGACGGCATCAATCTTGGTTTCGGCAGATATCAATAACTCAGGGATCGGACGGACGGCGTTTTACGTGAGGGGACTTTTCAGTTTGATTCGCAAGGAATAGAGCCTTAGAGAGGCCTAGAAAGGCAGCCGGGAGGATGTTGTGTTGCCAATGCGAGCAACCATTCTAGCAATACGGTTTCGCGAAACTACCCAAGACAATCGCCTGCATTGGACCGGCGAGTCAACTGTACCATAGTCCGCTGTTGATCCACCCGCTCACAAGAGGTCACTACGTGACCTTGTGAGGCAGGGGTTTCGAAGACCTGAAAATCAATCAGACAGCTTCACGAACACATTGCCGTTCCATGCCTCGACGGGAAGTCTCTGTATCCTAAGGGGCCCAGGATTTGGTGACTCGCGACCAATTGTACCGCCGATTTTGGTGGTTCACTATCACGGCCACGCATATGCAAGTGGTAAGATGTGTCGGACAACTACTAAAGCCGCAACCATCATCATGCCACGTACCTAGCTATCTAGGTACTTAGCTGCGTATTTGAAATTAGGTCCGTGGCCCTCAAGGAATGGCTCGCGTCTGCACAGGTTTTGGAATAATTGCCCCAAGCTTAGCCTTCCGATACTCTGGATTAATACGAGTTGTAACAAGCGTACCATCCTGACACCTGGTGGGTACGGAATAGTGGCAGCCCGGATGCACCCAAGGAGACGCGTCAGGCTGGGATTTCTAGCCTCGTGGATGCCTATCACACCGAAGACACGCGCAGTTCACAGGAACGTTATCATACCGAGGATATTCCTGACGTGACTTCATGAGTAAACGAGGGTTTGGGTTGGAGTAACTCTGTGTTAGCGGTCAACAGCAGCATGTGCACTCCGCCAAGGCACCGGCTTATCGAACTGGCTGAGTTACCCCGATGAGGTCGGCCGACAGTCGCTATGCCTCAGGCCTCTACTCTGATACAACTGGAGGATACGGAGCATCGTTCCAAAGAAATCTACAACTTGGTCACATAATAGAGAAGACTTTCAATGGAGTCGGGCGATCTGTCTCCATCTCGATGCCCCAAACTTTAAGCCCTGAACCCCCAGTTGAGAATCCGTGACGACCTTGTCAACGAAACGGACAAATGCAATGACTGTCGCTGCTGATTCTATGGGGCGTTGACCTACACGTAGTCGTAGTTGTTAAATGCCATCCATGGCGTCGGCCTTTAGTTGGCAGTGATCGGCTCTCGCCAGAATGCCATGGTAGTTGCTAACGTCGTATGATTATTGAGCAGGTAGACCATGACTGAGCACCGATCTCTGTCCCGATAGTAATTATTTCTTAGATACATGAAGAAATGTTTCAATGGTATAGAACCCAAAACAAAAGCAAACTATCCCAGCCCTCTGAAAAAGTTATGCTACATGACGAAGAAGGAACTCATAAGCCTCACGAACCACCTCCTTGGATCTCTCATCGCGCTCAAAGGATCGATACAGGTCGAAAAGATGCACAGCGCCATCCAGAATTCGAATCTTTGCACCCACATTCTGCTGCCGTAGGGCGTCATACGTCCTCAGAGATTGTTGTCATGGGATCAAATCATCTTTTGTGTCATGCACAAAGAACGTTGGGACGTGATACGCCCCCCGTTGAACTTGGGTCAACGGGCTCACGGCTTGAAACCGTTGATGGCTCGGGTCGGCCAACGCTTGAGAGGATCCGTACCATCGGCGCCAACCCAGCCATGATGGCCACTCAATCCATTGAGCAAGACCTGGAAACACCGACCGGTCTAGTTCATGTGCGGCGTGATACGTGACCGAGGATCCGTCGGGCTCATCCACCCGCCCAGTGCTCGCTTCGTGGATGGGGGGTTGTACGCGGTTATTGGCCGGTCGTAGAGTCCTTCCAATAGGTTATATTGCAGCCTGGTATCGACTTCGTGACTAAATGGGAGATTGGGCCGTCTGCAAAAGGGGCCCTCATAGTCCGTGGGGCAGTACAAGGCCAGTATTGCTTCAGGAGGTTGGATACCCCGTGAAGGTGCAGTGAAGCCCAGCGTGAGCGCAAGGTGTCCCCCGGTAGACCAGCCGACAGCGAAAACCCGTGTACCATCGGCGCGGATGCCGGCGCGTCGGAGTGATAGTGTAGGGAGAACACTCCGCGCCCACGCGAGTGCATCACAGACATCTTGCATGGGACCGTCAAGAAGAGTGGTTTCTGGGAACAGGCGATAGTCGACGCTGACTGGCAGGAAACGGGCCGCAAGGAGCATCCGGGCCTGGGACGGACAGATATCTTTACGCAAAAGCATGACATGGCCACCCTCGTGAATCGTCGGAGCTAAGAAAGGAGAGACTGATGTATGTAGATGCCGAGTTGATTATAAGGCAGCAAGGCTAGAGCTCACCCACCGGGCGGGCTTGATCGCCGCAGTCTTGCTCCTCTGGGTAGTAGATGTTGAGCTCAAGGGCCACGCCGCCGACGCGTTTCATCGTGACCGTCTCCATCGTGATAGGATTGACAACAGCGCTGGGCGAAGCTGTGATGACACGCAAGATGTTAGACTCCTCTGAAGTGCCGTAAGTCCAGTCGATCCAGCGGTACCCAGACCGTGACAAACACGTTCGCCAAAGGGTCTCGCTGGCTTAAGCGTGCTGGCGACCATCCTCAAACAACCACCACCCTTCCAACAAGTCGAAGACGAGATCACACCAAGGAAGGTTGCGGGTAAGCTCGACAAGACAGAGCACGCCGCCTGGACGTAGGCACTTGTTAATGTTGGTGCAGGTTTGAGTTAGGTCTCTCGTGGCATGCATGCAGTTGGTTGATATCACGATGCCAAACTTATTCAGAAACTGAGCTGCGGGTTCTTCTTCAATGTCCAAGACTGAATATTGCATGAAGTCGTGTTGGGCGAACTTCTGGCGTGCTGCGACCACAAATAATGCAGAAAGGTCTGTGAAAGTATACTGGAAACTCTGCTCGGTGGCGGCAAGACTTTCAACCAGACACTTCGCAGTCCTATCAGTACCCGCGACACGCTCCAGGATACGAATTGGTCGACTTTCAGAGAACGTATTGATCACTTTTACCAGGTACCGCGCCAGAGTTATCGTTCCGGCCCTGAACATGGGTGCGTGCGTGTAGACATTCTCCATTAGTGTGCGTGCCTTGGCTGTCCCGAAGAGGATGGGTAAAGGGTCGCTACGGCCGGTGAGGGAGTCGGCTAGCTGTGCTCCTGTAGATGCCAGGAGATTGTTTTCGAAAGCATTCCGTGGAAAGTTGGCGATGATGGCTCAGTGTAGCTTATCTGATCCGGTAGAAGATACCGGGATAAGAGTGCGCACAAAATTACCAGCTACATCTTGCTTTATGAGATTGTTATGTTCCAGAATCTGGTACATGCGATACTTGACCTTAATATGCTTGCTTAGCGCGGGGATATCTATGATGTGGACTCCTTCGTGAAGTCGAGCTTGCGAACGCCCCATATTATGAAAGGCCTCGACAATATACGCGATGGCAAGCTCCATCTGCGCAGGATATACCCTTTCGCAGAAGTTTGTCAATGCCTGCCATGGCGCGAAATGCCGTTCCATGGAAATAAGATGGCAAAGCAAGACAGTTGGAAGGTCTTGCTACCTCTTTTGCACAGGTCCAAGTATTCCTAGCGAACTTGGCCGCGATATCTGTAGCCACTATACCCAGCGAGACATCACTGACTGATCTCGGTATCGATTCCTTACTGGCGATACAGTTATTGAGCGAGATCAAGAAGATTTTTGGCGTCAATATTCTGACCGAAGAGTTTCAAGGATTCCAAGACTTCTTTCAATTGTCACGCGTGTCCAGGCATCGTTTATGCTTTCAGCTGGCAGTCTCACTCCACCGCTCTCACAAGATAAAAGGGAGCAAGTCAATGGACAAGAGGCAGATCCATCTTTAAAGGTCGAAACCACAGGTAGCATTGCAACGATTGCAAGCGGAATATCGACATTGTACATGGCTCTCTGTGATTAGTATGGACGACATGGCCTCTTTCTTTGGAAAGTTCCCTCGCATAATGTCAGCAGTGTACTTGGATACTGAAGAGCCGCGCAACTTCCGTGATTAGAAGCTTTCAGAAGACATCACGGTTCTCCCTCAGTCGCTGCCGCTGACAGAACCCACCCCAGCAACATATTTGATCGTCAAAGGTCGTCTATTTCGCGTGTTGGGCCGCATTACCGATTTAAACTGTACCCCAAACACTACTTCGTATGATACTGTCCTTGAAATCGACCACGCCGTCTTCGAGGCATACCAGAATTTCCCGCAACATATGAAGGTGGTGCTTGTCGGCGACTCTGGCAGCCACGTCCAAAAAACGTTCAACTTCTCGAATGTTAGTCTGCTAGGCATGTCCTACAAGGACATGTGCACACTACATCGCCAATTTTTAGTCGAGGCAACGGACGATGACCGTTTTAGATTTTCTCAAGATCGATGTATACCGTCTGCATTAGCGATGTTAAGCTATCAACACGGTCTCGAGCCATCATTCGAAGTATTCTCAGAAACGTGGCAGATGCTGACTCTTGCGGCAATGATTTTGCCTTTAGAGCTTGAACTGAGGCGAAAGACAACGAGAATTGCGGAGTCTGCGCAAAGCGTCGATCTTCTGCAGGCTCTGGAGAAGTCTTGCAACCGTTGGGCGGAAGCGGCACTTGTTTGCGATGAAGCGCGCAAGCCTTGTGATTTCCTCGTGGGTATGCTCGCGGCTAACCGCAATGCAATTAGTGATGGGTTAGAAACTCTCCAGGAGTTATCTCCGCGAACAATGTCTCAAACCTCTTTGTTCAATCCGCAGAATAACGAATTCGAGGGTGGGTTCTTGAGTGACAAGGATCCAATCGAAATTGATCTTGATTGGGTATGTCTGTGCTTGACTGTTCTCACTAGGTTGCCTACCAACTGACACAGGCTACATGGGATTATTTTATTAAAGAAACTAACCATGAAGCTGGTCCTATCTATTAAACAGCCCATATTTTGGAATGTGCCAGCAAAGCTTCGTCAAAGCGTCTTACAAGATAACCTATCTAACCATTTATTGTTCGCTGGAATCTTGCTGGACCCCGTTGCTTCATGTTCATCCTCAGTCTTACTGTCTATTAGAATGAGACAAAACCTAGACGTAGCGGTGGACCATAATTGAGCTGAATTAGTATCTTTTTGGAATGCCTGCCCTAACCATTTGACATCCTATACTCATTGGAACAAGTTTTGAAGATGGGTTCCTAGAATGTGCTCTACTTACCTCAGTGGTGCACTAGCAAAAACGCAAGTTGGAGCTCTTCCGTACGGCCGCAAGAAACCCTATCCACAGCAATATGAAAAAGACGTCATTGTTGGCCATGCTACCTTGACCAGGTAATGTCCTACCCGTCCGAAGACCGTCGCGCGCAGCAAGAGGGGGTGGGTCCCAGAGCGCGCCGAGAGCAGCTCTAATATAGGAAACGCATGCTTATCTACCAAACTTTCCACCACGAACATTCATCTATGTTTTAGAAAGGACCAAGGTTGCTTATCGAGCTTATGGGCAGGCCATGAGTTCGCAGTAAAACGCGACATAAATCAGCCAGCTAAAGAGGCTGTTCACACATTCCGGACAGGCTAGGTATGAGCAGGCAAGATAGACGGAACCAACTATTTGGGGGGTATACATAAAGATGACGTAGTCTGTATTCGGTTCTGGAAGTTCTCGTGAGCCAGTCACTCTACCTCGAACACGAATGATTAAGTAGACTCAACGACCGTAACCCAATAGTCCACTCCACCCACATTGCTCGCTCTTCTTGTGAGGCTCCAATGTGAGCGGACTATGGAGTTGGAGCCGGCTATGTACTTTAGCGAGGGGACATTGGGGATTGTCAGAAGCCCCCAACACCACCTCCCACACCACGTGGCCCAATTTGGCAGTTCGGGGACTCGTTATCGGCTCCACAGTGTAGGCGCTACGAGGCCATGCCACACCTTCCACAAACGTCGGAAGCCGTTTGAGGCCCAGAGCTGCAGGGCCAATCAAGGCTGCCGCTATAGCTGCACCGTTGTTAGTACAGAAATGCATCGCGAATCTTGCCAAACCTCCGTCGAATTGTGTAAGCTGCCGACATCGCGACTCCACAATTCGCTATGAAACCGACCGGGGACAGCTTCGGCATTGACACATGACAATGGGCCCTACGTGTGCTACCCCATAACTCTGCCTTGGAGATGTTGACATTTTATGTTTCCTATACCTGCACTGCCGTCGCTGTCAATGCTCGCTTAGCTCAAATTTCGCACAATACTATAATGGCAGTTGAGGTCGAAGATTTAATCATACAGCCCTTCCGGGAACTCATTGAGCGTGGAAATGAGGCCATTGCCAATGCCGAGACAGCACAAGATGTCGACCCAGCGCTATGCCAGGCAATGCTGAAAGCGGGTCGTGCAGTCATTCGGGAGGGCGAGAGAGCGTTGCAGAGAGTACAGCCCTTGATACTCGGTCGCCTAGAGAAGCATGGTGATGCTTTGAGGGAAGCAATACGACAGAATGGTAATCCACTTTCCCTCGAGGTTGATGCGCACGTCCACAGTTCGCTGACTGGCCTCCAGATGGAATCTTTGAAAGCCAAAGGCAGCTAGAAGATGTTTTATATGACCTTGATGACTATATCCAGCCGGACACCTTCGATGCCACGAAATTCGCTCTAGCCCAGACGGCTTCAAAGGCATTTGCCTTAAGTGCTTTAGAGACAATCAAGAGATTGCGTGTTGATGACGAGGCGCCGGTATCCCCTGCCTACTCTGCGTCGCGGTTTCCACCCTTACCGCCACTGCCACAAGGTCGAGTCGAGCCACTCTCAATACCAAGACCGTCAACTCGAACGGAGCATCGTGCAGATACTCATCTCTTGGGTCAAAATGCGCGAACTACTCCACACATTGGGCGTGCATTGTCCAGCAGTGTCAGGAGTTCTCCAGGAGAAGCAAATCTGCTGCGGAGAATGAGCACGAGGAAATCACAAAAGTCTCTGGCACCTTCAACGAGTAGTTCAGATAGCCAGTACTCTCAACCAAGTTTCCAATGGAGTCAACCGGAGCGTGCTACCAGAGGATATCATACCCATCATCCTTCTGACTACTCGGAGTTGCTGGGGATCGAGATTGAGAATCTTCTGAGTGAGCCAAGTAGCCCAAGACTTCTTGAGCCCCACTGCACAACAGGATCCGACTCAAAGACACCTTGGACTACAGCATGGATTAATGACCAAGCCGTGTCTGCAGACAACCAAATCCGCCGAGAGGCTCTTTCAGTGGACGCCGCGGCTGGACAAGGAAGTGCGGACGGCCATGAATCACCAACTACAACCAGATTCACTTTCGAAAGCACTAGGAGATATCAGGAGACGATCCCAGAGAACTCTACGACAGACCACGTGACAGAAGTCGTCGATGACATGTCTCCAGTAACGAAATTTACCCATGACAGGATGCGAAGACATTCACACTCTGTCTTCGACCATAATGGTCTTAGTCGAAATGGAAAGCCAATGACATCAAGTCCCATTGACCAGGTTTCCGGCGTGAAGCAGCATCCATTATTGGCTACCAATGCGCAAAGACGAACGTCACTCGACCATACACCTATCAGTATCCCTTATGCTTCTACTGTGGAAGATAAACCGCCTGCGTTTGTCACACATTTCTTAGGTCATCGACATACAAAGTCTACAGACGCTGCTATCAGTACGCAGGTCGTAGCTTCACCACCGCGTCCAGCACAACACCCTAAGCCCATCTGGTACACTCGGGAGGAGAAGTGTTGGATAGAAGATGACAGCACTTTTGAGCAGTTGGATGGCTTCTGCGAGGGTGCCTTGGCATTCAGGGATGGTCGCATCGAGGAAGCAACGAAGACCACCGTTATATTAGACGCTGGACCGAGCGGTATCAATGGTTGCCATGATACCAGAACCGGAGCCGCGCTTTCAATGGATGCGATGGACTACGTTCCACTGGTAAGTGATACGAGCAAGACGGGCTTGTCCCTGAATCTCCCTAGGGTAAAACATATACCGATAGGCATGTATGGCTAATTCTAGCGACCAGAATGCGCAGAAACCGGTTATGCAATGCAGCAACTGCAAATTTCATCAACCACTTCTCGACTTCAAGAGGGATTGTAAAAGTGATCGTGAGTAGCGCACTCGCCATGATCTGCATCCGATGCTAACCGAATCGACTGTAGCTAAGGCCCGTTCCTCAATGGAAGGGGTGTCTTTTCGCATCCGATTCCTATACAAGTCCCACCTGTCAGTTGGAGGCAAATCCTCACCCTTGTACGGCTGCATTTTTTGTACCCATCTAGGTCATACACCACGCGAGGGAGATGCCACTGTTTTCGCGTCACAGGAACAACTATTTCGGCACTTGGCGCAGCATCCACAGCCCCTTCCAGAAGTACCAGGTGTCACCGTTCTGTATGGCAAGCTTGAAGATGGAGATAGGTATGCAAATTCGTACGACATTCACCTTCCAGAGCCACCTCGTGCCGGTTCCATGACCTCGGAGCCAAGCCTACTTTCCAAGCGACCCACAGCTATCGCTGTAAAGAGTCATACCCAGAAACCTTTTGAGAAGCCTATGAAAGACCCGAGCGGACGGAAAGATGTGCTGCAGTTTCTTGTGGGAGCTAGGATTATCGGCGTCGAGTTTCCGAACGAATGGGGCGGCAAGTGGTGTCTCGGTTGGCATGATGGTGTCCGCGGCTCATTCCCAGCCAAGCTCGTAACTCTGGAAGAGCCACCTAAGAGTGACATACGACTCCCTGGAACGAACAATGACGGCGTTATTGTGACGTCTAGGTGGAAATGGGAGGCCAAGCACCCAAGTGCTGGCTGGCTAACATTTGACAAGAACACGGTCCTGACCAATGTAAGCTGTAAGTAACGCAAGAACGACGAGCTGAAAGCCAATAGCTGACATGGGGCAGGGCTGAGTCACGACTCATGGTGTTGGTCTGGGACGACCAAAGATGGGAGGACTGGGTTCTTCCCATCTTCACATATTAAGCCTGACTCGATCAGGGACCCTCCAGGTTCCGTTGGGGCTTTCGGCGCCACCACAAAGAAAGACTCGCGAAGGCTATTCAAGATACGGCACTCCAAGAGCATCTCGTCTTCTGGCAGTAGCTTCGAATTACGTTAGAGGCTATAGTTGGTATGGAGGCCACAGAGAGTGATTGTTCACACCGCTCGATCCTTCCAAGCGTTGTGCACTACAGTTTCCTTTGTGGCTGGGTCTGGCGAACTTCGGTACTACTGGCGAATGTTGGATATCTAAGGATTATGCGATCATCTGCCCTGAGGTTACAGGTGAGATATGAAATACTTAGTACTAGTGTTTTAAGATACCCTTTTCATATATATACTGTACATATGATGCCGCCGATCGTTATCACATGTTATCATGGCCAGCAACCTTCCATCTGCGATAGCAAAGAATCATGGAGGTCTCGGGCGAATATATTCCCTACTGCAGGCGACAGTTGTGGTTGTAGGCATGAATTTAAGTTGTTGGCCAGACAAATGAGCAGGCAAGCAGGGCCGACTCTGGGGATCGATGTGATGCACAGTAGAAGTATTCGTATTTCAGTCTCAACCAAGATCCATGTGTCGCTACGGGGGATGTGTTATGTCTTCAATGTAGCGTGGTAAATGTGTTAGGCTATATATTAGGGCAGGAGTCTGTGCTCCTAACCGTGTCAGGGCGGTGTCATTGACGTCACTCGGCGCTGTAGCTCTACCAGACCTAGGTACCTCGTCCGCTAATTCGCTGTGCAGCGCAGCCTTTTGTGCATCACTCGACAAGTAGAACCTCATGACACAGATCATTACGCGCAGTTTTAGATCAGCGCAGTGGTCTATGAGCGTAATCCGACCCCCATTTCTGGTTCACGCATTGCTACATAGAAAGATCTCATCTTCCTTGAGTACTCGGAGCCCAGTCAGGACGATGAAAAGGGGCGCACCATCAAACCCCAAAACACCAAAGGCCAAGAAAGCTCGCGCAGAAGTTCCCGAATATCACTTAACCCCTTCTGTGCGAGACGAACACGGAACAGCGATATGGCCGGCCCCTGAAGACGCCATCACAAAAGCTAGGGACTTCATTCGAGAATGGTACGGAATTCATGATGCTAACTTGTACGTAAGCACCTGGCGCTGTCAACTGACATTCAAAATCCAGTGCTGCGGCTGGAAAGAAGACTCTCATAGTCCCTGATAAAGATGCAGATGGTCTGACCTCAGGTGCTATTCTGCAAAAGACCCTCATCTGGCTTGGTCTTGATCCGAAACTCATAGCAGCGCATCTTCTGATGAAAGGCGCCAGTGTTCACGATCAAAGCCAGAGGAAATCCATGGCTGCCCATGAGCCAGCTTATATCATTGTCTTGGATCAGGGGTCACGAAAGTCGCCACCGCTCATTGAAGGATCTCATAAGGCCCTGGTTATCGACCATCACCACGCCTTGGACGAGGATTTCCCTGCAGGCGCTGAACATGTTACGGCTTGCAATTCTCCGCCAGTGGCTACGAGTTCCTTGCTTACATACCACATATGCTGCGGGCTGCACGACGATGTCCGCAGCTCCTGTGACTGGTTATGTGTCATGGGGACTCATGGAGATCTCGGAAATACGCTCAAGTGGGAACCGCCTTTCCCGGACATGAAACCAACGTTCAAGGCATACACTAAGAAAGCCTTGAATGATGCAGTGTCTCTCATCAATGCTCCCCGCCGAACAGCATCCTATGATGTGCCAGCAGCGTGGAGAGCTCTCACGGCGGCGCAGGCCCCGGCGGACCTCTTGAAGAACCAGGACCTCCTCGCTGCTCGGGCTGAAGTCAATACAGAAGTCGAACGATGCACTCACACGGCCCCCAAGTTCTCCGGAGATGCGAGGATAGCCATATTCCGGATCAACTCGGCGGCTCAGGTGCACCCTGTGATAGCAACACGGTGGGCAGGCCACCTACAGTCACCCAAATTGGAGGTTATCCTTGTGGCTAACGAAGGCTATCTCCCGGGTATGGTCAACTTCTCGTGTCGCATACCGCGGAGTGCTAGGACTCGTGATCCTCCTGTTAACATCATCGAGGTTCTGAAAAGCATTGCCGACAAGGCTCCCGACCCCACGCTGCGCGCGAGGCTGGGCGAATCATTTGCTCGAGGGCACAAGGAAGCCAGCGGCGGTATAGTCCCAAAAGCAGAGTTTGAAGAATTGATGAGCATCCTTGAAATTGGGAAGAAGCCTGATGGGAACAGTCCTAATAAGAAAGGGGGGAAAGACACTGCTGCGAAGCAATCAAATACCTTGATGAACTACTTCGTCAAGACTTGAATAGGACATCACCATGATCAGCTCTCGGAGCTCGGAACTAGCAACATCGAAGAAGCAGCCGCAATTGAGCTCTAGTGATATGCTGCTGGTTAATGACACGATGTAACTTCCCCGTTTCGTTTCTTGCGTTATCTTCATAGCGAGTTACGGTCTCTCAAGACAGCGACTTGCGGTGGTCCATTAGGCAGTGGCAGGTCCGAACTCCGAGCCCCGCCAAATCGCAGGAATGATCCACGCTAATCTTGCAAGGATGTACTGGCTGTGCCACCCGGCCGCGCGGGATACATAAGCTGCCGCACACGCGCTCGCTCACCATGGAATGTTCACAAAGTGAGAGTGCTATCCCCATTTGCAGCCATGGATGAGAAGCATCTTCCTAATACCGAGGGTCCAAGGAGGCCCACTAGCAAGCCACGGAGCTTCTGGAAATATTTCACCGCTGGCGCCTTGTTCTGGTTCGCCGTTTGGAAACTTACCTCGCACGTTTCATGGCGTTCGCATTTGTGCCATCACGATGGGCTGGTCAGATACTCAGGCGAGAGTATCAGCTGGAAGGCCTGTGGCGATTTGAATGGCAGGGAACTTGAGTGCAGCGAGCTCGAAGTGCCCATGGATCAGTTCAACCCCGAGAACTCGGGCAACAAGACTTTTACTCTCCCTCTCATCAGGCTGAGGGGCAAGGATGCGACTCAAAATATTCTTCTGAACCCCGGCGGCCCGGGAGGGTCGGGTATCGAATTTCTTTTCCGACGGGGAGAAAGTTTGAATGCCATCGTTGGAGAAGGGTTTCACCTGTTATCATTTGACCCCAGGGGCGTCAATGGTAGCAAGCCGCTTGCATCTTGTTACCCGGATAAGGAGGCAAAGCGTGATCTCAGTGCCGTACGGTCCGACAAAGTCATCGAGGACAGCGCCGAGGCCTTTGCCTGGTCTCAAAACTACGTCAAAGCATGCCAGGAAACCATGGGCGAACATGGGAAGTACATCAACACCCCACAAACTGCTGCCGACATGAACAGTATCCTCGATGCCGTCGGACAACAAGACATGATATACTGGGGCTTCAGTTATGGAACAATCCTGGGCCAAACGTATGCGAGCCTTTTCCCCGAAAGATCCGAGCGTGTCATCATTGATGGAGTTGCCAACAACTTCGACTGGTTCGAGAACAATTTCGACCTCGAGGCGCTAGCCGACACTGAGAATGTATTACTTGGGTTCTTCGATGAATGCATCAAAGCTGGCAAGAACTGCACCCTATCCTCACTTGCCAAATCCAAGGAATCACTTCGAGATAAAGTACTGTCGTCAGTCGACAAACTCTCAGAGCCCGTAAGTGTGTACGTGAACAACACAGTGTATGGGCTTTTGAATCGGGAGAAAGTCTTATTTAACGGAATTTTCCCCGCATTATACAAGCCGACGTTATGGTACGAGCTTGCAGACCGGCTTGAAAAGCTGATTAATGGCAATGCAACTGAGGCGTTCTTGTCCTATGCTCAAGGTCCGGCTTGGGGCCAACTGGGGGATGCCCTCATGTTCATAACCATGAACGACGGTACCGCTGGCCCGGAGCACTGGCCGAAGGACCGGGAAACCATGCTGGACAACCTGGTACCTTATATGAACCAAAGTATGTTTTCTCCCTCGATGAATGGCGAGTATTACATCAAGCAGCATTGGAGTATTCCGAAGACACACACCTTTGTTCAGAAGATGGGCGTCAAAACGGCACACCCTCTGCTCATTCTCTCCACCACATACGATCCTGTGTGCCCCCTTCTGTCTGCACGATCGGCCAATGCAGCCTTCGAGGGCTCACAGATCATCGAGGTTCGAGGGTATGGGCATTGCAGCATTTCCGTACCATCTGCCTGCCTCGCCAAGCACGTGAGGGAGTTTCTGTACAATGGGACGGTTCCCGCCAACTACACACAGTGTGACGCGGATGGACCGTACTTCATCAAGCCGGAGGAAGATGGGAAGATATCAGCCATGATGCACTTCGATGATCCTGAGGAACAGCGCATTCACCGTGCGCAGCTGGAGATCGCTCAGGATCCTACTTGGCCATTGTGGTAGAACTCTCTACTATGGATAGTCTTCAGGTCCAGTTCAAGCCAGTTATGCAGCGTCCCAATGGATCCAATTCTCGGTTACCATAGCCGTTGTCAATGATATGCATGTGTGTCTGCCTTACCGACGTGTGTCGCTGTGCCAGGTAGGTTGACCACTCCACCCTCCGGCGATGGGTTCAGCCTAAATGGAGCCAGAAACCATCCTTGGACCCCAATCACGGCCCGTATTCCGCATGCAACCAATTCCTTTCCTTCCGCAACTAGCAGCGAAGCCGCAATACTCAACGCAATCCTGATCACGTTTACCCCTTGCACGCTACGGACCGATCTAGTCCGCGGTTTATATGGGCGGCTGAATGCCATTCTAGAAGCTGACCTAGGCAAGAACAAGAATCTAGGAAAATGCCATCTTGAGCTTCTCTCACGCCTGTGACACTCGTTCGTGGAGTTTACCATCTATCAAATTTTGAAAGCATCAAACAAAGATGTATACTCTTCGTCTGGCAGTACTGGCATGGTTCACGTGCATCGCCGCTACCCTGGGCCAGGAAGCACCCGCAAACATCGCTGAACGACAAGCTGGGCCTGGAACGACCTTACAGTCTGGGTGGTACTGGATTCGAGCAGTCGCTTCGCCCAACTTCCACAAGTACCTCCAGACAAAGCCCGCGTACAAGCCAGGCACTGCCATTCTCGACTCCTACACAACCGCAGGGCAGTTCAATATCAAGGATGGGCAGCTCATCGCCAACATAGGCACGGGCGCCGACCCGCTATACTTGAACGTTGAGAAACCCGCGGACCTCACCCAGAGGACACTGGCGACCTGGTTCAACACGACCAAGAACCCATTCGGCACCTTTGTCTTCCAAGGTGACGCCGTAACGTGGAGCACGCCAGAGGTCAAGAGGCAGAACCTTGCGGCCTGGCTGGTTTGCAAAAACCAGGCATTGTTCATTAACACCGGTGCCTATGGATATCAAACCCCGAGCGGATGTGCGGACCAGACCGTGAGCCCACATATCCCTATCCACAAGGTACTTAAAACTGACGCGGGGGTAGATTCATTACTATAACGATGCACACGCGAACTCATAATTACTCTTCTGCCTGTGTCACTTTGAACTTGAGTCGGCACCTCTCTAAAATTGACAGTGAATTTCATGGAAATATCAACGCGATATAGGGTATTTAAAAGTCTTCCGAGACCTTAAGCCTCAACATTCTACTAATACAGAAGAGTCCGCTCCAGGTTCTTGATGTTACATGATGTGCTGTTATCATTCGTTGCCGGCAGTCGTAACCCATGTATCTCCAAAAGCCGCCCTCTTGTCATAAAATCAATGCAAGACCAGCCATTATGCACCAGTACCACCAGCGCCACCAGAGCCACCGCCACCGCCAGTTGAATATCCCCCGCCGTTGTCCGTGGTCGTTGCACCATGATGACCAGCGACGTGTGCAGCACCGGGCTCCGTAACGCCGGTATAAGTCGGAGGGGGTACCATAGAGGTAGCCTGATAGGCGTTGTAGGATGTGTTGTTGGCCATGGCGTTGGGGTGGTCTGTTTGCCATTTACTCATCTCAGCCCGGCGTTGTTGCCGTCGTTTTTGGGAGCGGTTGTAGAAGCAACAGCCGCCAATGCAGACTGCTAAGACTACGACAATGATAATAACTATGACAGCAATGATGCCGCCGCTGATGGTTGTCCGAGCCCTATTGTAATCGTCGTTGTAGCTGGTGCTGTATCGGGCGACGATGCCATTTCTGGTCACCTGGCGCTCAAGCATTGAGGAGCCCGAGGACAACAGATTGAGCGCGCCATCAGCTAGATTCGGGAGAGCTGGCATATTGTGCTGTGTTGTTTTCAAAAAGCCGAGTCTTGTATCGTGTGAAAGGTAGAGGCAAAAGAAAAGCAGAAGCAGGTTCTGAAGTTCATTCCATTGCGCTGTATTTGTCTTGTGGATTGACGAGAGGGAGTGGCACAGCACCACAGATCACCCGCTCATCCATATCACAATCATCGCTCTCTTGCGACCGATGCGCCTCCCATAAACTGCCCATCGACCTTGGCGTACGTAGGCGCAGTCAATTGTCATGAGTCTTGTGCGGCCAGTTTTGACAACTATCATATGGCATGACGTCGGGTTGCTGGTCTCAGCCCCAGGCACACACTTGCGAACCAATCATGTTCATGTAAAAGCTGCTGTTGGGTCCTGAAGGATTCAACGGTGTCGCCAGTAGTGCCCTTGTACGCCTACTGTGGCTGTACGTGCCGCAGCACATCGCTGATCATGCCTTACTAGCAGGCCTGTGCCGCTCCGTGAGAACACTTGCATAGGGCACTTGACACCGCAAATCTGGAGTATTGTACGGAGTACAATAATTTCGTCCTTCATACCTCAGTCTGCACTGCATATCACGTGCTTGTTTCAACATGCAGCACATCATGATAATGGACATCAGCGAGAATGATCATGAACCCACTACCAAGCTCTACTTATATAACAGTCTATCTGCCGGTATAACAAGCTGATATTTCTTCGCATTCATAGGACGAACAATAAAAGATCGCTCATAATACCAACCCTGGCTTGCCCGAAAGGGGGTGACGAGATTTGAGGCTGTTGATCAAGCATCACTAGATAGCACGAGTTAGATCTTGCCCAGGGCTATAAAGAGTATCTGTGTAGGTAACTCAATTTGGTGGAAGTCTACCTAGATATCTGCGTGGCGTAGCCTGTCCGCATAGGCCCCAAGGCGGCACCCTGCCAGCTCTGGATTGGATATCCGATAATTCCATGACTGCAATACTTCAAGATACTATGGTGACCTACCGCGCAAATTACCTGATTTTTGCGGCGTTAGCTGGCAGGTTCGGGAGAGTCCACAGATGGAGGGTTTGGTTATGTGGTAATGTGGTAATGTGTATGTACAACCGTGGAGCTGATGCAAGGGCCAAAGATAAACGCCGATGCAAAAGTCTAGTTGTGACATGTCGCTCGGTCAAACCACTGCCCATTCCTACGAACGGCCAGCCATGACGCCTATGGATTGTAGAGCACACGCGTGTCACTTTTCCGTTGCCGATTGGCTTCTTGAATGTGTTTATATTCGAGTGTCGCACTGATCATGTCAGCCCTCGAGTCATCATCATTGCCATTGCCGACAATGATAACCGGTGGATCCAGTAGCAGCGCCCGTTAACCCCGCCACGCTGTTCATTCACCGGCCGCATCCCTCCATATCGCGGGAGATAAGGAGCTACTACAGCGGGTCAGCCATTATGGAATACGCCAGATGGCGTGCGCTGCCTTCAACCTCCTGTAGTAGACTTATGGGGCTCCTTCATGCGAGGCAAAAATCGCAGAAAATGGCTCGAATGAGCAAACCTTCCTGCTTAATGTAAGTCGTTTCCATCAATCAGCAACCAGCCGCCAGAAGCAGAAACCAACTGCAGCACCACCCCCTCTTCCCTGGGACTGCACTTTCCTAACCCTACAGAGAAGACGGGCGCTATCCCCGCCGCTGCCAGATCCACTATGTCGGCACCACCGGAACTTCCATCCATGAGCAATGATGTGCTGTTGATATTCTTCTTTACAGAGCCCAACGATGAGTGGATTTCGCGGGTCAAGGCGAAGCACCCGGGTCTAGATATCCGATGGGTCAACGTTTTGAACCCGGATCATACTTTCAAGAAGCCCGAGTCGCTAGGCGACGAGGTCTGGAAAGGCGTCACGTTGCTGTGTCCCTTTATCCAACCGCCTCCCGCCGAGTTGCTCTCTACTGTACGATTCGTGCAACTCCCATCTGCGGGTGTCGATCGATGGCCGGGACATCCAACGTACGAGAATGAGAAAGTCGTGTTCTGTAGTGGAAATGGGGCACATGCGTGAGTTAGAGTGGCTCTGCGCTATCTCTCGTAACTGACATGATTCTCAGACCACAAATTGCAGAATGGGTGATCGCATCATGGCTTTCGCACCAGCATCACTTTACGCGCTACACAGAGCAGATGAAGACTGGTCAATGGGAGCCGCCCACTCGGTCCACTGTGCAAGACTCCACCGCTGCTCGGATGTAAGTGCAGTGATCTTTTCATCTTTGTACCGTTTTTGACTCTAGATAGGGGTGTGCTTGGCTACGGTGCCATTGGAAGGCAATGTGCCCGCGTTGCCCATGCCATGGGTATGGAGGTCTACGCCTATACACGGAGTGAAAAGGCAACGCCCGAGAAACGACAGGACGACTCATACTGTGTTCCCGGAACTGGCGATCCTGATGGTTTGGTTCCGTCTAAGTGGTTCCACGGTGCTAGCAAGGACGCCATCAACAACTTCCTGGCGCAAGATCTTGACATCGTGGTCTTGAGTCTTCCGCTGACCAAAGAGACGAAAGGCCTTCTCTCACATGAACAATTCGAGATCCTAAGCAAGAAGAAAACTTTCGTTTGCAACATCGCTCGTGGAGGGCATTTAGACCAGACGGCCTTGATTCAGGCCTTGGAGTCCGGCAAGATCCGAGGTGCGGCTCTAGATGTGACAGATCCGGAGCCACTTCCTTCTGACCATGCGCTTTGGAAAGCTCCAAACTTGCTGATAACTCCACACGTGAGCTGGCAGACGCAGTCTTTGATGCCACGGATCCTGGATATCCTCGAACTGAATTTGGATAGGTTGGGTGCAGGGCAGCCACTTATTAATGTGGTGAACCGGCAGTTACACTATTAGATTTCTGCACAACCTGCTGCATTTTAAGATTATTTGGGGGTCATCCTGTCAGCATGCTAGGATTGAAATCCTACCGTTCGAAACTTAGGCACAAAGCACATCGTGGCTACTGACCGGAACAACTATGGGCGCGGTGGCTACGACTGATATCTACGCAACATCTAACCATTTTTGTTCTCTGTTTATCCATTTCCATGCGCATTATAGGTTGTGGCAGTATTCGTTTATCGTCAACCGTGGCCGACTGGAGATCAACATCGTTAGATCAGATCAACGAGGTTTGTCAAGTGTCCACAGATGTCATCATCCCCACGGATTCAATCGGGCGGAAAGATACGTGAATCCATAGCCGGTTTCAATGGCACAAATAGCAATCCGTTTAGAGTTCAGAAAGAGGGTGAGCCACGAGGCTAAACTTTCCACCTCGGAGCGGTGATCGGACCTCCGGCTTGTGTGGCTGTGAATGCGGCTACCAAGCGCCAAACAATAAGTTGAGATTATGGACAGGCTTTGTCAGACTGGCTACCGTAGGGAGTCTAGATCAAAACTCATTTCGGAGATCCAGCCAATAAATCAAATCCGTTTTTAGTTAATAGGAACCACCTTCTTCTCAACCGCCCGTGTGTTGCAAAGACAGTTCAATCGAACAGGATGGCTGCGTGGCTGGCCGTGAAGCAGGAGGATCTGCCTGTGATAGATATCAAGGCACTGAATATAGGGTCCCACGTACAGCTGCATAAGACCTAATGAGCACTGGGCCTGGATGCGATAGGAGACGGCACCAACACAAACATATATAGATGTGCGACCAGCGCCACCACATGCTGCTGTTTCGTCTACACCCTACTGCAATTTTCAATAGGTGACTTTGGTAAACCACACGGCCATGGCTCCGACTGAGAAGCAAGATGTCATTCCTGGGACCGATATCGTATTCAAAGAACGTCGGGAGGCTGAAGGCAGTGGCAGAGGCGAGCTTATTCTCATTCCTCAGCCCACCTCCAACAAAGATGACCCTTTAGTAAGTTAACACCCTAGGGAAGGTATACAGGATCCTGATATTGAACAAACAGAATTGGAGTCCGACATGGAAGACCATACTCATCACCAATCAATTCGTGTTCACCTTCGTGACAATTATGACACCGCTATCCATTGCACCATTGACAGTGATCTTCGAGCAAGAGTTCCAAAAGTCCTTGCCCGAGGTGAATATGCTTTTCGGCGCTGCAGCTATCACTCTGGGGTATGCCAACTTCTTAATCGTCCCTGCAGCCAATGTCTTTGGACGGCGCCCCGTATTGATCATCTGCGGTCTGATCTGCATCCTTGCCAACATATGGCAGGGTTTGGTAACCAGCTACCCGAGCTTCATCGGCGCTCGTGTAATTTCTGGTTTAGGTGCTGCCGCCAATGAGAGCCTGATGCCGATGGTCATTGCCGATGTCCTTTTTTTGCACCAGCGAGGACGGAGTATGACCTTCTACTTGTGAGTCATTCCAAAGGTTGCAACACCGCCAATTGGCAATGTCTGACATGTATGTACAGTTGGGCATACTTCATGGGTCTTTTTATCGGACCAATCATATCCGGTGCCGTCGCATCTCAGATCAACTGGAGGTGGTTTGTAAGTGTGAACCTCGTATTTGACATGCGAAAATACTAATCACACATATTAGTTCTGGGTATGCACTATCTTGCAAGTAGTGAGCTTTATCTTCGTGCTTGCGGCACACCCAGAAACCAAATACAATCGCCCTCCTGCCAGCTCGTCTGCCGTGTCAGTGGTCGAGGTGTCTCGGGCAACAGATAAGCCGGAGGAAAACCCGTCCGAGCCCGACCTTTCCCGTCTATCAACCACAACAGCTACAGCACCCCCAGTCCTTCATAGTGGACGACCTTCGAAGGAACAATTCTCTGTCATTCCTCGCGCGCGCTTTCACTATGGTACGAAATCGGTTTTCCGGGACATCATATCGCCCATTCAGATCTTGTTCTACCCAATTGTGCTCTGGGCCGCCTTCGCCATGGGCTTTGCATCGAACTCTCTACTCGCTCTGAACATTACGCAAGCGCAGGTCTTTGCAGCACCGCCGTATTTGTTTACCCCTGACCAGATCGGGTTCGTGAACTTTGCCTTCGTAGTCGGAGCGGCGATTGCCTTGGTAACAGCTGGGCCGCTTGCGGATTGGATTGCTCTACGGCGTGCCAGGAAGAATAATGGGGTGCTCGAAGCCGAATTCCGCTTGATAGCGCTCATTCCTTACCTGATTATAAGCTTGGTGGGTATGGTCATTACAGCAGTAGGGTATCAGAGAAGTTGGCCATGGCCTACCATTGTCATCGCTGGGTGAGTCAAATGGTATCCCTGGCAACTATTTGTCTAATGGTTTGCAGTTATATGCTCGTCGGAATTCAAGTCGTTGGTATCCCGAGCATTGCTATCGCTTATGCTGTGGATTGCTACAAGGCATTGCCTGGGGAGATCATGATTGCGGCTACCATTATCAAAAACACTTTTGGTGTAAGTCAAATCAGTGTTTTTTTTTGGACTATCGAAGAAATGGGATGCTGACGGGACTATAGTTTGGTATGATATTCTATTTCAACGACTGGGCAGCGAAGGATGGCTTCCTTGGCCCTATCCTTACACTCATGGCGCTCACGGTTGGCTTCTCAATTTTAGGTCTTGCTGTTTTCATCCCGTTTGGGAAGAAGTTCCGCTGCATGACCAAAGATTCCAAGCTTCACTCTCTTTAGCCCCTGAACGGATGGTGCACGTTGTTGTCATTATTCTGAAGGCTTTGGTTACGTTCTGGCGACAATGGCCACAAATTTCTAGTAGTGTATTTGAATCCTTTACTGAATTCCCCGATATATCTTCTCAAACTATGCAATATAAACATTGGGGTCTATCCAGCCCACATTATATGGCATTCCGTTTGGCTGCAGGAAAACCTGTGAGGGGCTATTGTATGGTTTTATCCCCTGCGCATCCAGTATAATTGATATATTGCTTGCTGCCATAGCAGCTTCGTTGTATCCAGGTCCATTATCCTCGTACACGGCCATGAAAGTAGCGTTGCTGAAACGAGTATCTGTTTCGCCCCACTTGATGTAGCCTGCGGGTAATATACTTGCATCAAGGTATGTGTCCAGAAAGATGCTTCGGTGGAGGGCATTCCAGGGTCGGCCAAGTGGGCATTTTCCCTGGATTGTCGTTGCAATGGACTCGTTCGCAGCGATTACCCGAGAGGATGAGATATAAACACCATACTTGTTGAGAAAAGTTGTATTGGTTCCTGGCAACAGTGAGTCGGTTGTCCAAGAGCTGGCATTACTATCACTCACCTTTCCAAGCTGTGATGCCGCCACCGCAATTCCTCAGCGCCAGAGTAGATTTCTCGATCCAAGCCGTTCCGAAGCCATACAAGAAATCAGTCTGACCGGCAATAATATTATCATAGAAAAAGGCGTTGCCAAGCTTTCCTATGTACACCGTATCCTGATAACTGTAGAAACCACAGCCATAGAATCCAGCATTGGCATAGGCAACATTCACTGCCAAGGCCGGACCGGCTGAGTACTGAGAGTATATGTTTCGGAAATCGATGTTATACGCTCGAAAGTCGTTGTTGCCAAATGGGGTGCCGTCAGGCACGGGAAACCCTGTTGGTCCTGAGCCAGTCAACGAGGCATTCCAGGTAGGTGCGATGGTCAAGACAGTGGTAATAGCATTATCGGTGATCTTCCCCGTGTTGTCGGTATTTGCAGAAGCCCACAGGACCTGGACTTGATTTCTGTGGTCCGTATCCGAATCGACTGCTCCGTATGGCGTGTCACGATGTGGGTCGTCGCTCACGCCCAGCAGAGTTAGAGGACCAGGGCGAGTGACATTAAGCTGCTCCGTATAGTTGCCTGGTGCGATCAAGATTATATGCTCAGATTCATCATCCGGCAGCGATGCAATTGCTTCTTGGATTGTCGTGAAGCTAGCTTTCGGACTATCCTTGCTGACGTAGATAGTTCCAGGGGGGCATCCAGCAAGTGGATTGCACGTCTTGCGTTGACATTCTGCGTATGTCTTCGCTGGCAGCAGACCAGTCGCGTTCTTATAGTAACTAGGAGTAGCGGACGCCAGATATAAGAGCGCGGTGGACACCGCAACAGAAGCAGCCCTCATCTTTCGATCATCAGTGCTGGCACCAGAGCATGAGCTTTCTTCTCTGGGACTCGGAACTTGAATTATCTATATACGTGGACATGTGGTTGACTGATAGGTCTAGTCGCCTCAGTATCCATTTGCTTACCCACCAAGATAGCTAGTTAATGCACAGTTTCCTAGGAAAATCCGCATTTCAAATTAGTTACCTGGGCCTTTATGCGGGGAAGACATGGGGATTGTTGGGGTAGACGCGGAGAAAGATTTTCCACGAAGCGGAAAAGGTGGGGAAGTCTCCAGTGGCTGTCTTAGTGTTGGGGAACCCCTGGCGAGACCTCGGGGGTCACAACCAGCCTTCCTCGCAGATCAATCGTCTATTATCCCGCCGTGACGGAGAGCAGAAAATGGAAGTGGAGCCGATTTCATGAGGAACACCTTGTTGTCGATAAAACATCTGTGATTTTGGAGCACCTGGTCACTGCCTTGATAGATAGTCGTTCACGTATGGCGTTTGGCCGCCACGTAGCTGCTCACCTTAGGATCGACTTGAACATGCGTTTGAAAGGTGAAAAGGCTCCAGGCTTTACAATCGAGAGCATTGTGGTAGTGATTTGGGGCTAGTGGTGTTCACAAGGTAGTAAATAATTAACCATCCACTCAGAAATGCTTGCTATATTACTGTCGCATGTTCAATCTCCGTAGCAATGCTTCATGTCTGCTTGAGCCGTTCACTTTTCCAAAACATGGCGCCAACGCCATACCCCAATGACAATCTCACATGGTTTGGTTTGCTTCATACACTGCTCCCTCAAAACCACAAGTTCCATCATGGCCACTTGTAGCTTTCTCGCCCGCCATATCCAAGGTTAGGGTCACTCCTTAACAACCATAGGAAGGATTAGTCGCCATCGTCGCCGACCTAGGAGCATCGTCAGCGTGGCCATTTAAATCATTGTCCATAGACGCTACTACTTACACGAAGGGTACCCTCGGAGGAGACACCGTGTGACCAGAATCCCTCAATGGTGGGAGAGGTGCGAGACATATTGTCATGAGTTGTCAAAAGCCAAAAGCCAAAGACAGGCTTCGCTAGAATGTCTAGCACCGCGTATGCAACGATTTCAGCATCCACGCCAACGATGCGAGCGCCATCAGCAACACCCCAAACGCTTTTGGTGGTTAGTACGATCTTCTCGGCCTGTTGGAGATGGTAGGAGCCAGCTTACATGGGGTAGATCGTCCAAAGAAGCAGGGTAAAGCCAGCAAGCAAAGAGAAGAAACGCTTCGTCTTCTGATCCTTGTTTATAACAGCTCTCGTACCATTCTGGGCAATTTGGTAGACAATCACCAAGTAGGCAATGCAGGCCCATGCATACCAGCCCCATTTCTGGCCATCACCGTGACCAAATGCCGCAAATAGGCCAGTGAGCACCATGATGAGATCAGCCACGACTGCAACTAGAATACTAGCACCGTTGAGGCCAGCCAGTAGACTCAGGTCAATCAGTAGTAAGGGAGTCGTAAGTGACCACTACAAGAAAGTCAGCCATAGACCTTTTATCTTAAAATGCAATGTTATCAAAGATTGGTATGAAGGTATACTTACATCAATATATCTAGCCCAAAAGACTTGGCGATTGAAGATGTGGGTCACGATATGCTGCTTAGTTTCCGTGACAGCGTACTGGTGGTATCCTATACCATCACCAGTTGCCATCGCAAAGTATGAAAGAAACGCAAATGTTGTAATAAATGCAGTGAGGATATGGAATAAGCGTTTTTGCTGTCGTCAAGTCAGAATTGCCATGACATGCAACCTAGCAATGTCAGTCTTACCACTGGTACTCTCATGGCCATTGCGTAAAATGCAACGGAGGACAGCCCCATCAAGACACATACAACCCTAGTTCATATAGTCAGCGTCGTCCTTCCGGAAGAAGTTCCATGATACTAACCATAATGTTCTTTTACCAGTATCATGGAGTGTCTCATAGTGTACTTCGGGAACTGTAGGAACGACGGTCGGCAATGGCGTGGGAGTCGGAATTGTTGTCGTCTTCCGGAGAACCTCCTCCACAATATTATGATCGAGATACATGCTTGCAAGTAAAATTCTCGTGATTCGTTGGTGTGTGCTTGCTATCGACGTCTGACGTGTAGTCGATAGATCAGCTGCTGAAGCTCAGCCATAGTCATAGGGGCCGACGACGTTTTAACCAAAGCTGCTGGTTCAAGCCACACGCTGCGGTTACCTGAGGCCTAAAAGTGGTGTCGTCACCTTTATGACATTAGGTAGTCTCATATCCCTGCTGCGGCACGCCTGTCCTACAGATACGCGTTTCTGATTGGCTCTAGGGTGAAACTAATGCGCCAACAAGGCAACTCTACTATTGCGGGGTAACGTGTAGATATTTCTCTGACATCAACTTTGACAACTTTAAGGTAGACTTGGTGTACGATGGCCTACGATGGGGTGCAGTTGCCTGTTCTCGATCATCCATGCGGGATCCTTGGAACGCGAGTCCACAGTCATTTGACAGGTCCGGATGCGCCGCAAGATCGAATTCCTGCTGCTATTGGGCAGGCTTGCGCCCAAAGCTGGCAAAGTATTGTAGGATGTGCATGATCATCCGCCGAGAAGACATTACCCATACCGGGAGCCTAGCTGGGGCGTTACATTCGTGGCGGGTGCGACTCCGGACATCTGGGGTTGGTTCAGTTCATCGGGTTTCACATCTTCACCTCGCGAGGCTTGCCATGAAAGACAGCTTTGAACTGGCCCTTTTCGGATTCAAGCCTTAGATGGGACCCAGAAATTGGTTTGACTTTCACTCATGCACCCGCAAGCATTGTTCGCGTTGATACTCGTGTTTGGGGAACACCGATTGTTGTAAAGGTTTGCGGAGCTAAGATCCCTGGACCCCTGTCCTCACTTCATGCATTACACAGATTGTACGACTGGGTAACGTCAGAATAAGCCAAGTCCTCCTACCCCGTCACCTCGTAGGTCTTACAACTTCGATTCCATGTGTGGCTCACCATCCTGCCACACTCCAAACCTCGGCGCTACATACTTGCATGTAGGCACAAGACCAGCTTGACTGCTATGCCCGAAGCTCCTTATGATAGCTGTACCAATGAGGTAGGCGAATGTATATCCATTTCTTTCAGTCCTAGTATGAGTCCTAGTTTCACTTTACCCGAAGTACACTGAGGACCTTCCACGTCTGAGGCTTCCATGATACGTGGTTGACCAGTATGGTGACACTAGAGGTGCACGTAGCAGCTGGCAGCTTCTGCGGAGTTTGTGTGTATATAGTCACCAGACTATTGGCATGATCAACAGGCCAAACGTTTGACTGAGCTGCATATTCGTCGAGAGAGCACCGATCAGATATCTGTCTATGTTATTAACCACATTCACCCATCCACCCGTAAGCCATCTATTACAATCTCCAGACAACGTCATACGGTCGACGAGACTAAACTTTTATCACTGAATTGAGTTGATTGTTTACTGTCTTGGTCAGGCTTTAACTTTCACAGCTAGGTCAAATTGTAGGAAACTACTTATACATCGTTCCACCCGAAACAAATGTCTTCAGTCTTCCGGCACTATCATGGACTTAATTCGACAATTATACGACTCAATAAGAAGGTATATCCCTGGCAACAGTGATAGACGGATGTGTACGTCCTGTTTCTGATGATGTTGGGGTTATATGGTCGTATCTGGGCAGCCCTTCTACCGATTGCATTTAAGGCCTCCGAGGCAAGCTCTTGAAATCAGTAATTATGAACCGGCCCTTGGCCAATTTGAGCTCATTTATATCACAACTTACCTGTACGCACGCCCTCTCAGAAATTGTGTTTCCGAGCCGACCATCCGTACTAGAAATGTGCAGGGAGTTGCACTGATACCTACCTATGTAACTTTACCATTGAATATGTACATACTTCCGAATGCCGCGTAGGACAGTTAATCGCCTGTGCCCGCAGAAGTACTCTCATCAGAAGTGATTCCCGTGTTAGAATTTAAAAATAATTAATAATGAGAAATTACTTCATAGACCAGTAGGCATTGATGACCAACGGAAAACGCGTCGAGGTCAAGGAGCACACCTGGAGTGCAGTGAGTGGCGCTGGAACGGTCCATTAATTATAACTCACACCAAAGAGAGGGAGAGAGGGACCTTGGAGGCACATGCTGGTGCCAGTACTATGCAATCACGTCTTCCAAATCTTCCGGCGCAATACAGGAGTAATTATTCACAGGTTCTCTCCCGCTGCAGGGGGAGTGAATTGGGAACTCGTGTAGACTCAGACCAGTCATTAGCAGTCTTACATTGACACCGTAGGAACATACATGATATAATATGGTGTAGGTCAGTCGAGTTTCAAGGTACGACTTGGAGCTGGGCAAATGGGCGACCAAAGAGCCACTCACTCCGTTTTAGCCAACAGCCAGCAAGGACATGCACACTGGTGCTTCAAGTTCCCGTGCCAACGTACATTCTATGGGGTTGGTCACTGAAGGAGCATGGTTTGTATCATCCACTGCATTCTCCTCTGCTCCACATCCTCTATCTACACCTGGGCTTGGGTCCTAGCCCAGCCGACATATCCTGCATCGTCACATACGTACATAGCAGGGGTGTTCTTGTAACCACCATCTTCCTGTCCTTCCTTCCGTGAGTCATCCGCCTGGGTTCATCCATCCACGCACGCTTGGTGCCTTCCAAAACTAAGCATGCCAACATCTGGAGGTATCAACGCTCCACGTCAACCAAGTGAGCACCAACAAGCTCTCTACAGAGAGGGGTGTCGAGTTGTCAAACTTCCATCCCGTCAGGAACAGATGTGCCTGCGTTTTGCCAGCCAAGAAGCCAGCAAGCTAGGACACAGAGAAATTAAATAATGACAGCCAGCAATTCCTTCCAAGGTCTGGTATCAAAACGATAGCCGTAAATTGAAGGGAAAGGGCGATCGAGAAATAGAAATTATCGACATGAATAAGCAGATCGCTATGTTCAAAGACACAGGGCTAGACACGTAGATTCGGGTATCCGGATATCAAGGTCGCGTCAGTCGAGGCTCGGAATCGAATATCGAAGGGCTGAAATGGTAGAACGCCAAAATTTTCAGAAAAAAGAAACCAAGAAAAAAAGGTTGCGAGCGAGTGTCGAGAAAGTCTAAGGTGTCGTTTCGGGGTTCATTAAGGGTTGTCAAATCCAGTTTGGAGTCGACTGTGCATGGGCCTACGCGCAAATCCTCAGGATGGGACAGCTGCGGCGTCAACAAATTAGTACGCTTGCCCTGGGACAGGCTTCCTGCCGATCGGTCCTTGAGGGGGTCCTCGCTGTTGCTGAGGAGGCGAGCTGCCGCTAGCTGGGTTCATAGGGCTGAGGCCGGGCGGGCTGCGGCGACCGTTCGCGCTGCTTTGGCTGTACCCTCGCTGCCGAGGGCCGGGAGATTGTGATCGTGGGCCGGGGCCGGGGCTCATCGCTCTGGGTCCGGGAGACTGCGGTCTGCCATGGGGACCCTGGGGTCGGCCCATACCTGCTGGTGACTGAGGTCTCATCATGGCGGGTGACTGTGGGCGCCCATTGACCATAGGCCGCATCGGAGATTCTGGGCGAGGTCCACCTTGAGGGGTCATGGGGCGTTGTCCAGGCGGGAAGTTAGGCCCAGGGCCGCGAGGGGGGCCACGAGGAGGGCCACGAGGTCCACTGGGGTTCACGGGGGGGCCATTGCGGGTTCCTGGGGGGCCAGCCGGGCGCGGCTTCACAGGGCGTGTTGAGAGACAAGTTCGAGGACAGACACCTTGCTGGGAGCGGTCCAGACGAATGCAAAGAGCCTGGTTCTATTTAGCTTGATATTCAGTTTGAAACGTGGAACGGACAATACTCACCCAGCCGTCGTCGTACTCATGCAGAAGTCTCACCAGTTGACCGGTTCGTAGCTCAAGCTCATCGTCCAGGGAAGGCTTGAAATCCAGTTGCACACGGTGCACAGTGGTCTGAGGAGGACCCCCGGCAGCCGCAATCGCAGCTGCGCTGTTTGAAGGAGCAGGCGACTGGTCAGCATCCACAGACGTCATGCTGAACTCGGTGCCGGCAGGGCTACCGGGCACAGGAACCGGGCCAAGGGCGTCAACAGCACGACTCGTCATGGTCAGATCGAGAGCCTGCGGAGCATTCTGCCTCGTCGACTGCTTACGTGTGAGCGCGACACCGGCGGCGGCGCCGGCACCAGCAGCGACAGCAGTACCAATGTGGGAAGTCTCAGGAGAGTCGGTCGTCTGGGCCATGCCAACAACATTTTCGGGGGCGTCAAACGGATTAGCATGCGCCGGGCCAGCGACAGATCGCTCATCGAGGCGCTCGGCATTATTGCCGAACGGGTTCTCTTGGTGGTTGCTCTGGCTGGTCATAGGGCGCTCCCATGGACTATTGCCGACAGCACGAGCAGACTGTGCATTGCCGCCAGTAGGGCCCAAGGCCAGAGCCATGGCAGCGCCTTTGCTGGAGCGCCTCTCGCCGAAGTTTGGCATGAACTGGGTCACGGGGCGAAGGCTCAAGCGAGGTGCCGTGGCAGTGGTTCGAGTGGTCAAAACAGATGCGCGACGATTCACGGCAGCAGTAGCCATAGGTACACCGCCCATGGACCCATTGATCTTCTCGTCATCGGCGATGCGCTCCTTTTCCAATTGCTTTCTGCGCTTGTTGAACAAGAACCATGCCGCGAGAGCAATCAGCAGAAGCCCGCCGAGCACGCCGATGGCGATCCCTGCCTTGGTTCCACTGTTGCTGCCGCTGTCTGAGCTCGACTCCGTCGCGGTCGAAGAAGTGGAGGCCCCTGCAGCAGACGTGCTGGCGAACGATCCCCCGGTTGTGGCAGTAGCCTTGGAGGATGTCGCATGGCTGGTAGCGAGAGCGAGAGTCGAGTCATCACTGAGATTCGCGGTTGTCGATGCGACCACTGATTCGGGCAGCGAGGTTTCGCTGGGTGCAACAGCCAGAACAGTTGTGGGACTTGTCGCGCCGGCATTCGAGGTCACCTTGGCCGGACTAGCAGTGGTAGTGGCAGGTGCATCGTCGTTGTTGCCGCCGACAACTGTCGAATAGCCTCCAATCTCCCCCTCGAACGTTGCCGACATGGTGGTGAAGATAGTCTGAACGACGGTGGAAGGGCCGTTTGCCTTCTGTTGCAGTGTCTGCGCCACGCCCGCTACGCCTTTCGTAAGCTCATCCCAGGCATCATTGAGCAGGTCCCTCCGGTGGAGGTGTTGGTGGTGACGGTTCGGCATGTTTGTATTATGTATTTTGCGTCGTACTGCGTCTTTCGATTACGGTAGAATTACAGAGTCTGCTGAGCAAAGAGTTGGAGGTCGTGGCACCTCAACAACTCATCTGCCGTGATGGACCGCCTGATCTTCCCTAAAATTGTTGCCCGAAGATGGCAAAATGTGTGGTTGTGACTCGGGGGGTGTGAATGAATGTAGCACGCTCAAGAGCGTTGTTGTCGATTGCGGATTGCGCGATGTGATGTGAGACGTAGGGGAATTATCTGAGTTCCCAGTCAAAATGAGCGTCAGGGGACACGCTTGGTCTGGTCGGATTCGGCGGGAAATTATTGACCGGCAAGGTGTCGTGGAGGTGATTTTCGAATGAATGGGCGGATCGTCGAGATGATCCGGCAGCGAGGTAGAAAAGAATGGAATGAGAATGGGCTTGCGATAGCAGACCAGATTCTCGGGTGGGAGGGGTGGAAGGGAAGGGCTGCAGGAGGGCTGGAGGCCGTGGGTGCAGGTGCCGTTAGGTTACGACGACGGAACGGTGAGAGGGAAAAGGAAGCAGAAGGGTGTGAGAGAGAGCGTGTGCGAGAGACAGCGCGAGGGAGAAAATGGCATCGGGCTGTGATGAATGCAGACTGGACTGGGGTGGGAGAGGGGGAGGCCCGGGAGGGAATGCAGCCAATGCAGCATGGGACCGGGGTCTGTGGATACGGGCGTGGTCCTTAAACGCTCGACGATGGCTTCGACCAACCGAACCCCTAAAAAAAAGGGCTCTAAAAGTAGCTAGTGACCTCTGCCCGAATGACGAGAAAGAACACCTTACTGCGGAACCGTTTGGTTCAATCGACTTTGTTCACGCAGGTGGTTGAGGCGACTCACGCGAAGAGAGCAGTGACCGGCAACAATCGCGCGCGCGGATATTCGGAACTGCGCGTCGTGGATCACGACCATCGTACCATCAAATGTTTTGGTGTTGAACCTGCCCTGCCCAATCAGATCGGATGTTTCTGGCCTGGACTGCCCGCCATCCCCTAAATGTTCACGGCTCCATGCTAATACATAGCAGACACACGGCCACCGCTTCTACTGCTCTACTTTTCTCCTTCAGTGTCTTGCATGGGGAAAGAAAAGGTCTTAACATAGAGCCTAGGTCCAATCAAGACCACGATCGTCGCCGACGGCCATTCAGATTCGTCCCAAGAGCCTGCCAGAGCCTGGGCATCGTCGATGGCGGCGTGGGTTTTCTGGCAGCTCAACGTCGAACGGCGCTGGCAGTTGGACCCAGTCAGCCAGTCAGCAGTCAGCCATGCCCCGAGCCAGCGTCGCAATGTTGATCGGTGGCCCCAGCGGCCCTAGTCAGGAACGGCAGGCACCATCATCCCAGGTTGCCAGGTACGGAGGCCCGCTGATTGGCTGCTAAGTCCAGGGGAAGATGCGCCGGCCCAGGAGCTTAGACGAGATTGCAACATGGCTGGCTGTCAGGGGCCTTCTATTCGCTGTTTGGCCCAGCCTAAGCTGTTCGTCACCTCCGTCGGTAGGTACCAAAATAGCCTACCAATCTTGGAACCAGTCCAAGTACCGCCGTCACATCGCTCGCCATCCTGCCTGCCATCCTGCCATCCTGTCCCGACTTGCCTCTCTCCTCTCTGTTCTACGAAGTCCTTCCAGAATGCGGGCGGCCGGTTCCTTTCGTTTGCGTGGCTTCGGGGCTGAGCACACCTTCGCGTGCGCCGACGTGCCACCTCCGGCCTTCTAGATGAACTTTAATTGATGGCGGCAGAGAATGCTGCATAAACCGGGTTGATGTGCCTTCCATGGGACGTTGCTGCACGCGATACCATACACCGGCCACGCAGCTATGTGCGAATAGAAAAGCGCGACGACGATCAGTGCAATCCTGTGACCGAGCTGCCAATAGCGGGCTGCCCAGCATTTCCCTCGCCGCTGTCGTTCTCATCAAACGACATTCATGCCCGACCCTTGACTACCATACCAGAATACTGTTCGTCCCATCTTTTGATTGCAGGCCAAGCAAGTAAGCTTTCACGAGCTACTTAGTGATCCTAGCGCTGGTTGGCCCGGCCCCTCATCCTAAAAGGCCGATCAACATTTCCACCACAGCCGGGGTGACATCGCTTGCGCTTCTACGGCATGGTTCCCACATGCACTGAACCTACACGGAGCACACGCTGGCACGATGCTCAGAGACGCCTCTGCAGAATGATGTCGCGTGGGAACGTGGCACTTCAGGCTCCCGTGTCTGTTGTTTTCTCGTTGATGACGAAAGTACTAGTCAAAGAGGCAACAAGCCGCTTATCCTGTGTCTTCCATGGTCGCCCGTTTGCTGGATACCGATCGGTTGATCCACAAGGCTGGGCTGACGCTTTGCTCTCCAGCCAGGTGGTAAGTTTGCTCACCAAGTGGTCCCAGAGGAGCCTGAACGGCACGTTGAAGCGATTTCTCGGCTCCTGAACCACCAGCCGCTTGTAGTTGCCCTCGCCTTTTTGCTTCTGCCAGAGATTGCATGCACGGGAGAGCACGCCGCAGCAGTATCTATTACTGAACATTGCTCAATGCCTGCGGCTCAAGATGAGCTATGTTTCGCAATGAATCCGCTCAGCCCATCTCATTTCCTGACCTCGGCACGTTCTGCCCTTCTCAAATGTTCCCACCAGCTTGCGTGGCTTTGCGGGCACGTGCTTCGCGCCCTGTCTTCCCATAACCTGCGTCGGTTCAGCAACAAACGACAATTGAACATTTCAAGTAACAGTGAACCAGCTTGCCGGAAGCGAGTGCGCATTGTTCTTGCCACTCCGGTTTCCGACAAAGGGTAGCTCGTGTTCGGCCGCCCATGGCTATGGTACATTCCCTTCTTGGATGTGCTCCGGCACCACTTGGTGGGGATGGACGCATTGTGTTGGTTAATGCTTGTCGAACCCATAATTTTACGGTAAGATGACACCTCACGGAGGTATTTGTGAGGAATAGTGTCCTGGAATTTCAATCTGAGATGACTCGGCATCCTCATGGACGCCCGTAGACGTTCATTATGACCAATATCCAATCAAAACTCTTACGTTGAGCAGTTCGGCTCCCTCCTTTTGATATTGAAAGCCAGAGGCTCTGGCCACATTGAACTCCAAGACCACGTAGCCATCACTGAGTTGTATATTATTTCTTGTCAAAACCATAGCCGAACCCGCAAGGCAGGACAGGTTAGAGGTACTCTTTCCAACTGCGAAGATAGCAGTGCCCAAGGTGAATGTCTATAATATTGGAATTGCCCAGGACTATCGTTGTTGAATCGCGCACTACGGATTACAATGTACTGGAGTTGCTATGTTTCTGAGCAGGTACTCAGGAGCCCTTCAGTCGTCGTATCGGGCGGAGTTGTTCGTCATTGGCTGTAGGGAGGCACATCTTGGTTGGTGGTGAGAAAAACTTCATGGGGGACAAGTCGCGTCTCTACTTACTCTGATGGAGGACGTCCTATTCTATTATGCAACCGCATCAGATAATTTGCCCTCCGTGCAACTTCACGTGTCAGCATGTCAAGGAGCGGTCCCCAAATATCAAGATGAGCGGGTTGATGCACGGCTTGAGACACCTCGTGAGCAATCTGAATACCATGCCGCCTCGAGACCTGCGATATAATGTTTGGCTCTGACGCCCTGTCCTTCAAAAGTAGCCGTGGCGGCACGCTTTGGAGCCATTTCCAGCATCCTCGACTTCTTTCAAGACTTAGTGAAACCATCCAAGCGATTGACTACGGTTTTTGTCGGGGGTTTTATTCAATTACTCTTGCAAGTGATTACCAAACTTGGATTCAGAAATGATTGACGCGTGTAGCTAGCCAGTGACAACCAGTGGCAACACATATATCCTTCGTGACACCAACGTAGCCTCGGCGGTGCGTTGAAATGCGGCACAACTGTACCTGCGGGATCGATCGGTATCTATCTTGGGGACGTATTCTTTCTTACATATGTATGAAGAACGGCGAACATCTGAAGAGCAAGCGACCGGTGCATGCACTTTCAGAGGCACCGATGATTTAATCAGGCTATGGCCTTCTTTTAAAATGAGGGTGATGTTCCGCCAAGCCGGAAATGGTCAACTTCACTAGAATGAACTTCGTCCTACATTACTTGATAAGCAGGTCGATAGATGCATGTGGCTTAGTGACGGCCAGTTGAAGTAATCAGAAGTTCAGCGAAAGTTCTCCACTTTGTTCTCGTTATGAGAAGGAAATATTTTTCTTCAATTTTTTTCCCTCTCGCAGACCATATTTCCCCCCAACCACAAGTCAATGGGCGGTGTGAACCTCGCGCTCTCCAGTGATGCAGTCCAAACGCCACGTCGAACTGTGCAACTTGGTTCCGGTTTGAAGTTGAATCTGAGTAATATTCGGACTGCCCACGCGGTGGAAGCAGTGCTCGACATGTTCCACGGATCTTGATTGACTATCCAGAATATACGGACTGTTCCTTCTGGCCCGCACTTGTTTGGACCATATGTACGTGCAGTGTTGATAGTGGAAAGTACCGTTGGTGTAGATGATTTTGTAGTTCCCAAGCCGTGCTTCAGCTTCAGTCAACTGATTTTTCCCTTCCAGATCCCAGAAAAATGAGAAATTATTTTCCCGCAAGAACCGATCCGACAGTTCTTTGTCATAGCATGGCGGATGGACCCAGCCTGACATCATGAGATCGAAGACGCAGCCGTTTTGCCGTGCTTGCTCTGGTGTCCGTCCGCATTCGCCCATACTAGATGAACTTGGCATACGCGGGGAGAACATGGCGCTGATGGCAGACCCGAGCCCGAAAACAAGGAGTATGGTAGCTAATACAATGGCTATGGCTCGATATTGCCATAGTTGGATCAAGTGATGGCGGTTGTGTTCTTCTGCCTTCTCGTGGTTGTAGTCGAATTCGGAGCAGAGATGCAAATCATCACGGTCACGATCCCCTGAGTAGGGCTCAGGGTCGCTTTCAGTATCATGTCGTGTCAGAAAAGCATTTTCTTCCTCCATCTGTGTCGTTTGTTAATAGAGATGGCCATGCTATTGTGCTGACACATGTCACTTACTATTGTTGTACTCCCAGCAGTTACACACTTGGATAGCAACAACTCGATGAATGAGGAGTGACAATTAGAAGAATATGCTTTGGTTTCTCGAACTTCCAAATTTTGAAGCAGTTTACAAGTCAAGAGGCCAACGTGTACTGGATGGGTGGACTAAACCCTATCCTCATACAGTTTTTCTGGGCGGCTACGACAGCGAAGCGTACTAGAACCTCATAAGGCCGTTCCCTGTTAATACAGTGCATAGTTGCTGGTCAACAAAGCTGCAACAGTGGGGTGGTATACTGACACACTCCGAATCATGCTCGTTCTGGTTTGCTACGGCCTGCGACCTCCACCCTGGCACAATCACTTTGGACAACCGTCAAGAGCGATTTTATCCTGAATCAATCAAGGTGGGTTTGCAACGCTACTTTTGTTATTCATTGTAGAGATTTTGGACCAATGAGATCCCTCCGCTAGGGCTTCGCTCACCCCTTGTAAATGCTACATGCGAATCTCTTCTATGCGTGGAAAGAAGCTGAGTCCGTATAATGGATTTAGCGGTAACGGAAAATCGCAAGGGCATCTGTCCAGGAAGCAATTGGCTTACAGACCCCTGCCCCTCTTTGCTCGCTGACCCATGTCATCTCTACCCCTACGAATCTTTGAGGTGGACAATGCCCCCAGAAAGCTAACTCAGCAGCCCAAACTGCAACGCATGCTATATTGCGGTTCACCCGAATTCGTTTAGATAAAAACACGTCGAGATCTTGCAATATCCATCAATCTATCGTCATCACCATCTGACTTCTTGACTTCACCTCACGCTTCACAACTCACTCTAGACTCACACCAGTCAAATCAACTTTCAACATGCAGTTTTCCGTCGCCGTCCTCGCTCTCTTTGGAACTCTTGCAGTTGCCAATCCGTTCTATCCGAACCTCTCCCTTCGCAGTTGCTCCTGCGAGGAGACTCCATGCTGCGAGGTTGAAGGCTGCTGCTACCCTTGCAGGGAAGGCTCCGATGCCGACTGCGCCCCTGAAGTATGTCTGTGCCCTTCACACAATACTGCATGTCTAACCATACTTTCAGGTTACTGAGCGATCGCTTGTTGATGTCGTAGTGTAAGGGGAGCATTATGGTATGGACATAGAATCTCCGCCATAGGCATTGTAGGAATTTGAACCCCACGAAATCAAGAGCGACATTAACCTGCGCTTAGATGTCCAAGCCTGCTCGTCAAATTATGAGCATCGCATTTGTGTAGTTCGCAATGCTTTCAAAGCTAGTCATGGCACTCACTCTCATTTCAAAGGCTGCCCTATGAGCAAGGATACTATTGCTTTATAATGTCTTCCAGTCGACTTTATCAGATCGAATATAAGACTTATCAATATGCCCTGTCAGTCTTCGTGAATCAAAATATCTTGTAAGCTGAGCTGTTAGTGTATCGTGGCTTTTGCTTTACGGCGCTACACAATAGTCAATGGCCTGATACCATTTCTGGTGTTTGTTCCATGATCTCATTCTGTTGTCTCAGGCCTAGGATATTCGGACAATGATATATGCCCTTGTACAACCTTTCTTGGAGAGAGGTACATTGAAGCCTAAATTACTGTGTAAAAGAGTTATTTTACGTGTTAGGACAAGTTGCATTCTTATAGATGAGTACTGCTTTACAAATATTGCATATGAGATGCTTTCTGAAACTTTTTTTTTGGTCATCTTTCATATAATTCATGATATTTAATAACGTATATATGGTTATACACGGGACAGGCTTGGTTGACGTGCAGGAACACCCAACGAGTCTTACCTCAGATGGCGTGACGAGGGACTACACTTGAGAGAATTTTCTGCAGGGATGCGTTTGATTAGTGATTTAAACATTGCCAGTAAGAAGTGGCCATAAGTAGAAATACATTAGCAAGTAAATAGAAACCCTCAGATGTCTCCCCTCCATTCTGCGCCAGAACCTGGCAGTGAGACTTGAAATTGAAGCATTGCAGGATGTTTTCCTTCGCGAGACCCTACAGAGCTTCCATCACCCATTTCTATCAGAAGCTGAACGGTAACAGTCCATACCGGAATGAACTGCAAGACGAAAGGGATGAGTTAGTAGTTGGAACGCCTTCCCGGCACCTCGCCGTCCTTTACACTATAGTAGCATTTCTACTTCTTACACAGCTCTTCCTTTTTACTGGCACACGTTTGGAACAGGAGAAAAGTCCTCTTGGGTCCTACGAGAGAGGATTCAAGACCGAAATACGTATAGTTACCTAGTCCAGCCAATCCTTTCCCTACCTCTTTCTGATTATATACTGATTCAACGTTCAGTTCCGGACCGGAATACACTAGCACTCCACAAGGTCAAGTTCTACGGGGGAATTGTTTTCGATGAGAATGGCACCGTGTCTCTCAGTCATAAGGCTGGTGAGCCTGATTACTTTGGAACTCCGAGCCTAGAGACGGAAAAGACTTGGGAAGCACTTCTGAGAAGTTCGTCTCACTTCCCGAGACCTGACGTTTGGCGAAATGGAAGACTGACTAGTCCCCATAGATCGATTCATCAAAGTAGATCCGAATGACTGGCCGGTGGAGGCTAGACAGCTCTCTAAACAGGACTTAGTCCAAGGCTCCTGGCGCTTAGAGTCAGTTAATATTTTCCCTGTACATTAAACAAATATACTAACGTGTCATGTTATCTTTACAGAACAAGTGGCTTACATGCACTTCACTGCTTGGTAAATTTTATTCTTTTTAATCGCCAGAGCCCTCAAACTGACGAAATCAGAACTACATTAGGAAATCTCTTGCACCTCAGTACTACACTTCATATAGAGATTCGCCAGACAGAGATCCGAAAAGGCTCTCTCATTCGGAACATCTAAGTGAGCTAGAATGCTGAGCAATATTCCAAGATCATACGAAAAGGTCTAACAAGTGAACTCATCCCAGAGCATTGTTTGGAGCAGATCCGGCAAGATCTCATGTGCCACCTTGATATGACACCCACACCAAGAACTTGGCGGGCAGCGCCAGCTGGGACACATGGGAATGGCATGTTTCATGCAGACACCGACCAGTGGCATATTTGCAGAAGCTTTGAATCGATGCGATCATGGATGTATCCTTTCCAGGAGTTTCATGATGGTCCTAACGGATAGGACTTTGGAAGATTCATACAGCATCTTAGTAAAGCAGAAATCTGACTATTCTCATCATATCTCCGAGTTGTGATTCACTCCCAAAGAGTATTCTAGGGAGAGATTATGAATCCCTAGTATTCAAGTTATGAGCAAGTAGCCCATTAATGCCGTCCTTCTTTCTTTTTTTAGACGATGAAAGAGCTGATATAGTCCAAATGAGCTAGGTGATCATTGAAGAACAATATTGGACATAAGACCCCCTAACTTATTGAAAAGCTTCCGTGGATACGTCTTTGAATGCCCTACTAATATCAAGTAGCCCGGCTTGATATGAACTGTCGTACAGCATCCCATTTCCTACAAGTATGAACTACATCTGACTGCACGAAGCTCCGCCCATGTCCTTCATACCAAATGACAGGTATCGGCGTCAAATCAGCATGACACATCAGCTGCTGTCTAATGTGATCCAAGCAATGATCTCGGTGTCCTCTATCTGGATATGCTAACTTCGTTTTCTTGTTGAAATAGTGATCACGATCCAGAGCTTTCCTGAGTTCGTCCACGCAATGCAGAGTATGGAAGATGTCAAGACCAATGAGGTAGCCTACACCATCGGGATGATTGTACAGCCCATGAGCCCTGCCGAAAGTCATCGCCGCTTCCTCCTCCGTGATATTGAAATATCGGCCTTTGAGCAACTTGCCCCATGCCGCATCTATCTCAGGGGTCGGTGTTCCAACATAAATCGGCTCGGAAGGATTATGAAGATGGTAGCCCGTACCATTGTCATACCACCTTGGTCCTCCCCAAAACATAGTTGATTCCTCCTCGATGTGCGGCTTAACGGGGCCGAATTCAGTAGAGAATCCGGCATTGAATGATCCGACCGACGTAGTAGGGCGGTAATTAGTTACCGCCGGTGGCTGAAAGAGAAGATAGGCGGTACTGAAAGCAAACAGACTAGCCATAATCCATCCCATGTGCATATACAATATCGGAAATTCGCGATGAGTAGAATCGGTTGGATCGGTACCATTGTCGCTTTGACGGAGGGACTTGTAGCTCCATGTGCGAATGGATTTCATGATGGTGTTGCAGGTATGTTTCTGATGCGCCATAGGGTTGGAAGTTGTCAAGAGTCAATATGCGATCATCCATAGATACCGAAGTAGGATTTAATATACCTAAATAGAGATCTGTAACGATAAAGTTCTTTTAAGGGGCAACGCGGAACTATTGGAATTTGTGGAGCTGCTAACCTGATACTCGTTACCTCAATGAGTCTTTCAGCTTGCGTCCTATTTCGTTGAGCGATGCTAAATATTCTTCTTTCATCTTTTAAACATCTAAGAACTTCTTGGTATCTCGCTAGTGAGCCCACAAATTGGTCATGAGAATCCTGTCATTAATTCCAATACCAAACTGATTCCTTGTATTACCTACAGAGCTCTACCCATGGATCACAACGAGGACGAAAACCCACTCATGGGTACGGATTCTGAAAGCGGAGAGCCGCCATCATCGGTGTTTATCCCATTCTCAACCTTCAAGCCCAGCCAAGCTCCACAATCACGATCAAAGTGGCCTTCCCTTTTCCAAATCGCATGCTTCGTGGTCATAACTCTATCGTGGACAACATTCCTCGTCTGGTACAGCCACTACAAGGATACCTCGCCGTTTGCTCTTATTGAAAGGGGACACTGTGGTTGGTCGATAGAAGAAGCGAAAGCCAATGGATGTGTTTACGATATCATGATGTCCTCGTGGATTCCAAAGCCCTGCTATGATGAAGAATTATCCAACAGCTTCCTGAGGGCCAACAACTTTACTTATTGGAGGAAAAATGATGGAGTTGAGGAGGTTCCAGAGGAAGAGGTTCGAAGAGGAGAATTCGATATCCTTTTCACGCACGGCACGTATCACTCTCAGCATTGCATGTAAGTTGAGATCCTTCTATTACCCATGAATTGCTTTAGTATGAAAGCAGATTGAATGGAGACTGGTAATCCCAGTCAGCCTCGTTGTAGTTTTGCTGACTCGAACTTTGATAACAGTTATCTCTGGCAACTGCAAATGAAGGCGCAAAAATCAAGTGTCAGGATTTTAGATTCAATATCAAGGAGTCAGGCACATATAGCACACTGTCAAAAGCTTCTGGCTGTCGACCTTTCCAGGCATCACTTGTGGCAGCTTCAATCGAAGACTGGAACACCCATACATGTCAAGCCACAGCAACAATCCTGTTGGGAAGGGTAATTTGGTAACTCGAATCTATTATTCTGTTTATGTAAACTTTACATGTTAAATGGCAGAATAGTTTATGGAATGTCAATACTCAAACGCTATTATGACTGCTTAACGCACACGATTGTGTGATGGGTTAGTTGGACATGGATCAAGCCTTCTTTAAATTACACGGCGACACTATTCTATTTGATAAAAAATCTGAGGACTTCAAGTTGAGAGATCAAGGGCCTGAAGGGACGAGAAACTCGACCGAATAATGACTACTATACCAATTATTATTCCAATCGAGCGCCTTTATATCTATCCAGACTAGTCTATAGCGTTCAAGGGAATCCTTGGCGTGCGTGGCACCGCAATGCTACCATTGTACCTCTCTATGGAATATTGATGGAGCCTTTCAAAATTTCTACACGTATGAAGCTGCTTCGGGTTGATATATTGTCCTCGGTGATCGTGCCACTCACTTGGAGAGATGACACTCGTAGCCTGACACTGTATCACCTGTCGTAGATGATCGATACAGTGCACTGAGTTGGAGGTCATTATATACTTGGTATAATATAGCAGGCTGTGACTTACATTGATGTGTCATTCCGCGAAATTCTTCTTCTGGGTAGATATCTCGCCTCAGAGCCTTTCTCAGTTGATTTAAGCAATGCAGGCAATGAAACACGTCGAGCCTGTTCATAATGATGAGGTCTCCAAAAAGAAATACCGAGAACCATCGGACTCACGTTCCAGTCCATCCACCCCTAATCCTGTCTCTGTACTTGTTCGAGTCGGCACCCCACTGCAACATTGGAAGTTAGTAAATTTTTCATTGGGTGCGTTTGCCAGGAGTGAGTTTCCTGCTATGAGGGGATCATGAGAAATGGGCCTCGTGAGTCCCAAACTTCTCGAATGTGATTAGAAATGGCTGCCGATTTTACATACGAGCGTGACTGCTTCTTCTTCAGAGATCGAAATGTAGTGGGATTCGCCGCCGATGATGGCATTCCACGCTGCATCAATCTCTGCTGTAGGTTCGCCGACATAATTGGAATGCCCAAGAATCTCTGTACCGTCTGGGCTGAAATCCACACCTCCCGTAAATACTCTTCGAGTGAGTTCGAATATGTCGGACGACGCTATAGATTAGTTCTTGTTATTAAACGTACTGTACAGCAAATTTATTTAAACATTTTACACCACTCACTGACAACCTGTTCTTCTAAAAATCCATGCTCAAATGTTCCCCATTTACCAACGCGCTGTGTGTTTCCCACCACAAAGCCCGCTGAAAATGCGACCAGGCCCCAAATTGACATAGCAATTACCGTAATAACAAGGTTTGTGGCTATTATACCACTACGAAGTGGAACTTCGGAGACCTCATCTTTGGGAAGCAAATGTTGCTTACTCTCCGTCGACGTTTCGCCTCCCGACCTCCCGGGTAGCGGATCAAGTAGTCGATTCCAGAACAATGACAGAATTGACATGTTCAAATTTCTGATGGTGGTTTTCAAACCAAACTAGGATTGGGCTTGGGTATATAGCAAGCGACCACGGCGTATGCTTAGTTCAGGTGGCAAGTGCCCCCTCAAAGATAGGCATGCATTCGACCCACTTATTTCAAGGGGCATGAATCCTAGCCAAGGTCAGGCCTCTTCCATTTACGGGGAGACGGGCCTCATCTATAGCAGTAATGGAGAGTTCTGAGCCACGACACCATGACGTATACGGATGGACGAAGGTGGGTATGTCGTATTATGTTTCACGTCAGCGTAGCACTGCTTACTACGTGCAGTTGGCGTGCGCTATTCTTTACAACACTATCAAGTATACACCAATTTTCTCATCCGCGTTTCTTGTCCAAGTTCAATTACCAAAATCTCATATCACCTGTGAATCCTTAACATGATTAGCAGAAGTTCTTTGCTGGTACTTGCCTCTCAAGTTGTTGCTGTCGTTGTTCACAGTCTAGCCAAATATTTGGAAACAATCAAAGAAGTAGATCCCCAACAGATCCTTCAAGTCCGGATGTTCATTACCTTGAGTAGCAACAGCCTTTTTCTTATTACCTGGTGCCCAGAAGAACTTCCGCTTGGGAGCTACAAAATGAGGCATCTACTCGCACTTAGAGTGTTCGGCGGGATATGCGGCTCAGTTGGTTTTTACTGTGAGCCTCACTCTCTGGTCTAGTCTTTCGTTTCTTTCATGATGCACCCTCTAGTATTGACTCTTACTTAATTCTTGCAAGCTGACGAAAGAAGACTCCCTTCAACATCTACCACTCGCAGATGCGACAATTTTGAATCTTCTCGCCCCTATGGGAGCCAATTTCCTCACGAGCAAGAGATTTAGCCACATACAAACTGGTTCGGCCATTGTTTGCTTACTCGGAGTTAGCCTCATTGGCAGGCCAAGTTTTATTGTTAGCATTGTCTATTACCATATGGGAAATCGACGATTGCCTTCGAGCCCCGAGGATGATAAATTCTTGTCTCACACGTTTCCAAAAGGGCTAGTCTATGCGACGGTCGGAGTGATGGGCGGAGTGGTAAGTCATCAGTTCAACTTGGATATCCGGCAAAGTGATTCACGAGTTTGGTAGTGTGCATACTCTTCTATCTCAAAACTTGGCAGCAGAGTTCATCCATTAGCGAGTACAAATTGCTTTGCCATGGGTATCCTGCTCGTGAGCAGTGTCTGCTTCGCAGGGGTCCCAGGCGTCAACTACGATTTTAATCTAGGTCTTTGGCAATGGTATCTTCTGGTATTGATTGGATTTTGTAGCGCTTTGATGGTGAGTGGATGTCACTATACCCTGGAAGCACACTAACTATCTGTCAGGAGTATTTCTTGACGCTTGGATTAGCTGTGGAGCAGAATAGCTCAGCTATATATATGCTATACCTTCAGTCAGTACTGGCTCTCATAGCAGATGGATTGATCTGGCGTATGGCACCCGATTTTATGTCTTGTCTCGGATCGGCACTTGTCATCATTGCACTTATTATTACTGAAAGGAACAAAATGGAAGATGAAGCGCTAGCAGATAGAGGGGTTGGGCATTCAAGATAGCTCATCCCAATAAAAAAAAGAACTCAAGTTTGGACGCTTGATAGTGGCATGTTGTTCTACGGAGACTGAATATAGGCCTGCGATATGGTAGAACAGCTCTGGAAACCCGAGGGAAAGGAGGCGTCACGGAAGTAGTAGGTCAATTTATCTCCAGTATCCCCACGTCTATTAGTGGATACATGAAAAGTTATGATCGAGATTGGAGAATGGTCTATCCTGGACATTGATCGTCGTTGGTGGCCAGTAAACCCGTGGGAAGAAGGCTACATAAATCCTCCGAGAATTGGAAGAAGAGGACGATTAAGGCTGTCCAGTGCCTATCACTACTAAGTCCAAGTATTCCCTGTAAGTTGTCAGAGTTAAAGTGAGAATTTGCGTCAGCTGTCTAGGAGGACCAACATCGGAACACCTTGGATCCACAGGCCCCCTCACGCATTAAAAACGCGCGTTTTGCAGCAGAAAGTTTGGCCAAAATCAGATCGATTTGCGCCTGCCCGTACAGAGTTAAGCATTGCCTGTCCTGAGTTGCAAGGCCTTGTCACGAGTGATCGTCTCTCTCTCTCTCTCTGGCTAGGCTGGCGACCGGGTGTAACCGTTAGATCCTTGACCAGCTGATGGTTGAGTCAGCTTCCTCCATCCCTGCAAAGCAGGCGCGGGAGATATCCACTTGAAAAAGCTTGTTTTTACGCCCGCCACGCGTGCATGGCTATCGGCAACAATTGCGCACCCACGCCACCCGTTTTCTAAGAGTGAATGTCGATCTTCATCACACCGCCAAGATCTGCACCGTTGAACTCTAAACTGGGATTCTCGTTCTCTGAAGATAACTCAATAGTCTTACAGCCCTTACGAGGCAGGAGACTTGGAGGTGATCAAGCACTCTGCCCACATGGCACTATGATACGAGCGTTGGGCCTTCTCTTGAACGATTCCTTTGAACTTCTTGCATTTCTTTGCGCCCAGCTCTTCTTTTCTGGTTGGTAGGCGAAGATCCTACCTGCGCAATGGTTTCGGCTACCCTTGTAATGGTTTACCAGGTTGCCCTCTATTTTAGATACTGTCAAGCGGATGTCCGAGTGGCATGAAGCATGAAAACATGAAAATGTGGTAGAGATATCTGTAACGCTTGCGCTCACTTAACGTTGACGAATACGGGTTTCAGAATGCATGCTGGTTAAATGTAGACTGAAAGAGAAGCTATTTCATCACTGTGGCTTTACACAGTGGGACTTTTCGCGCATTAAAATCAACTCTTTATGAGCTGCCCTTCTCGTGCGATCCCAAACTCAAGCTAGAAAAGACGATAGGAGGCCTTTCCAAATTATGTCTTGGGATGCTAACAATCCTTGTTGATCTCCAACTGTTGCAGATTGTTTCAGACCCCAGGCAGCAATCCTGGTGACAGTTGAGGAAATGGAAGCAGGTGTGAGTTCAGGGACGTACCGCAAGTAGACCCGCAAAGGAACGGATGCCAGGCATGATCCCGGTGTTAGTCAATAAAGTATATCTCAAGAACATGGGTGGAGATCTTGTCAGAGTTTTGCACCTCCATGTTAGTGGTCACAATAAATCGGTAGAGCCGTTGACTTTTAGAGTAGTCTAAACAATATGCATGCCAATCCATGGCTTCTCCACTTATCATTAAGAACAGGCTTTCATTGGCTTGTCGAGCAGAAATCAGGAAAGCCAACCTTTGCAGTATATGAAGAAACATAGAACATGGGATGAAAACATTTATGAGTCAGTGGGCTACCACGGTGGATAGCATAAGATCAAACTCCGTCTCGTTTCATCCTTTCAATGCACTTGGCTGTCCTGAGAAAGTCCACCCGGGTAAACGGAACAGTGAAGTGCGCGAATTGTTTATCCTGCGTTTGTTTTGAGTATAGGTGTTCGTATCCACGGTTTCCAACCGGGTCTCGCTTATGCTGGATCGAAATTTAGATTCTGCGCTAGACTAATTTGTACCCAAAATACGTTACTAACGGTTGGCATCTGTGCTTCGCTGAGGCTGGTAATCAGTAAACTTTAAGGGTACTCTCCCGCTCCCAAGATTTCGAACATGCCGCTACCTAGAAGGCTGGAAGCTTGGCAGCTTGGCAACGATACACTTAACTAAAATCATCATGGCACTCATCAACTCAGACCCGATTAGCGCTCTTCAGTGGGCGCTGGAGAACCTCTCACCTGCTGAAGTTGTTAAATCATCCGTATGATGCTCGACTCTTGGACAGGAGAACCGTTCTAATCATTTTGCAGCAAGTCAGAGAAAGCTTCCAGAAATTCTTAAAGCGGGGGACTGTCTCACAACTACGGCAGCTGCTAAGAGAAGCCCAAGAACTCAGCACGCCGCCAGCCTGTCCAGATGCACAGCATAGCTTTGATTTTGTGGCACTTGATCCAATAACAACTCGCGCAGCTGTGAAAAACGGAGGCTCAACAGGCTTCAAAGGAAGGCGGCGGGCTTCAAATCGACTCTGCCGCCCAAACACTTACCCCCAGGCTTACCCAGTAACAGGTGTGTCTCTGGCAATGAAACTCAATGGCTATGAATATAGCTGACTCTTCTTGCAGAGAGACTGAGTGAGTTGAGCATACCAGTGCTAGCTCCGTCCAACACAGCAGCATTCTCCCCAGATCCATCACATTCGGATTCTATGTTCTCACCCTCTAGTCAGGGATATGGCGACATTGATGCATTGGGAAGCGCAAGTCCTAACAGTTCTCCACTATTATTTCCACTCTCGTCCTGTCTACCACCTATGTACTCATCACCAGAATCAGTGGCATCTTCATATGATATTTCAGAACTCTCTTCGTGCGGAATTCTCCGGCAGGCGATGGGTTTCTTTGAGGCAAGGCTAGGAACACGCCGCAATAGAGTACGCTATCTAGTTCGAGCTATTCAAGGCTTCCTCGAGGCTCCAAAGTTAGCCCCAGGCTTTGTGCTGGATATTTGGAGTTCAAGGTCCGCCATCTTCACCAAACCACTAACGGCAGGTTGCTCCAATGCTAGACTCCAAAATCTATATAAAGGTCATCGGAAATTGAAACAAGCAAGGGAGCAGTATTCATACGCAGCTCGTTTCTGCTATATCTACCTGGAGCACGATCTAGAGGAGCTGTCAAAATCTCAATCCCTCGTGCTCTCTCAAGGCAGAGGAAAGATGACTGCCGCCTTTGAATTACAGGCGTCGATTATATCGACCAGTGTAGATGTTGTGAAAGCGGAGCGGAAAGCCGGGAGAGGTTATCTACAGCTTTTGATGGAGGGCGGTCCAGGGTATGTCCTCCGTCTTGGCTGCAACGTATCTACCATGTGAGTTTCTTATCATACAGCTACGATAGTAAGAACTAATCTTGGTTTCAGTTGGGAACGTAAACTGAGTGTTAAGGATATTTCACTGATTGTCGAATTCCTGAGGACTCAAACCCCGGAGTTGGATCGCGAGATCAAATCACATGACAAGAGCGCAACAGAAGCTCTTCTTGATGGCTTCGTCGCTTATGGTTGGAGCCCAACAGAGATTCTACTCTCGACTAGTCCCCTATTTGAACAGCTGAAACATTACGTTGATCTGAAGGATGCCTTCAACCAGGAGACTAGGGAAAAGGTGGCTTCAAATCATTCAGGAGCAACGCCTGAAAATGATCATGAAGTATTGTCACAATCCTCGGATGAATACCCTGCAATTCCAGGGATCATTGACTTTGAGACCTGTGGCAATGACACATCTCTTGTAGGAATACCCCTTACGCCCAGAGAAAGTCTTGCTTATACGGCTGACTGTCCAGGCTCGGATCCTAAGATCATCAATGATGTCATTGAAATATCGGAAACAGAGCTGGCTTCGCTATTGTCAGCGGAGACGAGGTCATTTGATCATATAGATGAAATGGGTAGTTACCAAGAGGTGGTAGACCCATTGGCATGGGGAGGAATCTTCAACGAGCTTGTTTCAGAATTTCCAGGGTTGTATCCGACATATAGGAATTCTGAGAACAATCTGTAGCACATACACCCATGTAAAATCGTGAGAAACGTATAGGGTTTTCCCCAAGTATATTATTCGTGGGACGTTGAAGTGGCACAGTCTTTTCGACGCATTTGTTTCCATTCGGACTACCATAGAATCTAAGTTTATTCGCGATTATCTTCTGTGGCTGATGTCAGCATATTCAAAAGATAATTCTTCGTGTTTAGTTTGGCATAGTAGATAGAAGTTCAGATCAGAGATAAAACTTGACCATTCCTTAAAGGGAAAAACAACTTATTTCAACCTCCGATCTCGATATCTCGGCTCCTTTACGAAAATTACGTGCCCTGTTTGCTGGGGCTCATTGCCCCCTTAAAGAACACACGCGGGCTGTTAAGTTGTAATATCCCTCTCATGAATTGTGATGCTTTTGGCAATTCAACACTACTATTGGCTCAATTCAATGTCCCAGAACGTAGAGCAAAGAATTATCCTCAAAGTTTTTAATAATTTTTCTTTTAGCATGCTTCTATCCGACTATTTCAAAAAGAAGGGGGGGAAAGTCTATGAAACACTTTCCCAAGATGATCCATCTGGGTCTCCTATATCAGAAAAATTACATCGTGATGGTTCTCTGAGCGCAAATGCATGGAGCGGTACAGCGCTGCCGTGGAGTGTCAGTGCCATACTTTTGATAGCATTGACAATAATATCCCTTCGAACGGAGCCGTTAGTGGTTAACAAGGAATTGGGAACGTATGAGTCTGGATTTGTGACTGACATAGGTAATGTCTGCTCTCGTTCTAGAAGATGAAATTATTAACAAGAATCGAGAACCGGCCCGCACGGTGATAACATTGAGAAAAACGAAGTTCTATGGGGGAATACACATTGATGGGAATGGAAGCTATTCACTCAGTGTGAACCCAAATACTACCAACTTTTTTGCTCCGCCGAGTCCAGAGGTTGATGCTGCGTGGATGGAAGACATGTTGAATGGTGAGATTTCGGACTAGCATCGTCGTCTACTAGAATCCTTATGTAATGATTTCTAGGTGGGACCTACGGGTTCATGAGGCTAACGCCCGAAGAGATCAAGCATTCCGGAATGCATGTGCTTGAGGAGTATTTGGTGGACGGGACATATCTTGTGCAGTATGTTTCCCCGTCTCTAATCTACGAGTTCAATTTGTGTCTGATAGTAACTTGGAAGGCCGAGTGCAACGCATGCGCTCCATTGTCTGGTACGTCTTGGGCAGCCGTTCAATCCTACCCTTTGCAAATTAATTGACCAGGGGGAGTAGAACACCATCCGCAAATCACTAGCACGTGATTATTACACAGAGATCAGCGACGAGCCCGCAAGACCATACCATATGAGTCATCGAATGCATCTTGTTATTGTCTCCGTTTTGCAGTCTTCTCCTCAAAATCGTGGCTAATTTTGATATCTTGTTTTAGATCATTGCTTGGAGAACATTCGCCAGCACCTGATCTGCAACTTCGATTTGACCTGGACTCCTAACGCGTGGAGACCTGAAGCAAGAGTTGCCCACGCCGATACTGATCAGTGGCACGTTTGTAGGGACTTTGAGGGGATCAAGAGCTGGATGGCTACGAGATTATGAGGTTGGTATAGGCTACTGTTTTACGCACCATGGGCCGATCTTGGGATCATTTGAGATCGGGGTGCTACATTCGTAGAACACTTGCCTGTAGCAAAACAGGTTTTAGTCTTTTTCTTGCATACAAGGTACTTCTGGATTTCCAAACCGCATATACCGCTTTTATCTGAGATCTGAGATTTGATATTTTCCTTTCATAGGCTTTTGATACAGCATGATCAGGAATGTGCCTCTTTTCGACCTGAGGCCGGGGACTAGGGACAATTCAGCCGCAACCTCTTAGTACCATGGAAGAGAACCATCTCCCACCGCAGAAGTACTCAAAAGGAGCGCAGCCATACAATCCGTATCAATGAGATTCAGATCTTTGTTCAACTGGGTAATATATAGACTTGGCACTCAATTGTATGGCCAGAGTACGCAAAGCAACTACCGCCGCTCAGCGCTGCCGTATATGATCTTCCCAGCCGAAATGCTACGCTTAATGACAACTTTCATGTTCGACTACTTGTCGTTGAACGAGTGAAAACTTGATGAAATCAAGCCCTAAATAGAGAAGAGCTCTGGAAACTGACTAGATACCATGGATTTTATGGTTGCGATAGATTTCTGTCTACAGAACACCATCGGTTACCGATTCCTCTTAACCCACCCTCCATCCGTCTTGACAATAGACCTTTTCCAAATTGCATCAAGAAGAGCGTCTTCATCCCGACACATATGTCTTGATGTCCACTCCATCCCCTCATGTATTTGCAAACCCTTCGGCTTTTGAATGGTCAAATCTCCTTTACATAGTACAAGCTGGGTTGTGGATAATGGAGTTAGTGCCTTACATTCTAATCGAGCAATCTTTTGGACGTGAAGGAGGAAAAGGTAAGAGGGTGTGTCCAAGAGTGGAGAACAGACGGACCTCTCTCAATACCTCAACACAGTGGTTAGCATGATAAATCTCCAACTCCGTTAGTCGGTCCGTCTGGTCTGTCTTGTTATACATCATCACGGTACGCTTGAGCAATCCCTAGCATGAAAGGTCAATGAATATTTGCAAACGGTAACCCACCTTTCTCCCACCTTTCAAATCAAGGGAATCGGTAACGAAAATGAGAACTCACAACACAATGAAGTTGATGCAATATTCAGGCTGCGATGGCGCCCCACCCCGAAAAGAGCATGGAGTTTGTCGCCGTGTCGCACTCGTACGCGGCACGCCTCTGAACGCCGCAGCGAAGGGATACTCGGTGACGGAGCGCGCGGCGCAGCATCAGAAGGGAGGTATCCGCGCTATCGTTTAACTTACGAGCACCGCGCCGTCGAGGGCGGGTGCATGCGCACTCAGCGTCCTGCCACCGGGCTCAGACGTTGTCGACGCTGCTGACTGGCTGACGGTGGCCAACGGAAAGGCAAAGGCTGCTTTCCACGGGCCGGAAATGGCAGAAGACGAGGCCGACCAGTACCTGGCGTCGCTGCTGCCGCAGTCGCTACAGTCGCTGACAGGCGGGCCCTCGGTGGGTGTGGAAGAGATAACTGTCCCCATATACTACATCCTGTGCGAGAAAGACCAGACGATTTCTCCAGCAACGCAGCAGGCCATGATCTCGACGATTCCATCGCTCAAGAGGGTACTGCGCAATCCCGGTGGCCACGCAGCATGCGTGACAGAGGTAGAGAAGCTTGTGAAGCCGATTATCGAGATTGCAGATGAGGTTGAGAAAGAGCCAAAGGTGTGACTAATCACTAACGGATGCTTACGATCGCTCCCGATGAGGAGCGTAGAGACACCAACTTAAGTGTGGGTGATATTTGCTACCCTGGAGGGGAAGTTTAGAGGCCTTGGTCGTGTAGTTACATCGCGTGACGTGTCTGAGCCAAGTCGAAATTCGTGCAATCGCTGTTGTGTTGTTTGACTAACCGTAAACTGAGTGTATTCTACTCGCAGTGTTGCAGCATAGTTGTAATGGTTGTGTTTAACATCCAAATTTCCACATCAGCACTAGTGGTTTAGTGGTAAAATCCATCGTTGCCATCGATGGGCCCCGCGTTCGATTCGCGGCTAGTGCAGTTATGTTTTTTGCCGGATGAATCAAGCCTTCATTCAGTCTTGAGTTGAACTTGGTTGAGAGTCAAGGCTGCCGATTCCTTTTACTCAAGGATTGCATGGCTGAACCGACATGATGCACGTGAGTAGATTTCTATGTATGTGTGTGTCCTCTGGTGTGCTGTTGTTGAACCAGTAGTCAACGTATGGAATTGCCAAGCTCTAGGGTGGGTTTACAAGCACAACAGCTCTCGGATTGAATATCGTGGAAATGCAAACTCTGTATACAACCGTGCCATGCCATTTCGGGGTATCAAAGTCTACCAATGCTTTGCTATATACATCTGCAGGTTCTGTACGCATCGCAGACAGATTCTTTCTGACCCATGTGACTCAGCTTTTTGGCTTGCCTCCCTTATGCCATAGCAAGACCATGGTAAACCATATCTGTCTCAACTCATACAAGCTATATGGGCTCGAACTCAATTCATTGCTCGGCCAAACATGATCCATGTCGATCAGAAATGCTTGTTTGTTGACGTTTTATTATTGGGTTTCCATGATGCTCTCCTCTCACCCATCGTAACTTTGCTGTCACAAGGAACAGGGGCCGGTATATTGGCAACGCCTCAGACATAGATTCTGACGCGTTGCAGACTCCAAGGACCTCTGGACTGAAACATGATCAGGGGTAAGTACGATCGTCATCATCCCCAGACTTGCGCTTGAAGTTGCGTTTGACGTTGCGCCTGACGCGCTTCCTGAAGGGTCGGTGCCCTTGCGCGTCCCTGTTCTCCATGCCCTGATTCATCCTGGCTGTGGTGTTCATGTTGTCGGTCACCATCGTTGCCATCATCGGGTTGAACATTGGCATGATGCCGAAAGCGGTTGTGCTCGTGTTGTGACCGTGATTATTGCCTGGAGTGTTCGGCTGCTAACCGGAACCCCCTTGGTGAGGCCACTGTTGACCGGACTGCTGACTGGTACCCTGGTTTTGGTTGTGGTTCTGCAACTGATCCTGAAGTGCAGAGAAGAAAGCCGGGTTGTAGAAGGTGGGAGCCTGCCCACCTTGCTGCTGGAACTGAGGGGGAGGAGGTGGTATGAAGTTCGGCGGCAGGTTCTGCGGTGGCTGCGGCCAGGCAGGGAACGGGAGTTGAGTACCCTGGCCCTGGCCCTGACCCTGACCCTGACCCGCAGAAGTTCCAAAGAACTGTGCAGCAGGAGGGACCGAGTAGGCCTGATTGCCAAGCTGGGGTGGCGGGTGAGGAAACGAGCCATACGACTGTTGCGGAGGCGGCTGCTGAAACTGCTGGCCATAGCCTTGTGTTCTCGGAGGCAGTGAGTGACCGGATCCTCTGCCTCGATTGCCACGAGCACCTCGGTCACGGGCGCGGCTCCTACCTCTGAAGTCACCCCTACCACCTCGGAATGAACCGCCGTTGTCCTGGCTAGCCGACGAGCCATGAGTGAATGTCGAGGGACCCTGTCCAAAGTTGGCAGGTCGAGCCAAAGGTCGGTACGGGCCGTCGTCATCGTCATCGTACTTTAAAGCTGTAGGCTCGGTAATAGTGTCATGCGAGCCGCGTCGTCCGCCGCGGCCAGATGCTCCTCCCCCGCGTCCGTGCCGAGCCTTTCGCTTTTCTTTCTGCTCTCTCTTGTAAGCCGCCTCCTTCTCATCATCGGAAAACTCCATCTCGTCGTCACCGGGCTCTTCGTCATTCAGATTACTGGCATCGGTACCCTTCATACTCTTGAGAGGTTCAGTAAAGACGAAAGAGGCATGCTCCGGGCTGTAGTAGACCTTGGAACCAAGGGTAAGGTTGTACGACTTGAAATCCTCATCATCCTTGAAACGTGCAGTGTAGCGTGGTTCTCGGACACTACCAATGAGATCTGCGAGAGCTGCGAATGTAACTCGGCCCTCGGTGAAAAGAGCAGAACCGGAGTCGAGGACCCGGTGGTCACCCGGCGTGTAAGCCTTGACAACAATGGTGTTATCGATGATGTGCTCGACTTCACCCAATACCTCCAACTTGCTCTCTTCGGTCAGAGTAATCTCAGGCTTCGGAAGGATGTCCTCGACCTGTTCGTTCTTGGTGCGCAACTGCGCACCCGAGGCCGAACCTCTCGGCTTGCCTTCGCCCTCATCGTCAGACCCGGCTTCCATCAGCATACGTGCCAGTTCTTCGGGGTTCAACAGCTCCTTGCCGTCATCTGAGTCGTCATCTTCATCGTCCGAATCATCTGAACTGCTTGAGTCTGAAGACGACTCGTAAGGCGAAGAGTCCTCCTCCCATTCGGGATGGCCTGATTGCTCGTTGTGCTCTTGGACATCCTGAACATCCTGCATCTCACTGTTTTCTTCCGGATTCTGAGTAGGATGCTCTGTGGCAGACGCACTACTTGCAAAGCCTTTCAGATATTGTTCAAGATCCTGAGTGAGTGACGGGGGGCTCGGAGGCGCAGTGAGCTCATTAGCAGTTGTTGCAATGGCGGGATTGTGCTGGTCGACTTCCATCGCACCAGCATCGCCATTGACGGTGGCAATGACATTGGGGTCATGAAGAGATGCTGTAGTCAGAAGCGCGTCTCCGGAGTCATGTGTCTCATCAGCTGCAGCGGATGACGGTCGACTCTGGGCAGGCTCAGAAGGAGGAGCTGCATGGGAGGCATTCTCTGTCTGGGGGACCTGGGTCTGCGACAAAGTCGTCAGACCCGGGATCTGGAAGCCCTTTGACGCCATGTTGGTGTGGACTATGTGCGCCAGGCGACGAGGACAGCTTGAGACGCGTTGAGCTGGTTGCAGAATCGGCAGCTACAGTATGCAGAGAAACCAATATCAGGTCGGCGCAAGAACCGTTTGTTGACGTGACGACTGCCTTGCCCTTTTATTTTGGCAGCGACCACAAGTTTATGGACGCGCGGCCAGAGAAAAAGCAGAGAAAGAATAGGAACAGTCCAGAGATTGCTCCTCTTCAAGGTCGGCGACTTCACTCTACTTCGTGAGTTGATATCACGAAGAAGAGCTTGATGATGAAGATCACTTCAAGAACTCACTTTGCAGGCTTGAATTATTTTTGGGCAGTTTGCGACCCACCTGCAGTCAAGAAAAATTAAAGTGGGACGGCCTGAGGCGAGAAGCCGGTGCTAGCGGTATTAGCGCTCTTTAGCGCCCCGTTATAGCGACTTACACCGCTTGGCCACCTAAAACTGTCAGGCAGTAACCTGCGGCGGCACCTGCTGCGGGGGGCTTGCCTTCCGCTTTAGCGCATGTTGCACCAACTGGCCAGCATCTGGCTTCGCTGGCGAGGTCTGATTTCGTGAAGAGCTGAACAATAGTGTGCGGCCGACATCCATCCCAGCTCCTACCTTACACTGCCGTCGCCGTCCGAGTCGGTTTCAATCAAAGCTCCAACAGCGCCTTGCTACTCTCGGCCAGCTCTGAGCGTGGACCAGGGTTTCCGGGACTGTGGTGTGGAGTTGCCCGCTTCACCAGGCGCCTCACAGTGAGGTCACTGCCAGACTGTGCTAAAACCAGAGATACTAGGGGCCCCTGGTTAGCTCCCCGCTAGCGCATGTAGCTGGGCGGTTACTGATGAGCTTGCAGCTCTGCGTTAACCTCTGGTCGACACCACACATTCAGATGACGAGAAGTTGTGTTGACTGCCTCCCGCGGTCAGCCTGCACATCTACGCTTCGCCATGGCGCCTGATCCCCAAGACAGAGCGGAATTCGTCCATCCCGCAGCGAGCCATGCTAAGAAGAAGAAGTAAACCACGCTCCACAGATTCCACGCTGCTCTGAATCACAGCTGACCATGACTGCTTGACCTCAGGGCCCCTTCGCCGTTTGCCATTGCGCCCATCTCGGCCTTCTACGTCTTTCTGGCCGCCAACCTGATATCGGCCCTCTATGCTCCGATCCAAGACTGCGACGAGACCTTCAACTACTGGGAGCCTACCCACTATCTCTCCCATGGCTATGGTCTGCAAACATGGGAGTACTCTCCCGACTACGCCATTCGAAGTTGGTTCTATGTCGGCCTACATGCTATAGTTGGGAACTTTCGGCGACTGTTACCCCATCCGACAAAGCTTGGCGAGTTCTACTTCGTCCGATACATACTGGCCTTTATATGCGCACTATGCCAGGTGCTGATGTTCCGGGTCGTGAGCTTCACGTTGAATCCCCGGATTGGGCTCTTCTTCCTGATCGCCACCGTCATCACCCCCGGGAATTTTCACTCCGCTACGGCCTTCCTACCCTCTAGCTTCGCCATGTACACGTCTCTCTTAGGTGCAGCCGCGTTCATGAACTGGCGTGGCGGAGTCAGAACTTCTTGGGGCATCTGGTGGTTCGCCGTCGGAGGTATCCTCGGGTGGCCATTTGCTTCTGCTCTGAGTTTCCCCTTCCTGATTGAAGAAGCCGTATTTGCCCTTGTCAGCACCAGAGAAGGCTTCTTTGAAGCGTTCCTGCGAGTCACGCGTGGCGTCGTAGCTGCACTTCTACTTGTCGTAGGTTCCCCGCTCCTGGTTCATTCTGACTCTACTGACATGCCTAGATGGGCGATACTTTGGTCAACACCTTCTTCTACAAGAAATGGGAAATGGTCTCTTGGAATATTGTCAAGTACAACATTTTCTCGTCAACTGGCGGCCCAGATTTGTATGGAACGGAACCCTGGACCTTTTACTTCCGGAACTTGGCCATCAACTTCAATATTTGGTTCATTCTTGCACTGCTCTCGCTGCCCTTGTTCCTGATTCAAAAGGCTATCTCTTCACGGCAGTATGGCTTCCAGTCCGGCTTGCGCACCATCGTGTTCTTGTCTCCCTTCTACATGTGGCTGGCTATTTTTACCCTCCAGCCGCACAAAGAGGAACGCTTCATGTATCCAGCATACCCCTTCCTGTGCTTCAATGCTGCTTTGGCACTGCATGTGCTCCTGAACGCCTTTGGCCATTCCGACCCAAAAACCTTGTTTGGCAAGATTCCCGCTCGATTCAAGCTGTTCGTGGTTGCTTCCACTCTGTTCCTCTCCCTGGACATCGGTTTGGCTCGTGTGATAGGCCTTTACACTGGCTATTCAGCACCCTTGAAACTGTACTCCCCGCTGGGCGCTGGCGTTGCCGAAGAGCAGGGACTTGGTGGCCGCGGGGACAACGTGTGCTTTGGCAAAGAATGGTATCGCTTCCCTAGCTCCTACTTCCTTCCGAGAGACATGCGCCCCAAGTTCGTACGGTCAGAGTTCCGTGGTCTGCTTCCTGGTGAGTTCTCTGAGGCTCGCACTGGTTTCGGTTTTTGGAGTGGGACATGGCTGCCCACTAGCGGCATGAACGATCGCAACGAAGAGGATATGGGGAAGTATGTTGATATTCGACAATGCTCATTCCTGGTTGACACTCGGTATCCCGAAAATACAGGCCCACTGCCACCCTTCGAGCCGGACTACGTCGCAGACACCGAGAACTGGGAGGTTGTCAAATGCGAGCCTTTCCTCGACGCTGCCAAGACTCATCTGTTGGCAAGGGTTCTCTGGGTACCTGACTCCAAGTTGGTACCTGATAAATTCAGACGCAAATGGGGCCATCATTGCCTGTTACAGAGGAGGGCCCAAGCTTAGTCCTTGTGTCCTAGTGCTACTGATTAGCGCCAGTGGCAGACGCGTGTGGTATCAGGGCTGCACTTTGCCCCAAGTTCTATGTTGTTATAGCTGCTTCAAAGCACCGGTGGCGCAGTTGCATGCTCTCCGCTTGCCTGTTGACGCGAAACCCCCTCCCGGAGACCACAATGCGGGCCGATGCAGCACATTCCATTCGAATGTGCGGGGACAAGCCCGACAACCTGCAAAGCCCAATCTATTTACGGATTGTTGTTGGTGCAGCGTTGCATCAGGGCTATGTTCCCACTTGCGAGTCCACAACTTTCACTGGCTGGCTGCATGTGACTCTGCAAGATGGTATAGGAACGTTCAGCAAGACCAGCGTCTGTGCAGGCGAAGATGCGCGGAATGGGGCTGTGATCACGCCTCGGCTAGGACAAGGCTGCACCACCGCTGTTGCAGCTGGCTGGTAGGCTGGGGTACGCTGGTCCCGTTCCGCACAAGAAGCATAGTTATATAGCACCGTGGTAGTCGAGGAATTAGATGCTGTCACTCTGGTCTTTAGACATCACTTGAACAATTTGCCTACTGTCTTACAAATTCTGAGCGCGTGATGGATTCATCCAGACTGTTGAGCCTCCTTACGCCCTCAACAGCTTTCACCTTTTCACCTTCCGAGAACGTATACCCAAAAACGGACTGCGCAGAGTCTACAACGGAATATATCGGCTCCCGGTCCTCGGATACCTACCCACTCCCGCGTCGCCCTCGACCCTGGTGGAAAGCCATTGGAACCATCGGGTCCCTGACGCTATGCCTTTCGTTCATAGTAACTGTCGCCGCGCTGGGTTTCCTTGTGTTTTTGTGGACTGGAGACAAATCCTTGGAGGGGAAAAATGCCCCCGATTTATGGCGAACCATCATGCTCCACGACTGGGCCACACCTGCAATTACCTTCACTACACAGGTCATCCGTGCAGCAGTTGGGCTGCAAGTGAGCATCTGCACCGGCTTCGTTGCCGCGATCCTGTTTGAGAGAGCGGAAGTCACCCTCTGGCAGATCGCACCCTACTCGATTTTGCGAAGTGTCACAGCGAGCCCTGCAGACCTCATGAACCTAATTATGTTTGGGGAGAGACCGAAGAGGCGCTGGCTCAGCATGCCAATCATCCTTTTTGGTCTCATGACCTTGTTTTTTATGGCCATTCAGTGGGCCTCCACGATTCTCGTGCTTGACCTTGGCGATGCAACGCTGGTTCAAAAGGTGCCTATCATTCAAAACATTACCTTAGGGCCAGAGATAGGATACACTGGGAAGGAAGCTTTGGAGGGTTCACGCAAGAAGCCGGATGGAGGTCTTCTGGACCCGCCTATGGCTCAGGCATCACAATCTGACTACACCTCTCGGCCCCAATTTTTCTCCCCGTTCGGCGAGATTGGTTCTGAGTTTCAACTTCCGGATAAGAATGGTGTGAGTGAGACTGGCGTCATTCAACGGGCATTTATACCCTTCCTTAACTCGAGTGATCGTATTGCCCTCAGAGATTATATTGGGTACACGACGATATTCGACTCCCGAGTGGCGTGTCTACGTCCCCCTTTTAAATCAGCATACCGGATGCGGAACGCATTGGCGGGTCAACTTGACCTGTCTGATCTTCCCAAGGATCACGATCTTCCGCGCAGAACCGACAAATGTGAAGAAGATATCATCCATTCGAAAAAGAATTGCTCGAGCTCTTTCTTTAGTTGTTCAACCTACATTCGCAGCCGCGAGGGCAGGGATAACGAGACTACATTTGCATGCCACTTGGACTTGCCGCTTAATAACACTGCGTTTGACGCACCACTATTCAACTTGGCATCGCAATACTCAGTAGATAAATCTTTTCTGATATTCAACTTCACAGGCGCCGCCAATAACGACAGATACAGCAATTATTTCGAATCAAACGAATCAATTACCCTGACAAACCCGCGTGGCGAGGGTGAATGGACTACTTACGACATTGGGAAAAACGGCACAGTGACGGCGAGCTTATGCTTCTCGTCTTTTGTCGTGGAGTTCTCCGAAGTACATCTGACCTCGCCTAATATGCTTACCGAACCTGCAATGTCTTTCAACTTGGACACCAAAATGTGGGATACCATCCAAGTCCGCAAGAGATTAGATGCTCTCCAGGAAGAGATTGGCTTTGATGACCGGGGGATAATGAGAATGAAGAGACTCAATCTGACCAAGAGCTTGGCAACAAATGAGCCTTTATATACCATGCAGCTCCTCGATCTCGTAAGATTGGCGTCTTCGGCGTATCGGCAAGGCAACGTTTCAATTCCAATGTGCGCAGGTTGTCACACAATAGAGGACAACAGCACTCTGGCCTCTGTCAGTGGCTTCCAAGTGCATAAGCCTATGCATCCACAGTACTCTTCTCTATTTCAACAAACGCTGCAAGAGACAGGTCGGCCTGCACGGGCGTTATCAGCTATCTTAACTATCTTGGCGCAAAACAGCTACTACGATGCGCTTTCGTTATCCGATGCTAGGCAGGAAGTCACCACCCTATCGGCGGTTCCGGTCAGGGTCCCCGTCAGGTTCAACGGACTCAATGCTGTTGCGTGTATCGTTGTTGTGGAATTGTTCTGCGTCGTCGCGATCACTGCGCTCTTCCTGCGGCGAACCAAGTTCTCGATGCAAGGCAATTTCTGGCAGGTGGTATCACAAATCGTCTGTGAGGAGACATGGCCCATTCTCGAGCAGTCATCAGACCTGCAGGATAAGGAGGTGGTCCATCTTCTCCAGCAACAAGGCGATGACGCCACGCAGGTGGGCGTGACCAGATCAATCAACACGGGGCGTCCAGAAGTTGTCCGGAGGAGAAATCTCGGTTAGTCATGGTCATCTCAACATGTCTAGGGAGTCACTTGAAATAGAGAAGAACATTCATTCCCCGATAATTAGCGATGCGCTGGTTAATCATGAGATTATTATCTGGACACGCAGCCGATATCATGATTCACTGTACGAGTCGAAGTACTTATTCCGTTGGATTTTCTGCGTTCTCATTCAACAGCAGCTCTCACAGAAGCATAAACCGTAGCTAGAAACCCCACAATGCTCGCGCCATTGAGCCGCATAGCGATCATTGTCTTCATTCTTGCCATCGTTTCACACGCAAACGCGGACTATTGGATCTACTACACCCGCCTCTTCGGATCTCAAGGTGGCCCTGATGAATGCAAGTTTCTACGTACTAGCAACCCCAGCTGTGATGAGGTTGCTGCTGGCCAGTCCTTCGTATTCAAGGAGGATGTCAGTGGCAGGCAGACAGGGTGCCATTTAGCTGGCAACGAGCCTCAGCCGGACTTTCTCGAGTTCAATACCCCCAGAACTGGATATTTCAGTAAGTCCTGCATCACTGCCTCCATGAAATCTCTTGAGCTTGACCCCAAGCGTACTGATAAGGCTTCAGACATATCGAAGGATACCAGCTACGATATGATCGATTCTCAGGGCCAGACTCAGGGCCACTGTGAGCTGGATAATGCTTATTCATACCGTTGCTTATACCAATTCACCGTAGAAGCAGGGACATCTATCATGAAATGCACAACTGGTGTTGAGGTGGGCTCTGACGCGTCATAGGATATTGGGCACTCCGGTCGTCCTCTTTGCTGCAGTGTCCAGAGGCAGATAGCAGAGAGTACTTTGACGCTTTCATAGTAACAAAAAAATAGCTTATTTTCACACACACATAATTATAATATTACTGAGCGGCGCCATAGTCACAGTAAACAGAAATATTGAGCCGGAGTTCCCTGCGGGCAATGCGCACAGAATGGTCATCCGGAGGGAGAGTTCCCGAACGCCGAGTGAAGCTGTGGTCACGAGCAAGAAAAGTACAAGGAGTGCCTGACTAGTGTATCACCATTGAGTATCAACCTGACTGAGGTGCGCGCAAGTATCTCTCTACCGGCCGCCATGGGTTGCAAAGTACATGGCCGGTCTAAGTAATCATTACCGCCGTCCGACTGTGGTGTCTTCGTACTGGCTGTGGCTCGGTGCTAAGCATGCAAACCACGGGAACTAGGCATTCGGCTTTCTATTTTCATCGCAATTAGAGTTGGCCGACTACCTGGTGAGCACTAGAGCATCTAGTCTACCGGTCGGAGAGTCCTATTCCGGATGGCTTTAGTAACTAGGTTCGGGGCCGACAGTCGATGCAACGTTGAAGATGACAGATGTAAGTGTTGCACTGCATTCAGATGTTCGGGCTGAGATGTGACATATCCTCTTATACAGACACAAACTTGATACTGGATCGGTCAGGCAAACGGACTGGTAATTTTGGGCTACCGACTGAGCACTCAAGAACTTGCAGTCACTGTTTATCAATCCTGTCGAGTCCTAGACACTTACTTCTCAGGAGTGTTATGGCTTCGCAACGATTGAGACCATCATTGCCCGTCCGTACCACGACTGATGCCCACAATGGCAGAAAATTCCGGGCCACGGAGAAGCGGCACCGCCGGATGGAGATTAACGTTTTCACGCAAGGCTTAGCCGGACCGTTGGAAGCCACAAACCTTGGTCTGGTCCAGCCTCTTGTCAAGGCCGCATTAGTTTCAACTTAATAACCGCCCTGATGAACTGCTGGACAACTGCATAGCCATGAGACCTCTATCTAGCATGTCGACATATAAAAGTGTTGGATAGACCTGTATCTTTTGTTGTATCTCATATCATCCAACTTTTTTAATCATTTTACCTAGATCCATTCTATTGTCTCCAATTGCCTTACATAACAGCATCTGAGGATTTTCTGATAGATAACTGCGCAAAGCATTACAATGGTTTCTGCAACTCTGGTTCACACATTAGGCTTCCTCTGCCTCACATCTGCCTTCGTCATCCCATCTCGCGATGGCTTTCCTGATCCCAACTCCCAGCAGCTTCTAGATATTGAGACAAAGGCGGATGGTCTTCTTTCGAACGAACCACCTCCGCCAACGTTAAGCGATGCTGGAATCGCCAACTTTCAGCTCATTGCTTTCAATGAGAACTTCGAAGTCGCATTTTTCTCGTCTCTCATTGAGAATATTACGAACAATGTCCCTGGCTATGAAAGAGCACCGGGGTTGAAGGACACTGATTCCTTGCTTGAAATTCTGAAGACAGTTAAAGCTGTAAGTACCTGCCCATGTCCTATCTACCCCAACTTCACTAACAATCATTTCAGCAAGAAGAACTTCATGCCATTACTGCTATCCAGACCTTGGAACACTTCAACGCCACCCTGGTGCCTGAGCCTTGCACATACACATTTCCTTCTAGCGACCTGGAATCAGCACTCTCCTTGGCCGAGACTTTCACAGCCGTAGTGCTAGGCACGCTTGCGGATGCCGAGAAGTCGTTTGCTGAGAACAATGATGCCGGCGACGTGATCAGGGCGATCGCATCCGTAATTGGTCAAGAAGGAGAGCAGAATGGTTTCTACCGCTTCCTGTTGGACCGAAAGCCATCAGAGAGGCCGTTCCTAACGACCAGCACGGGTCCTTTTGCCTTCTCGGCTCTGCAACAGTTTGTCGTCTCATGCCCCTTCAACGTATCTGATATTCCGATCCCCATCTTCACTCCCCTCAACGTGGTGACCACACCCGAGGCAAGAGACATGACACTCACTTTCTCGGCGGATCTGAGTGGTACCGGGTATGCCCAGAACGGTACCTCTAATGGCGACCTGTTCATCACATATCTAGTTGGCCAGCAGGTCCCCATTACTGAGCCTATCAGCAATGTCAACTACGATGGGAGCGTCATCACTTTCGATGCCCTCTTCCCATTTTCGGAGAACATTATGGAGGGCCTTAGCATTGCCGCTCTAACCAACTCTTCCAACTTCGAGGATGCTGATGATGTGCCTGCGAACACCATCGCAGCACCAGGACTGATTCAGGTCAATGACCTGCTGGCAAGGCGCGGCCGCGATCAATGAGTGAATTCGATGCTGCTTCTCATAGTGTAATCGACAAAAACAGGCTCTGCTCGGGGTTGACTCATCATTTTTCGCTCAGCCGGGATGGGTGTTGTTGTTTAATAAGAATATGCGAATGCGCGTAAGACTTGCAGGGTAAATCGTTGATTCCAGGTTGAAAAGGATATAGAATAAGCAAAAAATAATTACTTTCCTTAGGTGTAATACAATCGTATTTGTGGTCTTCTAAGATACCCATGCATTGAGGTACCTTGGGCTGGGATTTCCAGCGGCAATGAACACTGACAAGGGCCATCCGTAGGATGCCAAACAGCACTGACTTTGACTAGTCTATTTGCCTTACCAGACGTTGATGTTTGGATAATTCGTGAGGAAGTCTACTGATGCAGTAGTCTACAGAGCACAAGGTCCAAAGCACCAAGCCTCGATCTACGGAGCGGAATTGCTAGGAATCCTCTTGTCATTCGCCTGCCTCTAAAGTTGAATACACCGACTAGAAGCCCAGCGGACACAAATCTGCCACTCGATTGCACGTATGGGAGCTTGAAGTATCGCAGCCTGTGACTTGTCACTTGATTGGCTCCAGCCAGGCGGCTAGGATCACATTAGTCTGGATGGAGTGAAGCAGTCTTGGCAGCAAAACATGGGGGACCATAAGCACGGTGCATTGACCTCACGAGCTGGATTGAGTTGCAAGGAACAACTCTGCTTAATCGTAAAAAGTAACAAGCTAACACGGTTCTCGGTACAAAGTGCAAGAAGTTGAGAGGTTGCGTCGACGAGATTTGGTGACTGGGCGTCATATTACACCGGAAAGTAACTGACATAGCCGTATAGCACCATGGCTTATGAGAGTCTGTGACACGTATACTTGCCATCCTCTGGGTGATTTCCATAGATATTGGTGTAGGCTAGGATTCAAAGGGCCAGTTTCGGTGCAAATGCGGTTCAAGCACGAGCAATTTCTACGCGATTTTTCCGGGAGAGTGAAACCCTTGGCACAGAGCCAGTCCAATTCCTTGTCATGAACCCAAGTGCACACCTTCAAGTTCAGCTGACCAGGTTTAGTGGCGTTACTAGTCAGGATCCGGACCATTCTGCGTGTTTAGCGAAGTCTCGTTACTTGGCATTGGCTTGGAGTCCGGGGACACGATCCAACACTGGGGTAAACTCCATGGGGGAATGCGGGGGAGGTAAGGCTGTTCGGACCATGACCCGACAGCCACGGCCTCGGGAGCGCATATGGTGCCAGAACTCGGTGTTAAGTTGAGCGAGTCCTCTTGGCATAGTTTTCTTACCTTGGGACATATACCCTTCCCAGCTCCCTTATCTCAGTTGTGTTCTGTGTTCCCTCCCCGACATCGCCTATCATCCCAAGAACCAGAGGACTTCATTGCATTCTAAGCGCCAACATGGCGCTCAACGAGGAGGCCGGCCACAAACCGGGGTCCATCGACCACACTGAATATGAAGTACACAACTCCCAAGTCGACCTCATTGAGTCTGCCGTCGCTGCCAGTGACGAAGAAGCCAAGATTCCCCGCAAGGAGCTTTTTTCGCGGTACTGGCCCGCCGTAATCTATAGTGGCCTTCTCAGTATGGCCTTGATTATGGAGGGTATGGATGTTGGCCTGATCAACAATTTCTTCGCGCAAGATGCCTACCTGGCCCACTTTGGCTGGCCAGATACCAACGGCAAACAGCATGTGCCTGCATCGTGGCAGTCAGCTATCAGCAACGGCAACAATATTGGCAGTATCATCGGTCTCTTATTGAACGGCTACTTGCAATCCCGATTTGGGTCTCGCAGGGTATACTTGGCCACTATGGTGCTGATGGGTGGCACTATTTTCGCCCTCTTTTTCGCCGTCAATGTGCAAATGTTGTTTGCAGCCAATATTCTATGTGGCATCCCGTGGGGCGTCTTCCAGACTCTGACGACTGCTTATGCCGCTGAAATCTGCCCTGCAGCCATGCGCGGTTATCTTACGGCATGGGTGTCCATGTGCTGGGGCGCCGGCTCGTTCTTGGCTGCCGGTGTTCTCCGAGGCTCTTTGAACATTCCGGGAGACCTTGGATGGAAGATTCCCTACGCCCTACAATGGGTCTGGATCGTTCCTCTGTTTATTGTGGGATTCCTAGCCCCTGAGAGTCCTTGGTACCTAGTCCGCCGAGGACGTATCGACGAAGCCGAGAAGGCTCTGCGTCGTCTCGCCCGCAAGGACTTCTATACCGAGCATACTATGGCCCAGTCGCTTGCATTGATGAAGCACACCAATGAGATGGAAAAGATCGAGGCAGCGAACTCAAGCTACCGGGACTGTTTCCGCGGCACTAACTTACGCCGTACTGGAATCGTCTGCATGGCTTGGGTCATTCAGATCCTCAACGGCCAGTCGGTGACCGCATACGCTGCTGTCTTTTTGAAGTCGGCCGGTATGCCTACAGTCCAGTCCTTCAATTACAACATGGGAATTCAGTCCGTTAATATCTTTGCCACGGCTATCGCTATCACCCTGATGGGTAAGATTGGCCGACGCTTTTTCTTCTTCTGGGGATCTACAAGTATCGGGCTTGCCATGCTTATTATCGGCATTTTGGGTTTCGTTCCTGGAGCGTCGAACGTAGCTCTTGCAGTTGCCATCGTCATGATCGTTGTCCAGATCATTTTCAAAGTATCGCTCGGCCCTACCACTTACGTTATTGTTGCTGAAACATCATCTAACCGAGTCCGCGCTCAAACAATCGTCCTGGGTCGCGCTGTCTATGTCACGGGCCAGATTATCATAGGGCAACTGAACCCGCGCATGTTGAACTCGACCAGTGACGCCTGGGGCTGGGGCGCCAAAAGTGGTTTATTCTACTTTGGGCTTTGCTCCATTTGGGCAGTGTGGATTTTCTTCTGTCTCCCCGAGACGAAGAACCGTAGCTTTGCAGAGCTGGACATACTCTTCCAGAAGAAGACCTCGGCGCGCAAGTTTGCCACAGCTCAGGTCGATTGTATGTGATCTCCTCTTTTCTGTCTTTGATAAATAGTGAATGAGTCCGACTAAACTAACCTAACACAGTATTCGAAATCACGCCCCCCAAAGACGAGCACCATAAAGCTCAACTATGACCAGCAAAACAAAACGCCAATGAGATTCTGGTAGGAGGTGCTGCAGGAGTCGTCCCAAAAGACGGGGTGGGTGGTAACGTAAGCGAGGCTCACAGTACCGCCGACTGCGGGTGATGTCTTCCTCATATATTGATTGAGGCATGCATCATTATGCTTAATTCAAGTCAGGCGTTGGCTCCACTATTAGCTCATTGTTCAGAACCTCAAACGGTGCTCCATCAGCCCCCTTGTACAAATTGAGTTCTCTCCCGGTGTCGTAATTAATGTGCATCTCTGCTATTACCACCTGGTGGTATTGGACGCTGCTCGTGTCAGACTATTGGTTCCTGCATGTCTTGCTCGGGCAAACAAAGGGGTAGGTATTTAGAAGCTTTCACAAGAGAACGACAAGGGACGCGGGATCACCAAAAGAAAGAGGCAGTTTTACAGCAAGCAAGAGAGAAGACGAAGGAATAGCAAAAGTGAAGGTCCTCCTGGGGGTCGAACCCAGAATCTCCTGATTGGATGAAGTTGTTTCAATCGTAGTCAGACGCCTTGCCATTGGGCCAAAGGACCGAAGAGCCAATCTTGTGATTGGTTGTTGAAAGCGTGTTGGTTAATGTGACTCATGGCAAGAAAGCGTCGGTAGAAATGGGCTGCATCGTGAGATCCGTAGGTGGTGGGGCATTGTCGAAGATTTTTCTGCACTAGTTGGCGGTGGACTTCGCAAACGTTGTCTGTGGATGCTGTAATAGTGTTGGGCTAATTGCGGGTAGATGGGTAGGATGGTAGGAGGGTAGGCGACGAGTCAGATGCCACCAAAATTGGAGCTCAGTGTCAACATAGTCGGACGACTAGTGAGCTATGGTGCTCGTTCAAGATTGCCGCCCCTGAGAGGGGTGGGGTTCTGGAGAGTAACAAGCACGGGACTTCGCTAGTATCTGGAAAGCGGACCAGCGAAGAATCATTGAGGACCGTATGCTCGGTTTTACACAAGCAAGAGGCATTCCTCAATGGTGTCAATGGCACAAAAGTGGCAATAAGATATTTGCGCAACGACTACCACTTTTGTACTTATATTATAAAAGGATTACAGTACTGTAGTTGCACACTATTGTCACGGTCCACCAAGGCGGAGCTAATGATACTTAGCGCATTCAAGTACTCGCTGTAGGAGGTTTGCTTGAAAGCAGCATAGTATGAGACATGATGTATCTTCACGGCTGGCACTTTAGTTGCCGTGCTATGTACTAGAGTCTGAAACTGCCGAGATTCAAGCTCTAGGAACATTTGTAAGCGGAGTTTCGTAGCACCCAAAAGTCCGAAATCGATACAACCTCCACTTTAGGTTTTGACAATAGTCACGGTTGCTGAGACATGTATTTAAATACAATGCGACTCCGTCGCAAATGACTGGAATATTGAGGGAGGAGTTGTTCGCAGTAGAACGCCATTCCATGCACGAATGCATCTTTGATCCAGTGACCTCTTGTCGTGTCAGTTGATTGTCTGGTTAGCCAGCTGCTGTTCCAAAATGACACCATACAGTCCCCGGCTTCACAACGAGGTTTACCCTTTCATTGCACCCTCAAAATTTAGAAACTCTCTTGAAAACAAGATCGCTCTTATCACCGGATCTGTGGGAACGATCGGCCAGGCCCTTTCGCTGTGCTTTGCTGTTGCCGGAGCAAGACTCGTGCTAGTGTACAATAGAACAGAGCCACCAGCCTCATTTCTATCAAAATGTCAAGAATTGGGAGCAAGCTCAGTTACGTCCCTGAAGTGCGACGTCTCAGAATTAGAGGGCTGTGAGAGCCTCTTGAACGAGGTTAGTTCATGCCTAGAACGCAGACGGCCGAAACCTGACCATCGGCAAAATCTAGGTGAATCGAACAATTGGCAAGGTAGATATCCTAGTAAATAATGCAGGTGTTGATAGCTTGGGACCTGTAAGTCTACGACTCTGTAGATGAATCGCCTCACATCCAATTTGCTAATTTGTCGTCAATGCCTCAGTTTCACGCGCATGACCCCAAGAATTTTCTTAGGGCAATGTCAGTCAATCTTCATGGGCCGTATTTTCTGAGTCGACTTTTACTCCCCGATTTCATGGAGCGACGCAGTGGCTGTATCATTAATATTGCCTCGCGTGCTGGCTCGTCGGATATGCCATTCAATGGGCACTACTCAATCAGCAAGGCCGCAATGATAAGAATGACTGGATGCATGCAGGCGGAGCTGAGTATCGCTGGTTTTGACGACATTCACATCTATGCTCTGCATCCTGGAGCAATTCCATCCAACATGGCCTCCGCCGGTAAGCATAACGGGCCTCGAATTTCACAGAAGGGTGAGACTGCTGACCAAAAGTCAGAATCGGCGCGAGAAGCCTTGCGTGATTTTCCCGAGTTGCAACAGGTGATGATTGGTGCCCTTGATCACTTCAAGGACTCGCCATACCTGACTGGTATGGCTAGTGTCGCCTTAGCCACTGGTATTGCGAAGAATATACTCAGGGGGAAATATTTCGACGTTGAGCAAGATTTGGAAGATGTCATAAGCCAGGCCTCCGAATTTGAAGCAGACCCAGAGCTATATACGCTCCATACCAAATTCCTGGGCGGGCTGCCGAACGATGGCGGAACCGAGCTCCGACCGGCTGAAGATCCAGTTTCGTTTCCCGGCTTCTAGAGTTCAATGAGGGTGGAGATTGATGCACTGGTCCCCTCATTCAAAGTTTGGCGGCAGACTTCAGAATCAGCAAGACCATTTCAGAGTAATCAATGAATCTAGAATCCAGGGACATATAAGGGTGACAGCGCTCCAGGGTTAATGAGGGATTAGCTGATCGAATGTTTCACACCAGACCTACTACTTTCGGCGACCTCCACAATGTCTTTCTGAAAATAAGAGGCTAGCTACTCATTGGGGACTATCAGGGTAAAAAGCGCTGAAATCAAATCTGATGGATTGGTTTCTGCCGTGGGAGTTTGAGTTTGGTACGAAGAAGAGTGAAGGCAAGGTTAGACTAGTCGATACTGTTCCAAAACGACCAATCAATGTCTCGCAAATCTAGGTCAAGCAAGTTCTTCGCCTCTTGTTCACTTAAGAAGCTCTCGGGAATTTCCAACTCTCTAACACCTCGATGTATACCTCCATTCGCCTCGGTTTCAGATGATGCCTGCGGCACGTCTTCCATACACTCTGACAGTCGTTTTTCTAGGCTTGATACCATAGAAGGCGTAGGTGTGGACCGGCTTACTGTTCCTTTGCTCATACATGTTTTCCAAGCTGCTACTATTAGTTCGGCCGCATGTAGTCTTCGTCGATCCTCTGTGAGCTCAAGAAGAGAGGCATTGGCCGCATACAGGTCTGAAAGTAGAGCCCAAATACGCTGACATGCATCGATGTTGGTTTCCTGCGATGCCTCAACAAGCACCACCATAACTACACGCGTGAGCTTCGCGCCATAACAAAATAGTGAATACTTACAAGCAGGCCAGGGGAAGCCATTTGTAGTAAACCAATCAAAGTCCCTAAGAAGTCGATGTGAATGCATAACAATGGCGTATTCCAACAGCTGCATGGACAACGCCAACAATGAGCCGCGGTTCCCTTGGTTCATCCGATCTGAATATTCGCCAGTCGTCAACAAAATTCGATGGCGGAAAACACAAACAAGTGCGCGCGACATTAATTGTATCAAGATGTGAAGAGGCTTAATCGGGTCGCAGTATTGCAGGAATCGTTTGTTCAAACCGTCCTCCAACCGATCAATAAAGGCTTCCTTGATCTGCATGGGCACTGACTGATTTGTCGACCAAGATAACTCAAAACGTCCCTTATCCGCATGATACTGCCGCTGCTCGTCTAGGATGTAATAAGTGAAGAGGCAATACGACATGCTTGTTAGGCCTTTTCGTTCTTCTGGAAAAGTCTTCATCTCCGGAGTGAAGTCGCCGTCCTCTATGTTCAGAGGCAGCCTAGCATCCCATTCTGCCTTTAATGTTGAGGGCGTAACTCCTAACCTTATCGCTAAGATGAGATCAAGATACTGCAGGTGCCACCAAAGGCGTCGGCGTTCCTCGGTTTCAAAAGGAGACATCCCCAACAAGGTCCCATCTCGATGGATGCCTAGTTTCTCGCCATTACGGATGGCGAGTCCCATTAAGGTCCATAGACTTTGGGTGCTTAGACGATCCAGGCTTGCCATCTGAGTAACACGTGAGCCAACTTAATTTCTAGTGTCTTCAGGGAGATGTCTTACGAGATAAACCGCCATCGCCTTTAGAGCCATGGTATTTTTCATACACAAAATGTCCGTACCTGCCAGGCTTTCCTCACATAGAGCCTGGTACTTTGCCAACATTAAGGGCTTTGACAGGCCAAAATTCGTTCTGCAATCAGACTCAGTGAGGCTGGTGATACTAGCCAAATAGATGGAATATATGAGCGCGTTTTGAGCAATATCGATTTGTGTTGAGTCCGGAGAAAGTGTCACGATAGACTCGAGACGCTCTAGCTCCCACGTGAACGAAATCCTGATAAAAGGGTGGACCCTCTGCTTGAAGAAAGTCCAAAGTATCTGTGCATGTTCTCGCAACTCACTCGAAACAGAAATAGGCGAGTCTCTGCCGCGAATGATATTTTGGAAGGCGGGAATAGCGTTCCGTAGGAACAGAGGATGTTTTGCGTTCGCGATGCGAGTACCGCCTTGGAGATGGCCATGAGTAAGCCACACGCGACTTGGGTGTTCGTTAGTCCATGCTGTCATGAGATTTGATACAATGGACTTACGACTCAAGGTAATGTTGTTGTCCATCTTCTTCTAGAATGACAGGATCTTTGCTTCTTCCATTACTTGAGCTAGTAGGTCGTTGGCTTCCGAAGGGCGATGTGGTTACCGTTACAGAGTTCGGGGATGTGACGCCAAACGGACGACCACCAGGGGCGACATCTTCGTCGGGATTGCCACCGAGAGATCTCACAAGATCCTCAAGCTTTCTGATCCTGTCGACTGGCGAGGGTTCCGGGTAGCTGCAACGATCCTGCTTTCGGCGCTTGCAATTGGAGCATGGATCCTCTCTGTCGCAGCGCACTTTGCGCTTTGCACATGGCTCACAAGCTTGACTCCGCATCGATGACTAGCGGTTCTAGAGAGGTCTTTGCTTTGTCGACGTCAGTGCACGATGTGCCAATTTGCCAATTCGATACTCGGGCGACTTAGGGAGATTAGCTCGTGATAGGTAGATGGGATGAAGTTCGGTGGTGGCCCGAAGCAAGTTCGGGAGTATTAGAGACCTAAAACTCGGGGTGGGCCCCGAGGAGAAAGCGAGCCAATCAGCACTAGCCAAACAGGTTCGATTGTCCTTACTGAACCACCTTGTCTTGTTGACCATCTAATCATGATGACATGGAAGAAATTGGGCACGGTACGCAGAAGGTGTCCAAGTATTTAATCAAGTCACAGACTCCAAGCTTCTGTGAGAACTTTTTTTCTGGCTATTATATCGCCTGTTGCAGTATTCGTGCGAGGCAAATATTAGCACACACTTATAGAGAGGTCTATCTTAGCCTGACAACACCTCGAATACTATTCTCATCTGAATATTATTCCTATGAATATGAGCGAAAAGCCGAAGTCTGGGCCATGCCAAAATGATAGGAAGTATCCGCCTCAAAAGGTTGTCTTGCCAGCCATGGCTGCGGTCTGGTTGGCCTTTTTCCTAGTGGCACTGGTGGGTAGTTCGTTGTTCTCCTGCATGTCACGACCTAAGATTCGCACCAGGAACGGACCATAATCGGCACCGCAATACCGGCTATTTCACAAGAATTCAAAAGCTTTGGCGACATAGCGTGGTACGAGGCTGGGTTTTTACTGCCTCTTTGCGTTCTACAACTGCCATTTGGCCTTGTTCTCAAGTACTACCCCACGAAATGGGTGCTGCTCTTGCATGTGGCTATTTTCGAAATCGGTTCCATCGTTTGCGCCACTGCACCGTCCTCAAATGCACTGATCGTCGGTCGAGTCATCAGTGGGATTGGGGGTGCAGGCATTGGACCTGGGTCCTTCCTGCTGATTACCTATCTTGTCCCTCTGAGTTCACGACCAAAGTATCTCGGCGCTCTTGGATCCGTATTCGGGATCTCGTCCGCCATTGGGCCAGTACTCGGCGGATATCTGACTTCGATCACATGGCGCTGGTGCTTCTGGATCAATGTTCCAGCCGGTGGCCTCTCGCTAGTCTTGCTCGTCTTCTTGGCTCCAAGAACGCCGCCACCTGACAAGCGAGCGGACTCTTGGCTCAAGAAAATAAAACAGTTGGATCCTCTAGGATCTTTCCTAGTATCTCCATCTATAATATCTTTGCTGTTCGCTCTACAATGGGGTGGCATGAGATATGCGTGGGGTGATAGACGCATTGTTGCCCTATTCGTCATCTTCGGCGTCTTCGGACTCACCTTTATTGCATCGCAGGCCTGGCGCAAAGAGAAGGCGACAGTGCCGCCGCGAATATTCCTGAATCGCACCATCCTCTTCGGAAGCTTTGCGTGCCTAGGACTGGGATCAGCGCTCGTGATACTAACATTCTATTTGCCTATTTGGTTTCAAGTTATACAAGGCAAATCACCCCAAAGCTCGGGGCTGTCTCTGCTTCCACTCCTTTTGAGTATTGTTTTTGCCATCGTAGGGTGTGGCATTATGACCAGCATTATTGGGTACTATACGCCACCCATTGTCATTGGAAGTGGGATCTTGATCATTGGCTGCTCATTGATTACATTGTGGGGGCCTGATACGGGCCCAGGCACTTGGATCGGATTTCAGGTAAGGCTGTTCACTACCAAATTACCTTCTCTCTAAATACGTCGCTGATCCGAATATAGATCATCACTGGAGTTGGGCTCGGTCTCGGACTCCAGCAGCCTATTGTCGCAGCTCAAGCTGTTTTGTCAGAAAACGATGTAGCGATTGGTTTGTCGTTGCTCAACTTTGTCAATTTTCTGGGAGGAACAATCTTTGTTACAATATCTCAAACATTGCTCCAGACACAGCTTGTGCGTGAACTGGGAGGACTCATTCCAAACTTGGATGCATCCACTCTTGGTAACGGGGGAGCAACTTCCCTCCGCAGTTCAGTTCCACCCGATATGTTATACGTTGTGTTTGACAAATATAACAATTCAATGAGATCAATTTGGTGCCTAGCAGGGGCTCTGGCAGGTGTAGGCTTTCTAGGTTCGCTGGGAATGGAATGGAGAAGCGTCAAGGTCAAGAAGGCTTCGACAGATGGAAATGAGGATACAGGTATGGAATCAGTGTGATGCCGATTCTATTGCGAAAAGCTCCTGAGCCCTCTACTCAAATAATCTTGTACAGCACCGGTATCAGGACCGTCAGGCTGTGTCAATAACCGTGGCAGAAGGTCTGCAGTGCCGGAATAAATGCTGTCTACCTGATCCCCGACAAAAGCAATAGCGGATTTCGTTCTAGGCTTCTTGTTATACTCGGCCTCGTCGGTCAAGATCGAACATCTATTGTTAATAAAACTTGCTTAACCAATCTTTAGTGCGCAAATGAGGCTACATTTTGTAGTAGCTGCAAATGTTGATGACCGTTCTGATGTTTCTGCCCCTTTGCAACGTAAAACCTACGGCCTTAACTGAAGTGTATAACCTGCATATGTAAAGCATCCAGAAAGAAGGTATCGAACCTGAGTTCTCTGCGCCTTACAGAGCATTGCTCTTCGAAAATGTGGGCAAACTTCCGAGTGCTAAGAAAACTATTGAATAAAACATCACGGTATCGCTCCCACACTCCTTACCAAATATTACAATGGTCTTGTATCAATGGCGGTATCCATATAATGTAGCTTCGACCAACCCCTTAGAAGTCTCTTCTCACATCGCATACTTGATCGACCTTGTCTCGGATGAGGGCAGAAGCACCCTGTCCCAATTGCGCTGCAGGTAGTCATAGGTTCTCTCCCTTCCTGATGTTCGCAAGAATTACTTCTGAGAGCTGGCCGCGAACACGATGAGGCAGTTCGTGCCCGCAGTCCTCAATAACCACCAGCGTTGCCCCTTTCACATCGTCCCTCAGGGCTTCCGCGTGTGCCAGCGGGAATATTTGGTCCTTGGCTGCGTGAGTAACAACCGTTGGGCAATTAATGCCCTTTAATGCCTCGCACGGCCATCTCACACTTGCCGCGTCAGAGTGGTTCCATTTGGTCCAAATCGTCCCGCTTTCCTTCTCCCGGCGATATGTGACCTCTGACTCGTGTCTCGCTTCGGCCCTCTCTTCGTCTGTGGGGGGCCGGGTCGCTAGTGCGAGGTGAAGTCGTGTGTATGAATTGATCCAGCCCTCATCATCATCCAAGTCATCGGGAATATCAAATGCCTCGCTGACCAAGTATGACCCCTCAACATACACTGGTGGCAAGTTATCTGTGCCATTTTGTATTCGCCCAGTCGGACTTGTGACAACGAGTGCTAGGCTCCGGACGACGTCGGGTAGACGGCTAGCAGTCAACCAAGCGATAGGCCCACCCATGCTCGACCCAACTATGTGAACACGGTTGAGCTTGAGGTGGGCGACAAGGCCTAGGACGTCGTCGACCAAGTCATCAAGCGTGTATACCAACGACCCATCAGTCGGCCTGGGAAACGAGGATGAGAGACCAGTGTCGCGAGGGTCGTAGCGAATAACGTAATGAGGGCTGTCCGGTGGACTCAGCAATCGGACAAGATCCCCGCTCTTCTGTGTCATAGCCATGCCGTAACCCGGGGTAATACTTATGGCTGGATATGACAGTTTACCGAACACCCGGTAACAGATTCGGCAACCCGATGGTAACGATAGAAAAAGATCATCAGAGGTTTCCATGGCGCTGCATCATGTCTACAGAAATAGATGCGTGGATTATAGTCTCAGAGAGGTGGCCCAAATATCCGTGTGACGTGCACGTGCCTTTGGCGCACATCCTGCAGTGGCCAATGGGACCTTCGACACATCTCCCTCATCTGGAGACTCCAGTAATGCAAGGAAGAATAGCAGTGATCACAGTTGCATTGATAATTTCGGGCATGGTAAAGGTTATGTATAGTCTGTGTTTAGAAAGAACAACCAAGGCACATTGCCATTTGCTATACACGTGCGTGCTGCGCTCAATACTGGAACTCCATAACGTGTACATGAAAGGACTTTCTTGCGTATGACGAATCAAACACCAAACAAGTCTAGTAAGATCTAGCGAGACTCAAGGGTAATCAGTATTTTGATAACTAGAGGCTGTGCAGGTACCTTATACTTTTCACTGTAAACAGAAGTTGAGCGCGTTGCCGAGTAAAGCTGACCCGTTTAAGCTTCACCGACTATATCTACATTGCCGATTGAAAGGAGCTCTGATTTACTTCAGGCAATGAGCTCTTTCCGAGTCTGCTCGATGACCCTTGAAGCTAGACGTATGATCTGCGTTCTACCGCGGTCGCTGGCAATGACAAACCGTCACTGAGAAAGCTTATTTGGGCTTACGTTGATGCCAACGAGGACGGTCTGGAGGCGAGCACAATATCCAGATATGGAAAGCATCGGATCCGTACTACTACAATGCAAAATTTAATTCAAACGAGAATAAAGCAAAAGAGAAACAAGATATCAGACACTGTGGCGTTTTCGCTTCTCGCCTTTTGGCGCTTACAAATGTGTGAGACAATTGTCAGCATTTAGCACCATTCATCACGATCCGGAAAAACCGGGGCGCTACGTAGTCCGAAGGAGGGTCAACCAAAGTGTGTCGGGTATACGAACTAAAGGCCGAACCAATTGACATTCGTGTTACATTCTGGCGAAATCGCAAGAATCGTATGGCCACACCGTTTCTTTATAAATATAAACTCTTCCATTATACATCACAAGCTGTCAAATCTGTCAAACTCAATTCGCGTTGTTTGCATATCGAAAGTAAACCGCCACCTTCACAATGACCTCAATCAACACCATCGTATTTGGCCCGACAGGCCATGTCGCTTCTGCTGCTGCACAATTCGCGCAAGCAAAGGGTATGAAAGTGTTCCTTGCAATGCGGGACGTGCAGAAGGAAATTCCCGGTTTCACTTCCCAGCAGGAGAAAGAGGCAGGCTTCGAGAGGGTATATGCCGATCTCACAAAACCCGAAACCGTACTTGCTGTTGTGCGCAAGACTAAAGCGAAGCGGGCATTTCTTTACCTGATCTTTGGGGCACCGATGAATCCCAGCATTGAAGCGCTCAAGGCCGGCGGTGTGGACTTTGTCGTTTTTCTCAGCAGCTCCAGCGTTGTGGGAGACCTGCACAGCATTCCCCAGAAAGACTTCATCGCTTGGCAACATGCTCGGGTCGAAATCGCCATAAGAGAAGCATTCGATTCCGAAAACTACATTATGGTCCGACCTGGCTATTTCAACACCAATACATTGGGCTGGAAGGCTTCAATCCGTAAAGGCAAATTCGAACTTATCTATTCGGCAGCTTTGTTTGACTTCATCTCTCCTGGAGACATCGGTAGGGTGTGTGGGGCTCTTCTTGTTGAGGGACCTCAACATCTTGAAACAAAGGCTGGACGAAATGTTGTAAAACTACTAGGACCCCACGCCATGTCACAACGTGACGCCGCAGAGATCGTCGGCAAGGCCATCGGGAAGGAGTTTGAGATCGTGGAACTAGACGACGAGCAAGGCGTACGTTTCTACATTGAGGAGATCGGCGCGCCGGAGCCGGGGGCCAAGTCTCTAGTCAGAGATCTCAAGGCCAGAGCCGAAGGAGGCATAAGTGCCACAGGTTACGTGGGTCCTATTTACGAGGAGGCGATTGGAAACATCCAAAAGTATACTGGTCGGCAGCCTACCAATTTTTCCACGTGGGTTGAGGAAAACAAGGCTGCATATGTGGATTAAAAACACCATCTCCTACAGTTGACAAATTGATTAAAAGTCAATCTACATGTTAGCACAAGTAGTTTATTTAAGGCGTCTAAAGAGAGGAGGGCTTTATATAATCCACGTAATAATTCGTGGCATTCGCAACATAGGGAGTGATCTGTGCGTCGGATAGGCTGTTAGCTCCAACTGGCCGGAGTGACCCCTGCCCTTTGGAGGAAATGATCATTCCCTCCCGAGCAAAGGCGCCCAGACTTACACATTGTCAGACTGATTCACAAACGCCAAGCGCTACACCTTTCACAAACCACTTGTCAGTCAGTCTAAGCATGAACCTAGGATTGGGTTCACCTGAGATAATAATAGCTCTTGATGCAAATCCAAGCTGCTTATGTGGCGTTTTAAAGTGAAAACGTATCCCGCACCCTGCTAGGCCATGGCTAGATGTTTCATGAGCAGATGAAAATCTTCGTCTTCTGAAGTTTCCTTTGGCCTAATACTATCCGCAGCCTTCAGTAGATCATTCTCAATCTCCGTGTATATACCGGAAACAGAGTATATCACCTGCTGATTACGTTTTTGGTCCGCCATTAAGACAAGTACTGATCGTGCGACGACATCTGCTGACTGCACGGGAACCCCAGCTGCTTTACACACGTCGGCTGGTACCAGTCCTGTCTCTGTCCAACTTGGGGCTATCGAATTGACCCTTATGGGCACGTTCGGATGCAGATGGCTTGCAAGTCCACGCATGAAACCTGCACATATTAGTGAATCTCTGGAAATAACATCGGTGATGATTTACCGAGAACCCCGTGCTTCGCTGTGGCTTTGACATGTTAGAGACCTTGCTCAGGCAGGTTACGTTGGGGTTCACCTACTGTAATCCACAGCACTATATCGCTGGAATGCTTGGTAAAGTACTATTAGTTCCTGTTTTAGGTCTGGAGCATTTCATGGATCGTACAAGATGCGGAAGCAGTCATAACAATACTCCCGCCATTATGGCTTTTCCTGATATAATGAATGGCAAGATGTGTTGTATTAAGTATGCCAATTAAATTAATCTGCACAGTCAGATGGTTGGGCTCTTTGAGATCAAGTTCATTTTCATGTTGATCACCAACGTAGTTTTCACGTCCTTCGATACCTGTGAAGGTTGTCAGTATTTGCATAGACTTCTCACGTATCTTCTCTATGAGTCCATCTCCCATTTCCAGGTTCATACCTGCATTTGCAAAGACGTGATCAACGCGACCAAACGTATCCCAAGTAGTTTCGAACATGATCTTGAGATCCCGCCAAGAGGTCACATCAACCGACACGAAAACCACACCGCCTGCTAGGACCTCAGGAGGAGGTGCCCGAATTTCACCTATCACAACGTGGGCACCTTGGTTAAGTAGCATTTTAACGCAAGCGAGACCGATCCCAGACGATCCACCGGTGACAATAACTACAGCGCCTCTGAGATGGCTGAATTCGTCATTGTTAATGGTGAAGGGGGCCATGGTACGGGGTGGATGCTGCCGTTGGCAAAGTAGGATAGATACGAGTAGCACCGGACTAGACAATTCAAAACTTAAAAAAAATTCAGATTTGAAGTACGAAACAACACATTGGTTAGAATGATAGATTATATGCAGCTCCCCTGGATTAATGCATATTCCAAGCTCCGAGACGCGCCCCGCACTTTCGGATATTGTCTCCCCTGGCCAAGTATTCGGTCCTTGGTCCAATGCCCCCACCACCCCGAGGACAGCCGCGGTAAACTCGTCTGTGCTGTTTAGCTAATGGCCAATAGCTGGCGGAATGATCGTAGAAATGCCAAAATGGGTAACGTCGGCAAGCTCAGCGAAATATAACTTGATCTACCTCCCCACGTAAATCAGCATACTAGTTGTATCAGTCCCTTAGCTGCATCTACCCTAGAAGCCTTACAGTCTTCATTGTGACACGACTTATATATTTCCCTGATGAGAAACACTCTAGGATTGTATAGTATCCTAAGCTAGTCAGTGGTGTGTCATATCTAATTCGGGGTATGATGCATTCAATGCTTCTTATGAATGATCGGTTGTGAGGATCCGTAATCAAGCCCCCATTCATCACAGATTCGTAATTATTATCATCTACCAAGCACGAGACATAGCGTGATGGCGCTTAGCATGACCCACTGCGGTCCCATTGAGCGCCCATCACGATATGCTAACATAGTACCTCGGCACACCACGGCTCCATTCAGGACCAAGGTGGCATCACGCGTGACTGGATGTAAACAGCAAACACCAACTGTAATTCGTAAAAGAGACCCGGTATATCCTGCCTGTTTGGGGCTTAATTTGCGTCCAGAAAGCTTCGATAGCCATTCGTTCTTATCAGCATAATAGATGACCCAAGATTTACTGGGTATGGGGAAGCCGACAAAAGGAAATGCAGATATGATGCACAACAGGCCGAATACCTGTCAGAACGCGCTCTAAAGGTCCCTGAACGTCGGCATAGAGAGTCGGTTAGGCCGGGAATATGCAGACCGTGTGTGAACGTTATGTCTGAGTTGTGCCAAACCGGTTTTCGTAGCGGCAGCTGAGTCGGGTTGTGTTTCATTCAAGAGAGAAAAGATGCTGAAAGCTGGTGCAGCTCATTAATCCACAAAAGTTCAGGACTATCTGGCCGATAGAGTTGTAGGTCGATTGGTGCAATACCATCGCCGCGGGGCCACCGCGTTGATGGGGTGGTGGGAGAATCTGCTCCACTCCCTTAGATGCATAATCTACTTATGCATTTGCTTTGCAGAGTGATTTTATTAGGACAACAAGATGATATGAATCGTAGCACCAGTATTGAAGTAGCATGCGGGTCGTGCCAGTACTCATATCAGGGAGTCCGGATCCCGCAGATAGTAACGTCAAAGATTAGCCGGCTGGACGGTCGCTGCAAGTTGGACCAGTCCACTTGCGAACTGCCATTATCACCCAACATCTCGCAGTCTCGTATTGCGTAGGATCTTGCTATGTAATATAAGCATCTCATACCCTAGTATCAATCCAGGGGCTCGGCTCTGTTCACGAGGCATACTTCCAACTCCTAAGGCTGCTTCATAGACCTTGGTTGGCTGAGATCCCCAACCCTCCCGAAGTCCCCTCTCCCATTCCCTAGCTGACGATTCACATTGATTATAAGCATACCACAAGTTCTGTTGTTGGTTGCCATTTTCGACGGGGCCATGTACTTGCACTGCATCATACCTTTTCTATCAATAGTTTACCGCGGCCAGGATGCATTGCACGCCCATACATTCGCGGTTTTTTTATCCTATCCGCTGCTTCCTTCTGACCCAAACCTCCTGCTCATCTTCCCTTGCAGGTCGTACTTGAATTTCCCATAAGCTCAACTTGTAAGTCCCACGGTCCGCGTTCCCCGAGAACAAGTCGAAAGACCACCCATGCTTCGGGCACGTGATTCCCGCGCTCAGAACGACCCCAAAGTCCTCAATGTCAAATGGCGTGCCGTTGGACAGTGGATATGACGAATGAGGGCATTGCTAGAACCGTACTCGTTAACGGTATCCATCAAGTCTTAATAAAACTTCGGATAAACTCACGTTATTTACGGCATGAAACTTGTCCTTGTATCGGAACACGAGGACCTGGTCTTTAAGATCCCTTGCAGCAAGCGTTGCTTCGACGATCTCGACCTGGTCGACCTCAGACGCCTGGGAGCTGTCCGCTCGCGGGACTTGGAAGACCTTGCAGCTGGGTGCGAGGTCCTGGCCGCAGAACCGCATATCGGCGACGGTGCCCTCGGCTGGATCTGTGATATTGGGGAAGGATGAAGCAAGGCCCACAAAGAACCAGGCGTCCCCGCGTCGATTGGACGCCAGGAACGGCGCTGCCATTATCACAAAATCTCGGCAAGGACAGAGTGCTCAAATGGCATCGTAAAGAGGTGGCCACTACGGTGTTGGGTGAGCCATTGTGTCACCTGCGCCGACCCAAGCTCGGAGGGTGTTTTACGGGTGTACGAACGCCTTTGCCCATCCGGGATGGCGGCGAATTAAGTGGGGGGGCTTTAGTGAATGGCGAAGTCGGTTCCATCTCCCAGCTGACCAGGCCACGACCAGACCCTTGGAAAGTAATACAATGGACGTAACAACGCACTTAGCATCCAGGGATTTCTGCGAGGGCTTTGTGATGCGAATGACTTATTCCTTGTAGGGAAAAATGCGCAGGACGTTGGTCGTTATAGTTTCTACAGCCTACAGATCCAGTCATGGAGTACCAGCCAACAGTTGGCACCAATTGGGTTCAACCGAATGGGCCTATTCAGGCAGGAGAAAGCATCCCCGTACTTCCCTATACAAACAGTCATTCGCTCTCTATCGCCGTGATAGTTGCACACATCTTATTTCAGTTGGCTTTGATGGTAATTTTCCGATAGGGTCCCACATCCGCAATCCTCTTGAACGCAGTTCAATCATCGCCCTGTCTCGGCACGATAAGACGTCTGATAGTCTCGAATAGATCTGGTGAATTAGAAGAGGCCCTGAATCTAGACCAATTGTACCGGCGCCTCCAATACGACGTTAGGAGAGCCTGGCCCGCCATGTCTCTTACCGAGCCAATGACGATGTCGCCATGCTGGGCACTCCCGCCCGTCCTTCCGCGCGTGCCTCCTGGAAGTTCACCGTCGGAACATTGTGGACGACCTTGAACTAATACGTTTGGACGGGAAATGCGCAAGATAAAATTTCCCAGAACAGATGACGAGAAAAGCCGACTCTAGAGGCTCCTGGACAGCACGAGGCAAAATGCAGAGCTTGCTACGTCCTCTCGTGACTATTCTAATACTCTTTGGTTTTGCCTCGAGCAAGAAAGGCACACAAAACTATCACAAAGACGTGGTAGACCGTCTGGCTGAGCAAGGCTTGTCTAACTTGGCTCATTATCTTCAGGAACACCCGGCACCGGGCGGATGCAACCTCGAGACGGCCGCGAGGCGTTATGAATGGTGATTATTCATGGGCTCTGAGATATGCAGAGACTGCCTTTGCTGACGAGGAGATCGCAGGGGCGACCTCAGCAATGGCGAGCGCTCAGAGTACATCGACGCTGTTCTATGTCTGCAGTCACTGCCGCCGAGATCAGATCCCGGTGCCGTTCCGGGTGCACGGAGTAGATTCGACGATTTCGTAGCGGTGCACATCCAGATGTCCGGGTCTATTCACGCTACAGTGGGAAACCGAGTATTCTTTTTTTCCATGGCACAAGGAAATTCTGACCCACAGATAGGCAAACTTCCTTACTTGGCATCGGTACTTTGTTTGGTTGTACGAGAAAGCGCTCAGAGATGAGTGTGGGTACCGAGGCTTTCAACCTGTGGGCGACCTATCTATAATCTAACTTCCCAGATATTGTATCTGATGTTTGGCTAGTACTGGAACTGGGGCCGCTATGCCTCTTCTCCCCTGGATTCGCCCATCTTCGACGGAAGCGCAACCAGCCTGTCCGGCAACGGGATCTTCTCGCCGTACCCCGGGCTACAGCTGCCGCTCTATCCACCACCTTACAACGTGATCCCGCCAGCCGAGGGCGGCGGTTGCGTGACCACGGGGCCATTTGCCAACATGAGCGTTAACCTGGGCCCCGTATTCGCGGGGCTGCCAGACGTGCCGGCCAACCCGCAGGCCGACGGGCTGGGCTACAACCCGCGCTGCCTGCGGCGCGATGTCAACGTCCACGCCGCGCGCGAGACAGCGGTCAACTACACAGAGCGGCTGATTGAGGACAGCCCTGATGTACTCACGTTTCAGACAGTCATGAACGGGCGCGCGGAGCTCGGCGAGTGGGGCGTCCACACGGCTGGCCACTTCACCATCGGCGGCGACCCCGGGGGTGACTTTTTCGTGGCGCCCGGAGATCCGGTCTTCTACCTGCATCATGGCATGATCGACCGGGTATACTGGATCTGGCAGATGCTCGGGGAGGGAGATGAAGGGCTGGAGAGGAGGCTGAGAGATGTGGGCGGCACCATCACGCCTGGAAACAGCCCGCCTAGCCGCAATGGAACGGCAGATGACGTGTTGGACCTAGGGGTGCTCGGGGAAAGTGTCCGGCTGGGTGATGCGTTGGACACCATGGGTGGGATCGACGGGGCTTTCTGCTATGTGTATGTCTGATCACATCGGCGTAGAGATCTAGCAGACTGCCTGAGTTTCGCAAAAGGAGATGGAGTCGCTTATCATGTTTGGATATGATATGTACACTTGATCTTACAGATGAATTCTATGTGCTGCCGTCTCTGGGCGCTGTGCATTGAACTTCTTGATAAATGTACACGGTGTTTGCTGCTCAAATTTCCGTCTCCTCTGGCGGTATACTTCCTGTCCGTGGAATGCCGTTCACCCTGTGGTGTTGTAGACTCCTTACCACCCCTGGCGCCTCAGTTCGTCGACTCTCTTACACGTGGCCTGGAAACCTTTCTTGAACCTTCTTCGCCACCTCTCGCTGGCGAGCCTCTTCCTCTTCAGACCGCCACGCTCGTGGAATTTTTGTCGGCTGAAATCCTGGCGGACGCGGTTGGCGGTGCACTGCATGTTGAGCAGCTTGAAGGAGCGGGCAACGTCGGCGCCCTTGGACACCTGGATGGTACGTCCAGTGCGGGGCACGCAGCGGATGGACGGGTAGTTGGCGACGATATCGGTCAGGCTGTCGGTGTCACCACGACGCTTCTTGTCCAGCTCGCCCCTCTGGAAGTCCTGAGTGTAGTCGAAGTCATCTACGGCGTCGAATATGTTGCGCTGGGGAAGGCCGGTGTCGTCTGCGTCAAGGCGGTCCAGGATCGATGCCGTCCGGGTGCCGTCCCGATTTCGCGGCGGCTTTCTGATTTTGGCGTCGATGGCGTGTTCAGTCTTGCCGCGGCGCGAGGGCGAGGCCCAGTCGGCTTGGGAGCGGCGCTGCGAGGCATTGAGGCTGAGTCCTCGTAGGGGAGCGAGGAGTGCAGACGGAGACGGTTGTCTCTGTGCGGCAAGGAGAGAATATGATCGCGAGGGTATCGTCCTGAAGGCTTGTGCGGATCGCATCGCCGCGTGGGCGACTCGAGTTATTTCGTTCGCCCTTTGGGACCAGGCCATGTTAGCTATCGATGGTGTCGGTGAGGTGTTCCCCGGGTTTTCTCACATGTTGGATTGCCCGGACTGGCCAGCTCCAGACGAATTGGAAGCGGAGGCGATGTACACAGAGCGCAACTCTCCCTTCTAGCACAATGAGCTCCCTCCTGCACCGTAGTCCGTTCAACCTTGCCCGAGCCGGAGGACTGAATTTCGTCGGCGGAGGAGAATCTTGAGCTCCGTGTCAAGGTACGCTAAGGCGACCTCGCCCAGACCGACAGGGGGCTCATTGGAGGGCAGGGAGTGGCGCCCCACCCGCGACGGGCCCCCTGGCCAGTCAGCCCAGTGCATTGGAGCACTCTACCAGATCTGCCAACCCTTCAGCGTCCCTGCGTCCCCTGTCAGGCCTGTGCCTGTTCGCCTGTGCTGCCGTGCAGCGCCCATCTTAGCTCACCTTTCTGCGGGAACAGGCCTGCCAGGCGCTAGGCTGGCAGTGGATAGGGCGCCTTCGGCCTCCAAAGCTAATTTGGAGCTTTGCAGAACTGCATCCTGCCAGAACGACGACGTCTTCCACACCAAGCATCATCGCTACGCACATCGAAGGGCGGACCAGGACCGCGAATTTCGACCAGCACACGCGCGCGAGCAGGTACACGGACTTCTACGTCGCCTCGGCCTCGCCATCGACGCAACGAACGCAGCCGACCATGGCGTACAACCCGTACGGAGGAGGTGAGTTCAGCCATTGCCATGCGCGCAGCCTCGTCCATGCGCCGCCCCCCATATCCACGTCCTGCAACCGTCGCTGACCCTTTACCTCTCTTCCAGTGCCCGGCTTTGGGCCTCCTCCCACGTACAACTCATACCCTGGAGCAAATGGCCCGCCTCCGGGCATGTCCACCCCTCCGGGTCTTGGTAAGTTGTGCGCGCCACCACGGCCAAGGCAGTTGGGAACTAATACGCCAAACGCAGGACCTCCTCCAGGCATGTCTGCCCCGGGAATGGCGCCGCCTGGCGTTCAGCAGCCGAATATCAATCAAGCTAATCGACCCAGCGGCTTGCCTTCAAACTTTCAAGCTCCCCCGAACATGCCCAATATAAACTTCAATGCCCCTGTCATCCGACTCGGCACCCTCCCGCCCAAGCCAGCCGCTACGGGTTTCCCTAGCCGCAGCGACAGCGAGACTCCCAAGTCCGCCGGTCCCCGTCCAGGTCTAGGCGTGGAACGCGGCATGGACCAGACCCGACAGGCTATCCGCGACAACATGCAAGCTTTGGTGCCGCCGACAAAGGAGGAGATCGTTCGCACCATGTTCGTGCAAGGTAGTATGGATGGCATTGGCGGCAACAAGGGCATCGAGGAAATTCTGAATATTGTTGGCAACCTGCGCAAGTGGGAGAGAGCGGCCGATGCGGCCGGCAAGGAGGCATCCTTCGGCTTCGCCCAGTTCGAAGATGCTGAATCATTGTGGGTAGCCTCGGAACTTCTGAGGGAGATACAAATACCCACCAAGAAACAGGCCCCTGCAGAAGCGCCCCCCGACGCCGACGATAGCTACGAAGGGTTTGACAAGACTACGCTGCTGTTCAAGCTGGACGAGAACTCCATGAACTACCTCGAATCCTACAGAGAAGGTCGGACGAATGAGTCGGAAGCCGAGGACAGACTCAGTGCGGCCATAGGTGCGTTGAAGCAGACTGTTCGCAACTTCTTCTATCCTCCCGTGAAATCAGGAGCAGACGCGGATGGCGATGTAGCCATGGGCGATGGCTCTGGCCAGAATGGAGAAAACGTCGAGGTGGTCAACATCCCCCTGGCCCAGGAGGATGAGCTGGCCGACATTCCCGCTGAGATGCGTGAGACCGTCGCAGCAGAGATTGCAGCCTTCAGGGAACGGAGCATCAAGCGAGACCTGGAGCGGTTGAAGAGGGAGGAGGAGTTGGAGGCCATGGAGCGGCAACGCGCAGCAGGCAACAGACCTTCAAGGCTAGCGTCGCCTCCACCTACTGGAGTAGGCGCCAACACCACTCCTCTGGGACCGCGCGGTGTGCCCAATGCCCCGTCAGGCCCTAAGGGACAGAAATCCGACCTCGGCAAAGACTACAACAGATCTGTCAACTTTGTCAACGGCGGCATCACGAATGGTGGCCTTAGCATTAACCGCGAAGATGAGGAGACCGACGCGAGTGACGATGAGCTGGAACGCAGGCGTGTTGCGAAGCAGGAGGCAGAGACCGAGAAGCTGTACTTGGATGCTGAGCGTAGGTGGCTCAACAGAGAGAGGTCTCGAGCTGCTGCTCTAGAGAGAGAGAAGGATCGTGACGAGACGGACGACGTTGAGCTCGCCAAGAGGAGAGAGGAGACGCTGCATCGGCTTAAGCACTTTGACGACGAGGCTGAGGCTGCGCGGAAGAAGGAGGAGTATTATAACGACAGAAGTGCGTGGATCCGAAACAGGACTGCCTTCCGTGCCCGAGAAGTGGCCGCTGATGATGCCGACCGCGCCGCGGAAACCCAGGATCGACTGCACGAGGAGGCTGAGCGAGAGCAAGCAAGAGGCATGGCCGACTCATTCCTCAACGAGCAGGCCCGCGAAATTGAGCGGCAAACAAGCAGACCCGGCGTTTCGGCACCGCAACCCTTCAAGTTGTCGCTTGGAGCAGCCGCTCAACGTGCCCAGGCCCAACGTGCCGCTCCTCAGCGAAAGACGGTCGCTGAGGTGGAAGGCCTGTTGGAGGATGAAGAAGAGGACAACAAGAAGCGGACGATCATCCCGATCAAGTTCGAGCCAGCTGATGCCGCGGGTATGTCAACCGAGGAGCGCGAGCAAGCCGTGCGTGCTCTTGCCCAGGAGATCCCCAACGAAAAGGACGGCCTTTGGGAGTGGGATGTCAAGTGGGACTTCTTGGACGAAGGTGTTATTCGTGACAAACTGCGGCCATTCGTCGAGAAGAAGTTGGTTGAATATCTCGGTGTGCAAGAGGAACTTTTGATCGAGGTTGTGGAGGAGCATCTCAGAAAGCATGGCAAGCCAGCCGAGTTGGTGGACACATTGGCTGAGGTATGTTGAACCCCGTCTGGTTTCTTTGCAAAACTTGAAACTAACACCGCCCACAGGCTCTGGATGATGAGGCGGAGGCTTTAGTTAAGAAGTTATGGCGCATGGTAATTTTCTACACTGAGAGTGAAAAGCGAGGCCTATCTGCGTAAGCTGTTGACGCTGGCAGAAGGACTTGATCGGTGTTGGACCGGGGGTAAATCTTGGGCTCACCCTATGAGCAAAAATATTTAGAGAAGTTGATCACAACTATCCTCGATGCAAAAGTCGGATGCAAAGCTCGGCTCGACTTGGCTACCCTCACTATGGTCAGAATGTATACATAAATGTACATAATTTCTATGCCTCCCTGCCAAATAGAGGAGTCTGGGCTCTTTCTGTGTTTCCAATGCCCTTTGATGTAATTGTTCCTTAGCATCCAACTCCAGGCACCTGTGGCAGATCAGAGTACTTGTTCCCATAGCATTTACATGATCCCTTTACATACCCATCCACCAGCTATCACGTGGTGCTGCTCGGTCGGATCTAGGAAGCCGATAAACGTCCGGTATTAAGTTTATATATACAGTTACCACGCAGACGCCTCTAGTCTGTAACTCGTGGCGGGCGGCGAGGGTTTGCGGGGCCGGGCCGTCTGGGGTAGATGTGGGTCTGGCTTGATGAACCGAGGCCAATTTACTGGGGCCCCGCGTTACGGGCTGTGATACGACGCAGGTCCATTCAACTTTATTCCGATATCAACATTTTGTTCGGTCTGACGTACTCTGTTTGTCAATATTCATCCAACGTCCCTCTTTGTCCGGAAACACTACCCGAGGCTCTTTACCCAGCATCACCTTGGAGCCACTCCTTTCATAAGCAGTGTCAGAAGTCGCTGCTCCCGCGACCACAACCAGTGACGACATTGACAGCCAGCAAGCTGATCAAAGCGACGGCCTCTCACAACCCTCGTCGGCCTATATCAGCTTTTGCCTTAATCCCAAAGAGTGCCTTGTCAGCAATGTCTGTGCCCAAGGCAGCCGACCTCCCCCCAGGAGTTCCCACCCCACCACGTCTGAACACCAGTCCCCCGGAGGTGCCCAACGCAAAAGTCTCCTTTCCCATACCACACGTCCTGCTCGTGACGCTTAACCGCCCGGATTCCCTCAATGCCATTCCACGGCCTCAGCACTTTGCCCTCGGCCGCCTCTGGGACTGGTTCGATGACGAACCGGCCTTGCGTGTCGCTGTTATCACGGGCACAGGCCGCGCTTTCTGCGCCGGCGCCGATCTGAAAGAGTGGGACGGGCTAAACAGCGCCGGGACCTCCGGCCCCCAGAAGTCCGTAAGCGGCGCGCCGTCGCAGACCTCGACGACGCCGGACGGGAGCACGTCAGAGTCAGAGCAGCGTGCCGGCGCCCGCGACATGCCGGCGTCGCGCTTCCCGCGCGGCGGCTTCGGCGGCATGTCCAACCGCGGCGGCCAGAAGCCGATCCTGGCCGCCGTTAACGGCCTGTGCCTCGGCGGCGGCATGGAGATGGCCATCAACTGCGACATGGTGCTGGCGTCGGAGGACGCCGTCTTCGGGCTGCCCGAGGTCACCATCGGCGTCATCGCGCTGGCGGGAGCGCTGCCGCGCCTCGTGCGCAGCGTCGGCCGCCAGCGCGCCGCCGAGATGGCCCTCGGGGGCAAGAAATACGGCGCCGAGGAGATGCGGCGCTGGGGGCTCGTCAACGAGGTCGTGCCCGCGGGCGACGCGGAGGGCGCCGCCGCCGATGGCCTGGGCCGGACCCGCGTCCTGGCCAAGGCGCTCGAGTGGGCCGCGCGCATAGCGGGCAACAGCCCTGACGCCGTGGTCGTCAGCAGGGAGGGGCTCAAGCTTGGCTGGGAGGGTGTTGGGCCCGAGGTCGGCACCAACATGCTGATTCACGGCTGGTACGGCCGCATGGAAAAGGGCGAGAACATGCGGGAGGGCGTCAAGAGCTTTGTGGAGCGGAGGAAGCCCGTATGGGTTGATAGTAAGCTGTAAGTCGCATGGTGAACTGAAGTGTAAGTGCAGCGGAGCACAGTGTCGTTATACACAAAGAATAATCAAATGTCTTCCTTCTTCGTTGTTCAAAGTAAGAGTCGATGAGCACCCAGACCATTGGGTTGGAAGAGCGCCGATGTTGCTTGTTTGACACAATTACGGAGCATTATAAATCTGTAGTCAGGCACGCTTAGACTTCTAAGCCAACAAACGCAGCACAGATACGCAAGTTGGTCATGGGAATTCATGGGTAGATTTGCTAATAACCCAATGACAATGGTTCGCCTTCAGCTGTAGTATAGCAGTGACATTCTGGTCCGCGGTTTTCCAGCTGCCAAGATGTTACGGAGTTATTCTCTATTCGCTGATAATATACAAACAATTCTAGACGATCCGTGCCAAGCTAGTTCATTTATCCAAGCATCCAATCCAAGAAAGCTTGCTTTCCACGACATTCTCGCAGGCCTGGCAGCCTGGTAGGGCAATTACGGCTCTAGCAGCCGTGCGGAGAAGTTTGGGGTATTCTGTGGAGAGCCCTGCTACCCCAGTGTGGAGAATCTGACGACGGACATGTTTCCCTCTTATTCCATCAATCACCGTCACCCGCCAAGAGAGCTCATATACAAATTTTGGATCTAAGCAGCGTCTCCACGTGCAGTGAGCGAACGAGCGCCAGGGAACTGAACCCCGACATTCAGTCTATCGGGAGTCGGCACTGAGTTGCACGCTCTTGTGATAGGTGGAAGAGCACTTCATCAGATCATCGTTCTACTCTCCAGGACTACGCCACACACTCGACATAGACGAAGATGTTGGGGCTCTCGTTCGTGCTTACCCCTGTCCGTGTTACCGGGTTTGGAGAAGATGCAGGGCCTCGAGATTGTGGTTACGACGCTGTAGAGGGGACATAAAAAGTCCAGCTATATCCCGTTCGCCTTCACCAGGAAGATCTGACTTACAACCGGACTGCTCAGGCATTACTCCATAACCTGCAAAGTCAGTCATAATGCGGTCATCTTCTCTTTTCATTGCCTTGTCGGCCGTTGCTGGAGCCGTTGCAAGCTTTGGCGAGCTCCCGGCTGGCGTCCCCAGGAACGTTGACGAGTTCCGTGCCAAACACCCTTACAAGCGGTCAACAGGCTGCGGTGGCAAGAGACGAATTGTCACCATCAGGGACTCGAAGAACGAGACAGATGATGTCGCTGACGAGTTTCTCGAGGGACTGCAAAAGGCAAACCACGGTGGCACCCTGTACCTGCCTAAGGACAAGCTGTACATCATCGGCAAGCCGCTTGACTTGACCTTCCTGGACGACGTTCAGGTCCACTGGGACGGCGAGGTCAAGTTCACCAACGACACCCCCTACTGGCAGGCGAACGCCTTTGCACACCCGTTCCAGAACTCGCTCATGTTCTGGAAATGGGGAGGCAAGGACATCAAGATCCACGGTGAGGGCATCCTGAACGGCAACGGCCAGCGCTGGTGGAACGAGTTTGCCGGTCTCGAGATCTTGGACCCAGACAATGAATACCTGCGACCCATCCTGTTCTACGCTGAGAACGCGACCAACTTCCAGATGGAGGGTATTCACGAGAAGGACTCGCCTTGCTGGACCAACTTCGTCGTCACCTCCCAGGGTGTCTCGTTCAAGAACGTCATCGTCACCGCCGAGTCGAACAATGCCTCTTCGCTGCCCAAGAACACGGACTTTTTCGACTCTCTGAACGTCGTGGACTTGACAGTCGAGAAGGTCTGGGTCAACATTGGCGATGACTGCTTTTCGCCCAAGTCCAATGCCACTAACGTCCACGTCGACACCATGTATTGCAACGGTAAGCTGGATAAAGCACTTCACAAGATATCAAGACACAACATGCTGATAACTTCTAGGTACCCACGGCCAGTCAATGGGTTCCGTCGGTCAGTACAAGGGAGAGTACAGCTACATCCAGGATGTTGTAATTGAAAACGTGTGGTTGCTTAACGGCCAGCACGGTGCTCGCATAAAGACCTGGGCTGGTCCGGATGTTGGCTACGGATTCGTTGACAACGTTACCTTCAGGTATAGTCGCTGGCCCTTCATGATTTGCAACCGCTAACCTTGCCACAGGAACTTCTGGCAGGCGAACAACGAGTACTCGGCCTTCCTTGACTCTTGCTACTTCAACGTTAGTTCTCCCTGTCTGAAGCGTTCGTTCACATTCGCCATTTTGACTAACATTCGGATACAGATCAACGCCAGCACTTGCGCTGCCTACCCCAGCCAGATGAACATCACCAACGTCCTCTTCGAGAACTTCTCGGGCTACACGTCGGGCAAGTACGGCACAGCTGTCGCCAAGCTGACGTGCTCGAGCAACCCCAACGCCGTGTGCGACAACATCCAGTTCCGCAACTTCAACGTCACCTCGCCCTGCGGCGATGCCGTCATTCTGTGCGATGGTATCAAGGGCGGGCTTGGTACCGACTGTGTTGCCTCCAACTCGACCGAGGGCATTGCTGCCCTGAAATCTACTTGCACTGTCCCTCAGGCGACTAGCACCGTTACTCCGTGGTAGATCGGAGGCCTTTTTGGAATCCTAATGAGAGGAAAAGTGCACAGAGCAGTGTTGGGAAAAGTTACGTGTTCTTGTAGATATATAGGGTTGTAATGATTAATGCATATGGGTCTTAATTGACCTTCCTCTGGATCTATGCGTTTGCCTAAACTCAGCTGAGACTCGAATTCCTCAGGCGCCGGCTTTTTATCCATCGGGCATTGTTACGTGCCCTTTTGAGCGTCGTCCTGAGTCGCTAGGGACTGGAAATTCGGCTTCTAGTTGACGAAAAAGGCTTTCTGTAACTGAATGATTTCGTCATAGCCCAAGATTTGTTGGAAACCTCAACACGCGTAATCAGGTGTGCAATCAGGTCTTGACTTCGTCAATTGCGCATGAGAACTATACCAAAATCCATGCATTACGATGGCGTCAAGTGTACATACACCTTCACAAGCTCCTGGGTGGCCGGTTGGAACGGGAATGTTGTTCTGCCTTCCTCATCTTTGTGCTCATATGTATCACAGTTGAACCTCGACACCGCCTCTCCCTTGAACGGCGATGGGGGTTTGCTCCAGACGTGCGTCACCGCATCGTGGGCGCACTCAATCTGGATGCCCTTCCACCCCTCTGCAGCCGACTTTCGCATCATGTAGCGCGCGAGAAGCTTCATGAACCCGTGCCCTTCCTCCCCTACTTTGGTGGCCGTTGCATTGCGAAACAATACCTGCGCCGGGCCCGTCGCCTTCCAGCTGCTCGGCTCCCGTTCATCGCGTTCCTCGAGGAGTTTGAACGCGATGAGGAGTGGGGGCAGCGCAGCAATCATAGGCGTCAGCTTCTCCAAGTCTAGCGCGTTGATGCTATCGTAGGCCAAGGCGACTGAGACGAGTGGGAAGTCCATCTGCTCCAGGAGCTCTTTGCCCCCGGCTGACGCGTCATCAAGCTTCCAGTACAACTTCCCTCCAGTCGCCGCCGAAGCCGGCTGTTTGAACTTGTATTCCTTGTCAAAAATCCCGAGAGACAGGCCGGAGTCAATCTGGTGATCGACCAGGTAGTCGGCAGTCCGGAACAAGTCGTAGCAGCGCTGGGTCGCGTCCTGACGATAGATCTGAGACCATACCGGGGACGCGAACAGGTTACTGTGAGAGACAATTGCTTTGGCCCATTCTGCATGCTCCGGGCCAAGAGTACGGATCTCGTAGCGGGATGGGAGATGGCTCTCGATAGTCATGGCGGCGGCATTGGGCCTCTAATCGGAAGAATTCACCCCACGATTGGCACTTGGTGTTATTTGTACTCGCGGTGCTACAAGGGACAGATCCATTTGGTTATGAGCAGGGAGCGCAGGGGGTGTTGGCAAATTCTGTCAGCACATCTCACGCATAGTTATCAGGCCGACCTATAGCTTGTCTCGGCCAACCGCATCATGTCACCAGAGACAGGCGAGCGCCGGACTCACCAATGAGCAAGACGTGCTGAGCGGCTGGTGAGAAAATAGCCCAATCGGGGTCGGCGTCACGTCTGCTTCCTTGCATGGCCAGGTGGAATCCGGCGAGCCAATTTGGGGTGCTTGTTATCAAAGAGCATCTTTCGGCGCATGCCGAGCTGATATTCTGTGCAATCTCAATCGACCGACGAGAAAGACAAAGTACAGAGTACTATGCGACAGTTGTCGATGTTGATTTACAGTTGCGGGACCGGCAGACACCCCACTGGAGGCTGTAGGGCTTGTCAACCTGCACTGGGCACCGGCAAATGTGTCAATTCCAGCGCCCTCCACCTGTGGCACGGCCCAGCAGCCTTTTTCACTCCAGCGGAATTCCGACCACCGCAACGGTCTGTTGAGTAATTGAAATACAACTAGGAGCAAAGCTCCAAGACATCGCCATAATGGTCCCCAACATACGCCAGGTCATTCCGGGGGCCGCTATCAGCATCGTTCTCAAGGCGGATCAGCCCACAGGTCGCGAGGTGCAAGGCATCGTGAAAGACGTACTCACACGTGGTGACCACCACCGCGGTATCAAGGTCCGCTTGGCGGACGGGCGCATCGGCCGGGTGCAACGGATGGATTCCGGTGCTGCTGGGTCCAGGGAAGGCACGAGTGGCGCTTCGGCGCCCGGTGCCGGCGATAGCAACCAGCCGCCGCCAGCCTTTGACGCGCTGCCTCCTCCGCGGCACTCGGGCCGGCGTCCACGGTACCGTGATATTCGCTCCGATGAGCCGCTCGAGGCTCCCCAGGAGCAGATCGACCTGGGTGCCTACATTGTGGCGCCGAAGCGGAAGGGCAAAGGTCGCAAGTCACGGCCGCTCGACGAGGACGTGCCTGATGATCAGCCAAGTGCTCCCGCAACCGGGAGTGGTGGGATTGCTGATGTTTCGTCGGCGACTGCGACTTGTCCAGTTTGCGGTACTTTCGAGGGCGACGAAGCCGCTGTTGCACACCATGTTGCTGAGCACTTTGAGTGAGGCTATCACCAATCTGGAGGGCCCACTCCGCAACCAGCTTTTGCTGACCATTCTCGCTGAAGTGGCCCCCGGACACGGTCCAAACAGAATGCGAAGCATCTAGTAAGACTCTTGGTATTCCATTATTCAGAACTCGTGGGTCCCTGATCGAGTGACGTATGCAGGGTCTTGTTTGACGCGTTAGGAAACGGACACCTTGATGGTCATGGGAGGCAAAGAGGACCATCAGGGTCCTCGGCCACGCGACCTCTCACAAAGCCACGACCTCGGTACTCATGAATTAATTTCCTTGTTTCCATTCATATGCTCTCGAATACTCAGATTTTACCGCTCCCACACGACCAAGCTGCCTTGACATAATCAGGATTGACGCGGCTACCCACAATGGCTAGCGATCTGGACTCGGCAACGCATCTTCACGATGTGCTGATCGTTGGAGCAGGGCCTTGTGGACTTGCAGTTGCCAGCCGACTCAGTGAGCACATGCCCGCGGCCAGTTTCACCGACGATGAGCATAACAGAAAAATATGGCATTGGATGCAAAGGGGCAAGGGGAAGATGAGCTACAAGGCTCGGAAGACTGGTGATGTTACACCTGCGGACTCGTGCTCGAGAAGGGCCAAGGGCAACTTGCCGGATATTGTGGTTCTTGATGCCACTGCGGATAAGTGGATGGCTAGATGGGACACTCTGTTCAAGACATTTGACATCTCGCACCTACGCAGCCCCATGTTCTTCCACTTTGACCCGGCTGAACGCGACGGTCTCCTATCGTACACACATATGAACGGCAGAGAGCGCGAGCTGAGGGAGATCCGAGGATGCGTTGGCAAGGAGCTGAGCAAGCATCAGCGCAAGATGAGGGAGAGGGGTCGTCGAGAGTAAGTCTGGAAGCACTGTCTACCGCTGTCAGAGCAGTGTGACTAACTGAAGTAGGCCTGGGGGCCAGCCTACCATCGACGAGCGCGACCGCAACGACTATTTTGTGCCCTCGACGCCCCTCTTTGCTTCGCATTGTGGATGCATCATTGATCGCTACCATCTCCGCGACGATATCGTCCGACAAGGAAAGGTTGTGGACATCACCTTCGACTACTACGATGCAGTCTGCGAAACTGACAAAGTATTTCGAGTCCAAACCGACAACCAAGTCTACTTCTCCCGGACAGCTGTTCTTGCTGTTGGCCCAGCAAATGAGGCAACGATCCCTGCGACGCCTGGTGTGGACAACCCCATAGCGATGACCCATGCTATGAAAATCAAGGAGTTCCCATCTCAGCAAATACAAGCCAAGATCGAAGCCAAGAGAACAACGAATATAGTGGTTGTGGGTGGGGGGTTGACATCGGCACAACTGGCTGATCTGGCGCTGCGAAGAGGTGTCACTCGTGTATGGCTCATCATGCGCGGCCCTCTGAAAGTCAAGCCTTTCGACGTCGGTTTGGAATGGGTCGGGAAGTTTCGCAATTTCGAGCAGGCTGCATTCTGGACTGCAGACTCAGACTCGGAGCGCTGGGAAAAAATCAAGGCAGCAAGGAACGGAGGTAGCATTACTCCTCCGTACAAAAAGATTCTTGATCAGCACATCAATAAGGGCAAAGTCATACTGTCGCTTCACACTACCATCAAAACCAAGGCCTGGGACGAGAAAAGCCAGACTTGGGACATAGAACTCTCCGGAGGTCATCCCCAGAAGCTGCCGCCCATCGACCATATCTATTTCGCTACCGGCGTACAGAGCAACTTTGAAACACTCCCTTATATCCAATCCCTGCAGGCTCAGTACCCGGTCTCAAACTGCGGTGGCCTTCCGTGCATTACGGAAGACATGCAATGGAGTGACGAGGTGCCGCTTTTCCTCGCTGGCAGACTGGGGGGCCTCCAACTAGGGCCGGGTGCCCCGAACCTGGTGGGTGCCCGGATAGGCGCCGAGCGGATCTCGTGGGCCATTGAAGACATCCTGAGTGAGCAAAAGGATGAGAAGTCCCCCGATCAGGGTGCGCAGCATGACTACCTTACAGCAAGGGGTAGCCGATATGAGGCTCTCGCGGAAGAATAGGCTGGTACTGTTGCAAACAGGGCGGGACGTAGTTGAGGTTCTAGCTTCGAGGTTCGTTCATAGCTGTTGCCCGGACTTCGTGGCAGTCTTTGGCTCCAGGTTTGCCCTACGAATACACCAGATCCTCATGACATTGCCCTCGATGGTGTTTCGTCATTGATATGTCATAGCTATTAGAGCGCCTAGTATGCTAGTCTTGTGATGCATACACTCAGTGATAGATGTTGTCGTCGTGGCGCCTGGGGGCCACTGTGGCCACGCCTCCTCTCCAGATCTTCTGATGAGACAGCTCGTGGTACCACATTCTCATCCCAAGAAATTTCAGCTTCCTCACAGCCCTGTCCCAACACAGATGGTATATAGCCTTGATCATCAAACCAAACACTTGATGTCCCGGTGCGATATTTGCCTTAGATGGGTGCATTCGGAGTCCAACTCGTGATTTGACACAACAGCCATAGAGACGAGGCATTACGTTTCAAGAGCACGGAGTTTCCCAGCCAAATTTTATTCAAGCCGGGAATACTACTCGATGCGATTCAGCACTGGAAGTTATAGCATTGCACAGTCCATACGTCACACGACTTATGGTAGTGGTAGCCGCCAGGTTTCATTAGTTTATTGTTCATAAAGCACAAATTTCTCTGTGTTCTGCCTAGTAACTTGTTTGTCTCAAAATACCATGATAGCAATCTCTGGATGGTGCTTCTGTGGCACTTTATCTCATGTACGGTCTTTGTGATGATCCATCATCGCCCCGAAGTTAGGTGTCCCAGACGTATCTGCCCCAATTGAAGGGACAGATCTAGGGCCTTTGAAGACCTTATGCAGACCATAACCGTCCCAGAAGACGATGCCGCAAATTTCTTTTTTCATGTTTTCTCTTTTCTCTCTCGCCTCCTGAAATCGTGTGGCCCGGTTTCCCTTCTGCCTGAGACGACCCAGTATCTCGGGCTACGTCGAAATGACCCCAGGCTGATATATTGTGATATTTACCCTTTAGAAGTCATCGTCATCGTCTTCAGGAGCAATGATTCGTAGCATTCCCTCCGAATCCTGTTCGACGTCGCCGAACAGACTTGCAAGCTCCTCAATAGAGACTTTGTCGTTGAGAGTCTTCCCGGCTTGCATGGCTTTGTCAATCTGCTCCAACTTCTTCTGTTGAAGCTCGTTCAGTCTCTGGTCAATTGTGTCTTTGGTCATAATTCGCTGGAAGTAAGTCTCTTTCTTCTGACTAATTCGGAACACTCGTCCGAACGCCTGCATCTCGATCGAGTGATTCCACCAAAGGTCAATGAGAATCACGCGGTTGGCACAGGTCAAATTCAGGCCTACTCCTCCACATTTCAGTGAAGCAACCTGGAAATGGAATCAGCTCCGAACTTTTGGCTCTATGTCCTCTTATATTACGTACCATAACTTTGACTTCCGGCTTGTCATGAAATCCTTTGATTGCAGCTTCCTTCTGCCTTTTAGACATGTCGCCGAAGAAATAGAGGAATGGTATGCCTTCATCTTGAAGCATGCGGCCTATGATCATTCCCATAGGCTTCCACTGTGTAAAGATGATGATCTTGTCGTCCTCAGCTTCTTTGAGCCATCTAATAGTGGTGTCCTTGACTGCGGTAGCTTTGGAGCTGGGAACCATAGGCTCACCAGGATACTTCTTGTCGCATTCCCGGATAAATTTTGTCGTCGACTTTTTGGCTTTTGGCTGGCAGTCAAAGACGTCATTTCCAAGCTTTCTTTGGTCGCGGCCCCTGATGGTTGCCGGGGCTTCGACAGCTTCAAACATTTCGTACAGATTGCGATCCATGGCATTGACCACGGATTGAGTGCCTTCATTCATCTCAGGCGTCCCAAGTTCTGTGATTATCTCGTCCTCAGCTGCCTCTGTAAGACCAGTCAGAAGTCTATCGCACTCTGGGCATTTGGTATTCCCTTCTTTGTCCTGAAATGTGGTAGCAACATGTTCCGCGATGCATTCGGCGCAAAAGAGATGATCACACTATCAACCAATCAGTAACCACGCACACAATACCAAGTTTGGGAGCACTTACGTCTGAACGTTTTGGTGCTTGGGGTGTTTGAAAACATATTCTGCAAATATGTTCCAGACGACTCTGGAATGCCATGTCGATCTGCTTGTTCATATTCAAATTATAGCCGAACTTGCTAGTGCCAAATTCTGTCGTACCAAATTCTTTCGTACCGCTGTTTGCGTTGAGTTGGTCGAGCTCGTTGGTGACATTTGTACACCAGGCTTTTATCTGCTCGTACACCGGTTGACGTCCACCAATTTCGGCAAGCTTGGTTTTGATCTGGACTAGGTCTCCTGGATGAAGGTCTCGCTTCATGACTGTCTCGAGCAAAAACGGATGAGCCGTGGCTTGACGTAGTCTAAGAAGGTAGAGCAAGTAAAGTTTTACATCCTTCGCTTTTTTAGTTTCGTCTTTATCCAACCCTCGCCGGCGGGATTTGCTCAGGTACTCGTTGAGCTTCTTGATGAAGCGGCTTTGTACAACCCTTGAACTGTTAACTATCATTCCAGAGCCAAATCTCATTCAAATAAGTACCTGTATATGACTCGCTCTTCGTTGGTCAATCTGATTGTTTTATCCTCAGAGTGCGGTGTTGGAATTACGAAGAGCGGCTTCCCCATAAACTTGTCGGAGGATGTACTGGGGAAATGTTAATAGTTTCCGAAATCAATAATTGATAGATACCCTACCGGTGTAGCATGATCTCTGACACCATTTCCTGTAGGCGCTTCGTTGCAGCATCCTAGTGCCGTCAGTAATGATACTACATACGTAGTAGCGTCGCTCAACTGACATCTTTGGTGTTACTATATTTTTTCTGGAATTCAGGGAAGTCACTGACAAATCCCGCCTTGACAAACTTCAGATATGGGTAGAACTCTATTTGCAACCATATTAGCGAACCTTTGTCAACCAAATTGTGTTCTAGTAATTCTTACCGTCAAGGGAGTTTTGCAGCGGGGTTCCAGACATCGCCCATCGAAGACGCCCCGGAAGATCGCAACAAGCCAAGGAAGCTATATCATATCAGCAGTTATTCTTAAAGTTTCATATGCTCACTAACTCTGAGAATTCTTGTTCTTGATGGCATGCGCTTCATCTAGGACTACTCTCCAGAAGTCAATCTTGAACAACGGTCCAAGTTTAGCCTTGAATTTCTCTTCGTATTCCTCGCCTTTATAGCCTTCCTCACGGAGATCCTTCAGATACTGTGCTGAAGGATACTCGGCCAGAATCTCATGGTATGTTGTTAAGCTATATCATCGGTTAAACTAAGCCAAACGTCAGTGTGGAGCACTTACATAATGTCAACAGCTGTCAGTGCGCTTTTCGGGAGGCCCATGCTCATCTTGTAGACCAAGACCTCTTGCGAATGCGTAGCTTTGATATGTTTCTGGATTTCGGCCTTCCATTGAGACAAAAGACTCGATGGTACTACAATCAAAGTAGTTTTACTCCACCTTTGCAAATCATTCTCTGAAGGCTGGTTGTTGACAATGCATGCCAGCATTTCCACTGTCTTTCCCATGCCCATCTCATCAGCCACCAGGCCACCAAAAGGAGCGTTCTCGTTAAACTCCCTTCTCAGCATCCAGGCAGAGCCAATGATCTGGTGGTTCTTTAGTAGGGCTTGCATGCCATTGACCTCCCATTCTCCATTATTAGCTTTGCACATGTTGTAGCCAAATGCTTCTGATGCGAATTTGAGAGTGCGTCTGTCGGCGGCGGTTCTTGCAGAATCAGATGTAGCGCCACCTGTAAGCTGATTGAGTTGGTCTATTTTTGTTTTGGCCGTCACATTTGTCTCTTTCACATCGCCGAATTTCAAGCGAGCTTCGATGGGGTTATTGAAGCAAAGACTATGAAAGAATTTCGCTCGTGGGTCTTCCAAATCAGGCGAGGCTTTCTTGGTCACTTTTGCTGATTTTGTTGTCTTCTTGGCCTTCTTGCTGGAACGCGTATGAGCAGCGTCATCTGAGGGCTTTCGCTTCTTGAAGCCTCCACAAATGTCGAAGCCACTGCCGTGCTTAGCAAAATATTCTTTCGCTGTTTTCGCCCTGGGTCCCAATTTCTTTCTTGGCTTCGCGGTTGGCTCAGTTGCGATGCCATCACGGCACATATGGTCGGCCGGTCCAGTACCAAGTGCTACATCATGGCTGTCGGAGACTTTTAGTCTGACCTTCTCTGCCTGGATTTTGCCTTCCAGTATACGAAGCCGAACTCGCTCATGAGCTGTCATCTGTCCTGACGCCTGCTTCTCTTGAAGCTCATCACATTTGGTAATCATCTCCCTGAGTTCGTCCATGGCCATGTCGTACTCGACTTGCTCATGCATGCCAATGTCTACCGCCTGCTCGAAGTATGTGGTGTCCTGAACGTTGGAGTTACGTCTTTTTCCTGACGTAAAGTCATCATCACTGCCGGGAGAGTAGTCACCGGAGTCATCCTCTTCAACAAACAGTCCGCTGTCACTGTCCGAATCCATGCCATCAACGTGGCGGGGAGAGTAAGTATACGCGACTTCGCTTCCATCGGCATCAAGATCCATCGGCTGGCTCGCATCGTCTTGATTCAATTTGGGTTCAGACTTGGCGGTCCATGTACATGTTGTCTTATCAACATTACCCGTGAGGTCAATAAAGTCATCGTCCGAATTAGGGTACGAAGAGAATGGATCGCGGGCAACATGTGAGGGTCGCTTTGACCCCAAGTGCTCTATATCATTAGGCTTCTGGTCGAGATTCTCATCTTCAGATTGTAAATCCTTGTTATCTTCGTCGTCACTCAGAGGGTCGATTACTGCATCGGTATAAACATATGGTCTCCTTGTACTGCTGGGAGACTTTTCCTTCTTGATGATTGATGGCTGTTCCTGGGCTGCAGCGACGTGCTGCACGACTTCCGATACAGAGGCTGAAGTGGCATTCGCAGCTCTAGAACGTGCGGTGTCAGTTATGTCAGACGGCCTTTTCGTCTGGTTTGAATCCTCGTCTCCCTGCGCCATCACATTTCTTGCTGTGGGGCTTGGTGTGATGTGGTCGGATGTAGTAGTCAAAAGAGTTGGATTTCCCATAATGTGAGCTTGACCCTCTGGGCCTGGTGTCGGTGAATGATGTTGCTCGGAATTTTCTAGCCGCATTTTTTCTGCATTCAGGTCACTCTGCGGCAGTGAAGCACCCGTGGGAGAGGTATGGACCTCAGCACCTGATGCAGCAGAAGTACTCACGTTTTCCTCAGCGCTGGACACTGGCTGGTATTGAGGAGCTGACTTTTCACGAGTGTGCTCAAGGGTACTTGAATCGGCGATTAGTAATTGTGAAGGCGCCATTGTAGCATCAGCTCCTGTCGCACTCGTAGGAGAAGCAGTTGCTTCTGGGGTAGGTGCCGTCCCATCCATCAAATTCATGATGGGATGGGATAGGCCGCGGGTACGCTGGAATCGGAAAATTGTGAGGAAATAGAGGGCTTCTCGACGAGATGAAACTCAAGTGAGTTATTTTGGGCAGTGAAATCCGTTCCTGATTGGAGACACTGTAATGAGAAGAGAATTTAACAGCTTGGGTGCTGGATCACAAGCAGAAGTATGTTGGCGTGTGATCTTGGTAGAGCCCAGAGGAATTTTGTTGTGAACTTGAGGGTTACTTTCAAGCTTGGCTGCGGAGAGAGTTGCATCTGCACCTGCCGTAGAAGAAGCAAGGCGGAGCGTGATTCACTTCCGGATTCAAGTTGGTTGTCCCGATGTAGTCATTGGGCAGGAATCTAGAAGACTGCCTGCACAGGTACAAGCTGAGTATGTGGAAGGGGACCAAAATATGTCAAATTTGAAGCTGTCCCAATTAATCCATTCTTTAATCTCCTTTTCCTTACTACTTACGGCCACGGCTATCAGTTGACACCGTATGATGGCATATTGGATTGAAGGTCAGACTTAGCAATAATCCAGACGCTCGCTACTCGATCCAATACAATTCTAGTTTGAACTACGCACAATGACTGTCAACAATATGTCACGATAGACCTATGGTTCATGATTGGCTTGAAAATAGTTCATGTAGTCTAAGAAAGAACTGCTGTAGCCCCCATTACGATGTAACACGGAATCATCTCTTTTTGGGCACGCAAGCAAAATATGTCACAGCACCACAGGTTGGTTGAGGCAGTGCTATTATGGTGTCATTCATCTTCCAGGTAGTCAATCTCCAGTTATAATTCTACCTATGTATTCGGCTAGAGACGTTACTAGATGCTTTTTAATGCTGGAAAGCGTAGCTTGCACACTCGCCATGCTAGATTACTAGGGCAATACCACAGCTGGGGATTTTCATGTTCTATTGACTACGAACAAGCTTTTTTGTCTCATTCTTGTGTAATGATCGGTCTTTGATATAGCTAAGCTACCGGCTTGTCTGCCTGGCATTCATTCTCCCATTGTTAGCTAATGCATTGCAATGTGTGTATTGCAGGCTTCATTATGAGTCGCAATGCCACTCGTTAGAAGAAATTGTGCGATGGCCGAATGGGTTTCCCGCACGGAATTCGGAGGCAGAAAAAACAAAACGCAGCGCGATTAGTCTGCATGCCAGAACGCAAGCATGACAGATGCTAAGCGAAAGCATCCCAACATTTGCACCCTCAGCCAAGTCCGAACCAGTGACTGGATAGCCTGGATAGCCTCCAGGAACGATGCGCTGGCATATGTCGGGCTACTACGCGTTTTGGGCAGCGTTGTTATCCACATCGTTCGATGTTGTGCCGAGGAGACCCATGACGTCGCCCAGTCTAAGTTTTCCTTTACCTCTAAACGCTGCACCGAAGCATTCCTCGATGTCTTTGAGCTTCTTGTTCTGCTTCTCGAAGATTTTCTCGTCCAAAGTGCCAGTGGCAATGAGATTGACGAAGTAGCATGGCTTCATCTGTCCCAAACGAAAGACTCTTGCGAATGCCTGGAGCTCCATGTGGTGGTTGAACCACGGCTCAACGAGAATGACGCGGTTGGCACAGGTCAGATTCAAACCAACGCCACCACATTTGAGTGATGCCACCTTGACAAGTTAGTAACTGCAACGTTGCTAAAATTTGCCAACCAACGCTACCTACCATGACTTTGATTTTGGAGCTGTTCTTGAACGCTTCGATGGCCTTGTCGCGTTTGGCGGCGCTCAAGCCACCTGTAAGGTACACGAAGTCGATTTTCTCATGCTGAAGCATTCGTCCTGTTATACCAATTCCTCCCAAGAACTGTTGAAAGATGATGATTTTGTCAGAGGGACTTTCTCTTTGCCAGCATTTCACCACTTCTATGGCTTTGCCAATTTTGGAACTGGGGATGACTGGGTTGTTTGCGGAATATCTTTTGTCGCATTCGGTGAGCAAAGATGTCATGAAAGCTTCGCCACGAGGTTGGAAGTTGAGAGGTTTGCCGTCCTTCCCTTTAGGCGATTTTGTTCGAGATGAGTTGACCGTCGCCTGAACCTCCTTGAATCTTCGATAATCTGCATCCTCTTCAGCATGAGCAGAAGTGTACTCGTTTCCGTTCGAGGAACCATAGTCACTTTCATCATCAACACTCAGGCCGTCTTCGTCCTCGTCGATCTTTGTAACATCAGGTCTTCCCCCTTCCAATTCTTGATTGCATTCAATGCACCGCGGCTTTGCGCACCGCAACTGACTGGCTTTGACTATCATGATGCCGACACACGAGCCGCATAGCTTATGACCGCACTGGAGGATGTCAGCAGAATTAAACAACGACCATCTATTCGTTACTTACAGAGTATATTTGGGCATTTTTAAGTTCAGTGAGGCAGCCTTTACAGACTCCTTCACTGTGCCATAGTAAAGCCAATTCCATCCCAGATGACACGTCAAACGCATGGTCGTATTTACTGGCTCCAAATGTAGCCTCGTCCATGGCTGTCGGAATGGAACTTTCGATCTGTTTACAGAGCAGAGTTTTCTCGTTGATTGCCTGGAGTTCGGCCTGTATGCGTTCGATATCTTCTCGTCTCATGATCCTCTTTATGACAGGCTCCAAGAGGAATAAGTGCGTAGCTGCCTGTCGAAGTCGCAAGCATAACGTTAGGTGCGCATGGTTGAGTTCCTTCGGAGGCGTCGTTCCGTTTTCCTCATGTTTTTGAAGCAGCTCGTTGGTGCGGTCTACAAAATCATTGACGACATCTAAATATCAATATTTGCGCTCAATTTCGATTGGAAATATACTCACTTGTAAAATATCGATTCTTCCTCGAACAGGTCAACTCTTATAGTTTCGACGTGGCATTTAGGGATCGAATACAGAGGCCGGCCCATAAAAATGTCATTTGATTTTCTACGGCCTGTCAGTCTTGAAGCCACTTGACTGTCAACCGTGAGTGTCTTACCGGGCTAGAATCATATGATTGATCATTCGTGTAAGTTGATCCCCGTTTTCCGGCTTATATTGTCAGTTTTTCTATACATTGGAACATCAGGAATGAGGACAGCCTCACAATTTCTCGCCCTCTCAGGAGTTTTAAGAAGTTTGCCTTGGAGGGCAGCCAGGGGACTTTTAGAAAGTTGAAATATGACCACAGCTCTGTACATGTCAGCCACCACAGCAAATGGAGTTTAATAGTGAAAAGCCCCTAATCTGACTTACCAATAGGGTCGTTAATGAGGGGGGTTCCTGTAACACACCATCTATAAGTTGACATCAAAGCACCGCAGGCAGATGCACCTGACAATGTTAGCATTTGAGCATCAGGCTTTGTGGATAGCTTACCTTGAGTCTTGTCGCCCTTGATATTGTGTGCCTCGTCCAAGATGACTCGATGGAATCGCATCCTATGTAAAGGCCCGAGATGCGTCTTCTTTAGCGTGTCTTTTTCCTCATCAGTATAATCCCCAAGCTCAATCTTCTTGAGGATATTTGACGGGTAATACGACGCCCTTATGTCATCATATGTGGCTATGCTATATCCATAGTTAGCGATAAAGTTCACATAAGATTCAGCGACTTACACAAAGGCCATGCATTCTAGTGCATCTACATTCATGCCTATGCCAGATTTGTAGGGTAGGCAGCCTTTCATGACGTTCGAATCTACATGATCCTCGATAGCTTGCATCCATTGCTGGCGTATGGTGGCTGGGACAACAATAAGAGTTGCCTTCGGTCTGTCTTGAGATTGTTTTGTTATTGGTCTGTTGACCATGGCAGTGGCAAGGCACTGGATTGTCTTGCCTAACCCCATCTGATCCGCGAGGATTCCACCTCTGTCTCTGCTGAGCTCTTTAATGATCATCCAAGAATCACCGAGGATCTGGTAGTCATGCAGAGGTGTGATAATTCCTTCGAGACGCCACATACCGTTGGATGGCTTGCATTTCTTGTAACCGAAAGTGTCTATAGCATTCTCTAGAAGACGCCGGTCGTCCCAGAATTTGTTCATGTCACAACCTTCCGGTACGTTCTTTCGTTGCTGCTTTAATTGTTCTTTCTTGTTGGTAGCCTTGATGTCCCTCATATCAGGATGGTCACTTTGAATTATGCGCGCCTGCATAGGATCACTGTAGCTCATCAACCTGGAGAGGGCAGCATTAGGTTCCGGTTTCTGCTGCGTTCCAAACACTGTCTGGCTGTCAACTTCCTCCAATGTCTCTTTTTGCTGCGAGATTCTAGGATAATTTTTGGGTTCACGTGCTAGGATCCTATAGATCTTATTGATGTCGCTCTTTTGCTTCTTGGAGTACTCTTGCCAAAAGTCGTGGTGGTCTTTGATCTGAACCCTTGACTTCATCTTCATGTCATCGTCTGGAGCCTTCTGCCCCTGTATATCGACCTTCTGTTTTTTGGATCCCATTTTCATGTCGTCTGATCTCTTTCTCTTCTCAGCTTGTGAGTATTTATGCGTTTGATCCGCACTCTGTGAGCGTTGAGATAGCATTGCCTCACGGACCTGAACGGTGATTTCCTCAATTAACACGTCGATATCCAGTATATTCTGTTTTATGTCAGCATCATTAGGATGCATGATTGCGTCATCCTCCAGTATAGCCTTTTGATGTTTCAGGTCCTTCAAAGCTTCTCTTAGCGATTCGCAGGATATAGTCGACGAAGCGGCATCCTCCATCGGCTGGTCTAATAGTTGCGGCTCTCTCTGGGTGCGTCCTGTGCTGGACGGGACGGCATGGCCAGAAGTCGGATGTCTCAATTGAGATTCATCACTGCGGTCATTGTAGAATTCAGTGCATACGTTATGTAACTGGTCATCATTACCAGGTGGTATTCTGGATGCAGCGCCGCTTTTTACTGAAGTCGCTAGATGCGGGACCTGCTTGTCCGTGGCCGTATCAGGTACCTTTTCGTATTTCAACTTATGATAGTCACTTTGGGGAGGCTTTGGAGTACTTCGTTGAGATGGGACAAATAATGATTCGTCGTCTGCATCATCATCTCGACGTGCGATATGGTTCTTATAAGGGTTTGTGGCTGATTGGGTAAAGAAGGATACATTGTCGATTGGTTTCTGAAGTGTCGGTATAACCGACGCGCTTATTAGATTAGCACCGGAGATGTTACTTGTATGTGAACCATGCATGATATGGTTATGATGTTGTTTGGTCACTTCGATGCCAGTTCGTGGAATAAGGAAAGCATCTCCACTATGAAGTGTCGCACTGTTATTGCTGTAATTGGATGCCCCAGAGCACAAATCGTCCGAGTGAACTTGGTTCAAATCCATGTCGCCCGTCGCTCTGTCAACCTTTTTAGATGAGTAGTTCTGTTGAGCGACTTGCGACTCGGGCTCAACCGAGCCTCCGGTACGAGGCACAGAAATGTTGCGGTCTGGGTGGCAATATCTGTTTGCCGCAACTTCTTTCTTGTCACTGAGATCACATAGAAGAAATTCAGATTGGTTCTGATCCGCTGAGGGCCCATCAACATTTATCATGAGTGAGAACGACGACGCTTTCGGGTCCAGTTCAGGTGACGTTGGGTGAAGATGTGAAGATTGGGCTTTGATCAACTGAGAGTTGCCAGTTTTGTGAAGGACCGGCTGATCAGCGGTGTGTATCGTGGCAGGTACCTCAGTCGAGCTCCGCTGGTGGGCGGTAGCTACAGGTGTTCTTGTAACCGGTGACGTCTGATCGGGTTGGTTGAGAGAAGACTAAATTGGCGAGTGCACCAACGCAGAAACGGGTTTGAAATTAGCATTGGCTGCTGCATTCGCAGTTGGCGCAAGTGCTTGTCTGTCAGGCGAGGCTTCATCAAATCCGATCTACCACCATGAGTGAGGAACCCCGATGGAGGCAGCGGGATGGGAATGATCCCTAAGAAATTGAGATACCCGATTTGATACTTCAGGATCGAGTGTATGTCGTACGCTGGTGCAAAGCGACAGCCTCGGGCCTGATAGGTATGTTGAGATGAGAAGAACACCTTAACCTTGGGTCACGACCAAGAATGAACTCAGTGCTATGATGGTGTTGGGCAGGTATTCGAGGGGCGGATGAAATTAGGAAGAGATGGAGGAGAAGAGGCGCAGGTGGGATTAGGCAAAGTTGGGTTGGTCTCTCAGGTGAGACTGGGACCATGCAGTTAAAGTTAGCTTGTATCAATGTTTCTTCAGGTGACCTTGGTACTTGTAGATACCAAGTAAGGCAGAGGTGAGGAAGGAACTGGAACTTCTCACATTTAGAATTTGGCAACCGCGAGAAGTGGTATGTCACGGGTTAAGTTGTCTGATCATTTATTGGCTGACTTGATTGAACCTGGAGAAATGGGATTCCAAGGGATAAACTCAAGTCGCTGAGTAGAGATAAAGGACTTGATGGAATGGCCCCGGTGGTGGCATGCGACATCCTAATAAGCAGTGAACTATCCGAGCTACCGGACAGATATTGCACATCAATGAAAAGTTCCTCCTGGCCTGTTAAGGCATTCCATCGGTTACCAGTTCCATAGGATTACCATTGAGCAGCAACGGTGTAATATCAACGGAGAGGTTCCCATGATGTCAATTTCACCTGTTGTTGGCAGGACATAGGATGCGCATCATTTTATGTGGTGGCTCTGGGTGGCCAGCCTCAAATTTGCCCTACGTAGTTGAGCCGGGTTCATAACATCACTCAGTCTGTCTATGAACTATGAGTGATGCAAAATTGACCTCAAGGTGCATAACCCAGGGCATTCCCGGCTGGGAGCCGAGTCACTCACGTTTTGTGTTCTAAGCAGATGGGCAAACGTCTGTAGAGCTATGTTGCGCGGTCTCCGCTTGGAATGAGGACTCTACCTCAGTATAGTCGGCGTGAAATGTTGCGTGCTCGAAACTAATGTTGAAGCGTGGATGAACAACAGTGGGCCAAACTTGGGATCCCTGTGCATTGACTTTCAATTCAGGCATTGGCAAAAAAGCCTGAAACAATATTATGCTATTTGTCTGTCTCATGGTCTGTCCCTAAGCCGTATTTCCAACGTCGACACAGATTTTATTTACGCAACTGGCTCTTGAAGAACATGACATGCAGTGAGATACACACCTGGATGCACTATGTACTCTAGCGGCGTTTCATTTGAAAGTTATCTGACAAACTTAAGAGCATGAACAGTCATGATACACGCCATAAGTATTCGCTCAGTCGAGGGATAATATTATGGTCCCATCGATAGTGGCAGCCTTCCATGGAATGCCTTTGGTGGGGACAATCATCGTACTCTTCTGTTTTGTGTGTTCAGCCCTAGACCTGGCAGTGGAATACTTCAAGAACTCCGAATACTCCTCAGAACACCTGTCATGCATGATGTTACGCTTGGCATCTTTGGTAGGTCAGGCTCGAAGAAGATATGGGGTAGTTTCTCACTCTAGCAGGGAGGCGGCAAGTCTTCCAACGCTTCAGGTATGTCTCAAAGGATACGCTTGCTACAAGTTAAGGTAGGTTCATTTCATAGCAACACGTGAATGTCCAAGCCCGCCTCTGGTGCGAATTAGAATAAGAAATCCGGAGAAATCACTTAGCCGCTTTCGGAAGGGGGACGACGAGAACCACTGTACAGAGCACCCTGGCCGGCCATAGACCGTCGGAGAGAGCCTAGGCGCTCTGGGTACGTTGGCAGCCACTGTAAAGCTGGAAGACTGGTGCTCAAAGCTTTTTTTGGAATGCTGCTCACACCGTGTCACTCGCGTCTTGGTGCTTGTTTTCAGCGAGGAAATCCGGTAGATGGAAGACGAGGCCACATTTGTCAAAGCAACGGAATGTTCCGCCGTAAGACCCGGCCGTGACAAGGCCTCAGTTTGTACATGAGCAGTAACAGTATCCCGATTCAACCTACTTTATTTGACCGACCGGGGCAGTTGGCGTAAGCGGCTGATATCAAAGGTACTAGGTTCACCGGGGACACTGGCGCGACACCGATCTTGGCAGCTAGGTCGTTGATGCTCAGTGGCGGCTCACTGTTCGCTACGATCTAGAAGAGGTTGAGGTCTTCGCCCATATGGACCGCCAGGATTCGAAGATGCTACGATGGTTCTTAGTGACAAGGCGCACGAGAAATAGTGTAGCGGGGTACATAGCCGGCCTGAGGAGGGCGACAGGATACCATAAGGAATCTCCATCGCCAATTTGAGATTACGAAGAAAATCCTACAGCTAACGAAGACCAAGCCGTCAGCTAGTGCTGCTGAAGTGCGCAGTTGCGGCAACATTAGTCTGGAGCTGAATGTATCACTATAATCAGACTCGGACATCTGGCATGCTTGAGCTTCGGGCACTAACCGACTCCTCGGTTGCGTCGGGCCGATGGTTATCAGTAGCATGACTCGGCATCGTCGCCTCACTTCCATGCTGGGTGCGCGACACTAGGCAATCAATTTTGAGACGTCCAATTGAGTCGAGCACATGAAAATAAATACAGTCCGGCGGTGCTGGTACTTGGGGCGCCTGCCAATGGAATTGCACCTAGACAGAAACTACCTAGGCCGGTTAATATCAGTCAACTTACGTTTCTGACTTACATACTGTCCTATCCCATGCCAGGTTGAACGCCTTTCACCGCCCAGTAAATTCTGCCTATCAATGACGACGACCTGGCTCCCCTATCGGCGATTAGAACCGCCCGCCTATCAACGGGCACGTGCATTTGCATGTGCATATGCGTCGCATCGCATCGCGACCCCGCGGTCCCCGAATTGACCAGAGACTGCTGGAACAACTTTGCCATTTGGAGGAGGTTGAAACGATGTTGGAAGCCGATTCGTCTTGGGGTCCAGAGGGGGCGGCCTAGTGCCCCAGACCGTTGCGCGCGTGTCCAGACGATTCAAGGGAGCAGGGAGTTACTACTCAAACCGGAATCGTGGGGTGCTGCGATGCCGGACCCGCGCTAGTCCGATTCCCCTACCATAGTTTTGGCTTCCCATGTCTTTCGTACCTGACGTTGCGCATCATCTCTTTGTCCATTGCACTTGTAACTTCGCTATATCTTTCCTGCTTTCTTTGCTTCTGGGTAGGAACAGCTGTCCCCTTTGGACTCTCTGTTTTATTGGATATATTTCGTCTTTACTTGCCACATCATGGGCTCCCAACCAACCCCGCCGCCGATCCGCCTGGCCATCCTCGAGGCCGACACGCCCGTGCCCGGCGTCCGGGCCAAGTACGGCGGCTACGGCGGCGTCTTCACGGACCTGTTCCGACGGGCGTGCGGCTCGCTGTCGCCGCCCCAGAGCCTCGAGTCGCAGCTCGACCTCTCGGCGCACGACATTGTCAACGACCTGGACTCGTACCCGGACCCAGAGACCCTCGACGCCGTGCTGATCAGCGGGTCCAAGCACAACAGCTTCGAGAGCGACGAGTGGATCCTGCGCCTCGTGCAGTACACGAAGCGCCTGCTCGAGGGCGGCCGCGTGCGCATCATCGGCGTGTGCTTCGGCCACCAGATCGTTGCCCGCGCCATGGGCAACGAGGTCGGTCGCAGCGTCCGGGGCTGGGAGCTCAGCGTGGTCGAAATGGCGCTCACAGAGGAGGGAAAGAAGATCTTTGGAAAGGATACTCTGGTCAGTATATACAACACGATATGCGCCGTTTGGTAGCATCAGCTAACGAACCTGCGGTCTTGCAGAGAATTCAACAGATGCACCGAGACGAAGTCCACAGCTACCCGCCCGGCACGATACCGCTGGCGCACACCGATGTTTGCGCCGTTCAAGGTTACTACATACCGAAGCGACTGATTGCGGTGCAAGGACATCCCGAGTTTACAGAGCCCATGGTTACGGAGATCCTGGGAATGCGGCACGAGGGCGGCATCATTGCGGACGGTGTCTACAAAGACGCTATGTCTCGGGTTGGAAACGAGCATGATGGCGTGCTTATTGCACAAGCCTTTTTGAAATTCCTGCGAGAGTAAGCGGAATCAGGGTATTGGATGGATCTGCTTTTTACGGGACGCATGGTGTTGTACATACCGATGGGCTAACGGCCTGGTGTTTCGCTTGGATATACCCAGGAGAAATCAGATAAAATTAGCGTAAGGATGAATAACTAGAAAGGAGTTTCGGTCCATTTACCCTTTGCGGTGCCGGCGTTGATTTTGCTGCTCAAGAGCCGTCGAGGAGGTCGTAGTTAGCTATGGACGGCGTGACGTTTCCAGTCTGCACAACTCAGACCAGCCACAGTTTACAACAGCGCGGCAGGTAAAGCTGAATCAAGGATTTCAAAGAATTTCGTTGATTAAACCGCTCAGTTTTATATACCTTATGTCTGAGCATATATAGTCATAACCTGTGACGCCACCCAATGCTTCATGATGCTCCGTCTTGCCGTGAAATAACATAACCCTCCAGCGCCAGTAATGCCCAAGATGATGCAGCCGTCCGGGGCTCTAGCATAATATCCCTGTAGTTCCCATGTATCTTTTCTTCGCGTCTAATATTATTCCGTAGACTCATCTTCTTCTTCGACATCCCACCATTCTCTGGGCTGTCGCACAGGTCTAGCCCTGGTCAAGGCTGCTGCCGCTTCTCGATCTGCGTTCTCGCGATTTCTTCTGTCAAGCGCTGTAGTCGCATCCCGTAGCTCCTCTTCTCTAGTTCGGCCGCCAGCACGGACATGATGTCCTAGCTTGACCCTTTTCGCCAGGCCTTCCCAAAAACCTCCTTTCAGGTGCCGCCACGGTTTCTCCCACGCACTGAAGAAGGAGCAATCCACAGCAGCCCCTATACAAAGACTAGCAACACTGGCAATGAACAAGGGATATGGTTGCGAGGCGTCGTCGAGGGTTCTCTGTTTATAGACGTGGGATGCAAAGGGTGCTATCCAGGCGAGGATGTATATCAATGGGTAAATAAATAGAAGCCGCAGTTGTCGGTTCATCTTGGCCCGAGATCTGCGGAGAGCATCCTCGGTCACAGACTGGCTGAGTGACAATGAAGGTGATGATGAGGTTGAACCGGCCACGGATGGGGCTGGCCTTCGATGCAGGATTCCCAAAACCGTAGGATGCGAATGCACGGTGGTCCCGCGATCCAAGGACGCCGGCCGTCTGCCGAAAGGCTTCAATACCGCACGCCTGATGGAGTGATCAGTAGAATGTGAAGGACCAGCTGTTCGCCGTGTAGATTGTGAAAAGTCCGGTCTAGTTGGTGTTGGAAGTACTTCGGGTGTATTCAACGCGAAAGAGCCATCTGTGGGCGACGCAAGGGTTGATTCTGGCCTGTCTGATTGTTGAGGGATCCGCGATGATATGTCGTAGCTTGGATCGGTCCAGTTCCCAGCGGTAGCATCAGCCGGCTTCATGGGAGGCTCTGGAGTTCCGGCGAGGGGTACAGAGCTACCATCGTCCAGCTTCAGAAAGCTGACATCCGATGTGATTGAGGGTTGTCTACCTCGGTGTCCACCATCCATTGTCCGTCGGGGTGATGAGTCCAGAAGACCGTTATATGCAAGCTGTGGCGTAGGAGGCAGATCCTGACTAAATTTGGGCTTCTGTCTTTGACCTTTTGCAGGGGAAATGCTACCGAGCATGCTGACTCGCCTCTGATCTTTTCTCAGCCGCCGAAATCTCCACGCCACGTGTATGTAAAGGAAAGCATAGACCAGGAAAATGACGCCGAAGATTATGTATCGCGGAATCCAGTTGAGGTATGCTCGATACCATAATGGCCGAGTGGGTAGATAGCAGAACGGCCCAATGTTCTCGAAGCGGGCTCCAGTGAGTGGGACGAGTGCTGAGAGGATGATAGGTACAACAAGCCAGATGCCGTAGGCGTATCGGCGATACGGATAAAGGCCATTGTCTCCTCCAGATCTCTGCGGTCTGAGGATGTACAATGCTGAGTGAAGTGCAATCATGAGTACTGCAATGTCCGAGGCTTCCACAGCCGCAGTGAGGAGAAAGCCGCTCAGTTGGCAGAAGCCGCTGCCTGTGTTGATGGGCCCGTCAGGCCCTGAGATAAAATAGACGATGGGACATAGCATAAGCCAAAATGCCTTCATCATGTCGCTCTGAATGAGCAGCATTATGAGATCTTGTCTGAAACTCCTCCTCATCCTCACGAACCAGTAGAATGCCACGAACGCCGCGAAGACACTGATGGTTGCGAAAGACAGTGAAACTGCCTCGAGGGCCAGGATCTCATTGTCCGACAATGTGGCATTTGACGGTGGCGTCTCATTCCTCGGTTGGATGAATCCATGATATTGGATCTCAGGAGCCATCCTCTCCTTTGACTCCTGGTGCTCGCAGTGGTTAAGAAGCGGCTGGATGTCTGCATTCTAACCGTATGTACTCGTGGCGTAACGTGGCTGATTGCAGACTTTCATTTTCCACACCAGGAGGTGGCGGGCTGGAAGATCTGGGAAGGGGTGCCGCTGGCGATGGGCGCAGGCAGGCACGTAACAGAAAAGAGGCTATTACGGTCCTCGAGGCGGCAGGCTTGAGCAGTTGTCACAGGTTAGGGGGTGAGAGACTGGTGCAGAGCTTTCAGCGAACTCGACTCGTGGAGGTTGCAAGTGCTAACTTCCAGGTTAAACCATTGAGACCCGGCAAGAGATTGATTGATGTAACTTGGTAGTCGAATTTCCGCGCGACGATCCTCTCTGGTCAAGCCCTGGAGTCGGTCCAAGCAGGCCCACAGGCTGGTAGCTAGTTTAACGGGCCGTACGCCTCAAACGAGCTTCGCGAAAGTGTAAACTCGGACGTCTGAACCCAGAACGAAGCCCTTAAAGACTTGGTGCAAAGACAAACTTGCGAACCTGTGCGGCCGTCGGAATGGATTGAGCAGGACAAAGGCCTCCCGAAGCAGCCGTGAAGCAGGGAAAAAATTAGCATGCCCAACAAGACCTCCATCTTGGATCGGAGGCAGACCCGATGTTTCTAGCCGAGCCAGGCTTTGCAAATCATCGCGTGGACAGGTCGGCGACTCCATTTTTTTTCGCGCTGGCAGTGGAGATGCTAGATCCAACGTTTAAATGATGAGCTTATGTGACGGCGTTTGGTGATTCGATGGCCCCTTGACCGCCCGCAATCCTCCGCCTTGTTGTCGATTTATTCCCCGTTACGTAGGAGGCATAAGGGCGGCGCTACGCACGACATGTCGGCTGATGCAGTGTTGGGGCTGACCTTGTCGCCAGGCCCGGAGACCCCTGCCTCAGCACACTAAAAGTGCGCAGAGGCTGAACTTTGGATGGATGTCTGTGCTCTTGGAGTCTTCTGTTTTGCCGGTACTCCACTGCCGTCGGCTTCTCAGATTCTATATCAAATTTTTGATGGCCATCTCCACTGCTGAGAAATCGAACCTGCTGCTGATTCAGACACAGGCGGAGCCCAATCGACGTTTCCCCCCATGTGGCTCTCGCTGCCGGAAGATCGTGACCTCATGAAGAATACGAAATGGCCGCAGAATTGCCGGTGTGATGGGGCTCGCTAAGCCTGCGCTCCGCGCTAACCCTCACTGTTTGTGGGGCATTTGTGGATGGCTCAGCGCAGGGAGCAGGGGATACGCGCATTTCTTCCGCCTGGGCACCGAAAGTTGCGGGCGATTGGCATTGAGACACGTTCTCCAGCGTGCTCTCCACCTTGGGGTATCACTTTCGAGTCCACGTGAAAACAGGGTGCGCGTCCTGGCGCCCAGTAGTATACGACAATCTCTACGGATTTCAGGATCAGACGACGCCGACGATCATGCAGAAAGTGAGAAAGAAAACAGTGGTTAAAGTAGCCGCTCCTGGTCTGGAACCAGGTCAACCCTACAACACCAACATGACTAAGCCACTGTGTCTGCTGGAGACCATGGGTAAGAAAGGGGCATTGCAATTATATTCCAGATATGCGTACGCACACCGGAGCGCCTATGTACTGAAAGCCTTATTTCACTTTCTTAAGCGTGGAATTCAGCGCCAAGTTCGTTACACTGAGCACTTTGCTGTCCCCATCGAGCTCAAAGATGAACTCGTCCAGTGGCATTCCTGCATACGTGACTCCAGTATAGTCAATCCAAACGCCACAGTCTGTCGAGAAGCCCCTCCCTGGATTCGCCGCCCCACCCGTCGATTCGAAAACGGCTTTAAATGACTGCAGCTTATTGCCATTGGCGGCGACCGAGTCCAACCCGGTGTAGTAAAGACGAACCGAGGGCTGTTTGGTGGAATTCGATGCTGGGTCTGAAGCAACTGACAGCCCCGACTGCAGCGACAGGGCCACGGGAATCATGTCAGTGTTGTTGCTCACCCACGCTGAGGCACCCAGGCCTGGTTTGTCAGGGTCAGTGGCCAGCGTGAGCGAGGAGGTGAAGTTCTTAGTTCCAATCCACCGATAGGTCCCACCAAATCTCGCATTAGCATCGTCCTTAGTCACTGCATCTAGAGTCGGCAGTAAAACCTGCCCGAGGTAATCCGCGACGGACCATACAATCCCTGCCGTGTCTGGGCCAGCTATCATGACCGTTATACCAACGTCGAACTCGGGGATTATCGATAAGATCGACGAATAGTCCCCCACACCGCCGGCTTTCGTAAAGGCGGTCACAGTCCTGTGGGGATTAGAGTCGCTCAGCTGAAGACGCCTTAGTCCCCATGGCATACCGACGGCAGCCACATGATCAGCCGTGAATGAGACTGGTTTGAGCCAACGCCGGGTAAGAACGGGTTTAATCAGAGATGAGTTGAGGACTGCGATGCCAAGCTTCGACAAATCACCAGCTGAGGCAAACATGTTTCCGGATCTATGTCACAATTAACTAGCGTTCCGGAACACTAGAAAGACCGCGAAGGGATTACTTACGGACTCTCGTCGCCAATATATACATTCCATTTCGTGTCATTGACTGCCCTCGGGATGATGCCCACCGTTTCATTGGCCGTGTAGTAGTAAGTGTCTCTGAGGTCTAGGGGTCGCAAGACTGTCTGATTAAGGGATGAAATGAAAGACCGGCCCGTGATATTCTCCAATGCATATGAAAGAAGCTGAAAAGCTATGTTTGAATACGCTGGTGTCTTCCATGGGGCGTAAGACGGATAGGTGTTCTCGAGTCCCGCGAAAAATTCTAGGCACTAGTCAGTATTGACTGATCTCAAACGAATGACACTGTGGAACTAGACTAACGGGTGCGGTTACACAAGGACCTTCCTCCGCACTCCGGAATTTGCTCAGGCGCCAGTGGAGGAAATCCCAAGTTCACAACATCTGTAAGGTTGATTGCTCCTACAATCTCCCCTAAGATCAAGTCTGCGAGAAGACTGGTCAACCTATATCCATGTGCATTTGTTTCATATGCGCAATATCCCCTTCATTACGGCTGAAGTACAACTCACAATCACGCTCGATACCAGACATCTGTGATAACAGTGATTGGATATTGATATCCTCCCAGTCCACGGTCCTCAACTCATCGACCGGGGCATTGGCCCTCTTGGCGTTGATGGCCGCCAGCTCAGGCACAAAATCTGTGATCGGGTGGCTGAAGTACTTGTCTCCCGCCTCAGCGAGGAAAGCCAAAGCCGTAAAGATCTTCGTTACACTTCCAATGCGATAGACGGTGTGAGCGTCGACCTTTTTGACACCGGTAGTATTGCTTGGCAAATTTTGGGCTGTATGAAACCTCTCAAAGAGGATTGGAGGACCTGGATTGGTTGAAAAGATCTGAACTGAGAACGAGTAATTCTTGGCGTCTGCCTCTACACCATCAAATACTGTTGAGAGATTTTGCATTGCCGCTTTCCATATCGGATTCTCAGCCAGTTGTGGCGGCTTTGGAAACTCAGCACCATAGATGGGGCAGTTTGGTGCTGACAGAGCCTGAGCGGCTAACACGCTGAAGAGCGCTATGATCCATCCTAACCGATGCATCGTGAAGCTGCGTGTCTGAAATGTGATGCGAATCGGTGTGGAACTTGCATAATCACGCAATGTCCAGGTAGAGCTCCACGAACAATTTCAACCTCTGTCAGTATTAATACTATCCGAAGACCAGGTTGTCGCCAGCCTCTACCAGGCCTAGACCATGCTTGCATTATTTGGAGATCTTATCGTAACGTATATAGGTTCGTTGTGTTTAGGCAAATGAGTTCAAAGATGAACTTGGCATCTTCACATGGCAAGCCAATCAGCGACGCTCCTGCTATCGTCACGCTTCACAGCCTAAATCCACGCCTGGGACCAAGTTTCCACAAGGAGCCTCAAAGTCAGAACTCCAGCTGACCCGGAATCAACGAGCCCGTTATGATGGCTGCGAACGTAATCTGCTCAATGATTGGTTTGCGGTGTACAACCCCCGGATTGTCTTATGGTTGCAACTATGTTTATTTGCAATTACCTTTCTTGCAAGGCCTGCCCCACAATGACTTCGCAATGTTGGTGTGTGACACAATTAGTTCAATGAATATCGACGGTTTTTATATCTACGCGGGAGCAACACGTATGCCAAAATTAGAACCCTTCCTAAGTGGACAATCCCACCCGTGCCTGCATATGCAGGTCCTAGAGCACCACGTTACGGGAAGCCTGGCAGATCTCTGGGTGGAGTGGTTACATCAACAATGATAAGCTCCTCAAACTCTATACCTGACTTGGTAGGGTATGCGAACATGCCACCTTTTCCCCGCCTTCAGAAGCCGACTCCAGGTTCCGAGTCAGGATAGGAATGTTTATTAGGACAGCCTCTTAGTGTCCAGCGCAATCATTGGGCGGCGTCCCACGAGCAAGAACAGTGGCCATTTGGTGCTTCCGTTGAACATTTGAGTCTAGATGAGAATTTTCGGACTTGAGTCTAGCAAGACCTGTAAATAAGTGAGGAAACCCTGACCCGACTCTCATTGTGGAGGACACAGGAGAGCCTCCGTATGCCTGTCGTAGCATGCCTCACCATGACTCTACCACGACGATTTGTAGTAAAATGATATCTAAGATCTGGCAGACTCAATAACACAGGTTTGTATGATATATGTGCAACAAGGTGCTTCTGGCGGATGTACCAATCACATCATCTAGACTTTTTACGATAGACCTTTCACACCTCGTAACGTGTCTATTCCGAGCTTGGCTTAGTTTCTAGATGTAAGCGGGAAGGAGTACTGTATATGTTAGAGACGCGAATACTACATTTGTGTCTTCAGATCTTCAGATATCGTCATTCAGGTTATGTCGTTCAACATTGGAGAAGCCGACGTGTTCCTTCGGCTTCGGATTCTGACCATGTCGAGTACAAGGCTGTATATCTCTGTATCTTGCAGTACCAGCTCATATCCTCTCCTTTAAATTTATGATACATCCTGACGTCTGTTGAATAATTGTTCCCATGGCTTGTTTCTTACAAGAGGCATGTAGTGGCAGTTCCCGCACGTATAACCCTCAGCCAGTTGATGTCGCGCTAATCGAATCTAGCAAGCCGCCCCGCCAAATGCCGTCATAACAGGACCCACGTGAGCATCATAGTATGCACCAACTTTTTGTAAGTCTAAAGTGCAAAAGCTTTCCCCCCAATGTCATATGTGCAAGTAGGGAGCTTTCTATCCTTTCCGCTGAAGAATCATATCAATTCTCCCGGTCAGGCTTTGCACGGTGACACTATGCTAACGACCTTCACTTCATCCAATATCCACATCTCTTTTGATTAGAGTACAGCGACCCTCCGGCTGCTTCACAATGCCGTCGACCAAGGACAAGGTGCTATCATTATGGCACAACAAGCGTGCCCAAGTGGTGATGTTCTCCTCAACAGCCATTGCGTTGTATGGATATGATCAGGGGATGATGTCCCTGATCAACACCAACTTCGACTATCTCTACACAATGGGCATCTCTGGCGACAGCCCAATCATCGGTTGGATTGTGGGTATCTACTACCTGGGCTGCGCCGTGGGAGCTGTGCTATTTTCAATGGTAGCAGATCGTTATGGCCGGAAGAAGTCCATATTCGCCTGCTTAGCGACGGCTTCTCTAGGAAATCTTATCATGTTCGTCTCGGGGCTCTGGGGAAGGCCAGGCGCTCTGTACACCATGTTCGCAGGCCGTATTGTCATGGGACTTGGAGTAGGTGGCGTCGATGCTGTGATTCCTATTTACAGCTCCGAGCTGGCAAGGGATGAGGCTCGCGGCAAGGCGCTTGCGCAAGAGTTCCAGATGAACATCTTTGGGTTGAACATGGCGTTTGGGATCAACTTAGGTGTAACACGCGCCCTGGGCAAGTCTAGCGAATGGGCCTGGCGTATCCCCATCATTGTGATGCAGGTATACCCAGTGGCACTCCTCGCCTGTATTGAAACCCTGCCCGAAAGCCCCAGGTGGTTCATCTCTAACGGCAGAGACGACGACGCAAGAAAAGCGCTCGAGGATATATATGGCGAGCTTGGGGATGGCGAAGCAGGCGATGGACACAGGCAGTTCGAGGATCTGAAGCGGATTCACGAAGAAGAAGTCAGCCACAGCGTAAGCTATTGGGATATGCTTACTCCAAGCCACGATCAGTTCCACCCTACCTTCATCACTTGTTTGGTCCAATTCAACCAAGCACTGACTGGTTATGGTGCTGTTTCGGTTTACGGGTTAGCTTTTTCCTGTTCTCCTTTCTTTGGTGTAGCATGCTAAAGTCCTATCCACAGACCCCAGATCTTCTCTCTACTTGGATTCGACATAGTCACTGCCGAGAACCTTACCATGGCCAATTATCTCTCTTATTTCGTGCTAATGACCATTGCCTGGATACTCATTGATGCCATGGGCCGCCGTGTGCTCATGCTTTGGGGCTCTGTGGTTCTCACCGTCTGCTTCCTCCTGCTTGCCATTTTCGGCGGCCTTGCGATGCACGCAGACTCGCTCGGCCTCGATCAGACTGCAATGGCCATACCTGGCATTATGTCTCTATTTGTTGCTACGGGTGCCTTTGGTATTGGATGGCTAGCGACCGTATGGCTTATACCCACCGAGATTTTCCCGACAACAGCTCGTGCGCAGGCGGCTGCGATTAGTGTCGTCATATGGGGACTCGCCAACTTCGCCATCACTTTCTTAACACCAATCATGTTCAACAACCTGACCTACCTAATTTTCCTCGTGTTCGCGGCTACCAATGCGGCGGCGGGAATCTCCACTTACTTTCTCTTACCGGAAAGCGGCAATAGAAGTTTTGAGGACAACGTGCTGTTTTTCCAAGAGGCCAAGAAGGTGGGTTCTTGGCTCGTGGGACGCGTCAAGGACGGAGAGTGGAAGAGTATGCCGTATGGTGATGTGCTGCTTGATGGGAGCGCTGAGGCTCATGAGCAGCAACCGTTGTTGAGCAGGGTGGGCGACCAGATACCATGAGCTTTGACAGTTTCATATTAGAACACGCTAGAAGGTGGTATCAATGATATACGCATGGCACGTTGTTCTGTTTCGGCATTAGCGAGCATAACATAGCCTATCGGTGTTCAACCACTTGGGACGATATATTAGGGAGTTTGGCAAGAAGGAATTGTAACTGCCGTAGGGAGTGCTCTAGCTCAGCCATAGACATAGAAGTACTGTGGAAACCTCTGACCCTGAGGATTGACATGGATCCCTTTCCCTATTATCCTAAAACCAGCTTTCTCGTATAGCTTCATGGCACCGACATTGTGACTGAGCACGTTCATGACAATGCGCATGTCGTTCTCTTTAGCCCAAGCACAAGTAGCATCCACTAGGCCGCGTCCGAGGCCTGTTCCCCTCGCGAGTTCTCGAACAAAGAATCGCGCTACCACAACTGTCTGTTCGACCTTCCCGCCCTCGCCGAATTCCGTCCATGCCTGAACCGGTGCTTGATTGCCCTTCTCCCCAGCTATGACAACGATATGTCCTACCACCACTCCCTCTTGAACAGCCACCCATGCTTCCAGGAGTCCCGGTGGCGATAGGAAGGTTAAAGCTGTCGAGGTGCCTTCTACTGGGTACCCATCGCTGTTGTAAACGTCTTGCAAAGCCTCAACCAGTGCAGGGATGTCGGATGCCTGCCGCGGCCGGATCAAAGTGGCTGTCATTATCCTACCAGCTTGCGCAAGAGCCCGTGAAGTGCCGTTGTAGATCGCCTCGTAATATACGGCGAGCTATAAGAACCCTCCGAAGTAACAAGTTGACTCAGCCGGCGTCCGAGGTCGGCACTCGCCGAAGCAAGGCTTGGGGCAGGGGAAATACCCCGGGCATAGTTTCTGTCCGGGGTTGAATGGGTGGACTAGTCCTATTCCGTCTCGGCAGACGATCCCGGTGGGAGCTCCGCATCTCCACAGCTCAAAGTCCTTAAACTGCAGGTGGGTAAGAATATTTGCTCGGGGCATCCAATTAGTAATGGATACCTTCTGTTCTTGCGTGACCGGTCAATTGGAAATGTTAAATTGGCATTCTTTCCCAGCCTTTCCAGGCTGAAGCACAACTTGTCGCACTTACTGGTTGGGTTAAGGTCGATTAGCGAGGACAGCAGATAATGTCCGACAGGAGTCATGACGAAGCGCCAGCAGCTGTTAAGGTCGTGGATTTGAATGACGGCATTCTTTCCGAAGTTCAGAAGACTGAGTCGCACGTTGGGGCGGATGTTACCAAAGACGATGATACACTGCCGGATGGGGGCCTGCACGCATGGCTACAAGTCCTGGGTTCGTTCTGCCTTTACTGGAATACATGGTGAGCCATCTCTTTCTGTGTCGTCTGGACTGTTCACTGATTCGCATCCTAGGGGCATGTTGAACACGTTTGGTGTCTACCAGACTTATTACCAGGATGGACCTCTTCGCGACATGTCTCCATCTGCTATTTCGTGGATCGGCTCAATCCAGTCTTTCCTGCTTCTGTTTGTTGGCGTCATCTCGGGTCCGTTATATGACAAAGGCCATCTGCGGTCGTTACTGGTTTCTGGCAGCGTACTGGTGGTCTTTGGGATGATGATGACGAGTTTGTGCACACAGTATTGGCAGCTTGTGCTTGCGCAGGCCATTTGCATTGGGCTGGGGACAGGACTCCTCTATATCCCTTCTATTGCCATCATCCCCCAATATTTCCATCGCCGCAAGGCACTTGCCATGGGGCTAGTGGTGTCCGGATCAAGTTGCGGTGGCGTTTTCTACTCCATCGTCTTCAATCAACTTCAACCCAAGATCGGGTTCGGCTGGACAATACGTGTTGAGGGCCTGATCTCTCTTCTGACTTTGTCAATCGCCATCGCAATTCTTCGCCGTCGCGAGAAGCCGTCAGAGGAGATCCGAACGCTCCTTGACCTACCAGCATTTAGGGAGCGACCGTATATCTTCTACTGTGCCGCGTTGTGCACAAGCAACATAGCATTCTTCACACCAGTGTTTTATATGCAGCCATATGCTTTGGTACATGGGCTTGAGGGTCAAACAATTGCGCTGTATCTGGTAGCCATCATGAACGCGTGCTCGATACTAGGACGCCTTGCACCGTCACTTATCGCAAATAAGATTGGGCCTGTCCACACACTACTTTGCAGTATCGTATGCACTGGCATTACCGTCTTTGGGTGGATAACAACTAAGACGGGATGGGGTAACATTACCTTTGCAGCATTCTTTGGATTCTTCTCCGGGGGCATCATAGCATTACCTCCCATCGTACTCACAAGCTTTACTAAAGACTTGAGTCGTCTCGGTACGAGGCTTGGTATGTCATCCGTGCTGAATGCATTGGGATCGCTTATAGGTACACCTATCGGCGGAGCAATCCTGAATTCGACGGGGAGTTACCTGGGAATTCAGCTTTATGCCGGCTCTGTCATTATGGCTACAGCTTGTTGTCTCTTAGCTCTGAGGTTCGCGCTGACAGGCAAGAAAATGATCACCAAGGCATAATGGGTGACTTAGGTAGAGACACATGCATTAATAAAGGTAGAGATATACCGTCTCCTTGGGCCTCCAAGGGGAAATAGAAGTACGGTAGAAAGTTTCTATACATACCGATCAACACAATATGACAGGATCAAGGTCGCATTAGTCTTCGCCTCTACCATGATGGAGGACGAATCGTTGACCAAGCCCTCTTTGCATATGGGTGCCACGCAATGAGCGCCCATGAAGATGGTAACTTCATCAGCCGCGCCACCGATTCCTCATAGCCAGTGATACGAGTAAATCGATCCCAATTGTGTCGATGCGAAGATTTGAGATTGTGAGAAAGGACTTTCACAGGGTTAGAAGCGAGATGATGTGACGGCCACTGCACCTGGAAGGAAGCATGGACATTATCGGACTACTTCTCGATAGGCACAGCTCCTATGTTCTCTAAATCTGATATTGTCTCAGTGACAAAGGCCGTTTAACGTGATTGGCTGAGAGACGACCTCGGCCTTCCAAATGGCTCAAGTTACCTAGCGTTTCCGTTGGTGTCGCATATCCTACAAGACAGTGCAGACTTTCAATAGAATGTCGACTTACCATTAAACTTTTAGCAAACAAGGACGATATGCAGAGAGCTGCATCATGCAGCTATTATTGGAAAGGAATTAACCTTGGCTAGCTTACGCCTGGCAGTGAGAAGACGAAGACGCGATCACCCTAGAGAGCGGAACACGTTGCAGAGCATCACATGTCACAGTTATTATAACATATTAAAGATAATTTCTGGATAGTGCGAAACGACGATGGAACGGAGAAAGTACACGCGAATATCTCCGTCTCAGGGTGTTATGGATGCGGCAATTATGCATGTGAAGATGCTGGCGCGTTTAACATGATACACGAAAACTCGGTTCGCAGTAGCAGTGCATTCCGCCGACAGAGGCCTCCTCTGCGAAGATGACAAAGTCTAGACCACGCTGATCTCTTATGTGATAGGCCCTGGCTTTTTCGCAAAGGCAATATTAAGCGCTCGGGACGAATCGGCCCCACTCAGCCTGCAGAACTCCGGGCATTTAGACCGGTGCGCCGTTCTGTAACGGCGCACCTCAAGGTTCTCCTTCCGTCAATATGAGCGATTTTTCTTTTCTGAACTGAGGTATACAACGTGGATATATCTGTCTCATTGTTTTGAGTTTATGGGTTGTATTCGGGCTTTCATCCATGTAATGACTGCGGGACAGCTCTGCCTGCTAGTGAATTAGGTGACAGCCTTTTACGGCGGCCCGAGAGAGCCGAAGTTGACGGTGCCAGGCTCCACTTGTGCATCGCCTACCCAGAATACATCGGAGCGACGGGGCTTAGCCGAAGATCTGGTGGCACGAGATTCGAGTTGTCAGATCTACACACTGAACACTGATCGGGCTGGATTATAAGCCTCGTGCTATTAACACACAGTGCTTGTTGGACAACACTGGAATGAGTCAGAAGCGTGAATCTTAGAATCAAATCCATACCGCCTAGCCCGTAACGAGCGGATCTTTGGGCAAAGGACAATTGCGAAATGGGTTCCGTGTGACCTCTGTGCTGGTGAGGACCGTGTGGGTGGAGCAACCGGAAAGGTGCCAAAAGAAGTGGAGTGGCTCGGTATAAGATTGGAACGGGAAGAGTTGAATCCAGCCTAAGGCACCCAGCAATGATAGATAACAAAAAGTCATAACGCTTTGCAACAAGCTCCTCGTCAACATTGCCGGTCGTCCGGCCAAACCTCGCGAGGCGGGATTGGCAGTAGACGCATCGATTCTGCAGGGATGATCAAGCCCGCTCAAATGGTATAAGGGGAAATCTGTAGTCTATAACATGTACGAAGGTGTGCTTGGGGTATAAAATTACGGGTCTGCAGGAGCGTGTGGTAGTAGCCTCGCAAGGTGTTGGCTGATGGTTCTTGCTCTCGAGACGAGGATCGTCGGGCGGGTAGGAACGGATAATGGATAAACTGAAGACGCGAATGATCCGGTTTGGTCATATGAAATTGGTATAGCGTAGACTCTGATCAAGGGACTTATCGTGAATTTCCAGATTTGATACGCAGAAAAAGTGTCTAGATCTATCTCGGCTTGGTTCGCTTCAACCGTCAGGTCCACTGGTATGGTGTCGTGAGTTGACGAATCGCAATGTGCGCAGTAATCTATTTACGAAAGGTGCCACGGCCGGACTGGAAGATATCAATCGTCAGTGGCTGCGCGTCCCTAGTCGGAGTATGCGAATATCCAACAGTTGACCATAACGGATGGCCGGGGAGGGTAGGGACATTGGTAATCGCGTCTCCTTACGTTGGCGCCAGCTGTCAACGTGTGGTATTATAATAGCCGCTGGCCTGTGTATTTAATAAAGAACGCGAGCAACAGGCTTGAACGCCGTGCCAACAGGATTTTCGGGGGCTTTGCGGGTGGCTTTGGGAGGTTTGGCAATCGAGGGGGATCGGGAGCATCGACAGGGTCTTACGGTAAGGTGATACTGGCTTGTGAGGTCATCGACCAGGGTCATGAGGGGTTGAAACGGTAGGAAATAGAGGGGCAAGGGACGGTCGACTGGCGCCGTTCGGGAACCAGGGCTAAACGGCATCCTGATCAATTATTGTCCTGGAAAGTTGGTGATTGTCAGGCACACAGCTACACAAGGTTTGACAACGCACTTTGCAAATGCTGTTCAAGATTTGCCCATTTAATGGAGGAAGCCGATTGGGCATACGCGGTACTCTGGTTGCATACGTGCCACAGTGCAGTCAGCGTTTCTGACCTTGGGAGTCCGTAAAATACCAGGAAGGACATCCGCGACTGCCAAGCCGCGGTGGCTGTTGGCACCGACTGCGCCATCGGGCTGGGCTTTTCCTGCAAGTTCTGAACACACGCACCGCACGTCGCACACAATATGACCCCGAGTTACAGCATATGGACGACCAAAGCTGGAACGATAGAGACAGACATCGTACACAGTAAACTGCATTCGTCGTCCGTTTCCCTCCGCTAATTTGGCGCGGGGAGGTTGATCCAGTCTTCTTGTCATCAATTGCTGCATGGCTGATGCAATGGACCAAAGATGTGCCCCAGTCTAAGCAACGCACAGTAGTGGATCGCGGCCCATGGGCAGGAATATGGGGGAAGGGAGGTTAGCGCAGGGTGCGTGATCCCTGGATCCCCATGGAGTGCGCAGGAGACCTCGTCGGCCAAATGTCAAGGTGTATGCAAGTTGCCCCCTGTGGTGCACATTGATACTTTGCTTTCCCCGGCCGCATCGCTTGAAAGGTTTACTGGGGTACGAGAAACTCGAGTCCTTTCTCTCGAACCGCGGAAAAGCGCCAGCGACTGGAGTTGCTTGAGCTGCCCGAGGGGGCCGGGCCTCTGCCGCCCGGGTAGGAGTGAGCGCTGCCCGACAAGCAGGCTATGGCTAGGGATGGCCATAGGCATGGCGCATGTTGAGCCGCCGTAGCAGGATTGCATAAGAGCGATGACGATGCTCCTTCATCTGTGGTCTGGGACGGGACTAAGGCACCTAACGCGGTAGGGAATGGCGAGGGATCCTGCTGCAACGTGAACTGAGGAAGAGGGACAAGTGGTCCGTTTTCCAATGCGGCCAGGCCCGTGGGGAGAACCTACCCAACTTCCTACCAATACGGAGCATCGCAGGTGCTGTGAAAGAGCCCCACCCACGATGGCGGGGCCTTCGATCATTATCGTGGCTTCCAGTCTGTTCTGTGCCTACGGAGTAGAGGCAACGCAATTGCAGAAAAAGGAAAGCCGGCACACGGACGCGCCCAGCAGCCAGCAAGACTCAACAAGTGAGTTCTAAGGTCTCAACGCAGCAAACTCTCTTTTCCTTTTAGAATGCACAGGACTGGAGTATCTGAATCAGAACTCGGTCGCCGTAACAACGTCCGAAAGCACTTCCCACCTCCCCAGCCCTGTCTGTCCTGGGGCCCTACTGCAGCAAACATCGTGACTGAGTGACTGAATCACATTCCGAGCGAACCCCACCACACCTGCCTAGGCCGCCGTCACGTTCTCGCTGATTGGCCTGCATTATCGCGCGACTTGAGCAGGGACCTGGGGACTCAGGCAAGCCAGGCTACCCCGTTCCGTTTATGACGCCAAGTTCCAAAAACAAGTGGGCTGTGTGAGCGAACCGTTTCCACTCTCACCTCATCCGGGCTCTTGCATGTCATAGGGCAGGGGGATCCTATGGTGCATTACAGCAACTACAGGCCACTCTGCAACCAACCAGCAAACGGGCTTCATTCACCCCAATCGATCGTGCCTGTCCCCCTCGACCCCTCCTCCACAATTGTCGTCAGACCATTGTGGCTGCTGCTTTCCTCACCTCGTTTCTTATAAAGTAGTGAATCGTTCCTCAACTTCACGATCTTTTCTTCCGCATCTTTTCTACACATTCACCTAAGAGCCCACCCACCTTCATACCACATCGGTGCTCCTATAAATCAGGACCGCCTGTGATCACTCGTCTTGATTGATCCATCCATCACACATCAACACCTCACTCACTCATACACATCACACAACCCCACACCTTCACCATGGGCAAGAAAGCTGTTCACTTCGGTTCGGGCAACATCGGCCGTGGCTTCGTTGCCTGCTTCCTCCACGAGTCGGGCTACGATGTCATCTTCGCCGATGTCGTCGACAGCCTTGTCAACGCTATCAACGACACCAAGTCGTACAAGGTGATCGAGGTTGGTGCTGAGGGCACTGATGTCAAGACAATCACCAACTACCGCGCCATCAACTCCAAGTACAACGAGGAGGAGCTCGTCAACGAGATTTCCACCGCCGACGTCGTCACCTGCTCCGTTGGTCCCAACATCCTCAAGTTCATCGCCCCCGTCATCGCCAAGGGTGTCGACAAGCGCTCGCACGACCTGGCCCCTCTGGCCGTCATTGCTTGCGAGAACGCCATCGGCGCCACCGACACGTTGGCGCAGCACATCAAGGACCCCAAGAACACCCCCTCGCACCGCCTTGACGACCACCATTTGAGAGCCGCATACGCCAACTCTGCCATTGACCGCATTGTCCCCGCGCAAGATGCCGACGCTGGCCTTGACGTCAAGCTTGAGAAGTTCTACGAGTGGGTTGTTGACAAGACCCCCTTCGAGCAGTATGGTCAGATCCCCACCATCGACGGTATCAAGTGGGTCGACAACCTTCTTCCCTACATCGAGCGAAAGCTGTTCACTGTCAACACTGGCCACGCCACTGCCGCCTACCACGGCTACAACCGCAAGAAGCAGACCGTCGATGATGCGCTTCGTGACAAGGAGATCAAGGCAGAGGTTGCTGCCGCCCTCGCAGAGACTAGCAAGCTCATCGTCGAGAAGCACGGCATCTCTGTCGAGGAGCAGGAGGCTTACAAGCAGAAGATCATCACCCGTATCAGCAACCCCCACCTGGCTGACGCTGTTGAGCGTGTCGGCCGTGCCCCTCTGCGAAAGCTCAGCCGCAAGGAGCGATTCATCTCGCCTGCCGCCGAGCTTGCCGAGAAGGGCCACAGCATCGACGCGCTGCTGTTCGCCGCCGAGATGGCCTTCCGCTTCCAGAATGTGGATGGTGATGACGAGAGCAAGGAGCTTGGCAAGATCATGGCCGAGCAGACGCCCGAGCAGGTGGTGAGCCAGGTCTGTGGTCTTCAACCTTCCGAGAAGCTCTACCCTCACGTGGTTGAGCTTGTGAAGAAGGTTCAGGCCGATAGCTTGGATTGAATCCCTGCTCGTCTCTAGGACTGAAGAGCAGCTTCTGTCCTGACTTGAGACGAACCACCATGAGAGACGATTTGCATTTATGGAAGCGCCAGGTCGTTCAGGGAGTTTTATGGCATGGAATACCGGCGTTCGTGTATGATACCGGAACAAGGAATTTGGGCTTGCATTTCTAGTGGCCAAGGCAAAGTCCAGCCACTGCACTTGATGCGATTGACGCATATGGACATGAGGTTCCCCCATAGATAGACCATGGGCTCCACCTCCCAAAATTGAGAAATGATCATCAGACATGATACTGCCTTACTCAGACATATGTGATTATGTTGTGATGCTCTCCATCTCTGGACCTTGGCCAGGTTAATGAGTAGGCCGGAACTGTGGTGGGTTGAAGAGTTCGGGCTCAAAGTGCACCTAGGTTGTGAGGGAGGTTTTGCCAAGTGAATGAAGTGGGTGTTTTGTTTGGCCATGCTCAGCGCTCTGAATATTTAAGTTTGGATACTCGCGGCATACTTCTCTGAGGACAATCGTTCATCTGGTCCATACTTGTACCAGCTCAAGTCGACCAAACGACGCATACTAGTAGGACGATCCAAACAAATGATAATCCTGTGACCTTTCCAGCAGGTTGTACGCTGTACATTTAACTCAAATATACGAGTATTGTACTATTCCGCAACCCCTTGTAGATTATTGCTTAGAATGTGGCCGCACAAAAGTGAATAAAGAGGGCGTGTCTTGTCATTCGCTCTCATTCGCGTGCTACACTTCAGCCTTGCTTGGGCACCCTTAGACTCCGAGAAGGCTACAAGAGGGAGAGTTCCGAGGTAAACGATTATAGCTTATTTGAGGCGGGCTCTCACCATACGAAGCACCAATGTAATGACAACTGACGCAGGTGCAGGTTGGCCAGAATGTTTGTTAAGCCTGGGTGACTGGCTGACTGCCAACATGGACAGATGTGTCAAACGTGTAAGCGCGTGGTTTCAGACGTTGGTGCACCTGCTCCGGGCACCCACTTCACATCTCAGCTCGTATCGTCTATGACGATCCAAAACAACGAGGAGACTAAGATAAACCGGGACGAAGTGCTGTATTGCATGCCAGTTACGTCGACTGCCTCACAGAGGGCACGCTGGAAAGGCTGAAAAGGGGCGAGCCATGGCCCGTGCGCCCCCCACCAACACCGCAATTGAATTTTGGCCGTGCTCACCGTGGCCGCCGTGCCCCTGGACGGGGTGAGGCTGTGGGAAAATGTGGGGCTGGAGCTTGTCCGTAGTCGTGTCCAGTTCGACATCCAACTTGGCCCCATTGCGAGACAGGACAGTCAAGTCAGTCAGTCAGACCAGACCAGACAAGACAGCAAGACGGCGACAGGAGAAAGCCAACGATCCCCTCGACACCTGACTCTGCGTCTTTCCGAGCTCCGACCATCCCATCCACCTCTCTCGCCAGCATCAACACCTCGCTGGGGGCCTGGGCGGTCTCGATTCGATTGCTCGATGTGCATCAGCCCTTTGCGCATATCCTCGACATCTCACCACGTATACACACGCAGCACGTAAACCGCCATCATGAAGCTGGACGTCAAGCGGCAGCTGTTCGCTCGCAGCGAGCGCGTCAAGGGCTGCGACTTCCACCCCACCGAGCCCTGGATCCTGACCACCCTCTACTCGGGCCATGTCCACATCTGGAGCTATGAGACGCAGCAGATCGTCAAGAGCTTCGAGGTCACCGACGTCCCTGTGCGCGCCGGTCGCTTCATTGCCAGGAAGAACTGGTTCATCTGCGGCTCCGACGACTTCCAGCTCCGCGTCTACAACTACAACACATCCGAGAAGATCACCAGCTTCGAGGCCCACCCGGACTACATCCGCGCCATCGCCGTCCATCCCACACAGCCCTTCTGCTTGACGGCGTCCGATGACATGACCATCAAGTGCTGGAACTGGGACATGGGCTGGAAGTGCATCAGAACTTTCGAGGGCCACTCGCACTATGTCATGGGCTTGAGCATCAACCCCAAGGACACCAACACATTCGCCTCCGCCTGTTTGGATAGGACCGTCAAGGTCTGGTCCCTAGGATCGTCCACCGCCAACTTCACCATCGAGGCCCACGACACCAAGGGTGTCAACTATGTCGACTACTACCCCCACTCGGACCGTCCGCATCTTCTGACATGTTCCGACGACCGTACCATCAAGGTCTGGGACTACACGACCAAGTCGCTGATTGCTACCCTTGAAGGGCACACCAACAACACCTCGTTCGCCGTCTACCACCCCGAGCTGCCCATCATCATCTCTGGTTCCGAGGACGGCACTCTCAGAATCTGGAACGCAAACACGTACCGGTTCGAACAATCTCTCAACTACGGCCTCGAGCGCGCCTGGTGTGTTTCCTATCAGAAGGGCAAGCAGGGCGTCGCCGTCGGTTTCGATGATGGTGCCGTTGTGGTGAAGCTGGGTCGGGAGGAGCCTTCCGTCTCCATGGACGGTTCTGGCAAGCTCATTTGGGCCAAGCACAACGAGGTACTGTCCTCGGTCATCAGGGGCGGCGATGATTCCATCAAGGACAACACCCCCATCACTCTGCCCACCAAGGAGCTCGGCACCTGCGAGGTCTTCCCCCAGACACTGGTCCACTCCCCCAACGGCCGCTTCGTCGCCGTCTGTGGAGACAACGAATATATCATCTACACTGCTCTAGCCTGGCGCAACAAAGCCTTCGGCTCGGCTTTGGACTTCGTCTGGGCCTCCAAAGACAACAGCAACGACTTCGCTATCCGCGAGTCGGGTACCAGTGTCAAGGTCTACAAGAACTTTGTCGAGAAGTCCGGTGGCCTCGACATCCCCTTCCAGGCTGATGGTCTGACTGGTGGTGTCTTGCTTGGTGTCAAGGGAGCTGGTGGTGTGAGCTTCTACGATTGGGCTTCCGGCAGCTTGGTCAGGCGTATTGAAGTGGAACCAAAGCAGGTCTACTGGTCTGACAGTGGCGAGTTGGTTGCTCTCGCCTGCGAAGATACCTTCTACGTCCTACGGTTCTCAAGGGAAAACTTCGTCGAGGCGGTGCAAGCCGGCCAGGTTGACGAGGATGGCGTTGAGGCAGCCTTCGAGGTCATCACTGATATCGCCGAGTCCGTCCGTACCGGAGAGTGGGTTGGTGATGTATTCGTCTACACCAACAGCACCAACCGCCTGAACTACTTGGTTGGTGACCAAACGTATACCGTATCACATTTTGACACTTCGATGTACATTCTCGGATATATTCAGCGCGATTCGAGAATTTACCTGGCCGACAAGGATGTTAACGTTACGTCATTCGCCTTATCACTACCCGTTCTGGAGTATCAGACGCTGGTGCTCCGGGAGGACATGGAGTCAGCTGCCGAGCTGCTACCCAGCATTCCCGAGGACCAGATGAACAAGATTGCGAGGTTCCTCGAAGGCCAGGGCCACAAGGAGCTTGCGTTGGAAGTCGCCACTGACCCTGAGCACAAGTTCGATCTAGCGCTTGCCCTTCACCACCTTGACATTGCTTTGGAGTTGGCAAGGGATGCGGACGTCGAGCACAAGTGGAAGGCCGTTGGTGACGCTGCTTTGACCAACTGGAATATCCCGCTGGCCACTGAGTGCTTCGTGAACGGCAAGGATCTCGGCAACTTGCTCCTGATCTACACCAGCACTTGCAACCGTGATGGCCTGGCTAAATTGGCTGAGATGGCCGAGGAAGCTGGTGTCAACAACTTGGCACACTTGGCCAAGTGGAGCATCGGCGATGTCGAAGGTGCCATCCAGCTCATGACCAAGACCAACCGTTACACAGAGGCGGCTTTTACAGCACAAACGTATAAGCCGAGCTCGGCACCGGACTGTGTGCAAGGGTGGAAGGTAAATCTGGAGAAGAACAAGAAGGGCCGGGTGGCCAAGATTATCGGTGTGCCGGTGGAGGATGATGATTTATTCCCCGAGTGGGAGGAGTGGTTGAAAATAGAGCAGGAGGGTGGCGCAGTGAATGGGGAGGCAGAAGTTGCAGAGGAGACGGAGGCAACTGAGGAGGCCGAGGAAGCCACCGAGGAAGCCGAGGCTGCTGAGGAAGACGAAGAGTAAAACGTGGACGATTAAGCTGCCTCTGATTTCTGGTGTTCATGACAAAAGCCTCGCCGGTGTAGGTTCGGGAGGTGTGGAAGGCGAACCAAATAGACTACGATGATCAGCCTTGATGCTAGTGGAACAAATGGGATTATTTCAAGATGTTCGCAAGCAGATATGTGAAGGTTCATTGTGCCAATTTCAAGAGAGCAAACTAAAGGTACTGCAGGAAGATGGCTAAAGCGGCCATGGGCTCTCTGGCCAACTTATCGAGTGCAGGAATCATACTGTCCCGGCCACGAACAGAGTCGTGTTCATGAATTATCATTGCCCAGTATGGAGCCGACAAAGCAGATTGTATCAGGACCTGCTTGACTAGGTCAAGTTAATCTGAAGAATTGCTTGATAGCGTAGGCTTTGTCATGTCCGCCACGACGGACGAAAGGGAAAAGTAAACGATGTTTCGAGCTTGACTTGGTTGTCGATTCAAGTCTCGGTGCTTTGTAATAATTCTATGATATCTTCTTGTCCGGAAATCCTTGCCAATTCTATGGGTGAGACAACCTCTCCGTTTGTCTTCATCGGGGAACTAGTTTCTAGATGCTTGTCAGCGCCGCTGCGAATCAACAACTCCGCCATATCTCGCTTTCCGCCCCCGATGGCGAAGTGGAGTGCGTTCTGCCTGCCAGCCAGCATAGCATCATACGATTTCGCTGCATCGCTCACGTTGTCGCCATAGTAAGCATCAACAGGAGCGCCATTGTCTAAAAGTAGCTGGGCAACTTCGAGGCGGCCCGCGACACCATCATTGTGAAAAGAGGACGCGTGAGCCACGAGCGCTCCCTGTGTGACGTCCCCGCCATGGTCAATCAAGAGCCTCATCGTAGCCACGGAGCCGTAGCTTGCAGCTCGTTGCATAATGGTATTCCCGGACGGGCTTGAAAGGTTTGGATTTGCGCCCAAAGACAAACACCACTGAACAAGATCTGGGTCATCTAGCAGCAAGCTATTACAATATAGTCAGTGTATATGAGCCAAGCATAGGCTCTGGGGAGACGGAGAGAAGAAAGGCTAACCTCATAAATGGTGGTGTTTTGTCGTTCAAAGGCTCATTCACGTCCCAGCCATAATCAACGAGGAGCTGAAGTATAGTCCTATCTTTGGATAGTCTCAATTGTGGAATGGCGAACGACACAGCCATAGCGGTTGGGTTGAGCCCCTTTTCCAGTAGAAGTCGCACCACGTCAGGGCTACTGTTTGCGCATCCCCACCGTACTGCATTCGAGTTGTCAAACCAGGCCAGGGCATTGGGCTGTATTTGGCCACTCGAGGGTGGATGCTCCCATTTGGCCAGGAAGTCTTGAACGTCTCCGAGGGGTGCATTACTGGCGCAGAGGGAGTTCAGTTCGCTGGCGGCATCGTCTAGTGCCTTTGCCCTATCATTCATCTGTCCAGGTTCATCATCGGAGTCGTCAAGCTGGATGTCAATAGTATGTTGTTTGTGCCATTGAGGGTCTTCCCATGACGGATCGGACAGCTGAGACGCGAATTGTTGGACGTCCATAGTGGCAGGCTGTGACTTTCGCGTCCGTGTGACGAATATTCAGCGAGCAAGCTTTCGCTTTTGCTAGACAAGTGCAAGGCCTGTGATCCGATGTCCCGAAGTGACTATTGGAGTGACCACCCAGGCGGCTAGCTAATTTGTGAGGGATTGCAGCTTTCATAAGCTGATGTGAGCCGCCCCTCTGACTAGTCTTATTCCCTATGGAAGAAGTGCAGCCTGGAGACGCCGCCCCCACACTATTTACGGCACTCGTGCAGTAGCCACTGCGCTCTGATTCGCCCAGATTGAAATCCGCCCCCTGTCCCAGATGCCGTGCCTGTAAGGCGGAAACAACTCGTAGGGCTGAGCGGCTTGGCTGGCTTTGCACTCGGTGGCGGCTCAGTATAGACGCAAGAATAAGAACACTAATGAAATAGTATACTGCGGAATACGCACTCAAGATTGCTCTTCTACTGGAATAGGAAGGATTGGGGAGTGGGTGGCTTGTGCACTTACTGAGAATCCTCAATCGCATGCACTTGTTCGCCGATAGTCACCAAACACAATTACAATAATTGAGAACCCGTTTCGATTGCAATGAGTATTAAAGCTGCCACCGCTCTTCTTAGTTCTGCCATTGATCAACACAGACAAACACTCCAGCTTTCTGCTTATCTGCTTCTTACAGTCTCTTTTCTTACAAACTTTGCCTTTAGCCGCTGCTTGAGCTGACGAATACTATATATCTTTTCACAACACGTTGAACAGGATGCGTTACTCACAGGTCCCGTTTTTGGTCGCTTCTCTGATCGGACTTGCGCAAGGCCTTGTCCTGCCCGATGCAGCGTAAGTCGGTTGTATGATTTCTCACGCGCCTGCCAACTTACATTACCATAGCAAGGGTCTAAGCTCTGTGGTGAAAGCCCGCGATGCCTCCACTGAGTTTGGAGATGTCGTTGCTCGCGCGCTCACCTGTAGCGGCACGACCCAGTGCACCACTTGCCCAGGCCCTAACGTGAAGAGTGGCAAGTGCCCTGTCGGCGCCAACTGCAAACGCTCTATTGATGAGGATGGGGAACCCCATGTCAGCAGTCTGGAGGCACGCGTCAAGATCCCATTCGATAGAATCAAGTCGGGCAACTGGGGACCTGGCAAGGTGATCGAGACCGCCGGCTTGTCATTCTGCTCCGTCATGGCCGTCTACGACCAGGGCAAGTGGATCATGGCGCACATCCCTCCTGCCCGCGAAGAGAATGGGCAGCTCATCAACACTGGGGAGGATGTCATTGATGGCTTCAAGGAGGCTATGACGAGCAAGTACAATGATGCCAACATGCAAGGGCCCCAGGGCTATCTCCTTGTCAACACCGTATTGGATCCCGATCTGTTGCGGTCAATGCAGTCGTGGTTCCAGCAGCGCAACATTCCTACAGTGGTCCAGCCGTACACCAGGGAACAGACAATCGCGGGTAGTGGCAACTTCGTCATCTCGCGTGAGGCTGTAGCTTGGCCTCCTATCGTCACCTTCATTTAACTTGTTGCGGGTATAGCGTCGGGAGTCAGGGGCGTTCGGGTTGATATCAGTGACGTTAGGGGTTGATTGCTACGGATTGTGTTTGCTTTTAAATGGATTAGTAGGAATATCACTCATTTATCATATGATAACGGGAACAGGACTATTCGTAACCAGTGTGACTGTGAAGTGTCGCGAAAAGGAGGATACGGGACTAACGCAGACAATCCTTTTTTTTTTTTCTCCAAATTTCTTAGCGCTCATCTACAATGCCTCGATACTCTTGGATGAATGATGGGAGTTGTATAGCGACTGAACACCTATTTACGCATATAACGGACTCTGGGAAATTTTGCTGTCTGCAAGACTTTTTGTCTTGTTATAAGTCATATTTACAACCGCGGTAGATATCTGTATCATGCTTGTGCCTCCTAGTACCGATATTTGAAGTGGATGTTTTCCCTATCAGTCATGTCCGCCTCGGCATTGAGACGACCTATGCGCTCGCTCTCCTCCTCCGAAATACCTTGTTCGGCAAGGATCTTGGCCCGTCTTTTGTTCTCCCAGATATCTGTTCTATTGTTAGCCCCGCATAACTTTCTTCCTCTTCGTTCAACTCACAGTAGTATCTCCAGCATCCCATCGAGGTAAACTCAACCCAGTAGAGTATGCCGCAAGCAGTGATGCCCTTGATGTACTTTGGAGCATCCGATGCAATGAACATCTGAGCGCCAACAGCATTGCCAATGCAGTACCCTACGAATAGAACCGTGGCCATTACGGTCTTTTTGGTTCTTCCAGCGACGTTCGATGGCAGGAAAGTCCAGATCATCAAGCCAGGCAGGGTTCCGAATACTTGCATAATGTACATGCCCCATCTAGTCCACAGCATGCCCGTCGAGGGAAGCAGTGCTAGCGCCATCATGCCGGTAAAAGCAGGTAGTAGCGAAAGCATCATAAAGAGAACTGCGCGAATTAGAATATCTCACGCCGGATAAGGGATGGGAGACAACTTACATCGGAGATTCGGCTTCTTCAACGTCACGTATCCTACGATGAGAAACCAGCAGATACTAACTGCATAGTATGGAGTCGACCCCTTCAGGAGGGTGTCTAGGTCGGAAAATCCGAATGACTTCCATATCAACTTTGAGAAGGTTGTGTTCGCCCCGTTCGGTAGCGTGCTGATGATAGTCACGAAGAAGAAGAAATATGTCTGAGGATCACGGAAGGTGCTCCAGACCTGCTCCCACTTGAACTCTGAGTGCTTGTTCCGGTCGGAACCCGTCTGATTGGCCACCACTCGCGCAATCGCCGCGCGCTTCTCATCTTCGTTCAGCCAGCGGACCTCGCGCGGTGTCCCCAGGATGAAGTACACAAGAACGGCGTCGAAGATAGTCAGAGCGCCGAGAAAGAACGAGATGCCCTTCCACGGAGCCAAGCCTCCTGGGTGGCTTTTGGCGTGGGACCCGATGCCGTAGTTGATGAGACCAGTGATGATATTCATGCCGGCGTTTGAGGTGCCCCAGATGAGTGACCGCAGAGTGTGCTCCTGCGAAGAGTACCAGCTACCTGTCAGGTATAGGAACGTCGGGGATATAGTGCACTCCAGGGCTCCCTGGAAAAGTCGTAGGATCATGAGATGGGTAAAATTCTGAGCGAAGGCAATGCACAGGACTATAACTCCCCATAGGAACATGACGATTGAGAGGAACTTGGCCGTGTTACACTTCTGCATTAGCCAGTTGGCTGGGAACTCGCAGAGCATGTACGAGAGGTAGAAAATAGTGCTCAGCCAGTTGAACTGCTCTCCCACAAGGCCAGTGTCTTCCCGGATCCCGAAGATCGCCTGCACGCTCAGCGATGTCTTATCTGCCTGCTGAGTCCCGTAGCAGATCCACATGACGGGCAGCAGCCACAAGTCGATCTTCCACAGTAGTTTCCTGTTGTACGCATCGGAATACTCGTAGACGGCTTCGACGGTGTCGATGGCCAGGTCGTCGGGTGTTTGGTGCTTCTCAGGCATGACCTTCTCGTCAGAGTGGTGCTTCTCATTATCATTTGCAACCTGTTCCGCAGGCGCGCTGCGGGCCTCAGTCGCGGCAGAGTCCATACTGTGGCAGAAGGGAAGAACTCAGAGCAAAACTAAAGTCTAAGGGAAGCAATACAGATAGTACAATGTCGTCGAGAATGCTGACGCCAGCAGATTACTCGAGTTACTCATGTGCGCCGATCGTGGCCTACCAGTGCGTATAAGTGTTGCATCGGCAGGTGCAATAGCCAATCCGGCCGGATCTCAGCCGCACCGCCGATACCCTGGTCGGCCCCGGACCGGACTACCGACCGATGCATTCAGAGATAGGGAGATAGACGCCGATCAACGCTTGTTTAATCAGACATTAAATTAGCGTCAAGGGAAACAGCTGGTCTGGTACAAATAGCCCATGCCAAGTGATAAAGTCTAGATGGCTGACTTTTTGTGATGGCAGATTGGACTGTCAGAAATTCGGGGTATGTTTTGTCCCCGTGTCGGAAGACCAAACCCGAAGGCAGCAGAGTTGTATACCGGAACCTTTGGCCCACAATTGCCATGAAACCAATTCGAAGGTTCTCAAACACGCAAGATCGTTATTACAAGATCAATCAATGCTTCCCAGACTGGCAATTTGTAGCGCTCAAAGTGTTAACATCTTCATCGCAAGAAGAGACACCCTCCCAATGTGATATGTACTTGAATGCTACTCGGTGTTTCCAGCAAACACCTCACCTAGCCGTACCAGCTGGGGCCATCTTTTGTCTTTTTGCACCTCGATGACATTCTCCGAAGTGACCACTTTCATCTCATCTATTGCTCTTGTTCCAAGATCGTACGCCTGGTCATCATGTACGAAAGCCCTAAGCATGTCAATCCACTCCTGCATCAGCACCCTTTCTTCAGCAGTCGGGCCGTGCACAATTGAGAAACTGCGAGTGATTAGTATAAGTATATTGGTGTCAGCAGGGTTTGAAGACATACTTCCACCATGGCTTGTCCATGGCGTGGGCGACTCCAAAAGAAACTGGTGCCACTTTCTCTGTAATGAAGGAGAGCCTCTTGGCGACACGGTACCGCCATATATCCCGGAGAGAGACTCCATGGCTCAAAAGATTATGCACAAGAAGTCTCGAGGGGGCACGAACTTGACCATCTGCAATAATTCTTCCGAACAACATCCGCCATTCGGAGAGATCGTCTGTTTCGGGCAGCGAATACTGCTTCAATATCCGGTCTGTGGTTTCGGGAGCGTAGTAGTTGCCGACCTGCAGACGCAAAGCATCTACATTCGCTTCTTCTGGCGCATGATATGTCGCGTAAAGTGTCTCTTCGTTCAACACTTCGCCAATCAGGATTCGCAATTTACGTTTCGTGAAATCTGCTGCGAAACGGCCGTCGGACAGATACTCAGTCATTCCGGAATGAATAAAAAGCTCGTCAGTCACTGGCCGAAAGGTGTGATTGTTGAGTTTCTTGATTGCTAACAACAAGTCTTTCCAGGAGATAGCTCGCAGTTTGGCCATTTTCTCGGCCCCTGATTCCGCTTTTTCAATCCCAAAATGTTGGCATAGCTCGTCAAACTGCTCCTGGGTGTCGGATACGGTCTTTGGCTGGGCCGGAATGGCGTTTGATATCATGTAGAACCTCTGAAATAACTCTCCACCGGGGTGCGGTGCGTTGGACCGGAAATCATGAAGGACCTGAGCTTCTACACCGTACGAGCCCGCGCTGCGGCCTCCGAGGGTGATGTTGTTAGGGTCGCCGCCAAACGCGCTGATGTTCTCTTTGACCCACTCCATTGCCAGTCTTTGGTCCCAGAGGCCAAAGTTGCCGGCCGACTCCCCATCGCTCTCATCTAGCAGTTCCTGGGCCGCAAGAAAGCCAAAAACATTGAGTCGGTAGCCAATGGCAACCACGATCGCATTTACCCCTCCAGTAGATATCATTTCCGTCGGGTCCATGGTGGCATCCTGCGATGGATCTCCCATTTGGAACCAGCCCCCGTGAAGCCACAGAGCCACAGGGTATTTCTTGTCGCGGGGCTCACCAGGCTTTGGAACGGGTGTCCAAATATTCATGACCAGGCAATCCTCAGAGAACGCTACATCGTCGCTGCTCTCCGCTCCAGCGTGGTAAGCTTCCTGTGGACAGACAGGTTTGAACTTGGTAGCATCAAACGCCTCGCCGTTCGGGCTTACAAGTCGATGGTTTGCAGGGAGCGGCCGAGGCTTCCGCCATCTGTGCTCGCCGGTCGGCGGTAGCGCATAAGGAACTCCAGCATATCGACGGGACTTTTCGTCGTACTGAAGTCCTTTGACTGAGCCTTTCCCACCAAGATCGAGCTCGTGCTCCTTAATGGTATATGATATTGTGTTGCCCATTGTACTGGTCGTACTGTGGGTCAGTGGCTTTTTCGACGAAATAATTCGAAGCACGCAGATGTAGCGTCACAGTGGCCGGGGTAACAAGTATTGGCAGCCCGTGATTTGCAATGGCTATAGACCTAAGTTTTTGGGGCGTTAGGGGCGTTCTGTCATGCAATTGGTCGCAAGGCAAACTCTATGCCAACGGAGTCGCAAGATGGGAGCCCAAGCCAATTCCAGCTTATGTGATTTATCATCGATTTCAGTATGCCACGCAGCGAGATTTTGATCCGATTCGACCTCAGAAGCATCGTGGATGGTCACGTCTGTCGGGTCCTGCCCGACGCCGACGCAGCACCAGAAGCCCCATAATTGACCGATCGTCGGCCGACAGCCTGGACCCCTGAACCTCCATTCAATCGGTATTTCAAGAACGCCCGTAGGCGTCGGCAGGGTCCGAAAGCGACATAATAGTCCAAATGGCCGGCCCGGTGATATGCGGTAACGGCGATGGCTGCGTTGTCTATCTTGGTAGAAGAAAAGTAAGCGACATGTTCTAAGACTGACCCATTGGCTTTGTTGAAAAGGTTCTGAGCGCTCAACCGCAGCTTTGCGAAACTAGCCAGAGCATCCGGTTAGGACAAGAAATCACGCGGAAGCATGGGTAATGCTGCAATAGGTTGCGAGGCAGACCAGGAACTGCCTGATGCCATAGATCTGACACACCACCTCAATGTGTTGTCGCGGTCACGGCACCCAAGTCCGCTGAAGGATATAATCAAGTTTATGGGATATGATGGGATGATTAGTCTGGCAGGAGGTACGTATATCAGGCCACGATCAGGTCTCGCTCCAACAGGGATTCTTGTTGGTTATATTCTAAACTGACCGGCCTAAAGGTTTACCACACCCATCACTATTCCCTATCCATGATGCATCTTTTACTGTATCGGATCCCGGCGGCTCAGATAGCCAATCTACCATTAAGCTTGATAATAAAGGCGCATCCTCGCAGCTATTGTCGGCGTTCCTGCAGTATGGTGAGTTCTTACCTTGCTGGCGGCGGACGTCAGTCATCTAATAATGGACCAGGAAACTGTACTGGAAACGGCGAGCTTAGAAAATGGTGTCTTGACTTTACACGGAAAATCCACAAACCAGCCTACAAGGACTATGAGATCCTACTCCACCCTGGCAACACTAATGCCTGGAGCAAGGTGGTAGGACTCTTGTGCGAGAAGGGCGACTATATCCTCTGCGAGAGCTATACCTATCCGTCCTCTCAAGCACTATGGATCCCCAATGGGAACCTAGCCGCACCCATTGCCATGGATGAAGAAGGCATTTTAGATACAGCCCTGGAGGAGGCACTCGCGACCTGGGAACACGTACATCCGGGCACAAAAAGACCGCACGTACTTTACCTGGTAAGTGTGGGCTCGAACCCGACAGGTGTGACCATGGGAACAGAGAGGCGGTGTCGCATATACGATATTTGTGTAAAATACGGTAGGTGGTCTGAAGGCTCCAGGAGTATTGAAGCATTAGTCCCATGCTAACGCAAGCGCAGACATAATCATCGTCGAGGACGACCCCTACTACTTCATCCAGTACCCGGACCTCTCCAGTACGGCGGAGTCCGAGCCCTACCGGCTCCTCCCCAACGACGACTTCGTGTCGTCACTGGTGCCGTCCTTCCTGCGCTTCGACCGGCAGGGCCGCGTCATCCGCCTCGAGTCCTTCAGCAAGACGCTGGCCCCGGGCCTGCGGCTCGGCTACTTCGTCGCCAACCCGCGCTTCACCGAGCGCCTGCTGCGCGCCACCGAGGTCGAGACCCAGGATCCCTCGGGCCTGTCGCAGGCCGTGGTGCTAGCGCTGCTCGAGCGCTGGACCACCGACGGCTACGTCAGCTGGCTCCAGAGCCTGCGCCTCGAGTACCAGCGCCGCCGCGACTGCATGGTTGCCGCGATCCGGGACAACCTTGACCTCGTGCCCGCGTCCGAGTTCCCCGACCTGCGGGCCCAGGGTCTCGTGGCCGCTGTGAGAGCTGCCGAGGGCTCCGCAAGGATTCCAGTCTTCAGCTTTGTCACGCCGACGGGCGGCATGTTCATCTGGACCAAGTTCTACTTCTCGCAGAACCCACAGTACCAGGCTCTGAAGCGCGGGGGCGCCGAGTCCGACCCGGAGCAAGCATTCGCGAGCAAGCTGTGGGTACAGTTTGCCGAGGAGCTGGTAAGTATTTTGGTGATGCGTTCTCACTAGCATATTCGACGCATTTGAGGCTGACCAGCTCCAGGTTCTTCTAACACCTGGCTCATATTACCACCCTTGGCAGGGGCCAGACAAGACGAGCACATCCGCACGAGGCGCCGACCCGGACACATCGCACTTCCGGTTGACGTTTGCAATGACGACGGTAAGTTACGATGTCTTTCGTCCTTGGTCAGATGAGAAGACCCCACGCTGACCACCGCTGGCCGCACCCACAGAAGGAAGACATGGAACTCGGGATCAAGCGCCTTGCCGGCGTTATTAAGAAGTCCTGGGGTGCGGTGTAAAATGCATGTTTTGTTAAATGGGTTTAAACTACTGATTACCATACATATATCAGATATCTGGCTCGGAAGTGTTGTGGCAACGTAGGTATCATGACTGGCTTCGGTCTGAGAAGGCAGCAATGTTAATCTCGCAGCTTTGTAGCAACGCACATATCATGTTCTGGCAAGATCATGGTGTAGCCATCAACCCCATCACCATCAGCCGATGAGCATGATTCGTCTAATTTAAACGACTGGTCCTCTAGCAGTTGTTTCGCACTTCAAGTGTGCCGGTTTAGATGCAACCGTAGTCACCCGGCAGGAACTTGCGAAAAGAGACAGTCTCACACATGTGATTCGATTGGGGGCTTTCCTACAATCAATGCATCTTGCAGATATCTTCAGCAGTCAAATAGCATAGGGCGACAACTTGACGCAATTTTTTGCTTCAAAACACCGACTGCGGCTGGTCAGAATACATATCATATCGCCTGCGGTCTTGAGTCACGAAATCATCTTTTTGTCTAATTGATGAATTCTATCCCCTGGCATCACCGAGCCGGAATGTTGGCTCCTCTGCCCACGTGCCACTTTAAGGAGTCCACGGGGGACATCGAAACGACCCCTCGCACGCCAAAGTGATGCCAAATCCATGCGAGGAGTCCCTTCATATCTTGGGGTTTTGCCATGTTCCAAAGCAGAGGGGAAAGGGCTTCTCCCACCCGTTTCGCTGAGATGGTGTAATTGCTGCAGCCACAAGACTGATTCTAATGCTGCCGATCTGCACTCCGCAGAAAGCCAACATGTACAGACCAAACCAAGTCTACCGTATTCGTCCAGGTCAAACCCGCGACTATCTATCGTCGGTCCTGGATGCTGCCCACAAAACTGGGATCCTTCACACTACCACCAGCATCGCCCAGGCCCGCAATCGGCCGGTTGTAACTGAACCCAGCAAACTGATTTTGCATTGTCTGCGATAGCACAGGCCCCTCAACATACGAGTCCTGCGGCGCTTCAGATGTGAATTCGGGGTCGAAGTTGGCAGTATCAAGCGCATCAGTCTATGAAATCGGTTAGTCATGGAATAAAAGAGGAACTTTTGACAGGAAAGTCACATACCACACTGGGTTTGAACGTGGGCTCGTATTTGCGCTGAAGAAGCTTGCGCCAGTCAATGGCATGGAAGAAAGGATGCGCCTTGATCTCGGCACTGCCACCAGCGCCCAGTCTCTCGTCTGGGTTGCGGTTGAGAAGCTTGGTCAGGAGATCCTTGGCGGCAGGAGGGACGACCTCGGGTCCGGGGAAGTGCAGGGGCTCGGAGAGGATCTTGCGGTACATTTCGTTGGTATTCTCGTCGTAGAAGGGCGGTAAACCTGTAAGCATCTCGTACAATAGGACTCCTAGAGTCCACCAGTCGACAGTCTTGTTGTAACCCTGGCCCATCAGAAGCTCAGGCGCCAAGTACTCGGGAGTACCACAGAAAGTATTTGTGCGGTCTTCGTCCTTCATGTCGAGCTTGCACAGGCCAAAATCGCAGAGGGCGATGTGACCTTGGTAGTCGAGCAAGATGTTCTCGGGCTTGAGATCTCGGTAGATGACATTGAAGCCGTGTAAGCATTCCAGAGCACAGAGAAGCTCGGCTGTGTAGAACCGCGCCCGGTTCACGTCGAAACGTTGCTCCTTTTGCAGGTGGTGGAAAAGCTCTCCGCCATTGACGAAGGCCAAGACGAAGTACAATTTTTCGGGCGACTGGAAGGTGAACTTGAGCGGCACAATAAAGGGGTTGTTGATCTGAGCCAGGACTGATCGCTCTGCTAGGGTGTGGGCAACCTCGGACCGCGAAATGATGTGGGCTTTGCGGATCGTCTTCAGCGCGTAGATACGGTTGGTATCCTTCTTGCGAACCTGCATGACCTTGCCAAAACTGCCCTTGCCCACAACCTTCAGCAGCTCAAAGTCGTCGATCTGCAACTTGCCCGCACGGTTCTCGACGTACTCGACGCCAATCTTCAGCTTGCCCGAGCCGTACTGAACATCAGCCCACTGGATGCCCGAGTGTCCCAACGAGCGCTCCCGGCTCGCAAACTCTGCCGCCGCCTTCTCGCGGTCCTTCTTGCTGGCCTTGGGGTCCTCCACGAACGAGTGCTTCTCCTCGAAGCGCGGGTTGATACGGACGACTCCCAGGAAGATGTCTTGGCTGCGGCCGGATCCTGGCGGGGCATTGGGGTTGCGCATGTACAGATGCACGTTGAGCTCGGTCACGCGGGACACATCGAACTTGTACTGGGTGTTGTCACCAGCCCACAGAGGGTTTTCCGGGTTCCCCGACACCGAGTTGACAAAGACCTGAACCTTGTCGAAATCCAGCAGCGCATAGGGCAGGTATTTGCTAGAGATTCTGCCGTGGTTGGAGGGAATGCCGGAAAAGCCACCTCCCGACGTCTGTGGCCTGCCGTTCATGAAGGAGCCGGGGGTGCCTCGCGAGCCAGGGCGCACCGATCCACTGAGGGCACCACTCGACGAGACCGAACCCTGGTGGCCCTGCGCGGCAAAGGACTGGCGGTGCTGTTCGGGAAGGGCGAAGTTCTGGCCTTCGTGTAGGGTCACGACGAGGATACCAGGCTTGGGCGGCTTCGTAACGGGCTGTTGTACCATTGCTTCCGAGGCGGCTACGGGGAGGGCGTTCAGCACACACACAGACACGCTAGCCACGAGGCATCTTGATCGGAACTTGGGTTGTACATACCAATAGCATTGTCCGGAGGGGCTGGCGTAGACGAGCTCGTTGGCGGTGCTGATGCCAGCTTCTCATCTTTATCTGTGATGGTGGAGGTCGAGGGCGATCTCGAGGAGGAGAAGATGGAAGGCGGTCCCAGGTGGGTTTCCTTCAGCTCTGGAGAGGAGTGTGTCTGTCAGGACAAGCAGGGCACAGCCAAGACGCACCGACGGGCTCGCATTTTGGCATATAGAGGGAAGGCGGTTACTTACTCTTGGTGAGTTTCCACGACATGGTCGCGAATGCTGCGGTGAGCGGTGGGAGTCGCTGGTCGTCGGCGGGATGAGGCTATTCGGTTGCGGGGTGTCGGGCGGCGCTGTCAGAGGGGACGGGAACGACGATGGTCTGTCTGTCAGGCCAGGAAGCGAACGTATCGTGCGGATGCAAGGGGGGAAAAACAAAAAAAGATGCGGCGGCAACGCAGAGCTTCAGCTGTGCGAGGATCGACACGTTTCAGTGAGGCAATGATGGGACTGTAGGGAAGTAGATTGCTTTCTACACAAGCCGTCCGACAGACAGGATTGTGGTGGCACAGGTGGGCGTGGGCGCGGGCGCGGGCGCGGGCAGCGATCGTTCGGGGGAGCAAGCAGCCTAAGGGTCCAGTCTAGCCAAGCAAGTCCAGCCCCAGCACTAGATGTTCAGGCCCGGATTTGGGATTTGGGGCAGTGAAGTTGGTTGGGCGTCGCGCTTTTCTTGTTTGGGGGTGGTTGTCCTAGGTTGTCCTACGGGGGGCCTCACGGCGATTGAAACTCGGATAAGGGGGGAAGTTGGGAAGGATAAGGGGAGGGGATAAGGGACTGGGACCCAAGCCAAGTGGGAAAAGGAGGGGGCTTAGCTCCAGTCGGGCCTGGTCTTCTCTCTTACTGGGCCTGCTGGGGCCTTTCTCCTTATTAATCACTCCTCCCTCGATGCGACAGACGCTTGTGAACAAGTCACGCTGACCGGGCTGCATGGGATACATTGGACGTACCTACTCGCACACTCGCTAAAAACAAGACTCGAGTGTGCGTGTTTGTATAGTCTGTCCTCCAAATACATCCAAGGTTCTGACCAGCGCAGCACACACCAACACATCTTTAGACGCTGTTTTGCTGTATTTTGAGGGGGTAAGCACCCAATGGTGCCAACAGGTAGTTAACTAGGCAGGGTATCTTGGGTACACTCAGCCAGCCAAGTTCGTATTAGACACCGGGCGGGCAGGCGAGCAGGCGGGCGTGCCTTGCTAATCGGCACCGTCTTGGTTCAGGGCTGTCAGCTCCCGACAGCACGGTTGAGCCAGGGCTGAACCGAGGGGCATTTCTGAGGCATTGATTCGGCCGCCCATCCCATCCCGTCCATCATCCAAGCGTGACCGAGACCGACAACATTGGAGGGCGATAAATGTCTGTCCCGGACCCCGCACTTGCCGAACTTCCACCAACTTACGGGGTACTCCATATATCGTGCTCACTCACGATTCTGCATCCCGTACTCCGTGGCCCGTCACCATTCTCGGCTTTGGAGCAGCATTGAGCCTCCTCCCGCATGCCGATCGCAATGGACAATTTCCCGCAGGTATCAAAATGCAGCTTGTCACTATAGCCCCGTCTGCCCAGGTGTTGAAACCACCACTATGTCGTGTCGTATTTATAGGTACATGGGCATCTGCACTGATCTGCAACGGTACCAGCGAATGGCTGTCTCGTAATGCTGACAGGCGTCTTGGGGGGCGATCGTATCACGTGCCAGGAGTCATGGACACCACCGGCCCGTCTGTCGACGTAATACTCCATATACTGGCAAGACTGGGCACAGTGCATGCCTCTAGTATATTCCACTCTCCCTCTTGAGTCCGCAACCTAAACAACTGTCGCGAAGCCCACACATTCGACGCCTTCGGATTCAGGTCCGCGCCTCATATTAGCGGGCTTCTCGGGCGCAAGCCTCCGGGCGCCACGTGGGAAACTGGAGACCTTAGCGGTTGTTCCCGCAAAAGGGGCTCGTGTTTGAACTATGAGACTTTCCTGGACTGTGCTCATCTTCGGCCCCTAATCACCCTTGGAAGCCAGCGCTTCGCACCAACGGCCGAGCCTCAATCATTCAGCCTCCTCTCCCATGAGATCGGAGGCCTGCGAACGCCCCGAATTGACTGGCAATAAATTATGCTCAATGAAGGCCTCTCATCTTGTTGCCACTATATGCGAATGTGCCTTGAACGAATATTGACCCCCGTAGCCTACTCTACATATGCATGCATCATCTCAATATGACTGAATAGAGATCACTCCCTGTCACCATCGCTCCATTCCTTGTTTGATTTGCCTTCCGCATCCGTCGCATCGTCGTCGTAGTCGGAGTTGGATGGCGAGGAGGCAATCTCCTTCACCACCTCATTCAACTCTTCTGCTCCCCATTCCGTACTGAAACCAGGCCGTAGCCCGTCAACGACACCTGGAACATCCACAACCAACAGTGTTGGGTCTGCTGCCAAGACCTTAGATTCTACAACCTTCGTACACCCAACACATTGGCTATTCACGCGTTGCCTGACACCAACCCCTCATCGCATAGTTTTCTGTTAGTTACCGCGCACGAATATCATGGCTGCGTTCACCAAACCTACAACAATTCCATACTTCTGCGACCTCGAAAAGTTGCCAGCTCCATTGCCGACAACGGCAGCGATTGAGGCTGCGACGGAGGTTCTTCCCTGTATTCATGGCCCGAAGTACAGACGTACGGTCGTCGTCAACGGCCATTTCGTGGTCAAATATGGGACCTGTGTGACAGAAAACGAAGGTCATGCGTTACTCTCTCTCGAGAAATACCCTGGTGTCCTGGCTCCACGACTCCATGCTATGTACCAAGAAAACGGGAAGCTCTACCTTATCATGGAGCTGAAGCCAGGGAGACAGCTCAGCGAGCTGTTGCCTAGTATGAGTGACAAGGAGATGCTAGATGTAGCGAAGCAACTCAGAGGAATATGGGACCAGCTACGGTCTATTCCATCACCCGGTGGATTCGGTGGCGTTACTGGAGGTCCTTTGGAACATCGATTTTTCAAGTGGATAGAAGCCGATCCGAAAATCACAGGGCCATTCGGTGTGGAAGAAGACCTCAGCATGGCCCTTGCCCGACGATCGCACAAGAATTGGGAGGGCAGTGTCAGACGAGCATGGACGTCAGAGTTTTTTGCTCGGAATCTACCAAGGGCCTTAACAAACCACCCATGCGTTTTCACACATGCAGACTTACAGCGTATAAATATTCTCGTGGTAGAGGTCTCAGCAAGCCAAGATGGGCGTCGACGGCTAGAAGTCTCCGCCGTGGTAGACTGGGAAGATGCAGCGTGGTATCCAAGCTATTGGGAGTATGCCGCATGCTTTGTGGATTTGCAATGGACAGATAGCTGGCCAGAGTATGTCGAGTGCATCCTTGATCCATACATTTCAGAAGCAGCAGTGCTGCGCCTAATTCGGCAGGGTTTGGATTTCTGATCCGTTGATATATTCGGCTCGCTAGGAATCTGGGATGAGCAGGGACTTGCAAAGCAGCCACTGATGTGAAAGGCGTTACCGGATATCACTGGCAGCCCGCTCTTTGCGTCGCATTTTTCCCAGTGCCTGTACCGGCGATGAGGTCCGTCCCAGACCCGATTTTTACTGGGCGCCTGCGAGCTATTTGACGAATCGCCAGTGATTCAACTCGCCGATGCTGGAACGACGTAGATGACTTGCAGTTCTGGCAACATCAGAAAGCGCTGATATGCAGGAGATGACAGAAAATTATCCACGAGTCTACGCCACTACCTCGCAGTCCCTCATTCCGAACCTTGTCACAGATATCAAAGACAATGGCCACATACTTCTATTGCCGGGTATAGTCCATGGCTTTGCGCGGCGTAATCGTAGACGGAGTAAGTCTGCATCCACCTTGGGCACGCTGAGCCAAATCTTCATCAACAAAGTGGCTCTCGAATTGAGTTCAGTGCAAGGCATCCAGAATGAAGACGGCTGGAATGATATAATTCTCCTCCACGGTCACAAGGAGATGATTCGTGCTTTTGTAGAGCCATGCAACCAAATTCGGGTGTACCATTGCGGCGGCCAAACGAAGTAGTAGATTTGGCATAGTCAGGGGAAAATGTAATTTCAAGCTGACATCAACCCAGGTTCAGGAGTTGATTCAAAAACAGGCAAAGGTCGTATCATCCTCCTTCATGGGGAATCAGTTGTTAGAAATCTTCTACGATAAGCACTACGCGAACTTTTGGACTCTGATTCTGAGTTTGGGTCTGAGATATGTTCGAGCTCCTCTGCTAGTTCTTCCGAGTCATCAGACAGATCTCGCGATGACTCTAGTTCCGGTAGCCTACGCAAAAAGAACAGGAGTAGAAAGGAGAAGGGCGAAGACAAAGAAGGGAACAGAAGCTCGAAGAAGATGGATGACGAGGGCAAAAGGTCCAAAGGCAAGAAGTACCACACTCTTGAGAGATTGTCGGCCACGAAACAGGCTTCATTATTTGCAATCCCTCACCCACCTCCCCTCGTCTCTCCCCCCCCCTCCCTTTTTATCATGCATTATTTCGCGTTGTTGGTCTAAGAATCAATCGGGTCAAATTTGCGATATGTCGGCTTGACTTGTCTCGGGTTTGGTTATCTCCTTTCCACTTATAGCCAATCCTGGCCTCTTCTCTCCCGTCCGGCTGCTGAGCTACGAAAGGCACCCCCTTTTGCCGTGCTAAGACTCTCTTGTGCCAAGGCGACGAGAAACTGTACTCCCAAAGCAACTCCATCTATGACCATCGTCTTCCCCTCCGCCATACCAACGGCGTCGCTCACGGCTTCATGCATCCCAGTCATCCCGGCACAGCCCAAGCAGATACAGTCGGCCCCTTTCTCTACGAGCCTGTTGGCTGCAGCCACCAGATTGGCGTACACCTCTTCCTGAGGCTTGGACTCCAGCTCTAGTACTGAAACATGGCCGGTTTCACAGCCAGCAGAGTAAGCTTCGAGTCCGTAATCGCTGATGGACTGTGTATGTAGCGCGCTCGATCCTATTCGCAGGGGGTCAACGATAACACATCGTCAAATTGCCAGGCACAAACGTACTTTCACTTGTAGTGACGATACCTAGCTTGTGGCCACACATGCGGCTTGCATAGAGGGCCGCCTCCATGATCCCAATCGTCGGCTGTGGGTACTCCTCACGCAGCATGGCAATGAGTGGGTGCGCAGAGAAGCAGGCGACGAGCAATCCATCAAATCGCCCCGGTTCTCGCAAAAGCGGTGCCAGCGCCCGGAAGCAGTCTGCTGCAGATAGCACAGCATCCACCTTGCCCTCGATTGCACTTGGCCCGGGCTTCGGACATGTGAAGCCGTCGACGGTGACGTGTCCTGGTAGTGTAGGTTGTACACAGCGGAGACAGGCTTCAGTCATGTACCCGGTGGAATTAGGATTGATGAGTAGAATATTAATATGTCTGGTAGATTTCCCAGTCACAGAGAGTAAGTCTTGTGGGAGTTGGTCCATGGTTGATGTAGCTAGTAGACTTCGGAGCGGGACACCGGTTCTGCTGAGCTGCTCTAACTAGACACGTGTAGCGGAGGGTGCTACTTAGCTTGCTACTGAACGACGCAGAAACAACATGGGATGGTGGCGGATGTATGAGAGATTCTCAATCTCAGTGGTAAAGTGCTGTACAGTAATACTCGAACAACCAAGCGTATCTAGGCCGACAAAGTGCGGCCCCGCTTCCTAGCTGGCCGATCGGGGGTCCGATCAAATGCGACCCACTTCACGGTTGCATCAAGGTCCGGAGTCACCGTCCATTTCACGTACACCTTGGCAAGCTTGGCACTAGTCTTCAAAGCCTATATTTCGAGAAATCTGGTTGGGGATTGTCGAAGCGAGGGAGATACGGAGCTGTTATAGCGGCATCTCGTGCGCGAAAGCTCAACAATTTGTAGTAAGCTACATTAATATAACTGCTCAGTGCATGGCTAAAACCCTTCGGATGGGACTATTTATTTGTGCTCTAGCTCGCCCTCATCTCTCAGTGTGACTTTCTTTTGCGTCGAAGAGTTCTGATACGATTCTAGCATGTCCATAATATGGTCAACCGCCTCCAGCGTGCCACTCACATTCAACGTTTTGACAATAAGCGTTGGCAATTCTTTTATGCATCCATGGATATGAGAGTTGGTGGTCTTTGACGAGCTTACGAAGAACGCTCGCATCCGTCAGATTAGTCCTTTGTCCCATCTTACGTTCGATGCTAATAACACGCTGCTCTAATATTGACCGCTCGCACTCCAGGGTAACCCAGATGAGGGGTATGTCAGTATTCCTTATTATGGCAATATGCTCCTGGAAGATACGTGTGTCTGCATTTTGTTCTGCTAGATATGCCGTCATGAAAACCGTGCTTCCTCCTTGTGCCAGCGTTCGTATATCATTGAAGACAGGTTCTCGGATCCGCTGGCGTAGGTCGTAGTGTTCTGGAGTCCTGTCACGGTAGAGGGCTTCTGCTGGGTCAATGTGAAGGTAATTTTCCCCGAGACGGACTGTGCCTTGTGGAAAGCGGCTTTTCACGCTTGACACTATCGTAAATTTGCCACTTCCAGGAAAGCCGTTGAAAACGATAATTCTGCCACCACCCCTCTGGGCATGTTTTATGCACTTTTCAAACGCCATGTTCATCGTTGACATCGGGCCCAGTTGATGTGGAGGCAATCTAGAGTGCTCGAAGCTCAGGCCGGAGGCGCTTGGGCAAGAGAGGCCTACCGATGGTTGGATTTGTAGTCAAGTGCGTTTTCTATTATACGGCTAGGTTTAGTCTTCTGAACGTGTGTTAAACGAGGGTTGAGTCAGTTTGGGAGAAGGTTGACCTACAGCCTGCATTCACATATTGGTGCTAGTCTTTAGGTCTCCACCAATGAAAAGGAGCGAAAGTCGAAGCCCACCACGAGTTAGTCCTCAACTGGGCACCACATTTGCGCCACCGCGGTGCAGGTAGCAAAATGAAATTGGGCAAGGCAAAGACCAATCACCCGTGATGCAGTAATGAAGACTGGAGCTTTCGTAGGGGTTGCTCACGGCCTCAGAACGGGAATATGAGCTTGAGCTTTCCAATCCTTGAATTTTACCCCACCTTTCAGAGCGTTATCAGGACCTGGATACCTGACAGACCTTGGCAATTTGGGTTTGTCGCCTACTGTTTACAGCAAGCCAGCAACTTGGGGTGGTATGTGCCTGACCAACCGCTCACCTGGCAGTCATTCGCCGGGCGGTTACTCACTGGGGTCACTGCTTAATTTCGCTTGTCGCATTCTTCTGTGTCTTCACGCCTTCGTCCTTTTCATCGAACTGAAATCGTGTCTAAAGGTGCTTCATTACGCAGCTATTGCCCTGGCTAAAATGCGTTCGTCTGCAGTATCTGATGCAAGTGACGCCGGGCATCTTGGGGTGCTAGACGAGAGAGGTATTGGCAATGTTACCACTAACACAGCAACGGCAGAGATGGCGTTCAGTCCAACTACAGCCGCCCACGATGACGGAGAGGAACCAAAATATCTTGGACTGTGGCAATTGATCCCCATTTTCGTCGCAATGGGGCTCGCGATTTTTATACTGGGTCTGGCAGGTATATCCCGTCGCCAGTTTGCAGGACGCACACTAATTCCACTGGCCTCCAGGACAATACCATTGTCGGCACAGCAATTCCTACTATCACAAATGATTTCCAAACGTTAACCGACATTGGATGGTATGGATCTGCATGCAAGTCGCGATCTTTTGCTGAAAGGCACATTTTCCGTTTTCATTGAGGCTTCATACTGATACGATTCAGATCGACTCACCACTTGTTCTACCCAGATTTTCTTCGGGAAGGTTTACGAACAATTTCGGGTGAAGTGGGTTTTTGTCTTAGCGGTAGGCATTCTTGAAGTCGGATCCATTATCTCTGCAGCGGCACCAAGTTCAGTTGTGTTTATTATCGGGCGGGCCGTCGCAGGCTGTGGTGCTTCTGGAATACTGACTGGGGTTCTCATGTATGTCACGTCCTTTCCATACGTCTAAAAGTATCAGCGGCATAATTTCAAATCTACTAGCGCAATTTCCCATTTAGTTCCGCTTCGCTGGAGGCCCATATGCAACAGCACCGTTGGCGGTCTAGAGTGCATAGCAATGATCGTAGCACCGGTTATTGGGGGTGCACTAACTACATATGCCAACTGGAGATGGTGGTGCGTACTTCGATTTCTTTTGCGACGAGACGTTTTCTGACAATGTTCGGCACACCGCAGTTTCTGGCCTAATTTGCCAGTCGGTGGGTTCACAATGGCAACTATAATCATTCTATTCAAGAATCCGGAAAATCAGAGAATTCCAGAAGGGTCTCTGATAGCTAATCTCCAACGACTGAACATTGCCAACCTCCTCATATTCACCGGAAGCATTGTGTGCTTTCTACTAGCCCTTCAATGGGGTGGAACGACGTATAGTTGGAATAGTGGAAGAGTGATTGCCCTTCTGGTAGCCGCTGGTGTCAGCTTTGCCTTTTTTCTTGCTATCGAAGTACTTCGGAAGGGCCGCGCCACTATTCCCAGCTCTGTAATACTCAACAGGACTGCGGGACTGTGCCTTGTCTACGCCTTCTGCACGTCCTCAGCCTTCGCTGTTATGGATTACTTGGTACGTTGCTCCCACTGAATGCGTTAGTTCGCGATTAGTGGTAACTAAAGTCAAGATCGACAGTTGCCTATTTGGTTCCAAGCAATCAAGGGCGCCTCAGCAGCTCAATCCGGGCTAATGCTTCTCCCGTCGGTCATTGGGCTCTCAGTTGCGGCCATAAGCTCTGGCTTTATCGTCTCCTTTGTTGGGTATTACACACCACTTATGCTTCTTGGATCCACGATGATGGCCATTGGGTTCGGGTTTCTAACAACTTTTACGCCAACCACCGGGCGTGCGGCATGGATTGGATGGCAAGCCATGTTTAGTTTCGGTATCGGATTGGCGTTTCCTCAGCCATGGTCGGCTCCCCAGACGGTGCTTGCGGCGGAGGACATTCCTGCTGCAATGGCAGCTGTCGGGTTCGCAATAAGCATTGGAGCCGCTCTTTTCATCTCCATATCGCAAAACATTTTCACAAACCTCCTCCGAAATGGTTTATCCGACGTTCCCGGCATTGAGGTGAACGAGATTGTTAATCAGGGGGCGACAAACTTGCTCCAGACCGTACCCATATCTGAGAGGGAACAGGTGGTACACATCTATAACTCTGCGATCACAACCACATTCTGGGCATGTGTGGCTGTGGTCTGTTTGGGTATGTTGGCCGCACTAAGCATGGAGTGGAAGTCTGTGAAAGATGCGAAGCGAGATGCGAAGAGCGAGAAATAAATGGATTTAGATAGGAGGTGTTGGGCAATTTTCCAAGTCCTTGGCGTAGCTAGAACTTTCTTGGTCATCCAAATATGTGAAATTGTTTCGGACACTGCTAGATCATACTCACAGCTTGCTTCTGCAGACGTTGGCGACCAATATATGCCACCGTCTCGGCGAGTCATTTTTGTCATCAACCAACTTGATCATTCCACTATATGTCAGCTCCGCCATCAACGAATCCTCTCGCTGTCGGTTCTCCTCCAGTAGGCTGGAGCAGGGGTGCCCAGTTAGGTGGAGACTTCCCACCGACTATTCGCCTATCGCGAGTCGAGGTAAAGCCCCGCCTAAAATATTGGGGGCTTCTTCTCTCTGAAACCAGTTCACTCCCAGTTCTACTTCAAATCTATTGCCAGCTACTAAAGCATGTCATAAACATGTCCCAGCAAAACATCAAACTGGAACCTGAAGAGCCTGCAACAATGACTGACCTTAGCGGGTCTAGCTTGCAGGACCATGTGTCGCAATCCCATGTTGAAGCAACATTGGAGTCGACACAGCTTTCCTCGGAGGCCATATCACATTTCGCGCAATTTCCCGCAAATCAATTCATGACAGAAGATTTGCTCAACCAACAACCACAGGCCTCGAACTCTGCTAGAGTTGTACAATCTAAATCTTCATATCCATTGCAACCTCTTGACAGCGATGATGCAGTGTCTGCTGCGACAGCATCAGCCACCACGCCCGGACAGGTTTCCCAGGCTCAATGGAGCGCGCAGACGCTGAATCACTTTGTTCCACAATTCTATGATGAGGAGTTGGACCGTGTAAGCTCGGGGGCGTCCGTAATCGAAGAGGGTGCAATTCTGGGCGAGTCTGGACGGACCTACCACAGCTACAAAGACGGCGTGAGTAGCTACCTATTGCCAAATGACCCGGCAGAGCAGGATCGACTGGACTTTCAACACGCCATGATGACCTTGTTGTGGGACGGACGCCTGGTATTAGCACCACTGCCTCGTGCACCTCGTCTCGTGCTTGATGTGGCTACAGGTATGATGCAACGGATAGCAGTTGATGGGAGAGTCTTTGCTCTTCGTCGTTTCCAAGTCTTCTCCTGCAGCCACATTTTGTTTTAAAGACGCAGATGGTAATTGATTGGCACTGCAGGTACCGGTATTTGGGCACTAGAATATGCTAGGTACGTCCCAGGACTATAGCGAGACTAATAAGAATTTAGACACTAATCTAGCACCAGGGCCAATCCGACGTCTTTTGTAGTTGGAACCGACCTTAGCAAGATCCAGCCTGTTCCGGATGTTCCAAACTGCTTGTTTGAAAAGATGGATTGTGAGGAAGACTGGCTGTGGACCTACAAGTTTGATTATATCCATATCCGCATGATTGTCACCGCCATCAAGGACCCAAAACGTCTTATTCAGCAAGCGTTTCAGTATCTCAACCCAGGTGGTTGGCTGGAGATACAGGATGCCGATATGGACTTACTCAGTGAAGAAGGCCCAGAGAAAGACGATAGGGTAGCGACTTCCTATTTAAAGAGGTGGTTTGAATACAGCGCCATTGGCGCCTCGATGAACGGCATAGATCTTCATAAAGCTAAGAATTACCAAACATGGATTACTGAGGCCGGCTGTAAGTGGTAGTTTTCATGGCGCTGCCAAATTTACTTTGATATGGACAACCCTCAGCTGACCTTGGTATTAGTTTCAGAAGTGCGGGAAGAGAAATTCAAAGTGCCTTGCACTGCCTGGCCAAGAGACCGGAAGCAGAAACGTGTAGGACGGTGGATGTCGGCCAATTATCTATCCGGGCTCCGTGGTGTCAGCTATAAAATGCTGCGAAGTGCAGGAATGGCAGCGGAGGATATTGAGAGTTTCATTGGTGCCACGAGAGACGAAGTGAAGACTGGAGACATTCGAGGATACACCCCCTGGTATGTTTGGTATTCTAAACTATTTGAACGCGGATCTGACTTTAATCACAGGTATGCAGTCTATGGCAGGAAACCATTCCACTAGATGGACGACTATTATGCGATATTCAACCATTTTTTGCCACGTAAAGCCAACGAACACAGGTTGAAGTTAAAATTTTGTCTAAAATACACCTTGTCGAATTCGACAGATGTAGGCAACTTCAATCAAGAGCAAATTTTCATAGAGAACATTACTGTTATCCCAAGTTCTATCCCTTTCTTTCTCAACATAGGTTGCGGTCTAATCTTAGAGCATAAGGTGTATGATCTAGCCAAACAAATACTTTGATAACCATCTACCTTCCTACAAACTTAAGTTCCAAATAACGGGCGGGGATGTATGTAATGATGGCGAAGAGGAAAGCTAGCTGATTTCCAACATCACCACCAGATTCACCAATCTTGATCGCAATGACGCCGACATACCAAGTTGTGGACCTGCATTTTTGTTAGAGATTCTTCTTGGCGAGTCAATTGTAATAGGTAGGACAAAACAAGTGTAGGTGCTCTTGAATACTGTACTCACATGCCAAGAATTGCTCCAATAATTCCGGAGGCGAAAGCGAAGCCCCCAGCATATCCTACAGGAAGTTCCTTCGGGTTGTTCCAGCACTCTAGATTATAGTTTGCATAACTGCCTTTCCGGAACCAGTAATGCTCAATAAAGATAATGACGAAGAAGGATGTGGTGAAGTATCCTAGCAATGAGAGGAAGTTCTCAAGATAGGTAAGAAGCTGATCCCTGCCAGCCAAGCCGAGCAGAATCACTGCCACAAAGCAAAGCAACGTCCAAATGAAGCGGGGCACCACAGCTAGTGGTCGAGCGAACTGTTGTATGGATAGTCCTGCCGAGTAAATGGCAATGCAGTTCATGCCGATTCCAGATAGAACGAGAATAAACAGGATGAACTTTGCGAAGCCACGGGGGTAGATCATGGTCTGGACTAGAAACCCGATGCCTTCCTCGTACTCCGCGGACCAGGCTTCGTTGTTGTTCAAAGCGCTAGAGACAACGCAGCCAAGAACCATGCCGATGCATGTGGGAATACAAATACCCATGGTGGTCAGAAGGAACACTTTGACCTTCGAGGTATTGACAGGATACTCGACGTAGTAATCACTGACAACACTAGCCCACGAGGAGGAAGATCCGTACACAACTCCGAAGAGGGTAAGAAGCATGCCGGAGTAGGTCGAGCCTTCGAATTTAGTGGGCGTCTCGAGATCACCAAACCTAGCTGTTTCGCCGTACATGACCACGAAGATCACGATAAAAACGAGCCATGCGAATTTCTCGTAGTGAAAAACAACCTTCAGGCCGAAGAAGGAGATGACCAGCCCGACGACGGCACAGATGACGACGCCTAGTGCACTTCCGACCTTGCCGTCGCTGACCGCACTGAGGGCAACACCACCCGTAATAGAGCCCACGGAACTGTTTCAGGTTGTAAGTGGTGCACAACAAGTCTAGTGCAAGCATAGACGTACCTCCAGCCAATCTGCTCAACAACATTGAGGGCCGCCATGGCTTTCGAAGGCCACCACCCAAGCGAGTAACGTGAGATGGAGATCTGGCGAAGCCCTGTGGGGGCACCCATGGTTGCACACCAGCCAGTGACAGAACTACCGATCAAGGTCGAAAAGACAACGATCAGGATAGATTGGCGAAGGTCGAGGCCTAGCTCCCACCCCAAGAAGCCTGTCGCGAAGCAGCTCAAATTCATTGTGCCACTTGCCCAGAGGGCAAACATGACCTAAGTCGCATTAGGATTCGCAATCCCACGGCAGCCGAGAAAGTTACTCCTGGAGACCTACAAGCTGGTTCGACCATTTTGCGTAGCTCGGATCTCTGTCCTCCGGCAGCTTTCGCGCAATGCCATGGGCCTCGACTCCTAGGAGTGCATTAGGTAACCCACATCATATAACTGGTTAACTTGTACGTACCCAGTTTCCGATCAAGGGCCTCCTCGTAGCTACGCAGCTTGCCAAAGATGCCCTTGCTAGACGTCTTGCGCAGATAAGCGGGGATCTCATCGACCGAGCCATCCGCGGCGACCTGCGACGAGTCGTAGGCGACGCTTTTCTCTTCGTCCATGGTGTGCGCGTTGGCCATGCTGGGTAGTAACACACCTGTCCTGGCTTTGCGAGCTTGCAAGGTGGATGTGGACGAAGCGAGTGAAGGGCACACCACTGCACAAAGAGAGCCTCCCCCAGGGCGATAACGCGTGACACGACCGAATGCCGAATTTAAAGAGACCAAAATCTCTGATAGACCGCCCCATTTTCCCGTTGTCCCCGTGTTGCGATACCGATAGAGCCCGCCCACTGAGCCCACAGGCCGCTGGACTAGCCGTTCCCGGGGGCCAATCCCGGCTAGATTGGGAAGGTAGGGTGGCGTCGCCTCAAAGCTTGTTTATCTTGGCGATCTCATTCGCCGGAACTGCCTGCGTAGTGGACTCGAGCGCGGTGTTAGAAGGATTCCAGAACAGATCACGGCCGTCTCGTTGGCTGTGGCCGGTAATCTACTCCGCTATTCTGGGGGGTCCGGAGCTGGCCGTCGAAAACTTTACGTACACCTGGCATGGTTCATGATAAGCATCTCGTTATTACACTATTGCAACACGGTGCAGAAGTGACTCGTAAAGCAGAGGGGCATCATATCGCACTAGCATCTGACGTGTGCTCAACGCGTGGGCGCTACCATCCCTTTCGATGATTGGCATGCACAGCCAAAGTTCAGCATTGCGCTTGTTAGCCTATATTTCAAGAAAACCACCACGCAGTACAAGTTTCTAATCATGATTAAACCACGAGCCATAGAGCAAAATGGCTAGCGGTCGAGGACGGGCGGGCCTGAATACCAACTCCAAGCAGATCACTATGCGTATACTGCTCAAGTATAGTCCTCTACGGCGCGCACTACACATCGCAGCTGCATATTTCTAGTTCTTGTCTATTTGATCACTGTCGCGTCTTCGTTAGCCTGTAAGTAGGATATTACGGACTTGCCAGATATGGGTATCTTGCTTTCGGTTGATAGATGTGAGAATGTCATGATACCCTGGTCTTCAATACCAGCATCCTTTGACCGTAATCGTGACGTTAAGTTCGGTCCCAAATAGTGTCAATTTCTATGCCGTGAGGTGCAAACTATTACGCAGTGTGATAAGTCAATCAGGGTTCGGCACCACTTTGCCAGTGGGCGCAAATATATCAATAATAATCGTCTGTATTTGTATAAATATTGGCTGTCCTAAATGGCAGTGTCCCTGGTATTGCCCTTATTGGTGATTGGCTAGTTTCCTACCAATCAGCTAATTCTTACCTATCCAGCATCCGCTCAGCTACTCCACCTTTGAGTGACCAGATTATATCGGTAAACGCAGGAGGAGTTCATGCAACACGCCGGTTCTTCCTTTACATTTTAGTGAAAAAGGTAAGTGTGTGACCAAGAGGGCAAATCAAACAGCTCCCTACTTCCAAACCTTAGAATGGCCTTGGTTATCCTCTGGACATATCTAACAGACTATGTCTCCGTGCCAAACATAAAGCTCTTATTGGTGTTATTTTATAGAAACCCTTTGATCACAATATAACCTCTATAGACTACATCTATACTCGTACCAAAATTATCCACGCATTAGTGAGAGAAGCTTCGATGTTCTGCTTTTGTTAGTTGCTCGTCATTGAGACTTGGCATGATACATGACGTTGACAACGACCAGCTAATTAGAACCAGCCAAAACATCGGGATTATGTTACACAAAGACCAAACTTTGCTGCCACCTAGCGTACTGAAATAGGTCCCGTTATCTCGAATCATGGTCCATTCCTCATCTAATTTTCTGTTAGCTTGCTTCGAGCAGCTGTCTGATCCGCTCACGACGCCTGCCGCAACCATTGGAATACGGAAGCAGCCCGTCTAAGAAGCAGCTCGAGAAAATGTTGGGGAGAATGTTTTCTAATCATATATCACCACACCATTTTTGGGGCTGACGGCGCCCATATGCACAGGCCTCATTACTTGAATGGCCAAGACATGTCACAGGGTTTGTTGGACAATGACTCCGACCATTGTGCTTTCTGGCCACCTAAGCGGGAGGCTCCCCGGCATGAAAGTGTTCGTAAAACGTAAATTAATAACTAAGCTTGATCTGACTAAGATCTGCACTCTACAACAGGGAATGCAGTGTCGTCCACGCAGTAGCCACTGGTTGCCTTACGTGATGCCGCATCACAGTTATCGGGGTCAGACGTGTCGCTGTTCGTGCAATATGTTAGTCACGATCGGAAAGTTGTCATTGAGGCGTTATATGATCCCGGGTTGCGACATACCGGATGTAGTACATGAAGCACATTTTAGACTCGTCGAGGTAGTCTCCATCAGTAGTAACCTCGTAGTAAGCCTGGGGTTGGCCCTGCAAGATTTGTTAGCCCAAATTCGATGGTGCTGTCAAGTAGATCGGCGGTTAAACACATACCTCCCACACATAGCAGCACTTCTTAACCTGACGATCCTCCACGACCGGCTTGGCCAACGCCAATACGGGGAGCAATACCAGAGCGATTGAGAACTGCATTGTATAAAGTGTATATGGCTGATTGGGTATTTAGATGGCTTTCCCTTGAGAGACGTTGAACACGGTATCGGCGCAAGGAGATGTCTTGGACTTGAGGCTCTGGACTCCAGGTCTGCTTTATACTCTTAGGATCGGCGACTACCCCCGCAGAGGCTTGCCTAATTCAGCTTGTATGGCATGATCCGTAAGCCTTCAATCATGTTTGTCATCGTCGCATTAGACGCAACTTGGAGAAAATCGTGGTCTTGGTACGGCGGCAGGGGTATTAAAATGTCACCTCGCCAAGCCGTCGCATGTCTGGATTGTGGATCTCTCATTTCTTTAAGCTCAGGCCAAATGACGCTGCATAACCGATCTAAGGTTCCTGCATCACCAGAAAGGGCAAACCAATCAACTTTATTCTGTGGCTCCCTTGTATTATAAACCCTTGCCCATATTGTACTGCAACAGCGCCAATCGGTGGTCGCATCCCCCACGGAGTCCATCCTGTCCCGGGATTCTGGGTGCGACCCGACCGAGAGTATGAATTGCCGAGCCTCTCAACACTAGCCAGACCGATGTCCGTCATTTCCGCCAGCCGATGATGCGCGAAGCTTGTGATACCGTTGCTCGGGAGCTCACCGACTTCCATGTCCGCAAACTTTCGTGTTCTGGTCCCTAGCGTCATGAGTCCCGCCACCTTCCTGTGAAAAGCCTTGGCAGACGCCAATACCTCATGGATACATTCTGTGGGTTTTGGCTGATCTTTCTGCCAAGTTCACCCAAGACCTCGTAACGCTACGATATGATGTCAATAGACAATCATTGCAAACGCGATAGCACTTCTTGTTGCTTGCCTGTCTACAGTCGTTACAGCCCCAAGATCGCGACATAGCCCGCAAACTGTCTTTCTCCTTTGTATCTGAGGACAAAAGCACATAACCGCTCAAAGCAGTCTGTTTTCTGCCAAGACGACGAGAGGAATTTGCGCACAATTGTACGAGCAACGGGCCTACAGTAATTGTAGTAAGTTGTGTAGTGACTGGTCCGAAAAAAAAGAGGCGACTTCGCCAGGATGAGAAATCATTATTCCCGCACTGAATTAGGCCGTTAATGTTAAGCACCGTAAAAGCAGGTACCATCATGGAAGGGAATAGTCGTGTACTTGGGGAGATGCGCCCAGCTGATGAGCAATGTGGGTTGATGGGCATAGAGTTCGCAGGAACTTAAGGCGAATATGCAACGGCAGCTATAAACATTTAAGTTGAGAGCTCACCAAGACTTTGTAGGACTATTCGTTGAGAGCGTTACCCCTCCCTGAGAATGAGATGTATATCCGCTCTCAGATGGCAAGACTAGGTAAGCCAAGGCTAACGTGCCGGTAAGAAAGCCGAATAGTAGATTTCTTTTCTTCTCCGAGAGATTATATCCGCATCCGGCAAAAGCGGCCGAAGGTTCCAGCTTGGTGCCTTGGGACCCGAGTGCTTAGTATAGCACGGAGCGATTGGAGCCGGCAGGGGGGCTGCTACCCCAAAAAGATTTCCCGTCGCCGGATTTTCAACGGTTTCAACACTTGGCAACACCTTCACGGGGGTGCCATCCACGAATGATGTCGCGCATAGTCCCCAAAAGCAACTGTATAGTAGTATCATGTAGTATCAAGGCTCATTCCTGTTCAAGAGTATCGGGTGCCAGGTAATCCATATAAATGTCTACGGCTGCCGTTGAGGGTGAAGGAGAGAGTGTGTTGCATTGAAGCCAACATCAGCATTGGGATATCACTTGCTGCATAAATCGACAGAATGAACATGCGAGCATTGCTATCAGTCTTGCCGTTGCTTGCGGGCACTGCAGTTGCGGCGCCGAAACTGCTCATTTGCTCGGACAGCACAACCGCCAACTATGTGTGTAACGCTAAAGACTCTCCCTCAGGGATAGTAGACACAGGGCACTAATACTTCACAGGCTAGCACGTCAGCACTTCAAGGGCATGTTGAAAAGCCCGGGTCAGCCTTTCCCTAATTATTTATTAACACCAAGTGACTTGCAGGTGGGGATACTATATCTCCCAGTACGTGACAACCCCTGTCTCGAACCTGGCGCGAAACGGCCGGTCAACGCGTTCTTTCATCAATGAGGGCTTATGGTCATCCCTTCTCTCCTCGACGGCTGCAGGAGACTTTGTGCTGATCGAGATGGGCCACAACGACGATGGAGATCCGACGACGGACAAGGACGACCGGGCCACGCTGCCGGGGATCGCCAACAACTCGGTCGTGGTGACCACATCCAGCGGCAGCAAGGAAACGGTGTACTCGTTCGGATGGTACCTGCGCAAGATGATTGCCGACGTGCGGGCCAAGGGCGCGACGCCGCTGGTCAGCGGCATGGTCAACCGCAACTACTGGAGCGGGTCGACGCTGCAGAGCAGCTGGCCCTTTGCCGACTACGCGAAGCAGGTAGCGGCCCAGACGGCCGTCGAGTACATCGACCACACGCGGTACAGCGTTGCGCGATGGCAGGCCATGGGGGCCACCAAGGCAAAGACGTACTTCCCCAATGATAACACGCACACGAACTGGGATGGGGCCAAGATCAATGCCGAGACTTTCGTTCAGGCTGTCAAATGCGCATGCAAAACAAGTGCATTGAAGTCATATCTGAACAGCAACGGGAACGCTGTGAACAACCCGGCCTGCTTGGATAAGTGTTGAAGGGACAGGATATGATAGGAAATGCTAGGTCAACTCTGATCGGTGAAAGGTAAGGTTTTGGAGGCATGTGTCTTTGGAACATGCTCTTTGCAGTTACTTTCTTGCCCCTGCTGGCAGTCCTCGAAACCTTGGGTGCTTGGTTGACGGCGTTTTGCTGGTCAGCTGGCATACATGGCCTGCGGCGTCGTTGTCAATGGGATAACAATGGAATGCTATCAAGTCCAAAAAAACAATTCAGTATTGGGCTACTTCTTCATGTTTGTGTTGCACTATATCGGGCGACAAAGTATGAGACATACAGGCGAAACCTATGTACAGTAAAGCGACACGCTTCGTACATCGCCCAGTTCTCTGCTAGAGACCTATACTCCTCGCGAGAAGGCCCTGGTCTGTTTCCTCTGTTTATCCGTCATGTCCCGATTGGTATTACCCTCAAACGCCTGAATCACTGTAAATGCCACAAATCCTCAGCCCTAAAGCAAACGTGGCCTCACAAACGCTGCAACGCGAACCATTTTTCGTCATCATCGTGGAATCAATAATCATCGTAGAGCTCGTCCATGAGGTCCTCCGGAGGGATGGCGCCAGGGTGCTGTTGTCCACAGTTCTCACACACCATGTATCCACCGAACTCGTCATCATCTTCATCAAAACAATCAAACATGGTAGCCTCGTCCTCAATGTCATCCCAGCGCAAGCCGCTGACACGGTCGAATAGGACCCAGTTGCAGTCGTGGGGACGATCGATGTGTTTCGGGATTCTCTTCCAGATTGTGCGGCAGGAGTGAAACTCTGAGTAAGGTGGAGTCCCAGCATCGGAGGGAGCAGGGGGGAATTCATCAAAGTAGCCAGGATGATCGTCGTGATGGTGATGCTTGATGCCTCGAAGAGGGCGCATGCTTCTAATGACTTTGCTGTGGAAGTGATTGCCAGACAAAGCACGAAGACCGCTTCTCGGGAGCGCAACAAAGGTGGGAGCATGGTCAATCACAAGACCATCGTCCTTCAGAAGTCCGGAGAGCTCGCTGCCGGTGCGGTAGCCTGTGTCGTCGCGAGGCAGACCTGTGACGATCAACTGGTTCAAGGAGCATCCCAGATGATGGGAGGCGATATCATGGAGCTGCGCAGGAGGAAACTGGAACATATCCTCCGCAAAGTTGACGAGATCAATGCGGAGGTTCTCCAGGCTGGGCAACAGCCTTGTTCGCGGCTGGCTGAGGTCATGATTGGGATCATGGGGCGGTAGCAGAGCCTCCAAGAAGTCAACCAGTTGGAACCAGGCGTAGGAACGGAACCCTCGACGCGCGAGGGTGGGCTCCCTGGCTCGCTTGGATACGCGAAGTCTGATGGGCTTGGTCATCATGGGATGGTGATCCCGGGACAGCTTGTGAACGCGATTGTCATCGTCGTAGAACTTGGCGATGATGCGGAAGTTGGCCTCTCGGACCAACTGTCGATATCGCAAATCCACCTCCGAGAACATCTTCACTGCCTGCACGGTCGTGAATGTGAATCTGTTATTGGACCACAGGTGCTTGGTTCCCTCCGTGTGATAAGCCTTACAAGTAGCGAGGAAATGAATCGCAATTTGGTTGCTCCTGCCGTTCTCGATGGCCGTGCGGTTCTCCTTCTTCGATTTGCAAAGGGGGTCAATGATGGGATAACTGCTGGTCATGGCGTAGGAGAGGACCTTGAGGATGATTTCGACGGGCAGGCCGGGCAGCGCGGGGTTGCGCGGGCTGCTGCTCGACGGTATTAGCTTTGAATAGCCACGATAACCAGGCCAGCCGATGCCTTGCTCTCTCAAGAGACGCTTCAGCATGAGATTCTCGTCCTCAAGCACGCGATTCCTGGTGCGAAGAGGGTGGTTGTACCACTCTTCAGCCAGATCGGCATGATCACGGCATTCCCAAGCAGCAGGATCATTCTGGCAACATGGTCAGTGATGAGATACAAGTTGATATGCCTATGACTTACCATGATGAACGCGATCGCTAAGTGCTGGTCATGCTTTGGTGAAATGGTGACTGTTATAGGAAGACCAGGGTTGACGCGGGAGTGCCTTGACAGGAAACCCGGCAGCGTGCAGAACACTACCAAAGTCAAAAGACCGATGATCGAACAAGTCGAGTGGTATCCGTCGCGGCGATGTGGGCAAGATTGCGGTACCTGAAGGTGAATGGTGGAAGTTGAGGTGACTGTTGACCCGGTGTGTGCTGTGATGGCTTCGAGGCTCGAGGCCGACCGCTCAGCAGCGCAGCAGCTGAAGGCAACTACCTGCGAGTGGAAAACGCGACAATCGGGACCTCGGGAGGATGCCTACAGCAGGATACCTGACCACGAGGCTCTCTCAACAGACTTTCCAATTCCGGCAACCAGCAAACGCCAGGAACCCGTTGGGTGGACAAAGAGCAGGAAGGGACGATTGCGCGGTCAGGTGATGTGGACGCTCGCCAACGCCGATATCGAAGACTTGCTTTTTGGGGATGCGTGGAAATGTCGCAAGTCGACCCGTTGCTGCCCCCAACGCCGGCCCGTGCAGTGTGCAGTGGGAGCGCTCCGTCTCTGGGCTGCACACGAGGTTGGAATTCGACTGCTGGATGACAACGCAGGGAAATTACAGGTCACTTCTCATGAGAAGCTGGACAAAAGCACTGACTGCTCTGCCACGCGGGTTGGAATCAGTTTCGTCGGAGATCAGTTCTCAATATGCGTTCAGTCACTGCATGGCGGCACTTGGCGGATCCAATGGTCGGAAGTCAAACGCGACCGTGGAAGGCGGCAAAGCGGCCAGGCACTCCCGGCGACTGGGCAACCGGGCAAGTGCAAACGCTTGCATCACAAACATGACCCCCGGCATGTACTCAGATAGTTGCGCCAGGACTCTCTATCAACCTATCAGGCTATGCAACATGATCAAGATAGTGCATCCCCAAGATAACCAACAGATCGCCTTTTCATAGTGCTCATCCCCGTGATCCTTAGTAACTTTGCGGCGGGAATAGGTGTCAGACCAAAGTACCGTCCCTAGCCGCAAAAGTCCCTGTACACTCCGCTCGTGCTGTACACCCCCGTTACCAACCAACCAACTGCACCTGAGAGGATATTGAAGGGTCGATATCCTAGCCCCGGTATTCAATTTGACACACCAATTGCCTTCGGAGGTGGACAGCTCTGGACCTCGCTCCAGGCGCGATTCTTCGGAGTACACACGACAAGCCCAGGTTTTCGAGGATTCGCGCTAGTTTGACTTTGGCTTGAAAGACCATCTAGCATGCAACATTCAGCTGTGATTGTGATAACTCTTCAACTTCTGATCCTGAGAGGATATCATTGCAGTTCCTTCAAGTATTTCCGGCTTGTGTTATTTGTTCTCATATTTGAGTTTGCAGGTGGAGGTTGCTTCTACGTCGCAACCTATTGAATACCCTGGACCCTTGTAAAGGTATGTACGTAGATTTATGATAGTCACAGAGAGACTTGAGAGGCAGTTGACATGTCTGCACTGAGAGATATGACAACCCACGCGGTCTAGGATTGTCTCCAATGAATAGCCACGGCATAGGACATTTCTCTGTATATACTATGACGCCTCCCTGCGGGCCAAATGTCTTGGGCCGTTGGCAAGATCGGGGGTGAGCGCGCGCTAGAGACTTTGACGTCATGATATCGATGCAGTGAAACTCCATTGTAATGTCTATGATGAAATCTGATGTACTACGCCGCCCAGCGGGAAACACTGATCGAGGGGTAAATTGAGGGGCCCTTGCCGTGTGCCCATAGCAGTGGTGATTTGTTTACGCGAAAAAAAGAGTGACGATCGTACATCGGGATTACCTGGTCCTACTTAAGATGCTTCAAGCCCCTCGCACTCACTCTTGCCTGAGATTGTCACTATTCAAAACCCATCACACTCCGCGCATCATCAGACTACTTGCGACGAGACCATTCCCCAAGCTAAACCTTCCACTCTCCACTCGACACTTCAGTGCCGCTTCAAAAATCATGTCGTCCTTCAGCAACACAGATACCGGCTCCAAGCCCGCCGACCCCTACAAGGCCGCCAACAAGGACGAGCCTGCCGTCGAGGAGAAGTTCCAGGCTTTGGACAAGTTCACAAACTCATGCAAATTCGGCATGATGACCACCAGAGACGACAGCTCAGGAAAGCTGGTGTCCAGATGTATGGCAGTGGCAGCCAAGGTATGAAGCTCATGGCCACCAGAACATTCGTATGTATGCTGACCTAACCCCTCGCAGGAGCATGGTGGTACCGATCTGCTCTTCTTCACCAACACAGAGTCCAACAAGACGGACGAGATCAAGAGTGATCCGCACGCCAACATTTCTTTCCTGGACAGCTCCGGCCAGTGGGCTTCCATTGCAGGCACAACCAGCATCGAGACAGACCGTAGCGTTGTCAAGAAGCACTACAGCCCCAGCTTGAAGGCATGGCTCGGTGACTTGGGAGATGGAACCCACGACGGGTCTGAGAATGACCCCAGAATCGGAGTCATTCGTATCAAGATGGATACTGCGACCTACGCCATCACAGACAAGACGATTATTGGCCGCGTTGCAGAGATTGCCAAGGGAACGGTGACCGGCGAGGCCGCATATGTGAACAAGCTGCGCGAAATCACCTCTTCCGAAGTTCAGCAGTGGCGTGGAAAGCACTGAGCCTCGTGTAGAATTTCGAGAGGGTGACGCATTTAGACCAGATCCCTACCCGGGGACCAGGGCTCGGAAGCGTGATTCCCTGCCGTGTACATTATAATCCCTAGATTCTGACATAATGAAGTTATGACCAGTCAATATCACCTGGGCCAGAAATTGAGACTCCAGGTCATTCGTCAACATTGCCATTGCAGCGACCAGCGAACACTGAAGTCGTTTTCAGGTGAGGGCTACCAAAATCATGTGTGTATGTCGTCTGGTACGTGTCGCCTGTGAGAAGATTGGCCATTAGACAACATTAACACGAGTATCTCTTGGAGAAACCAGCATGTACATACCCAAGTGGTAATCGATGAATCCTTCTCTGTGAAAGCTGTCATGCCAATCCACTGATCCGTTCCATTGCTATTGGCGCTGTTACTTCTTCGACGATCCAAAGCCACCTGCGAACCCCATCATGGCCATCATGTCATCTTCATCGTGCTCGCCCTCGATCCTTACGTCCTCTCCGTACTCCATCTTGACGTCTTTGGACTTCTCCAGCTCCAAGCGTCTTTTCTCGGCAATTCCTCGCCGCTTGAGGCGCTTGGCCTCGCGCTCTTTCTCGTCTTCCTCCTCTTGTATCGCGATCCGGTCCTTGAGACTCGTCGTGGCGGCCAACTTCTGCTCCTGCTTCATCTGCCAGAGCCTCTCGATGCGCTCGTGCACGTCGGCGGCGCTCGCCTGCCGCACCTCGCCTGTCTCCCCGATGGCGTGGAGATGCTGTATCGAGTTGATGTGCTCGAGCCACTGGTGATTGTCCTTGAATGTGAGGTCGCAGGCCTCGCAGTAGAAGCCGGCGCCCTTGCCGCGCTTGCCCACGCCTGAGCCGCCCGGCACCAGCTGCATCTTGCCCACCTGCGCCGAGAAGTCGGTGACGCGCGACCGTGCCGATGTCATGACTTCGTCGCCCGTCGCCGGCTTATAGTATTTCTTCCCCGCGATCTTGGCTTCATATCGTGCCTTGGACTCCTCTTTCTCGGCGGCTTCGCGCTCCTTGGCTTTCGCTGCGTATTCGTCCAGGTCCCAGTCCTTCCGAAAGGACGTGTCGGACGCCTTGCCGTCGCCGTAGGCGGACCCTTTCTTGGACGCCATCGTGAGTAATGTCAGGGGCCTGGTATCATATGTTTTGGAGCTGTGCTGCGGGTCGATGGTGCGACGACGGGCTACGGGCAATCACTGCTTCAACGTCGAAGTTGAGTGTCGAGTCGCGCTCTCCAGAAGCACGCGTGGATCCGATGTGCTGGGGCTTTATCGATAAGCCGACAGAGCCTACTTGAAAACGGGGCGATAGATCAGTACCCCTGTATTTGCTGGAAAAGCCGCCTCACCTTGAGTACCCCTCTATGAGCCAGCTACCCCTCCAACATCCTTGCCGGCCGAGTCACTGCCCCTCCAAAATTTGTAAAGACTCAGGCGCATTTCTACGCATCGCGACGCCGCGCTCGCTCCGAAGTGCTCAATTTTGCTACGATGCTGTACCTCGTGGGCCTCGGCCTGTCAGATGAGACCGACATCACAGTCAAAGGTCTTGAGGTTGTGAAGAAAGCCTCGCGCGTCTACTTGGAGGCATACACAAGCATTTTGCTCGTGGACCAGAGCGTCCTGGTACAATTCAGCACCGTCCCTTGTTTTCTTGGAGCTCTGGCGCTAATGTCTGCGGTAGGAATCCTACTATGGTCGCTCGATAATAGTCGCGGACCGTGAGATGGTCGAGTCCAACAGCGACGAGATCCTCCGGGACGCAGCCAACGTTGACGTTGCTTTCTGTGTCGTGGGCGACCCCTTTGGCGCAACAACCCACACTGATCTGATCCTGCGTGCGCGCGAGCTCGGAATTCCTGTTAGCACTATTCCCAATGCCTCTATCATGTCTGGCATCGGCGCGACGGGTCTTCAGCTGTATAATTTTGGCCAGACAGTCAGCATGGTTTTCTTCACGGAAAACTGGCGGCCGGCCAGCTTCTATGACCGCATCAAGGAGAACCGTGATATCGGACTTCACACTCTGGTGTTACTGGATATTAAAGTCAAGGAGCAGAGCCTGGAGAACATGGCACGGGGGAGACTCATTTACGAGCCGCCACGCTTCATGACCGTCAGTCAGTGCGCGCAGCAGATGCTTGAGATCGAGGAGGAGAAGAAAGAAGGTGTGTATGGCCCAGATAGTCTGGCTATTGGTGCTGCGCGGGTGGGTGGCAGAAGCGAGAAGTTCGTTGCTGGTACTCTGAAGGAGTTATGCGACAGCGATGAGGCTCTGGGCGCACCTTTGCACAGCATGGTGCTTCTTGGCAAGAGAGCTCATGAACTGGAGAGGGACTATGCGAGAGAATTCGCTGTTAACAAGCAGACTTGGGATCAGCTGTGGGCCCAACACTACGGAAAGCAATGAGTTTGAGCGCGTAGTCTTGCACTGCCAGCACCTTGGGCCACCTGAGAATCGTCGAGGACTTCAGTTACTTCTAGATTTGAAGACAGACCTTTGATACCATGAATGTTGCACGCCATCCAAGTCTCGAGCTATACACGTGACTTTTCAACTAGGCGAAGTTCGCATCCTGGAGTTGTCACTATGTGAAACCTCAGGCGAAAGCGGTGATGACAAGCAAGTCTGAACATGTAATCGCGGTCGACATTGAACTGCATGGTGGCGATAATCAGAGGCCTTCCTGCCAAACAAAGAGCTCTTCTACTAGAGGCGCAACTACATTTTCCAGTACCTCCTGCCTCGCGTCTGGGCTTCTTAGATCAGCACCTGGAACCGCGAATGTCTTCATACAGTATGATACTGCATCTTTCAATTGGAAAGAAAGGTTTCCTTGTTCCTCTATCATCCACCGTTGCAGAATCCGTATATCCGTTGCCTCGTTTGGTTTTGCAGCTGGCCCGAGATCGTCCTCTTGCAACAAGTCGTCAATGCAGCTATTCAGTCGAATGGTCAGTAGCAACTTAGCTAAAGCCAATAGATTAATGTTATCTCTAAGCCGAGGATCATGCGTTGGTTGTGCCACAGTGTAGATCGTGGAAGCCTGAGACTCAGGCTCCGGCGCTGTCGTGTAGTGCGTCTTTGTAATGAACGGGTGCCGCACATCTATGTGATCATGTTTGCCTTGTATTTCTGTGAATATGATATCGTTATCGCTCCACAGCTCACCGATCCATGGCGTTTGATGCAGCTGAAGATAAGAGGAAGCGAGCGTAACCGCAAGAATGCGCCGATCCTCTTCAGACCAATATCGTCGCTTCGGTGCAGCCGAGGATGAGAGTAGCTCGTGGAGGCTGACCTGGGTCCCAGCGGGCTTTATTGATTCTTCAGCTGTTCGATGATACTTGAGAAGCTTTCCGTGTAAGTCAAGGCAGAGTTCGTAGCCCCATTTGCCGTCGGCGACAGTATGCAGCATTTGACAGAGGTCTTCGACGATTTGAAGGTCTGCGAGAGACTGTTCAAGAGTCAAGCCTCTTATCACAGATCCATCAGATGGTGGCGGCAAGCTAAATCTGACCTTGCCGTTGTCCCTAATTCTCGTTCTTAGTCCTAGGAGTGCATTGATTATTTAGAGCGAGGTAGTGTGTGCTTACAATTCTTGGGATGAAGGTTGAGGTTTTGCCAAAACCTTGACTTGAGCAGCTCGCCAAGTGCCAACTTGTGGATCATCAAAACACACTGTGAATCTCGTCGTTTCGTCTTGATCTCGACGAAGCTTCCTTTGACGGGCTTTGCGATGACGAAGCATGCGGTGCTCAAGTAACAAGTTGGTACTGTGTGCTCGATGCGCGCACCTGACCCACGCTCTTGATAGCACGCGATGCAGTTGCTCAGCATGCTCCTGTATTTCTCGGAGTGAGACCTCCATCGTCGGCTTCAACTTTTTAATAGAGAGGCTACTGTCGGATTGATTGACTCTCTCCACCTGGCCGATGAATCTCTCCAATCGCTGATTGCAATCCGCAAGGCCCGCAAGCAACAGCTTCACAGTGCTCCTCTTGAGTGTGTATTTTACACGGCTTCTGATTTGAAAAACTGATTTTTGCTGGTCAAGTTTCAGTGCCTCCTCCAATTGCTTCGTTTGTTGTTCGATCTTCTGCACGAGCACCATATAAATACTGTATGCTGCACCAAGTTTGGTTATCAAGTCCGCCTTGAGATTGGGACTCTGCCAGTGCGGGCTAGCGGGTGAGGCCATCATTTCCTCAAGTACTGACACGCTGACAACGTCTGTAAGTACTATACGGAGACTCATCTCGTACCACGTCCGTTCCATTAACAACTCAGTTCTGGTTACCTCCAGCCGGTCCCCGTAATGCTTGAAGGCCTTTAGTCGATCAAGAGTCGACTCGTAATGCTCCAGTGCAGAGATGACCAGCGGTATAGCTCCTAGGACCACGCCAGCAATCTCGAACCCCGACATCGTAGCTGTCACCAGTCATGAGTTGCTCAGTTTCTCGGCGGTTTCTATCAGTTGGGGAGGGAACACTGGACTGGTGCTGGTTATGAGGCACTCAGCCGGTGAGGCTGAGACCCATGTCGTGCTTCAAATACATGCAGTGGGCGCACCACAACGCAACTTGATTTGCAGGAAGAGGATGCAGCTATGCAGCCATACGCCCAATAGCCCCGGATCAAGCGCGGGGTTGACCAAATCTAGTCTGCGCGGCCTGCAACAAGTAAGGCCAGTCTCTTTCGCAAGGCAGACACGGAAGACACCATTTCCGCCTCATGGTTGTCACCCATAAAGCTACATCATAGTGCCACTAATGACTCGACTGCTGGTGCTTCCATAACACCAATTATATTTCTTCTTCTCTCTGGCCCGAGCCATAAAATGTAATGACTATGGCGCAAATACGTCCTATCGCGGAAGATTGCCTTTCCGCAGTCGAGCAGCTGCATTGTCACATCAAAGTGAGCGACAAGTTCGAGCTTGAGCCATTGGCAGCATCTAAAGTCGAGGCTTTACGAGGACGACTCCGAGTGTGGTGCAGCAATCTTGGATGTCTCCACCGGGGACCAGCCTCTTTAGATTACCGGCTGAGGGACTCAAAAACAATTCATGAGAACATAGTTCAGCTGCTAGGTCAACTTTTGACGCATATCGTCGAGTCGACAGCTGTGATTGTTGGAACAAGACACCCTTTTGAAGACCAATCGGATTCATCAGACTTGAGCGAAGCGGATGCAACGGACACTTCAGAGGATGAAGGAGAAGAACCGCCGCTAGGAGAAATCGCGATGCGATTATCAAGAACGGAGGCTATCCTTCGCGACTTGTACAAACTTGGTTTCAAAATTAGAAATCCCCATTCGCGACCTGGGTCTCTTCGTCCATTCCTACATCGCGAGCTGGATTCGGATACAGGTGTCGATCTTTTTGACCAATACGCCATCTTTGATCGAAGACATGTCAAAGAGTTACTTATGTTTCTTCGAGCGCATAGATGTCAGTCCCCCGATACTAAAGACCACATGGAGCAGCGCCTTGCCTTTGCAATAACTCGGCGTAGACGCCAATTCAAATACTGGGCACGGCATGCTAGCAAGCTTAGCCATGTCGCGCCTATTCAAGATCAACCTCACGATAACGATGTTCGCCCCCAGGTGGCACCACCACCTAGGTCTCGAAAGACCCAGCTAGCAGGCAAAGAGAGCAGAGTCAATACACTGGTTATCGAGGAAGTCAAAGAACCTACGGCATTGCTTTCACATACAGAAGCTACTGCATATCACGAGCCCATAGAAGATCAAACGGAGAGAGGGACTGTTATTACGGCGGCATCTACTGCATTTGATTCAGATGGACACTACGTCGATCTTCCAGGCCCACCCGCTGTGTCGATGCTTGGTGACTTCGTCTGCCCGTATTGTTCTGTCTTGTGTGAGCAAAAGTATAGCAGACGAAACGCGTGGAGGTAACTCAACGACAACTGGCAGTCCGGGATCCCGCTAACGTTGAGTCAGAACCCACTTGTTGCACGATTTGCAGCCCTACATCTGCACCTACGAAAACTGCCCTGAGTCCAACTGCTTATTTCCTAGCAGAACGGCTTGGGTCGATCATGAAACATCGTTCCATCGACAATCATGGCGCTGTTTTGAGCACTCTCTGCAGTTCCCGACTGCTCCCGCTCTGAAGTCTCATCTTCTAGATGATCATATAGGTTCACTGACGGAGAAGCAGATGGACAGTCTCGTCAATTTGTCTTTCGTCGGTTCCGTCGACGAACGGCCGTATTGTCCTATATGCTTCCAAGAACCTCCGTTCGCCAAAGGGCTCGAAACCCATTTAGCCAACCACTTAGAGAGATTTGCCAAATTTTCTCTGCCAAAGACCTACGATCAAGACGATGATTCTCGCGGCAGTCTCTCAACGCGCAGTAAGCGAAACAGCTCAAGGATTTCAGAGCCCACTGCAGCAGAAATTCTTGACGAGGGCACCGCTGAAACCGCATTTACAATGCGTGTTGGCCAGCATCCGGTTCGACAGCCCCGGGGGCCACCCCCCATGGACGAGCTGCGCACCAAGCCGACTGCCAAGTACGAGGGTAGCAAGAACTTTGCCGCCCGCACTCGCCGGTCCGCTGTCCAGAATCTCATGCGAGCCGGCTTGGAGAGACGTAGGCATACAGTTTCCCTGGCCACCCAAGATGCGTCATATTTTACGCCTTCCACTCGTGAAGAAAGCCTGGATGGGTCCCAGGAGGCGCAAAGTAACATTCCTACTGCACGTGCCTCAACTCTACACATTCCCACTACATTGCATGCAACAGCTATCCAAAGTTATGCACCAGAAGAAATTGGTGAAATAGTGCTTCGTGAGGGCGAACCAGTGACAATACTAGAGATGACAAGTGATAGCTGGTGGACTGGATGCAATGCTGCAGGCGATAAGGGCCTCTTCCTCTCAAACCACGTCCAGTATCTTGAGGACCCGCCTTCACCACCTGTTGAATATGAAACCCTTTTCTGGTGGGGTGCAATAGACTCGAGAAATAACAACAAGAAACGAGGAAGGCCATCCTCCCACCGCTCAGAGGGGAGTTTTGACTCTCCAGAATCCCTCGGTAAGTTCAAAATTCCAAGCTGTAGCACTGCAGCGGTCATCAAGAATATCATGGCTGTCTCAAGATGCAACTCAAGTGCGCATCTAAGAACAGCAGTTGTTTACTATTCTGTCTGCACCTGATCAAAGACTGACTACAAAAAGACGATATAGGTCGGAAAGAAGATTCGTCTCACGACTCTGATACTTGGAGCGGCTTCATTATAGAAGAATGCAATAGCGATGATTATGCATCTGATGACCCGAATGTGCTGAAACCTTACGCTTTTGAATATCCGGAGTCACACGCTTCTCAGAAAAGCTGCAGCGTCAATTTGTACCCAAAAACGATGCAGACGATGTCTGCGTTGGACGTTACAACATTCCTCTCGGATTGGAGCTCAGAAGACGAGGGCAACGAGGCAGACGCTGAGAGGATCAGTGAGGAATGGGTCAAGCGAAGCCAAGCCAGAGCACGGCGTATGGCGTCTGTGGGTATAAGCAAGCGGACTTTCACAGAGAGAGACAGCGACGCAGACACAGACCGTGAGGATCTTGAGCCTCGGGAGACTACAAATTTGCGACACAGACGAAGGAGGAACAGAGCGGATGCTCTGGCATTTCTGGATGAGCCCGAGCTCATTATTGACTTATTAGAACCCAAAAGTGACGACTAATTGATGCGGTACGAAGAGGATAGCAGCCTGGCCCGCGGAAAGCCTGCCTTCTCTATGGTGGTAGAGTCGATCGAGTCCTTAGATTAAGATTACTGTCCTCATAGAGCCTCTATTACTGGGGACATAGAATGTGTTCACGGCACAATTCGTTCTTTGCAAGATAATCGCAGCAGTTAGCAAGATGATAGGACGAAGCACCCCAGAACTAATGAAGAGCTCACAAAAATAGTAGGTTCTTGTTATCCTCTAGGCAACCAAGCCGTTCCCAGAGTGGATTCTCTCTCGCTTTTCACGTCGTGTCAACGATTTGACTGCCCCCATCATTCGATTCTTATAAGAATCTGGTAAACAATGTTGGGTGGGCTGGCGTGACGGTCCATATTATGACGCACTGAAAAGCCGACTCTTCTCCAACCGAATGACTCAGCTATGCCGCTTCCGAATTTAACGCAGCCTTTAGGTTCTGAGACTAAGAAAGCTTATTTTACGGGCTATATGCATCTTGAGATCCGCACAGGGGCACCATCCACATTTTCGCGTGGAGCCAAAGACTGACCTGCTCAATACGGTCGTCCGGGCCACCTCACTGACCATCCTGACCATGCGGGGCTATGCACCGAAACAGGCAGAATGCCGGATTTCCAAACAGGGAAGGGGTTCGGTACTACTCACATTGCGAGGCATCTTTGAGTAAGCGATTTCAAAACGAATCTGTGTGCACCACTTCGGCTGCTATGCTCAGTGTATTGTGCCGCTTGCCCTAGTTGACTCTAAGCGCTTGACGACTTTCTTTCCCCAAAGAGCAGTCAACGGACAGGACGAGGGGCAGATGCCACCTTCCTTTGATATCGACATGTAAGTACAGACGTTTGCTCATCGAGATGGGATCCAGCATTCGATCGCCCGAAGTATAAGGAGACGCTGTGCTGTCACTGCCAAGAGGGCCAAGCTCAGAGTTCACGCAAGTTCTCCGATTGACCCATCGGTACCGTACGGCAAGCACAGGCCGGGTTGTCCCATTCGGAATCCGGAAGGATTATGGTGCAGGCTTTGTCTCTCGTCGCCCTTGCGGCTACAGCCGCATCTGTCTCGGCCGGCGTTGTGAAGATTCCGTTGAAACCCCGAGCTTCGGGAGCCAATGTGCCCGTTACGGACTGGTTTAATCGTACAGATAACCAGTGGTACAGCACAATCTCGGTAAGTCTGATGATCCTTTTTGGGCTTTCAGCAAGGACTGCCTCATTTTTCACCTGGAGGACACTCGCTAATATTTACCGAAGGTCGGCACCCCGCCCCAGGAACTGTATGTGCAGTGGAATCCACACATCTCTCGACTCTTATTGACCGGTTTATAGAACCGTCCTCTGGGACACTGGTTCCGGCGACTTACTCCTACCAAGAAGTACTTGCACGACATGTGGGGACAAGAAATTGTTCGACTCGTCCAAGTCTAAGTCATTCTCAAACAAGCCTGGCACGCGCCGACAAGCCTTGTTCTCCACAGGCGCGGACTCCATACCCTTCACGGTGCCAGAGGGTGCCAGTGGATTGGTTGTGCATGACAAGGTCGCACTGGGTGACCTCAGCGTTGCAAGTCAGCAATTCCTTCTTTGCGACAAGTACGCAGCTGCCCTTGATGTCATGCCTATCGACGGTATAATGGGCATGGGCCCTCCCAGCAGCGGTTCTGAAAAGGCTTGGTATTGGAATCTGTACGCGGATGGACAGCTGGACGCACCCGTCTTCTCCTTCTACACGCCACCCGGCGACATCAACGGTGGAGAGCTGACACTGGGTGGCATTGACGACACGAAATTTGTCGGAAAGCTCAACTACACCGCCTTCTCCGGGGGTGGCTTCACGCTGGCCCAATCGTCGATCCTGATTAACGGCAAGGCCTTCACGGGCACTTCCGCCAAGGGTTCAGCTATCCTCGACACCGGTACTGCATTCATGCAGACCCCGAGCTATGCCGTTGCCAAGGCACTGTATGCCCAGATATCGTCCAAGATCACCCAGATCGATTCGGCTGGAGCATGGGGTGCTGTAAGTACTTTCGGAGGCTTGTGCGATTGACGTTATTGCATTAAGTTCCAAGATATGCTAACATTTGATCTCTATAGGAATGCGATGTCCTTGACCAAGTTGCACCAGACCTGACTTTTGTCCTTGGACCATCGGGCTCTGCTTTGAAGTTGACAATTCCGAAATCGTCATTCAACCTGGGAGAGTACCCTGGGCAGCCTGGTGTAAGTATATGTTTCATATTCCCATTTGAAATTAGCGTGCCTTGGAATTTGGTAGTTTCTTTAACTTTCACTGGTATTGTGGATCAATGAGTTTGTCCGAGTATTGTTAATGTACCGCGCTAATCACGGACCATCAATTGTGATAGATCTGCCAAGCGTTGTTCAACAATCCTCTCTCCAACTTCGGTGCGTGGTTGGTGGGATCTCCGCTGCTGAAACAGTACTACACTGCTTGGGATGGAGTCAATAAGCGTATTGGTTGGGGACAGCTCAAGGCAGATGGGTCAGCTTTGATCGAGATGGCATAGACCAGCGACTACCAGGTACACTGTGTGACTCTTAATTTTTGAACTATAGTTTCATTTTAACTGCCAAAGAAACATCCTTTTTATCTCACACACTATATCTATAGCATCTACTTATGCCTGTTTTGTGGCATTGTCACCTTGTTCTCCATTCTCAGGGGTAACATTTGTCGCCTTTTCCTCATCCACCCCATCTTGACCTTCTTTCTTGGCAGCCGTCTTCTCTTCGTTCGGTAGGGCAGAAGAATGATACTCTTCCATCTGGCCGTCGAGATGTTTGCGGAAGATTTGCTGCTCCTCTGCTGTCATCTGGCCTGTCTTGAGGTTGCTTAATACATTCATATCTCTCGGCGGCCCCGTGTAGGGTCCCTTCGGCTCCTTCTCCTTCACAACCTTGCTCTCTGCGGCTTTTTCTTGCTTGGCCTTGCCCTTGGCATTCTTTGTCTTGCGGAACTTGAAAGAGAACTCAATGACACCTTGCTCCTTCAATGTCTGAACGGTGTCCCGAAACGTGCGGGCTTGTGCGACCAGGTCGTCACCATTTTTGGCTATGCCGCTCTTGGTGGTGCTCGCATCTCCTCGTTTGACGGAAGCATTGTAATTTCCTAATTTGCTAGCCGAGCCATTTCCCGACCGGTGTCGTTTTGGAGGAGGTCCACTGGTGTTATCTTCGTTGCGGCGCTTGGGTGGCATTGTGGAGGATTAAATGTGTGTATGGGGCAAAATTGTTCTTGTGTCTAAGTCGAAGTAGTTTCAAAAACCATTACCTGAAAAGACTTGTGAGAGTGGGAATTTATACTATTATATAGGTGTGACCCGGGTGCTTTGACCACTCCCACCGTAGTAGGTCTCTCAAGCGGATGTTTCTTTATCGTACGCCGTAGACAAAGACGGCTTATATGGGCACAAGGTCTGTTAATCCCAGAAAGAGACTGATTCCGTAAAGGCTTCAACGTGAAGTTCATCATTATACTGGGGTTCGGTACAAGGCAGACTATTTATTAGCATTGTCGAAGGTCCTTTTACAAATGCTTGACTGCAAAAGCGGGCTTTATCTTGAAACTGCGAGGGCATTTGATGAGGGCCATCGCGAGTGCTCGACAAGCCAGTCTTATTCCTTCAAGTGACACTTCAAGTGGATGATCCATGCATTTAACATGCTCCTGCGTAAAAGCGCAAAGACTTTGATCCCAAGTGAAACCTCCTCGTGTTTGTTCAAGCTTCCACTGCGGCTGCATTCGGAGATTGCCATCTGTAGGCTCGAAATCCGGTTCTGAATTTAGAATAACAAACAGAGTACTGAAGTTTGGGTAAAACTCGAGATCTTCAAGGAGCCCTGCTACATCGGCGGCGTGAAGTAAAGATTCTGGCACAGCAATGTGGCGCACTGATGCATTGGTGACCTGAGTTTCCCTGTCCTCTATATCTGGATAAGAGAGAAGTTCTCGTGGCCCGTCTTTGAATTCATGCCATTGATCTGCAGAAACATACAACGCGTCGTACGAAGCTTGAAAGGGCTGCCTGAAAAAAGGTAGGCCCGTATATCCGTAGCTCTGTATTCGAATGCCGTGCTGTCGGGCCCAAGCGAGAGCAACCTCGCGAGCCTCTCGATTGACGTAGACTGACGGCAATTCGACGTGAGCCGCTCTGAGATCACGGATGTTAAATTCCATGATCAGGTCCTGCCCAACAACGTCGGGTTGGTACCCAGCATCTGATTCTTTCAAGTATCGGACGTCCCAAGAGCTGTTCCAGTACGGGTATAATGTTGGAACCCTCTCAGGCAGAGTACGGCGCCATATCTCTCTGCGGAGCTCGAGAGGCAGTTCTGGAAAGACGGTGAATAATGTCAATGCCATCACAACTGAAGTTGCGCTATCGTGGAGATATCGTAGCCTGTTGCAGAAGAGCGTTGCGCTTGCGCAAGGGGAGGCCACACAAGCTGGAATACGACAGACAGGGTGTTATTAGAACTGGCGGGCTTGGCGGATTTTTCTATGAAATGAGGACTGGTTGGGTCGATCAGCCTACAGGGCGCCTAGAGACTCACGACTCGGCCTTCTTTCAAGAAAATGACAAGAACTCAGAATGTGATGATCCTTTCTGGGCTCGTAGAATGGTTCGATATAATATGTGTTACGAGGCAAGACGGGGAACATCAGGTTGCCTCAGTTGTGGTGGAGAACAGGGGCTTGTAGCATGTCGCAAATGTGCTAAGCCACTATTATAATGCCGCAGTCACCATTTACCCATGTCTATGTGGGCGGTCGTCAATGCCAAAGCAACCTGGGCTCTGGCGAGTCACCTACGTTCATGGACGTACGGCTTCGGCATCTGGAAGCCAGCTGCTATACTCCCAAATAAGGCCACGAACTCGAGGTTTGATCGACTTCAAACCAAGGCCCAGATGTGAATGGTATGATTCAGTTCCTTCGACCAAGGGCGACAAAGAAGCAGGGAGAGACTGCGAGTTTAGAAGACCCAGTAGCTTCTCATATTCCAACAGCGCCCTTGCAAACGTTGTCTGGATAAGCTGCGCAGTCAGGGTTCTGGCCAAGTGCTTCGCCAGTTTAGTTACACTACAGTGCACACCCCTGTAATCATCGCTGGCTTGGCGATTGATACCCCGCCAAGCCCCGCCATCACCTCGACGGCGTTCAGCAACCGCAGGTGAAGCTACACCTGGGCAGCCAAACCTCCACCTCGAAGCTCGATCCCGTCTTTCGACATCCCGACTTCGACGACCTGCCGCTCCCAAATGTGGTGACATACAGCACACGCTGCCACGTACGGAGGAGTCACAGGACACACCGAGACCGCAACTTCCACCCCGGATAGAATCTCACGAGCAAAGCCCGAGATCACCACCATGTCCTCCAACCCGAAACCGACGTCATCCGCCCAGACCTCCGGCGCCGCGCGGCTGCTCCAGCGGCAGCTGAAGGAGATGAGCACGGCCAAGGACCTGCCGGGCATCTCGGTCGGTCTGCTGAACGAGAACAACGTCTTTGTCTGGGAGGTGGTGCTCATGATCAACGACGACTGCAAGTACTATGGTGGTATGTTGCCCCTCCTCCCTTACACCCTGCCGACCTTCTACCAACTACCCCCCTCACTCCCAACCCACGCAACCCGAGTCCACCAGCCGGCCTGACTATTACACTACGTGGAAACCGGCCAAGGACTTGAGCTGACCATTGGCCCCGGCCATCTCGCAAAACAGGCGCCTACTTCCGGGCACACCTGACGTTCCCGCCCGAGTACCCGCACCTGCCGCCGAAGCTGGTGTTCCAGGCGCCGGTGCCGTTCCACCCCAACATCTACGCGTCGGGCGAGCTGTGCATTAGCATCCTGCACCCGCCCGAGGACGACAAGTACGGGTACGAGACGGCGGCGGAGCGCTGGTCGCCCGTCCAGACCCCCGAGACCATCCTGCTGTCCGTCATCAGCCTGTTCAGCGAGCCCAATGACGAGAGCCCTGCCAACCTCGACGCCGCCAAGCTGCTGCGCCAGGACCGCGCCGGCGAGAGCAAGGAGTTCCGCCGCCGCGTGCGCAAGTGTGTCCGCGAGAGCCTCGGCGAGGATTAGGCGTGGGCGGCTCGCGAAGCGCGGTACAAGATGGCCCCCGAGTAGGCAGCTCACACCAATACGGCAAGGTTTCTCTACCTCCACTGACATAATGGTTCGAAGCTGGATTCGATTACTTGGCGCTGTCACGGTTCGGCCTTCCTGGTACCAGATCGAGCCTGCAGGTGGAACGACGTACCTTGAGCGGAGATTCAGTCTCATTTGGGTACATATATAGCACTTGCATTGTTTTATAGCTCTTGACTTTGCAGGCGTTTTCGGAAACCATCATCTAGGGAGTATAGGTTCCACTGATCAATTTGAAACTTCACCTTATGGCTTAGTCTATGGCTTATGTTGTACTGCACCTACATTGCGTAAATGTTCCTTGCCTTGTTTTGGAGGGGCTATTCCACACTACACGATTTTGCGAGTGGGATGGCCCTCTGTGACGGGTAGTAGGAGCTACATTGGTCGCTCTGATACCTCAGTCACGAGACAATGATTCTCGCTCGTTGAAGTCCTTGCTCAGCTTGTGGCCATGCCATGGACGATACAGGGTATTTTTCCTTCAATGAACGGCGTTCAAATTGATCGAACTCTTTGGCCGTATCAAGGACGCTTGGGTGCTTCTTCGTCCCTAGCGTTCAGGGTCAAACATTGTGTGGCTTCACTCAATGACGCCGAATACTCGAGCAAGAGTGCGATCCCACTCCTCATCCCATCGTAGACTGCCTTCTTTCTGTGCACCCTGGCGCAAAAATCGCAGTTCATCCTCGCCGCTGTCCTGGAATAGTCGCATCAGTACAGCGGCAAGCTCGCCAGCTGTTTCGAAACCACAGCCATTGTGGCCCTCTTTGACCAGCTCGCTGAAACTTTGGTATCCGGAATACGCAGCCACGGGCAGGCCTGAACCGAACATGTCGACCACTTTCATCGGCAAATCGACGCCTGAACTAGACATGTGCAAACAGACGCCAAGGTCTGCGCAGCTCAGGAGCGTGGCATAGTCCTCCATTGTCAGCCAGGCGGTCAAGATTCTTATATTGGGAAGCTTTCCGGCCTCAGTCAAGTCCCGAATTCTCGATTGGTAATGGGCCTTCTGGGGGCCCTTGCCTGTGATAATAGCAACGATCGGGCAGGGTGCGTCCTTGGCATAATCGACTAAGGCGTCTAGCAGCAGTGAAAAGTCCTCGTCGGGCGTCCAGCTTGTGCTGCTTACGATGAGTTTGGTTTCCCCAGCAAGGATGTTGTTGGCGAAATCTCGAGTCTCGGGAAGTCGTTCCAAAAAAGCCTTCCGGTCTCCGGGTCCTTTCAGTGGTTGGAAGATGGCTGCGGGTCGGTCATGCAGGGTGAGGATGGGTGTTTTGATGCTGTACGGTGCTTCTTTGAGCTGTCTGGCCATCGCATGGGTGACGGTAATGTTGGCAGTAGGGGCGAGCCGGCCCAGAATTGACTCGTACGCTTTGGAAATTTTGACAAAAGGATGGCCAGAGCCTCGCGTGCCTGCCAGGATCGTCCAGCCGTAGTTGTGCCAGTCGATCATTAGATGAGTATTGCGCAAAACTGAAATCAGTAGCGCAAGGGCTAGAGTTGGGATAGAAGGTGGGTTCTGTACGAGGATCCATCTTGCCGGTTGCGTGTCATAGCCGAGCACCCAGATGAGAGTCCAGATCTGCCAGAGAACCTTCAAGGGCCCAGCCAAGAGAAATGGGAGGGACTTGGACCGCAGAGCTGCGGGAGGTGGTGACAGTGGGTGGATCTTGACCCTGCTGTTGTTGAGCAGGTCAGGATGTGGCGGCGATTCTAGAGTATATCATTTAGTATACCGAAATTGGGGAGGCTGAGTGAAGGAAGGTACCGTAATAGCCAATCAAATCTACGGCTCCTCCATGTTTGGCAATACTCAATGCATGGTACTGCATACGCGGGCTCCGGCCAATGTCGCCAAGCACCAGGACCTGTACCCTGACCGAGCCTGGCGAGGCGGGTGAGTGCTTCACATAGCGCGTCGGTAGGAGCATGGCCAGACCGATGATGCCGGTGAGAAGGGCCGCCCCCACAGCCGAGAGCAGAACCGTGAAAAGGGCCATGGAGGGTGTGCCAACTGATGCGCGGGAACACTTGCGATCCAGAAAGCTGAGCTAGGGCACAGCTCAGTGTTTCTGATGCGCTGGGGGTGTATACCTCGACTAGGCCAGCCTCGGCGATCAATGTCTTGGGGCGTTCAAGCCGAAAGTGGAAGGCGACCAGAATTCACGTCGACGTGGCATCCACTGCTAGCTCGGACATTGGCGATAAGCGAAGGTCATGGAAAAGGCCTCAATTCATGCGCCCAGCGAGCTCTGGAGCGTAGAGAGGACGAGCTTCAGTCTGATGTTGCGTCAGAGTTGAGTTCACGGCCTTCTCTCACGAAGGCACTCGAGACCGGACGGCGACGTGGTTGGAGGATGGATGTCACTTCCCAGCTATCAGAAACTAGGCTGGGGCAACGCTGATCGGGTTCTGGGATGGGATTTCGGGCTCGGATTAGTGCTGTTACTGCGCGGCCGGCATCCAGCGGGCGGCATTAGCTGAGATTATCGAGGTTGGCCCCTGGTCGCCTTTTGGGTTCTGGGACCTGCAGCATTGGCGGCCCACTAGTCTGCAACGACAAGGCCGAATCAGGTGCTGGCAACGTGCATTCCCCCGCTGAGGTCAGTGGCCAGGGGGCCTGGGGGGCCGGTCAAGGCCCCAAGCAGCCAAGGGCCCCAGGGCCCGTCTTTAGCGCGGCCTGCAGATTAACCAGGCGGAGAGACATGGCCGAAATGGGCGAGAGCGACGACAACAATGAACCGCTCGTCGCCTCTCCGTCCCATCTCCTCTTGAACGATCTGCCTCCGCGCCCATCCGCATCTTAGCCTGCGCCCTTGCTCCTGCTCTTGCTCTTGCTCTTGCTCCTGGTGTCTCATCGATCAGGCCGGCGTCCGCCGCTACAGTGGCTAAGAGGAAATCGTCTACCCGTCACCGCTAGCTCTGTCCCACACCGAAAGGGCCGCCCCCTTTGCTCTTGCGGTACCAACTCAAGCCCACGCGCCCGCGAGTCAAGCAAGCAGAACTAGAGACAAGAGCAGAGGCAGAGCAACGTCTCACGGCTTCCAGTTTCGTGCGACTCTTTTCTCGTGTGCAACTGCCACGCGGCGCCCTACCCGGCCACAGCTTGTGCTCACCCAAGACACATGTTTTGACGAGAGCCCCCTGGATCTTGCCCTTGCGAACGATCTGGGCATTGGAGTAGCTTCACGAAGCTCCCAGCCCCCGACGAGCCTACTGTGCCTGCCATCAAGCAGAAATGGCCTCCTCGTACGCTCTGCCGACCCCTCCAGTGCCACATAGCCACCATCACCACCATCATGCGCACTCAAACTCGCTCCCGCATACCTCGAGACGATCTGGCAGCGCCCATTCCCACAGCCAAAGCCTAGGGCAACATGATCACGGCCACAGCCACGGCTACAACCATGAAGCGCCAGAGCACGAGCACGTAAAAGCAAACATTTCAAACTACAGAACGAACACCTACCTACAGGTCCAGCGGAGAGAGAACCGCCCCTCCCCCCTGTCGAGGAAGGAGAGCGATACGCTGAGTCCTGTCGAGGATATGTCGCCTATGACTCCTGTCCAACATTCGCCGGACACCTATTTCAACCACCACCACGAGTCGGACCACAAACACGACGGAGGCGCCCACCAGCACGACCACGATCACCATAGTCACGACCATCATGACCACCACGGCCATGATCACCACGGTCATGAGCACCACGATCATGGACACGATCATCATGGCCATGGGCATGTGCACAATCAATCCGGCCAATACTCGAAGATGACAGCACTGCTTCTCCCCTACACGTCACGCTGGCCCTTAATACACTCTGTAATGACTGAGAAAGACTCGCGGCGCATTTTCTACTTCATGGTGTAGGTTTAGATATTTGATCTAGGATTCGCGTCTTTGTTAACGCAATCTAGGCTGAACTTTTCCTTCATGGCCGTCCAGGCCTTCTACGGCTACGTGACCGACTCATTGGGGCTACTTTCCGACTCCATTCACATGTTCTTCGACTGCGTGGCATTGGCGGTCGGGCTCTTCGCTGCCGTCATGAGTAAATGGTCAAAGACTGATAAGTTTCCCTATGGTTTTGGGAAGATTGAAACACTGAGTGGCTTCGCCAACGGGATATTCTTGATGTACGTCTCTAAGACGGATCCCGAGTCAGAACTACGCTAACTATTTCGCAGTCTGATCAGTGTTGAGATCATGTTTGAGGGCTTTGAACGGCTGTTGGAGGGCCGCGAGACGAAGCGACTGCTGGATCTCTTTGTGGTCAGCACCTTGGGCCTGATTGTCAACCTACTTGGATTGTTCGCCTTCGGCACGCACAGCCATCACGGGCATAGCCATGGAGGACACTCGCACGACCACTCGCACGGTGGTCATGACCACGGCGCAGGGGGGCACCACCATCACCATCACCATGGTGACAACGAGAACCTGCATGGAATCTACCTACACGTCTTGGCGGACACACTGGGGAGTGCGTCCGTTATTATCTCCACCGTACTGACGTATATCTTCCCCTGGTCAGGATGGGATCCATTGGCATCATTCTTGATTGCGTATCTCATCGCGCTCACGGCTATACCTCTGGTCAAGTCATCAGCTCACCGTCTCCTCCTGACCAACCCCGACGACACCGAATACAACCTCAGGAACATCCTCACAGGCATCAATGGTGTACGCGGCGTGGCATCCTACGCGGTACCCAAGTTCTGGGCTGATGATCGAACGGGCGAGGACGCGCGGGCCAACCTGATAGGGGTTATCCACGTGGCTGCTATCCGCGGCGCCGACATGGAAGACGTCCAGGACAGGGTCAGGAACTACCTGGCTGAGAAAGGCATCGACATTACGATCCAGATGGAGCGAGAAGGGGACTCATGCTGGTGCGGCATGGGCAGGGGCGCGCCACCGACGCCAAGGAGCCCAGCTTTGTATTAGGGGAGAAGTTGGGGAGGGCGCGTGGACGCGTTGAGCAGATAATGTGATTGGACAAGGCTGCCCAGCATTGGAAAGCTGGCGAGAACGGATCAACACACTCGTTGGGACTCCCTCGTATAGTGCTATGCAAAGAGTAGAGGCGTGGTGTGGTGTGACGTGACAGGAATGATACCCTAGATGACGATATGTTGTACATGCCTATTTCCCAGAGAGTACATATGCGTGAGCCGAGCATTGGGGGATGGTGATAGCTCATGGATATCTTGCTGCCATTTCGCAGATCCGAGTGATGCTTGGCGATGCGAGATAATCGTCATTTCACCGCCGCTTGATCCGTTCTCGACTTCCATCCACCCGGCATGGCAGTTGGGGTCGTAGGCGAAATTGTCGTCATTGGCCGGGCCGCCGCAGCAGGGGTACATTATACTTTGACGTCTGGGACACGGCAGGACTGGTAACTACCTTTGCGAATTTGGTTACCAACTGCTTGGTGCTTCGATGTCATTGGCACAATGTCGAAAGGCCATGGCACACTGGCGATCTGACGTGGTACTGTAGACGGCGCTGGGACCGCACTCCGTTCTCCATTCTCCGTGCGCTGCTAGTAATGGAACTCCCCCACGGGGACCCCTCCATTCCATTGCCATTGAGCCGAAGGTACCTGGACCGAGGCAGCGGTACACACGTACCGACCGCCAATGAACACATTAACCCGGGGCATTTTCTCCCGCTAGAATTTTCACGCATTTTTCAATCATTTTGTCGCATAGAGATTTCTTTGCACTGGTCACTTCTTACCGCAGACTCGACTTTGCTAGATGCGACGCCGAGCCAGAACAGGTGGCAAGACATAACCAGCAACTAAGTTTCCCACTGACTTGCGGCCGACAAGTACTTTGGTACCCACCCGCGAGTCGCAATCCAAAAGCCGAGGCACTGACGTCGCGCGCTCCGCCAGCGAACGGGCCCCAAAACCGTGGCCGCACCGCAATTCTGAAGAGCTTATCAGTAACACAGGAAACATTTTATTCTGTGCTCTTTTCGGACTTCCGCTTCTGACAGACGGGAAAGCAAACGGACGAGGCGCACGCTGTCCATCGCCGTTCATAAAATCAGAAACTCCCGTTGCGACAAGTCTCAGACAGGGCTATCCAACTGGAGAGGGAGAGAGGGAGTGCGCGCGCCCCGTAATCTGCAATCGATAATACAATTAATTGCACGGGGGCCGACACGAAAGCGGGTCACGATCACAAGCCGACCGATAGTCGAGACATACTTAGCAAGAGGGCCAGCCATCTTGTCTACCGCCAGCTCAGAGGAGCTACACCTCCCTCCATTTGCCCAATTCGCCCTCGCTGCGCTCCAACCCCAACCCTCCGCCTTCCGACAGCGACCTCACAGAAACGAACATGGCAACATCGGACCCGAAGTCGCTCTCCGGCAAGCTGGCCGACAAGCTGCCGCACGTGCCCGAGTCCAAGGAGGAGCTCAAGGCCGAGCTCAAGGCCGAGGCCAAGGCGGCGGCCAGCAGCGGCCTCTCGCAGCTGCGATCCTTCGCGGCCGGCGGCTTTGGTGGCATCTGCGCCGTCATCGTCGGCCACCCCTTCGACCTCGTCAAGGTCCGCCTGCAGACGGCCGAGTCCGGCGTCTACAAGAGCGCCATCGACTGCGTGCGCCAGAGCATCGCCCGCGATGGCCTGCGGAGAGGCCTGTACGCCGGTGTTAGTGCGCCCTTGGTTGGTGTCACACCCATGTGTAAGTGCTCTTCCTTCCCCCGGGACATTGCTCCTGCGCCATTTCATGCGCGCGCCTAGCGCCCCCAAGACCGCGTCCAAAATGCTGACGTGGATCTCCGACACACAGTCGCCGTGTCCTTCTGGGGCTACGACCTCGGCAAGCAGATCGTCAGCTCGGCCTCGACCGTCGCCGTGAACCCGGCCACCGGCGCGCCGCAGCTGTCCATCGCCCAGACCTCGGCCGCCGGCTTCTTCAGCGCCATCCCCATGACGGCCATCACGGCGCCGTTCGAGCGCGTCAAGGTCATCCTGCAGGTCCAGGGCCAGCGCCTCAAGCCCGGCGAGGAGCCCAAGTACAAGGGCGGCATGGACGTCGTGCGCCAGCTGTACCGCGAAGGCGGCGTGCGCTCCGTCTTCCGCGGGTCCGCCGCCACCCTGGCCCGCGACGGGCCCGGCTCCGCCGCCTACTTCGCCGCCTACGAGTATATCAAGCGCCGCCTGACGCCCGTCGACCACAAGACTGGCAAGCCCCAGGGCGACCTGAGCCTGCTGGCCGTCACGGCCGCCGGCGGTGCCGCCGGTGTCGCCATGTGGATCCCCGTGTTCCCCGTCGACACCGTCAAGAGCCGTCTGCAGACCGCCGAGGGCAACCCCAGCATTGGAGGCGTCATCAGGGAGCTGTACGGCCGCGGAGGGTTCAAGGCTTTCTTCCCCGGCTTCGGTCCGGCGCTGGCGAGAGCCGTGCCCGCCAACGCCGCCACCTTCCTCGGTGTCGAGTTGGCCCACCAGGCCATGAACAAGGTGTTCGGTTGAAGGAATACGAGATGAAACAATTCGGACATGGAAGTCCAGTGGTTTGAACCCCAGGGGCTGGTGTTTCACCGAGCCTGGCTCCGCGTCCACCGGGCAGAGCAATAGATGCTTTATTGCCACCTGCTTAGCAACAGGTCGCGTGGAAAAGCTGAACAAACACCGATAGAGGCGCTCATATCAAGTTAGAGGCCGTGGTTGGAGAATAGAGCTGGCAAGCAAAGCCGGTTTATAGAAGGAAGAGGTGGGGGGCCGTTTGATATTATTTGAAAGGAGTATGCATAGTTATGGAGTTACATATCTTTTCTTGGCTCGCAAGAGATTGGCCGCACTATGAAAAGAAACCATTTCTTTTGCACACCCAAGCTTCGTAATGTGTGCCTTGCTGCGTGGTCTTTACAGCAACACCACGCTATCTGGTCTCGTGCAGCGTGGTGTTGTCATATCGCCATGGACTACTCAATTTATGTAGCGTACAGTGTAGGTGTCGAGAGAATACCTTTGAACTTGGGAAAGAACCCGGCGGTTCACGGTGAAACGACTAAGACGGCTGAGCCAGGTCACTTGCTGAATAGTATTCTTTATAGTTAATTTTGTCTTAGACCTTGAACTCGCACACACAAAACCTCAAGGCTCTGGTTCCAGCAAAACAGTCTCTGTTCGGAACTGGTTGTACAAAGTCCAGTCCCGGTGCTGCGGTGAAGCTGTTATGAAGTGCAGCGAGCTTTTGCTTTTGTTGATATAATCAACGTTGGCAGGACACGGCACAGCCGCCCATCTCCCAGCTACGCCTCCGCCAAACTCCGTCTTGTAGATGTTGTTAGATGGAGATATAGGTGGCGCGTAACGGCGAAGCTTGAAACAAAGCGCTACTGTTCTGTGGTTTGTATGTGTGAGACTTTTAGCTGACTGGGGCGTGCGTGATGGCGCGATAAACCCTATCAAGCAGTTGTTCCCAAACGCCCTGGCTGACATGCTTTGCAAAGCTGTTCCTTTGCAAGGGTGTTCTGCAGCAAGTCTTCGACCCCATGGCTGTGTGCGGATGACTATAGGCCACCAGTCTAGAACCACAGTGCTAAGTATACCGCTACATGCTCATCATCAGGGCGGAAGGATTGCGGCTGAGCCCGGGGCAACAACCTCGTATGTTCACACCCTTGTAAAAAGGTTTTAGTACCCCCGCGGAGCAAATCTGCTTCAAATCGGCCCGTGCTGGTTCCAGGCGGCACGGTATGTTATGGAACAGTAGAACTGTGAAATCAGTTACTACCAAAGTTTGCGAAATCGTATGTTTTCTACATCAAGAAACAAAGTATGCGCCAATGAGTTAATACGGCTTGCCGCACTCGCAAAGTTTTACAATGTCTACGAAGGACGCTATGGGCTGGAGCAGTCTCCAGTCATTCTCTTACCGACGTCTTCCTTGGCCTGCCGCTTGCTTGCTCCCCGTTCTTCTGTCCTCTTCTCTTTCCTCGAGAAGAAGTGAGTAAAAGCAAGTACCATGCTAGCCATCCATACCGCTCCCCGTTGTCGAGATCACACTAGGTTTCTTTCTTGCTCTTAAATTAACTTATTAGTGAAGACTACCGACCATGACAGCGCAGTATCCGGCCTCAAAGGTCCCATAAAACTCAATTTAGATCTAGCTCTATTTCTGGACATCGCTTTCGTCACCATTGAACTGGAGTGGTGCTCCTGGGCCATATTCCCCAAGTAACACAACCTCAGCCAACGCAGTTCTCCTCGTCAGTGTCGATGAATCGAACGTACATTGTTCGAGTGGTTAAAATAGACGTATAAATCGACGGTCGCCAAACCGAATAGTCGTAAATTGAAGGCAAAAAGTGCGATGGTGTATTAAATTCTACGGAAAAGAGGGAAATTAAATAAATAAAGCGCGAAAAAGTACAGCCACAATTTCTCAGCCACAATTCTATACCACGTCTCACTAGCCCGAGCTCACCATGCTCCCACAGACCGAAGCACAGCGGACAAGAGGCATTGCTCACATGTGCTACATGAAGAATGCTTCTTAGGTGTAAACATCATTGAAGTACCCTCTAGAATGATTCGCTATAGTCATATGCTGGAGTGCAGATACGACTCGAGGACAGCTTTACAATCGATGTGGAGGAACGTATTCCAGAAACTATCAGGATAAGATTGTACCGATACCCAAACCCAATGGATAAACAAGCCCACTCATGTGCTTCAGAGTTTCATAGCAACCAGCCATATTGATTTGGTTTTTTGTCTTTGCTTTACAGAGCTTTGCCGAGCAAATAGGGTGGCAGCTTTTGTTTTAGTACTAACGTGCTCAGTGGACAGTTCTGTTAAAAGGCTTTGGACACTTGTTTTGCCTCTTCATCCTCCTTAATTTCACCAACTGGGGGATGGTCTGCCCCAGAATCTTTCTGTCTGCGAATATCTTTCCAGCCAATACCCAATGCAGTGACAAAGGCCATGGCCCCGGCAGCAGCAACAAATGCAAAGACGTTGTCTAAACTGTTGGAATACGCGACTAGAACACTGCGCAGGTCTTCGCTAGGTACTACCTGGCGGGAACGAGTAGCACCTAAAGCGATGACCGAAGAAGCATCGACATCTGGCGCATATACAGCAAGTTGCGATGTCAGCCCCTCAACGAAGACAATGTTGAACAGTGTCAGGAATATTGCAGGCCCAAGTAATTGCAAGGTAACAAGGAATGACATAGCCGAAGCAATTTCAGCTGGTGTGATAGAGTTCTGGGTTGCGACGATGGGCTGAAGGTGAGTGTCAGAGATGTAAATGCAAGGACGCATTGGACCTGGCGATGGGAACATACCATTTGTAGACCGGCCCCCATAACCGAAGGCTTACTGAATCCTACGTTAATATCTTGGGCGTGATCCTGGGCTTCGAGATGCTTCTCAGTAAGCTGGGGCATGAAGAGCATCAGGTCACTGAGACCCCCCTCCCCCGATGGTGACTACTTCGAGATAGTGGCTTATCTTGCTTAGCCAAAGTTGGGCTACTGCTACTAGATTGCCCTACACCCCGCTCATCGATGGGACTGGTTGGAAAATACTTGGGAAGATCGATCTGAGTAGATTATCCAAGCTAAAGCCATAGTTCTAAATGTGAAGAAGATTAGGCCATTTCTACTCAACAAGCTTATGTCCACTTTCAGTCGAACAATTTCCAGCCTCCTAAAACACATTTCTGGAATAGACCCTCAGGATCATACTTCGTACTGGTTTCCTGTAGCTTGGCCTTATTCCCCTCGCCATATGTATCAATAGGGTTCTGGAAAGGCGCGGCGTAATTCATGTACTTGTACGGGACTGCTGTCCCCCTCGCCGCTGCATCCTGGTCAACAGCTTCGATAACACCCTTGAATGTCGAATGTATCTTTTCGTCGTCTTCTTTGTTCTGCCAGAAGGACAATATCAAGATCGACATGAGTGGTCCGTCCAATGGATCGATCCCCAACGAGTTTCCGCCTGCAGACGCTGTCTTGTCTAGGAGAGACTTGGGATAGGCTTGGAGTGTGAACGATGTGGTGAGGCCTTCGATGACTTTAAGAGGTCCGAGTGCATTCACATAGGTTTCATATGCTGCCATCAATGTGTGAACGTCGGCCTTGACGGTAGTGTTGATGTAAGAAATTCTATGTGAAGAATTGATGAGTTAGTCCCCAAGGCTTAAAAGCGAAAGAAGAAATAATACAGGGCATAGCATAAGATTCGCGACTGTCTCACCTAGAGGTCGAGGATCCATGGCCGGCCTGTTCTTTTGCTGCGTCCACAAGATCCAGCATACGAACTGATCTCATCTGATCGAGCTGAGGCTGCATGCTAATGTAAGGGTCAAGGATTGGCGGGTTTTCAACTTCCTTGGTATAATACACTTGGTTCATACACATAACTTCGCTGATCTGAGCGAATGCGGCACTATAACCGGCACCAATCATGATGTGTGTCTCGTCGGTCGCTTCCGAATCTTTGAGCTCCTTGACATAGGCTTCCACCTGGCTTGGGAAACTGTTGGGAAAGTAGAAGACGGTACCGCCCCAGAACTTGCCCTGCTTAAACGTCCTCATGTCGTACCTGGTAACGATAGCGAAGTTATTCCCTCCACCGCGGAGAGAGCCAAACAGATCCGTGTTCTCCTTTGCATTAGCGTTGATAACTTCTCCAGATGCTAACACAACCTCGAAATTTGTTACGTTATCCGTGATAAACCCTTCTCGAGTGGAGAAGAAGGAGAGGCCACCTAATAAGGCTTAATCAAGGGACCTGGCACGGCATTTGACAAGTAAAGGGGAAGAAGGCATATTGTGAATCCTTACCAGAGAGACAGAGCCCGCCAATGCCACCCATACTGGAGCGACTACCGGTGACGGCGAGTCCTTTCTCCTGAAGTTTAGAATAGACCTCGCCCCAGCGCTCACCTGCCCCGATTGAAACAATTGCATCATCATCTTTGAGATGGATACCGGTCAGGTTGCGCAAGTCGACAGTGATGCCATTGTCTACGTTGTTGCATCCAAGCGCAGGCTGCTGACCCGCTCCTCGCACAGCCAAGTTCACGCCGCCCTGCAGTGCATAGGGCTTGACGACGCGTATAAACTTGACGACATCATCCCTATCTCTGGGTAAGAAGATCGCTCTTGGCTGAAGGTCGGCCTGTGCGCTGGAAAGATACGATGTGTTGAGAGCGGTGAACGCAGTAGTGTTGGGAAGTACCAACTGCGCATTTGGAAAGGCTAGCTTCAAAGTCTCAATAACGTCGTTCACGTCCATGATTGCCGCGATTGTGGGTTGAACAAGAAGATATTGTCCTAGTGATGGCACAGAGCACAACGCTGCCGGAAATCCCTAGCCGTCTTATGTCGGAGCTCTACCTCTATGGCATAGGAGTGCGACAGTAGGTGGTGGTGATGTCGAATGCGGTGGATGAGATTGGACTGGAAGGCTGGAAGACAAAGCATGGGGGTGGTTGGCTTCCATGAATAATTTCCTTGACACATGTAAGGGGGAGGATGCATGCATGTCGGCGAACATCTCATATTTTCATTTCCATAGCACTGTCCGCGACATGAGAACACAAACTGCGAGCCTGCGGCGCAGGCGTGGAGACGATTCCCAGCCGCTTTAGCATACGCCGATTGGCTACACTGGGATCACCCAAAATGAACGCTTAATATCTTGAGAGCCAACAAATACCCCGATTCCACTTCGCAATGGAGACTTTGGTGCTGAGTCTACAGAATTCGTTGCTTCGACTGAATGGTACTGCCTAGTAGTGCGTCAGTTACCCGCCGCTGAGCTTGACAACCCTGCGGCCGTGCTGGTCGACTTCCACGATGATAACTTCATTCGCAGCATGTGGAGGACTTCTCCAGGATACCACTAGAACTGCGAGCATTGCATGACGCCAGCTGCTGTAGGGCCAGCCATTGAGTTCTGAGGCTTTAAGGAAGTACATGCGTTGCTGGGAGGAGGCTGTATTTTCACTATAGAACGAAGTTGGGTTTGAATTTTGCATATTCCTTCCCTTCTATTCCGGAGGGCAACAACGTAGTCCCAGTATAGCTAAGTCTGCCTTTCTATTGCTGCTTCAGTTGACAGTAGACTTGTTACAGTCAAAATCTGACAATATATTGCACGAGGCAGAGTAAATCTTTCTAATTGACTTCATTCTTTTTCTGAAGTATGTGCAACTCCTGAGCGGCTATCATCATTACAACTCAGCCCCAACCTGCCACCTATTGGCTCAAGAACTTGCCTCCACACCCTCCGCACAGCTCACTCGAAATCTGTCTTGCTGCAGATGCAGCAGTGTCACCAGCCATGGCTACAAGATCGTCCGGCTTGAGACACTTGGAGCCACAAATACCGCAGGTGTTTGAAACCCCTGGAGCCAGTATGGGCAGACCGCTTGCAGCACAATTCTCTGTTGTGTGTGATTAGTTACCGTGTAATTTTACTGGGATGTGTGAACCGTCTTGCTCACCGAATACGTGACCCTTTGTACATTTCGAAACGTTGCCGAGAACTGTCAGCGCCGCACCGCAAAATACGCAAACCTGCTTTTCGGCGACAGGCCGCAGCGTGTCCCTTAGCTTCTGGTGTTTTGAGCTGGCCTCAGCGGGCACCTCGTTCGGCTGAGCAACGCCAGGCACACGCGGGCCACCGCCATACATCCATTCGAAAGCGCGAGCTTCGGTTGACAGCTTCCGGGTAGAGAGGAACGCCTCGTCGACGATGTTTGTGCTTCGGCCAAAGAGAACCTTACATCTCAAGCCGGCAAATGTGTGGCGCTCGGGTTTGATAGCATTATTGACTGTGATGAATATAGCAGTGACTCCCCCTCCCGGGGTTGAGGACATGCCCCAAATGCGGATGCGATTCACGTGAACCTTTTCCATTCCATCCAATGGATCATTCAGCTCCTGAACAAGTGTGGCATTACCCTCCTCTCCTTCTTCCTCGGAATCATAGTCGAAATCTTCGTCATCTTCATCTTCTGGGTCTTCTTCTTCTTCTTCGTTCTCTTCGTCTTCACTCCCTTCAGCATCGGATCCGGACGCTGCTGAGCCGCCCTGGTTGTGATGGCGATATGCTAACGAAAAGGGCTGCGTGGCTTCAAGAATTTCCGATATCTGGAAGATCAGCTGGGGCTTTGCAGAAGTATCCTCGGGGTTTGGAGGCAGAGGAAGATTCGTCTGATACCAATCCGTGTTGGTGGGTGTGGCAGATAAGCGGGTAAGTGAGAAGTAGGGACTGTCTGTGGTCTTCGAGATATCAGGTGGGTGAATAACCAGACCAGTGATCGGGTTAAAGTTCTGATCAGCCATCTCTTGTGGCGGATAGGTGCTATTGCAGTCAAGTGTCGAGTGTTTTGCAGTAGTCTCAGGTGCGGCAGTGGTATCAAATCCAACGTTGAAGGACTCGACTGCGAAGGGGGTAGCGATGATGCCTCGGCACTCTTTGGATGAACCCTTCGTCCATATCTACTCAATATTAGTCTTGGCTATCACGTCTCCATAAGGATCATTGTAAAATTACCAAGTCTTCCCAGACAACGAATGCATCCGGGGCAAGATGCAAGCAGATACCCGTGCAATCTACAGGCTGTACTTCTATCTCCGGTGTTTTCATATCGTACCAGCCTCCTTTGATAGTAACCTGCCGGAATCCGACGTGATTCCTGGTGACATACGAAAGAATCGCAGTTCGAGAGCCAGGACGCTGCAGCCAGGGACTCCATTTCAAAGCGAAGGAAGAGCCAGTTGGCGAGTAGTCTGGATCCGATGGCTGAAGGATGTAAGCGACTTAAAATATCAAATGGCTCGGGTGGATCGGGTGGTACCTACATCGCCTTTGCCATGGGGCCCTTCTCCACTGAACCTGGCTACTTCTTCTACTCTCCATTTGCCTGAATCGTTGTCTTCGCCCGAAGATGCATGTTTCGATTGCACGACCAGGATGGCGATCTCGTCCTCATCATTCATATAAGCCAGCAATGAACCGTTTCTATCGAGGTCTCTCGCCCATGAGAAGGAAGTCACATACTCCCTCGAGTATGGAGAATCGTGGCCCTTGGCCCGTGGAAGTAGCATGTTGCCTCCGACGCTCCAAGGGGCGACCCAAGATCCAATCGTCCGAATATTTCGACCCTTGATTTTCACACCACCTACAACGCTGGATATTCCCTCGCAGTAGATGGTCAGAGCGCCACTGCCGGTAAGTACGCCTAGGACGGATCTCTTCATCCTCCCTAGCCCACCAGGGGACCATTCGATGGCGACCACATGGTTCAGGGAGTTCCCAACATTGGCCACCACGCTCTGTCCGGATCCAAAGTCGGGTTCGAAGTCTGGGAATTCTTGTTTGACTTCATCGAACAATGGTCGATTGAGCACGGGTCTCCGCAGCTCGACAACCGGGAAACGAAGTCCAATCTCATGATATTGCCGCCGGGTGTCCAGATCCGCGAGTGAGTTTGGCGTCGCCGATGTCCCCTTTGAGGGAAACTCGGGCAGGTAAAGATAGACACAGTCGTCGGACGCGATTGCGAGTTCGGCGTCGGGGGACCAAGCAATGTTATGGGTCGTCAGAGGGACTGCGCGGAGGCTCAGAGTCTCCAGCGGCAAAATGCCCCCTCCATCTTCAGACGCCATCTCGACGATGATCACCTAAGCTTTGAACAATACGATGCGCAGTATTGTACACCGGTCAAGATATCCCTCGTTCACGGGAAGTGGGATGAGAAAATTCTTCTTTGAAGCGGCTCCTCATAGCGGTATCATCGATGCTATTTCGGCATCGCCATTGCAGCATAGACAATCTCTTTGGTCGTAGAAATGCACAGCCTGGGATTCCACTAAGTTGTCGCATTTACCCGATGAACTCCGCTGCACGCACGTTAGTATTCATCTTAAAAGATCTCGAGGTTCTTGAACCAACCACCACTCAAAAATAGTCCATCAGTCCTCTCAGGGAAATGTGAACGAACCATCGACGACTGGATTCACAATTGGCAAACGAAGTGCGCGAAGCAGCGAACAGTTGGCGGCAGCCCGCGGCAGCTGCCGCCTCAATCCATGCTTCATAATGGCATCAGTGTCTCGCTCACCACGTTCAAAGCAAATGCATACAAATCCTGTCTGAATTTGAGCTTAAGACTGTTTAGTACTTTCCTGAGCGCATGATTGGAATTTCGGTCCCAGTGATGGATGCCAAGGCCAGCTCCCTCAGCTCGGGCTTGGAGTGTAGTCTAGACATGATGCATATGGTTCGCCATGGCGAGTTGGAATAGAATGCTTTGTAGACGGGGCATAAGGGTAAAACAGTTCCTTCGGATATAACCTCTGTGGGTGGCATATCGCCGACACATTGCGCTAATTCATATCTTCGTCAATTAATTTTCTATAATTACAGCAGACTTCACGCTGAAGACTCCAGGTACGAGCTGAGAGCCCACAAGCCCGTACATCCAGCCAAAGCAGTAACACCAACCAGCTTCTTCACCCACCAGTTGTCGTCGTTCAGAGGCTTCGCCGATGGGAGGTTTTTATATGATTTGCTCTCGGGCTTGGGCCCCTCGCTGGCGTTCTTGGAGGCGGCCTCCTCCTCTTCCGCAATCTGCTTGAGCTGTGCAATCGTCCTACTAAGCGCCAGCATCTCGTCATCAACGGTGGCGTTCTTTGCTCCGTCAACCTCGACATTCTGGACGTTGCCGAAGAAGTCCGTCAGCAACCGGCTGCGGGCTGCATCAGCTCCACCGCGGAAAAGATCATATCGCACGCCTGCGTGGGAATGAATCTTCTCATAGCTATAGCTGTCGAACAGCTCTCCCACCGTCTTCTTGCTGCTCAAGTCCTTGACTTCGGATTCGAGGAACTCCAGGTTGTAGTAAGTGTAGCGATCGATAACGGCTACGCCGACATCGTTGTCGGCGTGGTGTGAGTAAGAAGACTGGTCAAGCTCGGACGATCCCGTCGCAATAATGTTCGGAGAGTAGATCTTGGTATACATGGTGTTGGCTTGACACGTGTCAATCATGAAGAGGATCTCGTGGTACCTGCGGTAGATAGCTCGATTAGCACTGGAAAGTGGGTTGCAGACATCGCATGATATACGCACCTCCTCTTCTCCCACATCTCCTCAAAGGCATCAGCCAGATCAAATGCTCCAAGCTCCTCGGCATCTTGGAACTTGAGAAACTCGTTGCCGCCATGGCCCGTCATGTAGACAAAGATATTGCTTCGGTCGTCCGTTAACAGCCGCTTGCTCCTGGGCATTTCATCTCCCACCCGGTCGGTCAGCAGGCGGATGAAGTTCTCGACGGTGACCTCGTAGCCCCGGTAGTCGACCTCGATGTTGTCGCCGTATAAGTCGACGGCCCGGTCCGCATTACTATAGACGGTGCCGGGGAATGCGTTGCGCGGGTTGCAGGCCATGTCGTCGGGCAGCATCAGAATGATCTGGGAGTCGGGGATGCCCAGGCGCTTGACGGTGCGGTACATGGAGAGGACATTGGAGAGATGGCGATAGTTGAACCAGAACCGCGACGTCCCGACCAGGACGGCCCAGTTGTTGGTATGCTCTGCGGAGACGGTGGCCAGCAGGCTCGCGGCCAGCAGCACTGGCAATTGGAACATACCCGACAGCTTCATCTTAGCGTTCGGTTGTTCGGGTCTCAAAAGTCATTTGGGGAGAGAGGACGGAGAAGCGATGACGCCCCTGGAATTGCTCACTCAACTGCGCCCGTGGATGATTTGTCAGGGACTCTCCCGTCGGGACTCCCTTTCGCGACAGGCGTCCAAGGGCCAGGTTGCTGGGATGCTCGGTCAGTGCGGCTCACCGACGCCGGCTTAGCTTCTTTGTCTCTAGCGCCGAAAGACCCTCTTCCAGAACCCCTCCCCCACTACTCTGCATCGGTAGGCAACCTACGGTGCTGGAGCTACTGTCGCATTCAGCTGAGCTTTTATCAGATGTGCCGGTCTGCAATATCCGTCCATAGTATTATCGAGGCTCTGCCCGGCTCATATATCTAATTGTTCTCTGCCGGTTGCTATAGGGAGTTACCTAGGCATATTGGGCAAACTGCGATGGCAAGCAGATACTCCCAGACCTTGCCAGTACCTCTAACTCGAGTCAATTTTTGCTACGGGTCTACTGCATGCGTGTGCGAGAGTTTATCAGATGAAGTGGTTAAAATGTGGGCTGATCAGAATCCCGCCGTGTTGCTCTTGTCGACGCGACTGTCGGCTCGGGCACATTCCCGCCTAGAAGTAGCAGCCTGTTGCTAATGGCGTTCCGTTCTGTTCTGTCTTGAGGACCTACCTGTAGGTTTGTCTTCTGCCTCCTCGGAGACGGAGACGGAGACTTGTTGGTGGCCACGACGTGCTTCGTCGAGCAGGAAGTAGCCAAAGTAGTAGAAAGGAAGAAAGAGTCTTTGCATTTGTGGTTGCTTACTTAAGCAGAAAAAGCCGTCACATGCTTTGCGGGCGCGGACGCAGAAGGACGCGTAAAATGTCTCTCTCCTTTGACCGGTGGCCCAAGGTCGAGGCAAGCTATCCATGACGATTCACGGAGCCAAAGGGTCTTTTCCAGGGTCTTCCTCTAGCCGGGCCCCTGGGGCGCGGTTTGCAAGGGCAGGAAAAGGTATGACGCCCTAGTGCAGCATGATTCAATCATGGGCGCGGCGAGCTCTCCCTGCCAGTGCAACGCTGCCCCGCCTCCGACATGCTCGGTGATAGTTCGTGCGTGCTTGTTTCAATGTGCAAACGGTGATCGCTGGCTCCACACTGAAGCATATTTCTGCTCCCACGTGTGACTCTTTCTTCTCTCTCAGCGTTTGAAGACTTTTGCCCGCTCTAGACCATGGGGTGGAAATGAGAAAGCTTCGGCTCAGCCGTCACGAGACCGGAACAAACCTGACCGCGTGCCATCTCATTTTAAGGGCCCGAGGTCGCCCCCGGGACCTACCCTTGTTCCCTCGAGGAATGGTCCTCGGTGGCCTACAAAGAGTTCTGGCCAGCCCGCACCGTGGTTTGCCGTGAACAAGACCTCAGAAGACTTTGCAGCATCGGGAAACCCGTCCGTGAGAACCATGGGCAAGCCTCCGGCTTATGTATTCGTCGTGCGGTACGTCCCCGCAGTAGCGTCAGTCCTCGCTCGTCCAACAGGACCCCAGCTAACGTGCAATAGGCATGGTAACCGCCTTGACGCCGCCGACAAGCAATGGCATCTTACCTCCCCGACACCTTACGACCCTCCCTTGACCTACGGTGGATGGCTACAGTGCAAAGGCCTGGGTGCTCGCATCGCTTCCATCCTGCAGGAGAGAGAGGAGCAGGATGAAGCCGCCCGTGCAGTCGCCGCTGCTGCTGCTGACGGACCCCATCACGAAGGGTCGCCGCCCAGGAAAAAGCGCCGTTACAATGTGATACTGCATAGCTCGCCATTCCTCCGCTGCATACAGACGTCTGTGGCAATAAGCGCCGGTCTGGCCTCCAACCCTTCGCCTTCAAGTATCCCAAACGGCAGCCATGTCTCTCGAACGCAAACCGCACGGGTGAGCCAGGTCTCTTCGTTCTCGAACCCGGCCCCGACACCGACCCGGCCGACGATTACGACAGATGTGCCTGCTATAACCACTCCGCAAGATTCCAGCTATATCCAGAAGAGCATACTGCGCCTTGACGCCTTCCTGGGAGAATGGGCCTCCCCCGATTACTTCGAACACATTACTCCACCTCCAGAATCAGCCCTCATGCTCGCGACAGCAAAGGCCGAACTTTTTCGGAAGGAGATGCATATCAGCTACTCCCACTCCCACTCCCACTCCCCCGCTCGAAACACACTCAGCACGCCTAGTCAGCTTTGGAGTTCGCCGACTCAGACCCAGAGTTCTGCCTTGGACAGCCTTCCCAAGATAGGCGAATCTCTTCTTGGGAACACGGTCAACACAGGGTCAGACAACAAGGGAGTTCGAAATATGTCTCTCTCTGAACCGGCCTTACCTATAGGATACACTGCTCCGGTTCCGGCGTACGCAATTTCGCCTTCTGAGCCGATTCCAATTGGTTATGTCGCACACGCACGAGATGCGTGCGTCGACATTGACTATCAGTGGGATTCAACGCGCGACCCATTGTTCTGGGGCGATGGGGGCGTTTTGCCTGAAGAATGGGCCGCCATGCACCAACGTTTCCGAAAAGGGTTGACACGGCTGATCGAGTGGTATTCGACCGCTGATCATCCCGGGCAAATGGTCACTAAACTGCCTACAACGTCCAAAGGTGCAGAGAATGGCGCAGATGGTGCAGATGGTGCTAGAGAAGATGCTGTCCATGACGACACCGAGATCGAGAATGTTGTCATCCTCGTCTCTCACGGTGCCGGTTGTAATGCTCTGGTTGGTGGCATCACAAATCAGCCGGTGCTCGCAGATGTGCCCATGGCATCCTTGACGGTGGCAAGACGACGGCCCATCTCGAAACATGGCGACAGTGCTATAGGTGAACGGGCTGTGTCGTCTCTAGAAGATGCACTCACTAGGATAAAGCCAACAGTTCCGGAGCTCTACGAGCTTGCAATGTTCGCCAATACCGAACACCTGTCCGGGGGCTCCGCGTCGGTTAGTAGATCGTCCAGCGTGAGCAGCCACACGAGGGGCCGAGCCTCAGGTCACTTCAGTTCGGCTCTTAAGGACATCAATTTTGGTGCTCACTACGGTCAACCTAGGGACCATCGCAGCAACTCAGTGAACGCCTCTTTGGGTAGTCTCAGACGAAGTTCGGGCGGTACTGCCTCGACATTGAGATCTCCGTCGCTCATCTCGAGCGGAGGTGTGAAAGGGGGGATCACCGTTGGCAGTGGAGTGACCAGCTTCGGTACCTCAGCTCGGAAGAACTCGGCCAGCCTATGGACCCCGAAGCAACAGGCCCAGGATCCAGTTGGAGACCCGGACTTGCCCATGACACTAGACTTCGGCCACGAACAGCAGTCCCAGAAGCCGCCTGAGACTGTTGCGGAGGTGTCAGAGGAGAAAGACGGACAGCTTTCCCGAGTGCACAGTGAAGAGCACGATAGCTTCGATGTGGATGCGATTCCGAGCTTCTCGTCTGGGTCTGGCCTTTGGGGTACCCCTCGACCACCTGATGAGGCCGAGCGTCTAAGAGATTTCAGCTCGCAGAAGAGGCGGTGGACTGTCACTGAACGATAGCCACGTATAGTCACCAGCGATGTATAACCGAAGTCTTTGATGATGTATCAACATTCCACGACGGCATCCTTGATCCAATCCCGCAGAAGGTGGCGTACAGGAAATTTATTGAAACCTTTGTGTTGTAGATACCACTCAATTGAAAACGCATGCATGGCATAGGAGCGACAAGGTAAAGGGCATACATGGCACATGGTAATGAAAGACCATTGCATGGGTTCAGCGATGATATCAACTCTCATTCGGCGAAATAGAGAAAAGTTATTTGCTTCGTTCCGAGGACGCACTCTCCACATCTGATGTCTTTCAACTTCGACACCACCGCCTGCATAGAAAATGCGCTGTGAAAATGTATCCACGATGGTTGAAGAATGTGTCATATTCGATAATTATTGAGAGCAGGAGAACTCTTGTGGTCCTTCCTATACAACTACAGCCCAAGTACGGTGCCCCAGTATCCTCTTCTACCAACCATCCCACAAACTGGCGTATACGATATGGCCGCACAGGATGCAGCCTAGGATTCAGAAAGAAAAGAGTTTAAACCCATATCCCGCAACGTTTCCAGGGACACGCCTTCGCGCCAACCCGCGACAACGATGATCGCGTCGTAGTTGAGAACGCAAACGTGATGATGTCCGTCTTTCTGACACAATACGACGCGCGCACAGTGCTGGATACCGAAGTTGTTCCAAAGTCGATCAAGCTCCCGCCAGCAACGCGTCCTTGTACGAAGGCGGCGGCTGGGCCACCGCTCTGCGGGTAGCAACGCGGTTCTGGTACGACCTCCATATCTGGTAGGCCTCCATGAAAGTCCAGGCGAGGAGGCCCAGGGGTCCGGCGAGGGTGAACAGAAGGAAGATGAGCACCCGCCTTTCCCATTTGAAACTGCACTTCTCCGTGACCAGAGTCCTGCACAGGGTGCGTGCGTTGAGTAAGCCTAGTGGTATCCATAGAAAGATGAGGAGGGTTGCGGCGATATCCAGGAAGCACTGCACCATGTCAATCAGCTTGGCTTTCGTCTGGGCGAAGTTCATCGTTGCCGTCGATCCCGATTTCGTATACAGAATTTATGTTGAGACTTGAGAAAATGTTGTTCCTATCCAGTTGACCAAATCGATAAGCACTCTACAGAGGAATTCGGTCCAAGTCATCTGGCTTTCGAAGCCTTTTCCTTCTCGAATGTGTTCGAAACCTTCTCAGAGGTAGATATAGTTCAACAAAAACTAGCCAAGAATCGTCAGGAGCAGATTGGTTTCTCAAGGCAGTTCAAAATTTACACCGGCAGCTCTCAGAAAACGCATATTCAAAGTCTATTCAGAGGAAGCTATAATGGGCAGGGTATTTCATGGCGCAGTTCCTTCCTGGGCGACCTGACGCTGGAGAAGATCTAGCAATGGGCCCGTGCAGTCCTCCTGGCCCATGAACACCTCGACAACCTTAACGCCTTCGCCCTCTTTCAGGTCCGGCGAAGCCAACACAGTTTTGAGCTCCCCCCACGTCTTGGCCCGGAAGAAGCTCTTGCTCGCGGTCTCCTCGTCCATGCCGAATAGCCGGAGCGCAAAGGCATGGTCCCACTTGGCGATGCCGTTGTACGCTTGCTTGCGGCCGTGGATGACCCGCTCGATGGTGTAGCCGTTGTTGTTGATGACGAAAATGGTCACGTTCAGCTTCTCCTGGATGATGATGCTGAGCTCTTGTGCCGTCATCTGGAGACTTCCGTCTCCCATGAACAGAATCGCACGGCGTTTCTGGTTGGCTTCTTGGGCCCCCTTTTCCAAGCTGGTTTTCAGCATATCTCGCTGGGCGAGGGCCGCCCCCAGGGTTGCTGGCAGCATGTATCCAATCGACAGCCATGTCACTGCGGTGAAGAACCGCGAACCGGGTGGTAGCTTCATCGTCCTGCCACCATAAGAGGCTGTCCCCGTCTCTGCGAGAACAACATCGCCTTTGCGTAAGATCGGGTTGATTATGCTGTAGAAATGCTTCTGAACCAAGGGGTCGCTGTCGACCACTTCCGGTTGCGCCTGGATGGTGTTTGGAGGCCCATCCACTTTGACGAGACGATCTGACTTTAGCTCTTTAAGTAGTCTCTGTAAGAAGCGAGCAGGTAATATGTCCCGGTAAATATTTGCTCCGGCAGTTAGGGTGTTTTGCGATAATACTATCGCAATGGTCTTGGGTGGGATAGTAGTAAAGATGTTGGTGTTGGTATCGCTAAGGTGCGGCCCCAGGTGGAGTATGAGGTCTGCTGACTGGTGGTATGCAAATGCCTCATCGGCGCCAAACTTGCCTGCATCAACTCCGTAGACGTTTGGCAGCTCCTCATTGACAAGGCCCTTTCCGAATACCGTCGTCCAGGTGGGCCATTGCGTTGCCTTTATCAGTTGATCGATCTCTTCCAGGATGCCGAGCGACCTGCTCTCCCCGTCGACAAGAATCAGCGGGCGTTTGGCCGAGTATACTCTGTCGAGAAGGCATTGGACGCCGCTGGCTTCTGCCTCAATTTCGGGGGGATCCGGCAGCTGGAGTGAGGGCCTATCATGCAAGTTGGAAGACGAAACCAACGTGTTCACCATATCGTCCGGTATCTCGAGATAAACCGGCCGCTGATGCAGCAACGCTTGCTCTATGATCCAATCGACCTGGTTCGGTGCCAGACGAGGATCCGTCAAGTTGGTCTGCGCCGCCGTGACGTGCGAGTGCATCTCGGCAAACCGCCGGTAGTCGGCATCCGGGAACGCATGGTGCATAAACACCCGGTTCTCCTGAATGGTCCGCGACGGCGTCCCAACAATGTGTACAATGGGTGCTTTCTCTGCGAATGCCCCCGCGATGCCGTTTACGGCGGACAGCTCTCCAACACCGAAGGTGGTCACGAGAGCGCTAATCCCGTGGAGTCTAGCGTATGCATCTGCGGCATACGCTGCGTTCAACTCGTTGCAGTTGCCCACCCAGTGAAGACCTGAAGGCTCGACAAAGTCGAGTAGCTTCAGGTTATAGTCTCCCGGAACACCAAACACGGACCGTACCCCTAATTGGTGTAGTCGAGCAAAGACATAGTCTGCGAGCTTGATGGTGCCGTTGGACGGCGACGAGACTAACATGATTTATGGGTTTATTGTGAGAGAAAGATTTGAGTGTGAAGAGCTTCAAGATGAAGTGAACGTGTACGATGAGGGGTTGGTCTTAAAGATGTACGAACTAATTCGGCAATCATCGTGACCATCCCTTTCTATAGGTCCTTGGACGTTACACCGAACTACGCCGATGCTACCCAGCAATGCTGCCCACCGAGCACTCCCCGTTCTCCGTTAGCGCTCGTCGATTACTCCGACAGACACCACCCGCCCGCTATGTTCACTCCGGCAATTGCTAGTTTATCATAACGTAAGCACGAAACTATGAGTATGGGATTCCAGATTATACGCAAGTACCTTTTTCAAGTTTCTCATGGCACATCTACTGCAGCTGCGTATTCATGCCAGATGATATGTATCCCGAAATACCAAGTTGTGGTCATCATGGCTTCAATTACAACGAAGGCTCAGATTATCCAAGCCGCAATTTATTATTTTCTAACCTCCACCTACGTGCTTTCTGAGGAGTCTCCATAGACCAACCGTCGTCGTCCTTGCTCAATTTCAGCACCAACGACTTTGTCTCCTTCGTCGACTCGCATCGCAAGATCAAAAACTAGTTGTGTATGGCTTCAATTACATGAAAAGACATTAGCTTTACTGTGTGGCATAGTTCTGTTGTGGGTAACCTTGCTGCTGAGGTTGGCCGTAGGCCGGTTGCTGTTGTTGAGGCTGTCCAGGCTGAGCGGCATATGGCTGCTGAGGTTGGCCGGCATACTGTTGTTGTTGAGGCTGCGCAGGCTGACCAGTGTAGGGCTGTTGATCCTGCTTCTGAGCATGGCCAAGCTCAACGTTACCCGTTGAAGAGGTCTCACGAACAGAAGCAAGGATAAAGAACACCAGGTTGACAATGGCGAGAATCCATATGATGGCACCCAGGCCAGCGCAACCACCCATCACACCGCCAAAGGTGTCGTTGTACCCAAAGGAATAAGCTGAGGCAACAGAAGCCCACGAAGCAGCCCAAGCCCAACCGGAGAGCCAGAATATAATGCTCAGGATGTAGGCAATCAGAAACCCGATGCGGTAATACAAGTGTTGGACCCTGAGTTGGAAGGCAATGTCGAGGCCGTAGATGATCCAAGTCTTGATGACCTGTTGAATCGTTAAAAAAAGACTGTGCTGTGATCATGGGGTAAGGAGCTTGCAGCAAGGACTAACCAAGAAAATCAAATATCCAGGCGCACCACCAGAGTAATACGTATAGCGGCCGTAAAGTGACAAGGCGTATGCAGCCAACGCAAGGACGATCACGGAGAGAATTATGATGGCACCCTTAATAAAGATGAGCCATTTGGGTGTTGGCGCAGGCCCAACGGCCATGAGTCCACTCGCAGCCATGATTGACAATGAGAGTTACAGTCTTCTTGCTCTTAGTGACAGGCGATAATGAAACTTTTCCCAGAACCAGGAGTGGGCGAGGGATGGAGAAGGCAGAGGATTCGGGAGATCAGAACTAGCAAAAAGGAATGCAGCAGCCTGACTTTAAATGCAACTAGCAGTCAGTCAATCACGCGTAGGAATGTAAACTAAAAGCCACCAAATTCGACCGACTTACATATGGTCAACGACAATCTAGTGCGCATATGGCTTGCTGCGCCTTCGTGATGTATGCTAAAAAAGCAGCTGGCCTTGGCGACCTTTCAGCCCAACACCGCGACATCGGTCTTGCAGGCACCAGCACCCTCCAAAAGCACTTAATACAGAGTCACGCAATCTCGCGAGCCACCACCTCCTAGTGCAATCCCTGTCAAGTCCTCAGCCTTAGAGAAAGCCAGGGTTGCGGTGAGGGTCAAGATCTGCAAGCTGGTTACGCTAAACGCGGCCGGCTGGTACATAAGCTGAAAAGACCCATGAACGATGTCGCTTCCACGCGTGCTGTGATTGGCGCAGACAGTATGCTATCCCGCGCATTAGCTCCCTCAGGCCAAGGATGCTTTTGAGCTTTGGCTTAAGGTGACCGAGGACGGATGCTGTCCTCTGCCGACATGGCCATAGCCCAGATGACACACTTATTGAGCGTAGCTTGCAGACGGCACGCAGGAGTTGGATAACTACAGAGTCGGCACCCTTGCACTGAGGCCTCTTGCAGAGTCCAATCGTAGTCTATTGCCCTGAAGAGTGACACTCAGGTGCAATGCCTGTAGCCACTTTCTTGTTCAGAGCAGCCAGAAGCAGAGGGATGCGCGGGCATTGCTCAAGCATGATACCGGATTGCTACAACTTCCCTTGGTTTCGGAAACCACGATGCACATTATCGACTACGCACGCAGGTGTGGAATGATGGAAAGGGCGCTGCAGATGAGACTGGAAAGCGCAAGTCAACCACGAGAGGATGGGATTTTAACGTGAGGTCTGTGCATTCGTCTGTATGGGCAAAAACCCCCAGGCACCCAATCTCCTTTGGGTGAAGAATAGTAGAATCTGAAATGCCGTTGTCTCACAATGTCGCTGATCCGGGGGAAGCTGGCGCGAGCCTCGCATTCTAGTTCGGGCTCTTCGGCATGTTAAGCGAGCAACGTTTACGATCGACATCAGTAACAGATGCATCATGGTTGAGACGGAGAAAAGCGTCCCTGTCCCTTGTCAGGGATATCGCGAGCTTCCAGCTCACGAGTATGCACGGGGGAACGGACTGTCTTCCGACTTCGAGATCGACCCGTTATCCTTGTTGACGTTACCGAGTCACGACAGCTATGATTTCTCGGCAGACGACGACTCTTTACACCCTTTGAATATACCTGTTGTCTACTTCAATGAACGTCCCACCTTGACGAAGACAGCAGCACAGCTGCTCAACCAGACTATGGGCAGAGTTGCTGAGGAATCTAATCTTCAAGGCAGACCCAGCACCCCATCAAGGTGTCCTCCGAAGCTAGAACCACCCCTGTTGCGGACGGACCACGAATTCGATTGCAGAAAACTTGAAAACCAAATCCAAACAACGCAGAAAGCGTGGGTTCCCGATGGTGCCGTGCCTGCGGAGCCCCTTGATTCGTCTCAAGATGAATCCTTGGAATTCCCTACATTTGCATATCTGTATCGCGAAGACTTGCTGGCAGTTATCAGCAAGGACCGAATTTCGATTTCCAAAGAAACACTGGAATGTTTGAGGTCGACCATACAGAGTTCATGGACGGATACCGAGACCAATGCAGTGATCCTGGACGAGATTGCAGCGCAGAGGGCATGTTGCTATCCTTCTGAATGTTACGCGGGTCTGTCTACTAACGCAACATCGACAGGGGCATAAGGTAGAGAGACTGACTCCTCCGCTCACACCGATGAAAACACTTGATTTATTCGTCCCACAGCCAGACATCTGTCAAGTTCCGTTATCCTCTGACCCCAGCACACTACTTGAAGCCGACATGAATGAGGCTCACGCCGCTTTACTTTCAGACGGCTGTTCATCGCCGCACTTCAAAACGCCCGAACTGTCTCCGATAGTGGACTTGACACTGTTTGAAACTCCATTGTCAAAGCCAGACCAGCGACGAGTTGAGGAACCTTTGATGCCGTTGGAGTTTGTAGGGACCCCATCATCTAGCCCAACGCTAGACCTACAACGGACAGCAATGGAAACCTGTCATTTCCAAGACGAAGTCAGCGCGGAACCTGTTTCTCAGGACAATATCGATGCGTTGTTCAGCGATGATCTTGCTAGTTTCATGCAGCAAACTGCCGTAGACACAAACAGGGCAATTGAGCAGGAACGTATAGAGCCAACAGCAACAATCGCTCGAGTCTCGGTGCCCGTGATGGACTTCAATCTACCTGAACTTACGTGGGATCAGAATGACAACGATTCTCAAAGCCATTTTCGATTTATCCACGCGGAGTGCGACAGTATAAGTGTGCCAGAATGGCACAGAAATCCTCTAGAGGACCGGCAGATGTGGTGGAATCCTTTCCCTTCAAAGCTTGGACACATCTCGCTTACAGAGGCTATCGACTATGACAACGAGCCTCAATTGTCTCTCCATTATCCCGAGCCCCAAAGTGTCCCAACCAGTGAGTGTTACGTATGGAAGAAGCCAGGCTTGTCGATTCTAGAAGGTACTGATGATGAGGAGCTGGAGACATGCCAAATCCACATCGACTCAAACCATGTCATTCACTCACTTGTGAGGAAACGCAAGCTCGACATGCTTGAAACCGTTTCAGACGATCCACAACTATCTTCGCCTTTATCACCTGTAGATCTCGTCGAGACTACTAAGACTAGGCCAATCATAGACAACTCGAAGCCTTTATTGGTAGGAGTCGACGACCCTCAAGTGTCGTCTACCCTGCTTTCAAATTTTGTGGGGCTTCGTAATTATAGGAAACGAAAGAATGAGACAAGTTCCTTCTTTTCAAGTAATAGCGCCACACGGAGGTTCGAGCAGCCTGGGCATGTAGCAAACGCGCCATCGAGACCAAAAGACCCTAGGGAGAAGCAAAACCCTTCTGTATCGCCTCTAGAAACCGCGAAGAGTGCCCCTTTACCAGTTCTCAAATACGGAAAACAATATGCGACCATCATCACAGCACTGAATCTTGACCGCGGTGTCGTCGACCAGATTGAGAAATTATTACCTGGTCTGAGTATGGTCGAGCGAGATTTTGAACGGTGGAATATGGTTGGTTGGGATCGCAACTCTGTCTTAAGATCGCCCATCGTCTCGCCTCTCGCTGCAGAAGCAGACATCATAGTTTCGCCGTCGACTGGCATCTTGACCACAACCTTGATCCAAGCCATCCAACAGCCACTTCCGGGGCACAAGGGCAAAGCAGCGATCCGACATAGGATTGAGAAAATCTCTCTGCGATATGAGCGGTTGATCGTACTGGTGTCCGAGGCAAACCGATTAGACGAATCAGCACGGGTGATGAACGCAGCAGAGCAGGCAGCATTCTCCGAGTTGTCAGGATTTGTTGCTGGTTTGAATACCGAAACGCAGCTCTACTACGTTGGCGGGGGTAAGGATACACTGTCACAGTGGCTTGCCCACTTTATCGTCAAGTACTACACCGAAGAGAGCAAAGTCAATGGCGCCGTCATGGCAGATGAAACAACGGCTGAAATGCTATTGCGTCGCGCTGGTCTGAACGCTTTTGCTGCACAGATCATACTAGCAACTTTGAAAGCCCAACATTCGCATGACAATGGGAATGGCCAGTACTCCGGGATTGCGAGTTTCATAAACATGCCACAGGATGAAAGAATACGAACATTCGGGCAGCAATTAGGTGGTAGCAATGTTATTCGAAGAGTAGGAGCTGTACTCGATGCAATTTGGGAACTACAATAATGACCTGTTAGAATCTGTATGCGAGAGCTGTGTGATGGGCTACGTCTTCTATATGGATGACAGTCGGAGAGGCTCAGGGAAAATAAGGGAAAGTAAGGGAAACCCAGATGTTTGCTGAGTCTAAGACATCATATATGGGTAGCTTCATTCAGAATCAGCACCGATTATTGCTAAAGGAATACAATTGCACAAAAGCAGTTTGAATGAGCCATTAATGCATATCGAAACTGTACTTTGTGAGTTTCACTACAATTTAAAAAGACAGCAGCATAAGCTTGAATGTTGGGATCCCACTCAGACTGTGCTATGTCGATCGTGAGAATAGTCAAGCTGCGTGAAAGCTCTCGAAACATGACATCGTGTCTCATTGGTCCATGATTGTATCTTATCACGCTAATGAAATCAATGCAAGATCGCTATAAGCATAGCTGCCATGAACAACATCGCAACGTGATGCTTCCAGCCTGGCCGAGCATTCGATGATGCGGCTGAGCTTCCGGTGTCTGCGGTAGGCGAAGTATCCGAGGGACTTGGTGAACCACTGCCCCCTTCACCTCTGCCAGAAGTGTCTGGCGCGCCCGTGTTTGAACTCTGCTGATCAGACTCGGTCGTCGTTGTCACCGCAGTCGAGGGTGTGGGCCCGCCGGTCCCGTCGGGATAGTAGTAAGTCAGCCAAGTCGAGCACGACTCGTAGCACGTGTGCGTGCCCATGAAGACGGTGTAGCCAGCCTGCGCCATTCTCGCGTACAGCGTCCCGTGCTCGTAGTCCCACGTCGCGGTCGTGGGGAATTCCGCACCGCCTTCCTGGCGCTTGTCCCAGGCCATGTTGTTCGACGTTGTCCGCATCGACAGCTCCTTGCCGGAGAGCGCCTTGACGGAAGTCGCGTAGCAGCCGGGCATGGGATACACGAAAACCCCGTACGCCCTGCCGTCGCGCGTCGTGGTTATCGTCCGACCGGCATCCGATGGGGCTGTGACAAAACCATACTCCCTGGTCCGCATATTAGTAGGTCGAAGCATGCGCTCTATTTAAGTACGGAGAAGGACTTACGTAGGACAGCACGTGGTCGAGTAGTATGATATGTCGAAGTATCCGACGTTATGCCTGTACGAATTATATCCCGGACCGGAATTGGTGACAACTCCAGTGTAGCCGGCGGGACACCCTCCATAATACGAGCCGTCAGTCTGGGGCGCCGGATATCCCGGCAGGTAGCACGAATCAGACGACCATGCGGGCGCTCCAAAGTTGGTTATAGTGCACTGCAGCCAATCCGGAGTAGATGCGGGCCCGTATACCTGGGGCGATGTTATGTAGCAACTCGTCGTCACAACCCACAGATTGCCGGGATCCAGGCACCCAGCTGGTGCAGTAAACTGCACAGTAGGCGTCGGTGTGATAGTACTGGGGAAGGTCGGAGAGGGTTCATAGCTAAGCGGGCAGTTGTTGCCCCAGCATGTTGATTGCGTCGGTGTTGAATATACCATTCCCCTGATCGTCACCGCCTCGGCGAAGAGAACCCCATCCTCTGCCCAGTCCGTGGTGGCAACGGTAATCTCTGGCTCTGTCGCAACCGTGACGGTCACGACCTGCGATCGAAGAACCTCGACTGAAGTTGCTTTACACCCTGGCTGGTCGCGCAATGTCACAGAGATCTTTTCATCGTTGAATTGCGTAGTGATAGCATCGAAGTCCCATTCGTAAGAGTATGCTCTTTGACAGTAGTGGTTAGCGCATATTCATATGCGTTGGGATGGACTAGCAACTCACTCTGGGCAGCAATAGGACCACACTTCGTTGTAAAATTGACTACGGTATGTCTGGACGGAGGCAACCGTATAGCTCTCTGGGCAATCACTGTATGCGACTGTAGATGGATAGGTTGCGAAGCAATTCTCGTCTGTCGCCGAAGTCTTCCGCCTCTCGCCCTGTAAAGTGTACGTACATGGGCCTTCTTGCGACTTCGAGTATGGCAAGGTGATGCAAGTCGCAGTCGAAAGCCAGATGTTGGACGAGGCCACGCATGTTGGATTAGGACTAAACACTGTTGTTACTATTCCGCCTGCCATTTTCCGAGGCGCGGGTCCTGATGTGCTCACAGCTATCGATATGACTTCCGGGCTCAATAATTGCAGAGAGGGTTGTTTATGTGCTCCTGTTTGCCCATGTGCCAAGCCATGCTTCGATCCTTCAGTCATTGTCAACCTGTAGTTACCCTGTAGTAGTGGAGCCGTGTGAGCCGTTAAGTCTTGGCTCGCCCAACATCTCGGCTATCGTGCCGTGAGAAGAGAAAAGCATTTGACATCAATGTGTCGCACGCCGCCGATGCCTCATGCCTTAGAACCAACGATTTGGCGGTGAAACGGACACCAACGTGCCTTGTGAGCCTTGAGAATCGAGGCCATGCAACCCGAGAACTATGGCTCTGACATACTATGCGTTGGCATTGTCAAAGGTTCTTCAGATGAAGGACCGAGATAATTGACTATTGAGGTTGATTCCTACGTTGAATACCTCGAATGCCCTTTCGTAGCAAAATTTCGTGCAATACGCACCCCCATTCTGATAACAGTATATACTACCAATTACCGATGATGAAGATTGAAGCTTGGGTGCCTAATGGTCTTCCGAAACGGCCCATCCTAACTCGCGCAATGGCTTGAGTAAATGACTTCTCTTACTGGCCCAGTCGATTGGGTACGCGGCAAGTGAGAGACCCGGGGTAAGGTTTACTTGGGCGTCGATCAAGTCAAGCCAGCACCCCAACCTGCATATGTCCGATCTTTACTAGATCAAAAGAGGGCAGGGGTTACCGTCAACCGGCATCTCAAGCTCGGGAACCTACCCACCAGTTCGTGCCGAAAAGTCCTGGGACGATCCCATTCACACAAATTATGCTTAAATGATTCCCCATTCGAAGCTTGTCGGCGTTGCAAGCATGGTCTGGCTGCGGAGCCATGGCCGAAAGGGGTCATACGAGCGGGTAGTGGGTCTTCTTGCCCTTTCACATGCTCAAAGTCATACCGAGGGAGATCTGGTGTGGTAATTTTTTTTCTCTAATAAAAGCCATGCACTCATCTGAGACTTCATTGAATTTTCTTTGGGACGTACAATCTGAATTGCGGCAGCGCCACCCTATGTAATGGTAATGGCAGCTTGCCGTCAGTTCTAGAAGTGACTATCTCACTTGTCTCATTTGCCCGTAAACTATCTTCAGTCCTAACTCTAATGAACCAGCTCCCACCGCCCTCTATTTATCAAAATCTTGCTAGAAATGCATCAGACACCCGAAGCGGAACCAGGATAGAATCCACGCTGGAAGACACCCTTGTTGAACATTATTATATACAGGAAACATGCATTGGCGGTGTTTAGAACCTCGACACAGCGATGGCGATCGACTGCGCCTCTGAGTGTGAGATGGATACACTGATCTCCTTGACACCAGCCTGCTTTGCGGCATCGGCAGCGTCACCGTGAAGCTAGATGTCGTTAGCAAAGAGTGATATGCTAGAAAGGACGGCTTGGTTTCTTACTGTTACAATTGGGGCACCGTGCTCATCAGGAAGGACCTCGATGTCCTTCAGCGCAGCACCTCCGCCTCTGCTCTTAACACCGAGACTCTTGAAGACGGCTTCCTTCGCACTCCAGCGACCAGCAAACGAGCTCTGAGGGCTGGGCATCTTACGACAGTATGTGATCTCACGCTCGGTAAAGTTGCGCTCGACGAAATTGTCGTTTTCGATGTTGATGGCGGCAATGTCCTCCACGTCGACGCCGACCTTGTGGTTCTTGGTGGTCTCCAGACTGCGTGCGAGAGCCTCGATTGTCTCCTTGGTGCTCTTGGCCTTAGCTGCTTGAGAGGCAGCAGCCCGCTTGGCGAAATCGGCAGGGTAAGTGAGACCAGCTGACTTCTTGTCCTCACATACACGGGCTTCCGGGTTCAGCAAGACTGAGCTCAGCTGCTCGTCGGTGTAAGGCGAGCTGGGCTTGGCCTGGAACAAGGCGTTGTTGATCAGACCGTTATGGAAGTAGCGGTACGACTTCTTCTGGCGGGAAGCGACCTTCGCGGCGTATGCGTTGAAGGTATCCTCATCAAGGGTGGCGTACAGGTACTTCGGGTGAATACCAATAGCTTGAGCGCCCTTCTGTCCGAAACCGAACGAGGTGACAGAGAAAGCCTTGACACCATCGGTTTGGATGCTGCGGCTGGGGTAGACGATGAGGTCGAATTGCTCCATGATCGAGTCGACGTTGTCTGCATTCCGGTTGCCTGGGACCAAACCGGTGTTGAGGACTTGCAGGCAGCCGTTCAACATCCAGGCACCAGCAGCACCCTTGGGGTGGCCAGTGAGGTATTTCTGGAAGATACCCAGAACGGCATTACCCTTCGTGCGGCCGAGGTGACGCAGTTGCTGGCAGATGACGGATGATTCGTTCTTGTCGTTGGCCTTCGTGGATGTACCGTGGAATGAGGCAACGCCAAGGTCGTCAATGGTGAGGCCCCATGTGGCCAAGGCACCACGCAGAGGGGCGATCGAGGTGTCTTGCTTCCAGAAGTTGTTGCCGAAGCTTCGGAGAGCCTCCTTCTCTTGACGTTCGGCTTCCTTCTCGACGTGGGCCACACGGTCCTGGGTGTATTCCTTCTCGTCGAAGCCTTGGCCCTGGGCCTTCATGGCGTTAATCTCCTCATACAGGTACTCCAACTCGGATTCCTTCCAGTTCCTGATCTGCTTCTTGCGAAGCTCAATCTGGCGGCGGCGGTACTTCATGTCGAGGAGCGGCGAGGGGAACTTGCTAGGGGTCTCACGAGCAGTGGTCAAGACACCCTGGCCAGGTGCAGGGACCGAGCGGCCGATCTTGTCACTGGCCGTGGTAGTGAGGGCCAGGATACCGTAGATGGGAACACCCATGTCAAGGGCAAGCTTGGCTGTCATGATGATCTGGATACCAGAACCCTGGGACTCCATGAAACCGTTACGAGTGGTGGTGGTGGGTCGCGACATCTCCTTGGGTGTGCGACCGTGGGCAAACTCGTCAACTGCGTTGCTAGTGGCCTTCATGTTGGCGAACTCGTAAGAGCCTTCCTCTCCGAAGTCATCAAAACCTCCGACAAGGCAGACACGGGCCTTGCCCTCCATGATGGTCTCGTAACCGATATCAACCGACTCAACAGCTGTGGCGCAAGCACCGACTGGCGTCTTGATGGGGCCAGAAGAGGAGAGGAGCAGCATGTTCACCCAAGCAGCCATGGTGTTGATGAAAGACTCTTGAAGGATATCGTTCTGAACCGGCTTGTCCAAGAATCGATCACGGTGCATGCCACGGAGAGCACCTGCACCACCCATACCGGAACCGATACAGTTACCGACCTCCGAGACGTGAACGTACTTGTAAAACTCGTAAGGGTCGGTGATACCAGAAGAAAGGAGGGCTTCAGCAACAGACACCAACACGAACAGGGTGACCGGATCAACCTGGGAAATGATATCCTCAGGAACACCGTATTTCTTGGCACCCCAACCGGTAGGAATCTGACCCGCAACGAGACGGTCAAATCTGAGGGCCTTGGGGATCCAGAGCGATGCACCCTTCCTCATGCGCACGGTGTATTCGCCACTGTCAGGGATCTCGAAGATCTCAGCCTTGTCACCATGCTCACGCTTGAATTCCTCGGCAGTCTCCTTGGAGGTCTCGAAAGGCTCGAGGTCTTCCTCGATGACAACCTCGTGTAGCAGTTGCTTGTTGTTGGGATCGTACCCATCGAACAACTCGGGCTCAATCAGGCGAATACCAGAGTGTTCAAGAATGTGCTTCTCATACTTAGCCTTGATGTCCTTGTCGTCGACAGGCTCGCCAGACTTGGCATCGACCCAGCCGGAGTAGGGCTGTCCCTTAATGGGTCCGTTGTGGTTCTTGATAAGGCCCATGATCCAGGCCATCTCAACGCAGCCTTCCAGCGAGAATTCACCGTGCGCCTCCATCTCCCAACGGGTTCGAGAGTTACCCCATGGGCCAACCTCGGCGAAACCAGTGATAACAACCACCTTCTCGAGGTCTACCATGCCCTTCAAGTTGTCGTTAAGAGGCTCAATTTCTTGTTTCCAGCTGGGGAGAGTGGGGAAATCGAACTTGATGTTTGCACGGGGTTCGATCAGCTTCCTCTTGTACAGAGACTCAGTTTCCTCGCCGTTGACGACCTTGTTCTCGATCGCAGTCTCCTTGGTCACAGCACGACGAACCTCACTGGTGTTGGTGATGTTCGCACGTTCCTTGCCCATCAACTTGTTGAGCTTCTTGATGAACTGAAGACCACCGTTGAGATCAGCAAAGACGGGCTGGCTCTGGCAAAGATCGACGATGTCCGGCGACATAAGTCCAAGCAAGTTGAAAGCCATCTCCTGCTGGGAGAAGGTGCGAGCACCTTCTTGCTCAACGCTCTCGGCGACGATGTTGTTTCCAGACATGAGGCCAGTACCACGAGTCCATCCGATGACGGCACCGCAAATGGTGAGGTAGTTGCCCCAGTCCTCCGATCGCCAGCGGTTGAAGAGGGTCTCAAGACCAAGCTTAGACTCTGAGTATAGACCGTCGCTACCGAAAGTACCATGGTTTGGTGAAAGGGGTAGTACGACCTGGGCGGGACGAGTCTCGAAGCCACGCTCGAACTTCTGAGTCTTCACGCAGCCGAGAAGACGGAGCAGGTTGGTCAACATGATACGATGGGCCAGCTCCGACTTGGAGTCAATGCCGTCGATCTGGCGACCTTGCTCAGAAATGGCGGCGAAGGGGACAATATAGTCGAGATCCCAGCCGAGACCCTTCTTGGCATCGTAGATGTAGTCGACGAGAGCCTCGACATCCTGCTTGCTACCTTGGTTGAAAGGAACAACCACAAGCTGGGACCCACGGGCGCCGTACTTGGCATACATTGCCTGGTAGTACTCGGTGACCTCACGAGAGAAACGGCTGGTCGTAACCAAGACCTTGGCACCACCGCTGATCAGGCCCTGGAGGACCTCGGCTCCGATCGAGCCAGCGCCAGCACCAGTCATCAGTACGTACTTGCCCTCGTAGGTGATACCATCTCTAGCAGCCTCCTCCAAACAGTCAAGGTAGACCTTGGAGAGCTTCTTGTCGTAAGCCCAACCGGTAAGTTCATCGTAGCTCTTCAGGTGCAAGAATGGCATGGCCTCGGTCTTTCCTTGCTTGGCTGGTACAGAACCCGACTTCAAGGCACTCTTCTTGACCAACCCGGACTTGCCGTTCTCCTTGGGAAGAATCGAGTTCTCATTCATAGCCAAGGACTGGCGGACGCCCTGGGAGATGTTCTTGAGCTCAGCCTGAGCAGTCTTGGGCATGGTTTGTTGAGCCCGGATCAGCTTCACGAGGCGGGCAAGATCGTTGTTCACCTTGGTACGGTTACCATACTCAGTGATCTTACCACCCTCGGCCATTTGCTTGACATAGTGCTCAAGCTTACGGCAGCTCTGTCTGGGAGCTTCCTCGTACTTGATGTTGCCCTGGTTGTCGACGGTAGTGTGAGGGCCAGTGGGCACGGCGACGTCCTTGTAGGCTGGTGCGACGTTGAGAACTTCTTTGCAGTTCTCGATCAACTGCATACCAAGCTCCTTTGCCAACTTGTATGTCTCACCCCGCTCGGTCGGGCAGTTGTCAATGTGGTACTGCATGAATTCCAGGAGCAGAGGGTTCGACTTGGTCATGATTCGAATACATTGGCTGACAATCTCACGATCGACGACCTGGAGTCTTCCGAAAATGACATCGTAGTACATACTGAGCGCGTCTTGTCGTGCCCAATTCCAGGACGAGTCGTATGTTCGGGCCTTCAGTGGGCTGAAAACAGGTTCAATGCCAGAGGCATAGAAGTCGCCGTGCTCGGCTGCCCAGAGGTCCAGTTGGGCTTGGAGGATGTTTTGTGACTTCTGAGAAGCTTGGGCGGCCTTGTCACCAGCACGAAGATCCATCTTGAGATATCTGGCGAGCAGCTCCAGTTGCTGCTTGAACAGTGCACGTTGGTCCTTGGTCAGAGCATCAATGGCAGCAGGGTCCATCATCATACCACCACCGCCACCAGCAGCTGGGCCAGCGGCTGCAGCAGTGGACAAGCTGATACCGGCGTTGGTGGCATACTTCTGGGAAACGTCATCAAGGAAGGCCTTGGCGTCGTTCTCAGCTCCCAGTCTGGCAGGTGGTTCCATGGTAATGGCCAGCAGAAGTGCTCCATCCTGGCGGCCAGGACCAAGACCCCACCTCGTCTCGAGGTATTTGCGGGCTGCTGTGATGTTGAAGCCACCAGGCATCTTTGAAGACACCAAACGCGCAATCAAGGCCTGTGACTGCTTTCCGAGCTGGCCGTTGAATGTGGCTTGCATGACAGCACCAAGCTCGTCAAGTGGCGTGTCCTCGGGCTTCTCAGGAGTTGAGCCGAACTCTTTTCCTAGGTCACCGAGAATCTCATTCTGGAGAGTAGATTTGCCTATTTGATAGTTTAGCTCCCAGGATCGAGTTTTGTAGCCGACTGCAGGTCTACTCACCTCCGACCAAATCTTTGATGGCTTTGCTGAGGGGGATTTCCAGGAAAGGCTTCTTCAGCTTCTGTGCAATCAACGCCCTCACGATGTCCATAGCTTGAACTGGCGCATCTGGTACTGCTGCAGCGGGTCCAGCACTGGGCGCCGCGGGAGCAGCAGCAGCAGCAGGCGCGGCAGCAGCGGCGGGAGCTGAGCTCGAGCTCTCAGCGGGTGCAGCTGCAGGCTCTGGCTCTTCTTCGACTGGATCTACATCGTAGTAGATCTCTTTTGCGTCCTTGTTGTAGCAAAGAATCTGGCGCTGTACGGATTTTGCGGCGTCGTAAGCTTCGTACTTGGAGGCCAGGGTGCGCTTTGCCATCACACCCAGTGTGTCTGCGGGACCGATTTCCACGATCCGCTCGGCCGTCTTCTCGGCGAGGAAGACATCTTGTGTTTCAATCCATCTCACGGGGGAGGCGAACTGGTATGCGAGCAGCTCCACGAGGAGAGTGTGGGCAAGCTCTTGCTCGACTTCAGGACGCATGGTGGGCGTACGATCGAGGCAGTGATTGTGGAGGGTGGAGGAAAAGGGCGAGGATTTCGTACGGGAGAGCGAATGCTCTTTGTGAATCGCTCCACGGGGGTATCTTCTCTAGTGGGACAAAAACGACTGGGCGACAGATCTCGTGGAGGTCGAAATGATGTCTCGTCGTGACCGCCGTGAACGAAGAAAAAAAATTCTATAGGCGGAAGGATTAGCCCAGAGCTCAATGGCCAGCTTACGCCCGAGCAATCGGTGGTAGGTAGGTAGCAAGGGGAAGTGGTATGGGGAGAGGACAGGGACGGAACGGGTGGAAGGGCAGAGCGGTAGGACTGGGTAGGGGGGGAGTCTCTTGTATCTTGCATCTTGCTACTCACATTACAGACAGAGCGATGCCTTCCCCAGAGCACCTCACTGTTGACAGATGGATCAAAGGCAGACCTCAGGAAGGTTTGGCTTGAGATGAATGCAGCTTCCACGGAGTTGGACCTTGGACCTGGGATTCGACGCAGCTATGGAAGATTTTCAGTTCCCAAATGTTGAACCGCAAGAAAATTGGCCGGCTCGAGGCTCGTTAACACTCGCTGCTTGTCTCGCACCCACCCAGGCCATCATGCAGGTTCTTGCAGCCACCCTAGCCCGGGTCTTGCAGGCCACCAGGCCGCCCAGGCGCGCTCTAGCCTGTCAGGGACGCTGGCAGGCCCCAAGCATGCCCTGCGCGCCATGGGGCCATGCTGCCACTCCCTGCCAATCCCCCCCACCATGAGCCACCGTGGGCCACCATGGGTGGCACCGGCTCTCGACGTCGTGCGAGAAACTCCTCAACCATATTCGCGGCCTAGGCCGCTTGCGGCATGGCGCCCTCGAGGACCCCTTCCCCACACAATCTCATCTCACGCGTGGAATCCGCCTCGACGCGGCCTCATGCCAGTTGGGATGGATCAGCCTCGGGGCCTCGCTCGTAAAAGCGTTCCCAGGCCCGCCGTCCAGAGGCTGAAGGATTTCTAGGTTGTGTCCTGCAGGTGGCGGCGAGAGCTTCATAACCTTTCTCGCCATTGACTTTGCCAACTTGTGAGACAATGCTCGGCGGCACTTATCTTATCAGCCGCCGTGGTTGCTATGGACATACATACAAACAGACCAGCCTGATTGCGTCACGGCTGCAGCTGCTCGTCTGTGTTCTGCCCCCAAGCCGACCGGCGCACGGATGTCTAAAATAATCTGCCCGAAGCTGTTTCTGTGCAGAAGCTGCCCCATCCCCCAATTTCTTGGGCCAACCCTGCGGGTCCCTTCCGCTGACCCGTTAGTGGGTAGGTAGGCTGAAGTACCGTTACTTGAGCTGGGTGCTGGATTCCAGCGAGCAATGGAAAAATGCCTCTCGCGGCTGCGTTGCGTTGCGGTGTGTGTGTGTGTGTGTGTGTGTGCCTCCTGGCGCGACAACTTCCCGACCCCATGAGCGCCACAGACATTCTGCATTCTGTCACTCGAGGCTGACGACGGTTCGATATCGATTAAGTTCCAAGGAGTGTTCGTCTCGAGACAGTAGGTGCTGTGGCAAGCTTTGACAGTGCACACGGTTGGCCTCCAGGTCTCAGATGGCAGGAGGATCCTCACTCCACGCTTGTCCGGCCCTGCGGTTTCTTGCCAATGCAAAGACATCATCAGGCATGATGGCTCTGCTTAGGGTAAAAATATATGCTGCGAATGTGCATCGGGCATCGCGATGAAGCCGCTCACTGCTCGGGAGGAACTTCATCGTTTACAACGAGAAGTGCAGACAAGAAGCATGGGGTCTTGGCGCAATAGATATCGCGACCTTTTCTCACAGAGTCGCAGAAGGCGTATGATGACACGGGCAAGATGGCTCACTTCATATGACATACTTTTTTTTTTCAATCAGATGTCGGTGTTTATGTTGCATACTCGACGGATACTCACCACGGGCATAGTGACCACTGCATTGCACGTTGTGGCAATGCTCTCTGGCCTGGTCCGCAAGGTTGAGGGAGCGTATCCGCACGTCTTATCAAGCCCCTGACTTGCTCTGGGTCCCAGGTGTAGGAAGATACAGAGAAGTGCCGCTTCTCAGGGTCTTCGCCAGATGCGCTAGAAATTTCCGAGCCCAGATCCAATGGAATATGGATTAAAGAGCAATACCCAACGTCAAGACGGTTCAAGGCTGCACCTACGTATTCGACACGCGTGGTAAGCAGCACTCTCCTCTGGAATAGTCTGGTGGTCGTCTGGAAGCATGGCTCAAGATATGTCGCCCAGACGCCGGGGAGAGTTGGAGCTAAAAGACGTTATCGCTTTGTATGATCCCATTTATGGCTCGGCCGGGCATTGATAGACCAACCAAGTTGTCGCCGTTTCTGCTTTCGCCGTGCGTTTCGCGGCGGCCAGGCAGGCATTACTCGCGGAATCACTCGCTCGCCGCCCAAGAGGCCGCAGCGTGGGGTGGGAAGAGAGTACCTGTACTTGCAGCGGATAACCCCTGTCGTGGATCGCGCGTTGGTGCATGCAGAGAAATCCCCCAACAAGACGACTAAAAATTTTGGCGAGCTAGCTAGCTCCTGCTTGCCTGCAGGCACTGGATGCGTTTGCCCGGGTAAAAGTCACGTTGAGGAACGCAAGCGCAGTGCGAGAGCTCCTGCCAATTTGCTGCGCAACTCAGACGTCTGACTTAGGGGTCCTGAAGTGCAGTTTTTACATCCCGTCGAACCCCCTTCCAGACGCTTCCGATTCCTCCTCTTGCCCATTTTCCTGCCCTCTCTCCAGTTCTCTCTCTCCGTGCAAGCCGTGCAAGCGCAGCCGCCTTGCCCACACACATCTACACGCACACTCACACACACACTCACACACATCAGCCTCCAGCTCTTCGCTGAGTCTACGGAGACATCACCGTCATGTACGGCACGGGAACTGGCCCGCAGACGGGCGTCTCTACCCCTAGAACCTCCTCCTCCCTCCGGCCGCTCACCCTCTCCCATGGATCGCTAGAGACCTCGTTTCTGGTGCCCACGGGCCTCCACTACCACGCCTCCGAGCTCAAGGGCCGTTTCACAGCTGGTCTGCCAGCAGCTACAGACGAATTAGCCCAGGATGACGAACCCTCGTCGATACCTGAGCTGGTTGCAAGATACATGGGCTTTGTGGCCCACGAAGTCGAAGAGGGCGAGGACGACTCGCAGGGCTCATACGAAGAGGTGTTGAAGCTCGTCCTCAATGAGTTCGAGCGCATGTTCCTCCGGGGCAACGACGTCCACGCTGTGGCAAAGACCCTCCCCGGTATCATTGAGAAGCAGATTGTTGTAGTGCGTTGCTACTATGCAGCACGCTCAACAGCAAACCGCGCCATCAGACCACACGATTCGGCTTTATTCCGAGCCGCCGACGAGGGCAGCGCCAAGATTTTCAATATTTTCGGTGGACAAGGCAACATTGTCGAGTACTTTGACGAGCTCAGAGAGGTGTACGAGACTTACCCCTCGTTCGTGGGCGAACTCGTCGCCTCGTCCGCCGAGCTGCTTCAGACCTTGTCCCTGGACCCCCGAGCTGAGAAGCTCTACGCTAAGGGCCTAGATGTGATGACCTGGCTTCACAACGCAGATTCGACCCCGGATGCTGACTACTTGATCTCGTCTCCTGTCAGTCTGCCTCTTATCGGTTTGGTCCAGCTCTGCCACTACCAGGTCCTTGCCAAGGGACTTGGGCTTCACCCTGGCATCCTGCGGGACCGCCTCTCCGGCGCGACTGGTCACTCTCAAGGCATCGTCGTTGCTGCTGCCACAGCCGCTGCGAGCGATTGGGAGTCCTTTGAGAAGAGCGCCAAGGATGCCTTGACCATCTTGTTCTGGATTGGTGCCCGCAGTCAACAGGTGTTCCCAAGGACATCTCTGACCCCCAAGGTCCTGCAGGACTCGATTGACAATGGCGAGGGTGAGCCGACGCCTATGCTTAGCATCCGCGACCTGCCCCAGAGCGAGGTGCAGAAGCACATTGATGCTACCAACCAGTATCTTCCCGAAGACCGCCACATTTCGATTTCTCTGATAAACAGCCCCCGCAACATGGTTGTGACTGGCCCGCCAATCTCGCTGTACGGTCTCAACTTGCAGCTCCGAAAAGTCAAGGCACCGACCGGTCTCGATCAAACTCGTATCCCCCACACCGAGCGCAAGGTCCGCTTCGTCAACCGATTCCTGCCCATCACCGCGCCCTTCCACAGCCAGTACCTCACCGAGGCTACCAAGCTCATTGATGAGGATTTGAAGGACATCAAGATCGACGCCAAGTCTCTCGGCATTGCCGTATTTAACACATGTTCTGGAAAGGACCTTAGAGACGAGGTTAAGGGCGACATCGTGCCGTCTTTGATCCGCATGATTACCAGAGACCCCGTCAACTGGGAGAAGGCAACCATTTTCTCTCAAGCGACACACATCCTGGACTTCGGCCCGGGCGGTATCTCCGGTCTAGGTATCCTAACTAGCCGTAACAAGGAGGGTACCGGTGTGCGCGTCATTTTGGCTGGCACGCTCAACGGAACCATTCAGGAGGTTGGTTACAAGCCTGAGCTTTTCGATCGTGATGAGGAGCATGCGATTGTATACGCCAATGACTGGGTCAAGGAGTACGGCCCCAGGCTCGTAAAAACCTCCAAGGGTGAGACCTACGTCGACACCAAGATGAGCAGGCTGCTAGGTATACCACCCGTCATGGTTGCCGGCATGACTCCTTGCACGGTCCCTTGGGACTTTGTAGCTGCGACCATGAATGCTGGCTACCACATTGAACTGGCTGGTGGCGGTTACTACAACGCCAAGACCATGACTGAAGCCTTGACCAAGATCGAGAAGGCAATTCCCGCTGGACGCGGTATCACCGTCAACCTGATCTATGTCAACCCTCGTGCAATGGGATGGCAAATTCCCTTGATTGGCAGACTTCGTGCCGAGGGTATCCCAATCGAGGGCCTGGCAATTGGCGCTGGTGTCCCCTCTCTGGAGGTTGCCCAAGAGTACATCGACACTCTCGGTTTGAAGCACATTGCATTCAAGCCCGGTTCCATGGAAGCTATCCAAGCAGTTATCAACATTGCCAAAGCAAACCCAACCTTCCCTATCATTCTGCAGTGGACCGGTGGACGAGGCGGCGGTCATCACTCGTTCGAGGATTTCCACCAGCCTATCCTCCAGATGTACGGCCGTATCCGTCGATACGACAACATTATCTTGGTTGCCGGAAGTGGTTTTGGCAGCTCTGAGGACACATACCCATACCTCACTGGTGAGTGGTCGAAAGACTACGGTTACCCGCCCATGCCCTACGATGGCTGCTTGTTCGGTAGCCGCATGATGGTTGCCAAGGAGGCGCATACCAGCAAGAACGCCAAGCAAGCAATCGTGGATGCCGAAGGCTTGGAGGACAACCAATGGGAGAAGACGTACAAGGGAGCAGCCGGAGGTGTGATTACTGTCCGCTCGGAGATGGGCGAGCCAATCCACAAGCTGGCCACCAGAGGTGTCCTCTTCTGGGCTGAGATGGATCAGAAGATCTTCTCTCTACCCAAGGAGAAGCGTGTCGCAGAGCTCAAGAAGAACCGTGATTATATTATCAAGAAGCTCAACGACGACTTCCAGAAAGTCTGGTTCGGCCGAAACTCCGCTGGCGAGACTTGTGATCTTGAGGACATGACCTACGCCGAAGTCGTCCGAAGACTAGTGGAGCTCCTCTATGTCAAGCACCAGTCTCGATGGATCGACCCATCGTACATGAAGTTGACCGGTGATTTCATCCACCGTGTGGAGAGCCGTTTCACCACATCCGCCGATCAGCCTTCGATGCTCCAGAGCTACTCGGACCTTAAGGAGCCCTTTGCCGCTGTTGACAAGATCCTTGCTCGTTACCCAGAGGCTGAGTCGCAAATCATCAATGCTCAGGATGTCCAGCATTTCTTGATGCTCTGCCAACGACGTGGCCAGAAACCGACGACTTTCGTCCCCGCCCTTGATGACAACTTTGAATTCTTCTTCAAGAAAGACTCTCTGTGGCAGTCTGAGGACCTCGACGCCGTCATTGGCCAAGATGTCGGCAGAACTTGCATTCTTCAGGGTCCCATGGCCGCCAAGTACTCTACCAAGGTGGACGAGCCTATCAAGGACATCCTCGATGGCATCCACAAGGGTCACATTTCAAGCCTGCTGAAGGATGTCTACCAGGGCAAGCCAGAAACCATCCCTTCCATCGAGTATTTCGGTGGCAAGCTCGTTGACACCGAGATTCCTCTCGATATCGAGGGCCTAACTGTGTCATACGATGATCACAAGAACACGTACCGGCTGTCTTCATCGCCAGCGGTGGCGTTGCCATCCATTGATGCATGGCTGTCCTTGTTGGCCGGTCCGAACCGATCCTGGCGATATGCTCTCTTCATGTCAGAGGTTCTAGTCCAGGGCCAGAAGTACCAGACCAATCCGATGAGAAGAATCTTCGCACCTGTCCGTGGCCTTTTCGTTGAGATCCAGTACCCCAACGATCCTACCAAGACCTCGATCATTGTGAAAGAGCAGCCAAGACACAACCACTACGTCGACGTCATTGAGATCACTTTGGATGCCAAGAAGGAGATCGTCGTGAACATGATCAAAGACACTACGGCGCTTAACAAGCCTGTATCACTGCCGCTGCGTTTCACATACCACCCTGAGGCTGGATACGCACCGATCCGTGAGGTCATGGACGACCGCAACGATCGTATCAAGGAGTTTTACTGGCGAGCGTGGTTCGGCGATGAGAAGCTTGACCTTGATGCCCCTGTCACTGGTAAGTTCGACGGAGGCAGAGCTACCATCACCGCCGAAGATATCAACGACTTTGTCCATGCTGTCGGCAACACTGGGGAGGCTTTCGTCGACCGTCCCGGCAAGACTGTTTATGCGCCTATGGACTTCGCCATCGTAGTTGGATGGAAGGCTATCACCAAGCCTATCTTCCCTCGCAAGATTGATGGAGATCTTCTCAAGCTTGTCCATCTTTCCAACGGTTTCCGCATGATCCCTGGTGAAGAGCCACTGAAGAAGGGCGACCAAGTCGAGACAACTGCACAGATCAACGCCGTTATTAACCAGGATTCTGGCAAGATGGTTGAGGTCTGCGGTACTATTACCAGGGACGGCAAGCCCGTCATGGAGGTTACTTCCCAGTTTTTGTACCGGGGTGTCTACACCGACTTCGAAAACACCTTCCAGCGCAAGGTTGAGACCCCCATGCAGGTGCACCTTGCCACCGCTAAGGACGTCGCTGTTCTGAAGTCGAAGGAATGGTTCGTGCTTGAGGGCGATGAGGATCTTGTTGGTAAGACTTTGGTGTTCAGGCTCCAAAGTCTTATCAAGTTCAAGAACAAGAACGTCTTCAGCAGCGTCGAGACCAGAGGTCAAGTCTTGCTGGAGCGACCTACCAAGCAGATTGATCAGGTTGCCAGCGTTGAGTACGTGGCTGGCGATTCTCACGGCAACCCTGTGGTTGATTACCTTGAACGCCATGGATCCTCCATTGAGCAGCCTGTCATTTTTGAGAACCCTATCCCTCTCAGTGGCAAGACGCCTCTCCAGCTCAAGGCACCTGCCTCCAACGAGACTTATGCCAAGGTCTCAGGCGACTACAACCCCATCCACGTTTCTAGAGTGTTCTCTAGCTACGCCAACCTGCCTGGCACTATCACTCACGGCATGTACTCCAGTGCCGCCGTGCGAAGTCTCGTGGAGACCTGGGCCGCCGAAAACAATGTCGGTCGTGTCCGTAGCTTCCACGCTTCTCTGACTGGTATGGTCCTGCCCAATGATGACATCCAAGTCAAGCTCCAGCACACTGCCATGATCGGTGGTCGCAAGATCATCAAGGTTGAGGCCAGCAACAAGGAAACTGAGGAGAAGGTACTCCTTGGTGAGGCCGAAATTGAGCAGCCTGTCACAGCCTATGTCTTCACCGGCCAGGGTTCGCAGGAACAGGGTATGGGTATGGATCTGTACGACAGCAGTCCCGTCGCCAAGGAGGTGTGGGACAGAGCCGACAAGTACCTGCTTGACAACTATGGTATGCACCTCGCTATCTCCTACTTTTACTGTGATAATTGCTAACCTATTCAGGCTTTTCCATCACTGATATTGTGCGAAACAACCCCAAGGAGCTCACTGTTTACTTCGGTGGTCCTAAGGGCAAGGCTATTCGTCAAAAGTACATGGACATGAAGTTTGAGACGGTCGCCCAGGACGGATCTACTAAGTCCGAGAAGATCTTCAAGGGCATCACTGAGAAGACCACTTCGTATACCTACCGATCGCCTCAGGGTCTCCTGTCCGCAACTCAGTTCACCCAGCCCGCTCTGACCTTGATGGAGAAGGCCAGCTTCGAGGATATGCGGGCGAAGGGTCTCGTTCCCCGTGACAGCACTTTCGCTGGTCACTCGCTGGGAGAGTACTCTGCCCTGGCAGCCTTGGCCGACGTTATGCCTATCGAGTCTCTTGTCTCGGTCGTCTTCTACCGTGGTTTGACCATGCAAGTCGCTGTCGAGCGTGATGCTGATGGACGCTCGAACTACTCGATGTGCGCTGTCAACCCCAGCCGTATCTCCAAGACCTTCAATGAGGAGGCTCTGCGGTTCGTCGTGGGCAACATTGCTGAGGAAACCGGCTGGCTATTGGAGATTGTCAACTACAACATCGCCAACATGCAGTACGTGTGTGCCGGCGACCTTCGCGCACTTGACACCCTCACCAGCGTCACCAACTTCCTGAAGGCTCAGAAGGTCGATATTGTTCAATTGAAGAACGAGCTCAGCGCTGAGGACGTCAAGAAGCACCTGGTTGACATCATCAAGGGTTGTGCTCAGCAGACTGATGCTAAGCCCAAGCCTCTGGAGCTTCAGCGTGGCTTCGCAACGATCCCGCTGCGTGGCATTGACGTGCCCTTCCACTCGACCTTCTTGCGCTCTGGAGTCAAGCCCTTCCGAAGCTTCCTCAACACCCAGATCAAGCAGACCAGTATCGACCCTGCCAAGCTTATTGGAAAGTACATTCCGAACGTCACAGCCCGGCCATTCGAGCTTACCAAGGAGTACTTTGAGAACGTGTATGCTCTGACCAACTCGCCCAACATCAAGGCGATCCTTCAAAACTGGGAGTCGTACCAGGACGATGCCCAGCCCAATGGCGTTAATGGAGTCAACGGGCATGATGAGGTGCAGGTTAACGGCCAGCACTAGAGTGGGGGTAGACTAGATAAGATATCCATTTGTATGCTTGTAATGAGGCAGACAGTTCGTGTGTATAGTATTGCTTCGAGTCAAGGTTTATGGAGGTTTCTAGGACGAGTTATGCACGTAATTTCTATTTTAGTCACTTAGAGAAGCGAAGGTCAGGCGGAGATCATTCGCAAGAATTAGACATTTGATATCCCTCATAGAAGAAGTGTTCCTCAGCATGCAGTGCAGACATTGGTCGTAGCTATGACGAGATAATTTTCACTGGGCGCCGCATTCTCTTGTTTCAACCCGAATGTGCAAAGTCGATCGAGCGCCAAGACTTGTCATCACGGACGTGCAAGACACCAATAGACAGATGGCAACTCGGACGCGCTGAATTATGTGACTAGATGTGTCCGCCTGCCGGGTAGCTCAGATGTCTAGATGCCCAGATGCTGCGGGCTCCGGCGGCCACCGCTTCGCTGGTGCGGGTCTGCCGCCGCCCCAAGCCGCAAGCCGGGGCTCTTAGCTGCAGGTACACATGCGAGCGTGTCAATTGGACGTCCGCCCGCCACTCGCCCTGCTCCGAGATATTTAAACCGCAAACACGTTGCTGCTGTGCAACCCCCACGCATGTCTGAGATCTTGGATGATACGGTAACGTGAGAAGCGAGGCTTTTTTCTGGTGTATGAGATCGCTGTGGAACATTCTTTATAAGTGAGACCAGATCGGCTCCGCGAAGCTGGGCCAAAAAGCCCGAGGTGCGAAGCCAACTAAGGGGTTGAAGCTGCGACTCAGTACAGCGGAACTGGCGGCAGATAGTCGTAGCATTCCTTCTTCATCTGCGATTTAAACGTCTTTGAGCAACGGGCGCGTCTGCGGGCTCGTCCTTGAATCAAAGCGACGGTTGTGCCAGAAGGACGGCTCTACACTGGCTGAAGCGGTCTTGACGTTTGGCAAGCCCCTTTTTATCAGGTCCACGCCAGGTCTTCAGAAGCGGATCGCTGGAAAGACGACATAGCGCGGTCATGGCGCCACCAAAGAACGAGAGGAATCAGGTCTTCTTGGGCTCCTTCATTCACAGCAAGAAGCTGGACGAGCTGGAGTATCTACATAATACAGCCGTTTGTGTGGACAAGTCCGGCAAAATTGTTGCTGTTGAAGCAGAGCACGATGTTGAGAAAAACTTGGATACGCTGTACTCGAAGCTGGGCTGGGATGCGAGCAACGTCGACGTACACTCGACCAAGGAGGGACAGTTTTTCTTCCCCGGCTTCATAGGTGAGGAGCAGCCCCTGGATCGCGTCTTGCGGCCACAGCGCTGGAGATTGACCTTCGTCCGCATACAAGACATAATATATGAAAGTACACTCAAGAGCAGAATGGGCTGACAAGGCTTGGCAGACACACATATCCATGCGCCTCAGTACCCAAATGCCGGCATCTTTGGCAAGTCGACCCTGCTCGACTGGCTCAACACTTACACCTTCCCCATGGAGGCGTCGCTGAAGGACCTCACCAAGGCCCGCCGCGTCTATGGGCGCTGTGTGCGCAAGACGCTCTCCCACGGCACCACCACCGCCGCCTACTACGCCACCATCGACGTGCCGGCGACCAACCTGCTCGCGGACCTGTGCCTCGCCCTGGGCCAGCGCGCCTTCGTCGGCCGCGTCTGCATGGACAACCCGGACATGGCGCCGGCCGACTACGTCGACGAGAGCGCCGACGCCTCGCTGGCCCTGACGCGCGAGAGCATCGCCCACATCCGCGCCATCGACCCGGACTACGCCCTCGTCTCGCCCGTGCTGACGCCGCGCTTCGCGCCCAGCTGCACGCGCGACAGCCTGCGCCAGCTCGGCGCCCTGGCCGCCGAGACGGGCCTGCCAGTGCAGACGCACCTGAGCGAGAACGTGCGTGAAATAGAGCTGGTGGCGAGCCTGTTCCCCGAGGCCGACGGCTACGCGGCCGTGTACGACGGGTTCGGCCTGCTGACGCCGCGCACCATCCTGGCGCACGCGGTGCACCTGAGCGAGGCCGAGGCGGGCCTGCTGGCGCGCCGCGGCAGCAAGGTCAGCCACTGCCCCTGCTCCAACAGCGCCATCACCAGCGGCGAGGCGCGCGTGCGCTGGCTGCTGGACCGCGGCGTCGGCGTCGGGCTCGGCACCGACGTCTCGGGCGGCTACAGCCCCAGCGTCCTCGAGGCCGCCCGCCTCGCCCTGCTCGTCAGCCGCCACCTCGCCATGCCGCACCAGCAGCCCGGCGTGTCCGACGCCGACCGCGAGCGCGCCAAGCTCAGCGTCGAGGAGGTGCTGTACCTGGCGACGCGCGGGGGCGCCGAGGTCGTCGGGCTGGAGCGCCGCGTCGGCGCCTTCGAGGTGGGCATGGAGTTCGACGCCCAGCTGATCGGCCTGGGACTGGTCGAGGAGGAGTCGGCGGGCATCAAGGAGAATGAGGGGCTGGAAGACGGCGGCGAGGATGATGGCAACGTGGACGTCTTCGGCTGGGAGACGTGGGAGGAGAAGGTCGCCAAGTGGGTGTTTAACGGGGACGACCGGAATACGAAGCGCGTCTGGGTCAAGGGACGGCTGGTGCATACGCGGGTTTGATTTACCGAGACGAGAAGTTGAGATGGCTCTGAGGATAGAAGGGAGACCACGCGGAAGATCCACTTGTTATACCGGTAGACCTTAACGGACGCCTGTCCTAGACGCATCCTAGACTTAGAATGAGGAGGCCTTAAGCCAGATGAACCAAACCCTTTCGGAACAGAAGTGACTGGCACGTGCAGTGATACCGAGTAAACTGAAGCTGGCATTCACCTGTTTGTGTTCATTGGTCTCTTTATTGATCTCACAGCCCATGGTCTTATTAACAGGACTGTGGTTGGGTATAATTACACCCGGGACCCTGCTTGATCCGTTCTCTAGCACTGTGCAATGGTATCAATCGTAACCTAGCAAAGCAAACTCCGTGCTTTAAGCACATCTTGCCAACCCCTTAACTCCTGTGGAAATCTCCACCCCTTGAGATGACATAGATTTGGCCCTCAATTTCTGTATAAGTCCATTCACGAGTTGGTCAATGCGATGGTTCAACCACCTGAGTTTCGCCTCCAACCAGCGCGGAAGTCGCTCGAGAGCTCCATTTGTGCGAATTGAGGAGACTAATGGGAGCTGCCTGACCGGAGGATCTCGTAGAGGTCATCTCCCACACCATACCCATGATAGCCGGGGGCATTGGGCCGCTGGGTCTGGTTGTAGTCGGCATTGTTCGAAGATGGCTGCGCATTGCCGTAGCCAGTGTTCCGGGTATTGCTGCTGTAGCTCGCGTTGTTGGAACTAGTATCGGCCGAGAAGCCGTACCAGGCTTGGTTCTGTTGCGGATTTGTGCCCTGCTGCCCTGGGAATGAGTTGTATGAATGAGACGGCTGGTGCTGTTGGTGCGATTGATGAGACTGGTTGTAACTTGGAGTTGGTGTTGCAGTCTGGCGCTGGGCAGAGCGGGTGCCATACGAATGAGATGGCGAAGTCTGGTTGTTTGTCGGCGCATTATAAGGAGTGGTAGACCTATTGGACGCAGTATGTGATTGGGTTTGTCGAGCCTGCGAAGATGTCCACTGAGCCGTATTGCTAGTACCGACATTGCTGAAGCTCGACGTATCATGGAGCGCTTGACTCAGGGGGTTTGTCGAGCTACTGCGTGAGTAGTCGTACGACGGCGCTGTGTATGCATCAGACGAACTTGCCGCCGGTTGCTGGTATGAATGGGGATCATAAGCAATCCGAGATGACTGACCACTTCCACTTTGCGAATACTGATCATTACCAGCCGTGTTATAACGGCCAAACGGATCGTACGGCGGGGCCGAAGACGCATTGTTTGGCGGATTCGTGGAAATGTTACGAGACGTCGGAATTTGGGGTGGAGGAACAGGCGTCTGGGTTACAGGGGCATGTGTTTGTGGTCTCTGTCCCTGCCTCGACTTGGCACGCGCATTTGCCGTGGAGGCCGGGTTCTGATGGGGTGACCTATTCACAGCCGGTGATTGAATAGGCTGTGGCACCGGAATATGTGTTTGCGACAAGACAGCAGCAGCCTGAACGCCATCAAACACAGGCGCAATAGATTCACTTCTCGATTTTCGAGATCTTGGTCGCTTGGCCGCCTGCTGCTGAGAGTAGGCTGGTGTGTTTGTGCCATTGGCCGGGGGGATCGCTGGTGAATTGGGCATATTACTCCAGGTCTGTGCTATCTGGGACTGAGCTGCACTGGATACACTAGGTCCCTGGGCCTGTGAACTTTGCGCACTGGGGAGGCTACGTCTGGTTTGATTCCTGGGTGTCGCCTGTCTTTTGGGCGGGCTCGCAACAGCAGGTGTGTTGGTATATGTGATATCAGGAGACGGCTGAGGTTGCTGGATGCCCTTAGAATAGGTTAAGCCAGGAGTTTGCTGCGGAGTAGTCGTGTGAGAAGGCGATGGTTGTGGAAATGTTACAGTAGAAGCCTCAGGTTGGTAATAAGTTGGTGCTGGCTGCTGATGAATCGAGTGATCCATGGGACCCGACAAGATGTTTGGGTCAGGTATGAATTCATCATTGTCAACATCCATCGTCGTTACTTGTGTGGCTTGGGGTGTACCCTGAGGAGCAGATTGAGCTTGATCACTTGGCACCGTCTCTTCCTCCTCCTGGATGTCTGATGGCTCCGCTTCAACAATTTCGGCCGACTTCTCGGATTTCCTGCGAGGCTTCGGGGGGAGATACACGCAGGCATCGCCAGCTTCGGCGCAAACTGAGCATTGCGGATGCTCCTTGGTACATTTGCGCTTATTCTGTCGGCATGTGTTACACGCTCCTCGAGTTTTCCTCTGTCTTGAGGCTGCCGCAGCTTGCGTGGCAGTGCCTGTCTCAAGCTCTAGTGACGCAGGCGCCGCTTGAACGACATCTTCCACACCAGACTGCGAGGCAGGGGTTTCCAGGTTGCTTTTTCGCGGCCTCCTCTTCTTCGAGGGGGTGTCTGTGGTCGGTGTGGATACCGCTGTTGCCGCCTCTCCAGCTTCGGCGGGGGTGTTTTGCTGCTGAGGGGTTGAGGAGGCTGATGGCTGGTCCTTCTCATCGGGGTGAACAATCCTTAGGCGTTCAGCTCCATATTTGGCCAGCATATCGAGCGATAGCTCCTGGAGATGCGGCGCTTGGTTGGCAAAAATGCTGAACTGGTCGACAGACAGCGTGACAGGGTCAATGTTCCTGCCACTCAGGAGGTTGATAGCGACCTCTCTTCGTCTCGCTGCTTCAACAGGCGGTATGTTGAGAATCGAAGTCGCATGGACGCCACTAGCTACGAGATCCGGGGCTGCAAGCTGCGCTGGGTCGTCCGCAGTCCCATCTTCGCCTTCCTTGCCCTTCTTCCTCTTCCGTTTCTTGCGAGCACTCTCCTCGCCTTCTGCTACCGGCGGTCGCTTTGCCTTGGTAGATCGGTTGGCATTGCCATTGTTGGGATTGGGCGCAGGAGGCGGTGGAAGGGTTGGGGCCAGACGGTCCATGAGATCCGAAACGGTCTTGTGCAACGGCGTGTGCTCATACTTGACCACGATTGCTCTGCTGTTCTTGGAGAAGGCAATGGTGAGCGTACCGCGGCAATCAAACGCCGGACGTGCTGGACATTCATGTCAATTTTGATATTGGCTGCGACCTAAGCTCTGGGGGCGAACCTACAGAGATTCACGGGATCCAGGCCATCATTGCCACTGGAAATTCCGATGGGCAGGCGAGCTGGGGTTTTGGTATTCTGGCGATTCCAAGCCTGTAATGAGTGCCGGCACAGATATGTGAATGTCCAACCCTGTGTCGCCCTGGAGACCTGCCGTACGTTCCAGGTGCTCTCATCAACCACTCCCACAGCGCCCGCTATGTGTTTTGCCACCGCCTTCTGCAGAGCTGGGTTGTCTTGCGGCTGGTCGAGCAGTGCCTCGGAGGCATTGACGGTCCGCGTCGCGAGTTCCTGCAAGGGCTCTAAGCCGTCGGGGCCGGCGCTCTCGCGCTCCTCCTGGATGTACAGGACCGCATTCTGGCGCAGTTCGAAGGTTGCAGAGATGTGCTCGGCACGAGTGTCGCCTCGCTTGGACGTGAAGGCGCTGTGCAGTTGGCGCTGCAGGTCGTCGATCGAGTTGCAGCCATTACCAGTCCTCGGCGCGTCGCCTCCCAGGCTGCCGAGGCCTAGCCCACCCAGAAACGCATCCATGGTCGGCAGCTTCAATCAAGCCCATGCGCCGCGACACCATGTCGCGTGGTGCCCTGCTGTCGCCGAGATCCAGGCGTCGTGCGTGGGCGAGACCGCGCGCACCGCGATGAGGAGGCAAATTGGTTGCGAACGCGCGCCTGATGGTCACCAGTGAGTGAAGCTTACCTTTGGGCCCTTGTCTGGTGGGTGGAACTTAGACAGGTAATTAGTTGGGACTGTTAATTCCAGGTTGCCTTAGGTAGGTCTAGCGCACTGCGGGGTTAGTTGCAGGGTGTGCACCTTAGTCACTCCAGGTGGGTGGTGTTCATTGATCCAAAGCAATATCAATTGTTGATTGGCCGCGTTGTGGCTCGCCTTGTAACTGTATAAAGATACCTACATAACGTGTGCGCCAAAATCAGACCCGACTCCCTTATGGTTAGTTTTCTACAGCTTCTTGAACCAAGGCTCTGCAGGTGTAATACTACCCATGCCGAATTTTCCTCGATTGCGTCGGTAATTGAGGCCATTTCCCCTCATTATCTCACCATCGTGGCAACAGCAACACCGGTTCATGACAGCATAAGTTTTCCGGAGTGACTCTCGCCCAGACAAATCCCGCACGGGTGTTTGACAGGGGTTACGAGATCCAAATATGCACTCGGTCACCTCACAGTTCTACTTTTCCACAGTAAGGCTCTTTGTGTTGAGTTCTAACGATCGCCTGATACGCCACTACGCTGTTGCACGGTCAATATGCGATCACGCCTGAAGACCTACGAAGAGATAAAAATAAACCAGGACAAGTACCATAAACATCTGCTCTATATTGATCATCCCTGACTAGTCAACTCTGCGCTGATGCCCCTTTCCTCTGCCCCGTCTTGAACTTGGCCACCATCCCGAGGATGATGCCCGTGTTCCCGATCCAGAGGCGCAGGGCCTCCTCCCTCGCGCGGCCCAGGCAGTGGACGACGGCCTCGAGGTCGGTCCCGCCGAAGGGGACGTCCGTCTTGGCCCAGCGCTCGATCTCGCGTATGGCCCGATCGAGCCGCGTGCAGCCCTTGATGAGCTCGGCCTCGGCAGCGTTGACGCGCGCCGCCGGGCTGTGCCACGACTGGCACACGGCGCTCTCGAGCGCGCGCCCGGCCTCGAGCATGGGGCCCGGGTCGCGGCGCGGCAGGTCGATGTCGACCAGGAATAGGGCATTGAAGCGGCGGGCGACGGCGACGGCGCGGGCGGGCCCCTTCCGCTCCCGCTCGCCCTTGTACGGCTCCGCCCGCATCTCCATGTCCTGCAGCACCCCATCCAGCTTGGCCCACAGGGTCTCGATGAGGTGCACGCGGTGCAGCACGTCGTCGGCCCCGGCCACGGCGGACCGCGTGGCCGTGTCCGGCTCCACCAGCCGCCGCAGGCTGCCGTAGTACTCGTACCCGGCCGCCATTCCGAGGTCCAGCATGGTGTCCATGCCCCAGAAGCGGGCGACTATGGGCAGGAAGCGCAGGAGAATTGAGGGTGCCACGTGCCGGGTGCAGACCTGGGCCCAGAAGCGGCGGTGTTGCGGCCAGATCTCGCGCTGCGTGGCCCGGGTCTGCTGCGCGTAGACGAGCACGCGTGCTAGCTCAGGGAGCTCGACTGCGAAGACGGGCTGCGGGCCACCCTGCTTGGCATCTCGCCCATCGTGAAACTCGTCCCCCTTCTTTAGCCAGTCCAATAGCCGCGGAGTCACGACGCGATTCGCATCCGTCTCGCAGCCCCTGCATGCTGTGTTGCGCATGGTGTAAGACTGTGTTGGTGCTACGAGTCCAGCGTCCTGTAGCGCCCACCACACCTGTAGGCAGTCGTCGTGGGTCTCGGCATGTCCGCAGGACAGCGTGTATGACGGGGGGCTGTTGACCTTGGTGCTGAGGGAGGAGCTGCAATTCGGGCAGAATAGGTGGGCTGATTTACCGGTGAGTGTTCCATCGGGGTTCTTAGTCCATGTTGTGCCTTTCTTGAGCTTGGCGGTCGTGTGATTAGAGGATTCCGGGACATGGATCAGCCGGTGGCCGCATGGGAAGTAGATAAAATGCTTTGGAGTTGGGTCCGGTGGGTTTGTTGGATGCGGCATAGTCGGTCTTACCGTTCTGTGAGTGTTGAGCTGGTATGTTCGTGCTCAAAGAACGAAGCCCAGGACTCGAGCCAGCCGAGCGCCGGATCCTGCTGATGATTCACACGTTATGGTATAGTATAGTATAGATATGAATGGAAGATTGCCCAGAATCGATGTATAGTGCGTTTACGTCTCCAACATGCTGGCACAAAATACTGAGCTCCGGAGTCCTGAACATGCAGCAGTGGCAGGGGTCAGGACAATATTTATGCGGAAGGACAAAGCGGTTTGGTCGTCTTGCTTCGCTGCCTTTGTATATCCATGGTCGCCAAGGTTGCTTGTGTACTAAGCACAATGTGAGGGAACAAATGGTCATTGTCGGATCTTGATTGGGTTGCCGCACAACGTTACTCGCTGCCCTGGTCGCAGGTTCAGGCGTTACAGTGAGATTGAAGAGACCCGTGCTGTCAAACAGCGAACTCAAAAGCTAGGTCTTCAGTTTAGCAGAGTGCCCAGATCACGGCGAAGCCCTCAAGGAGCAAAACCCCAGCTCAATCGACAAGACAAAGTCATTGAGAACATGATTGCCCACATGAATCAGTTAGCTCAGATCGGGAAGAAGGCCAGTCCATGCGACCAACACTCCAGTCCAGGAAACACAGGTCCATGACGCCTAGCCCCGGGAATATACACCTTTGCTTTTTACGACTTCGGAGCGATCGTTACAAGTTGTCCTCTACCCACTGTTCTAACCTCTCCACGAGATCCGCCTTTTTGCCCTTCGTATCAAGGCCATGCGCAGCAAGAATGTCTTTGAGGTCCACAACCTTCAGCTTGGTCAGTTCACCAGAGTTGAATTTCTTCTTCAAGGCGGCATCGTTCATGACCGAACCACCATCTCCGTTTTCTGCCTTGATCGTCTTCTTGGCTTTCTTTGCGGGTCGAGGTTCGTCATCATGTTCCAATTCGCGTTTGATGCCCTGCTGTTCCTCGTACTTTGTGAGTTCTTGGTCTGCAAGGTTTGACCAATCCTCAATGTGCCCTCCGACACGCTTGTGTATAGCCTTAGTCTTTGGCTTTGTCTTGTCATCAGGTTCATCTGGCACCTCCTCCTCAAGCGCTAGGGCCTGTAGGATCCTGTAGTGCCATTGCAAAGACGGATTTGGATATTTTGTAGGATCATACGCAGCATTGGGGAGCTGCAGAACGCGAACAATTTTGTTCATCTGGTTGGTCAGCTCATCGGTTGTGCGGACAGCCTTGACACCCGGAGGCGGGCGGACGTCATCGGCGAAGGGTATCGGATAGAGCCACAGTCCTGCAGGCAAGAACGGTGTTCCAGAGTCCTCGTCATCCTGGGCCCGCGAAGGTATGACGGCAACCAAAACGGGGTTGGCGTTCGTTCTTGACACATGCCACGCGATACCTATTTTGCCAGACTTCAAAAGTTTCTTCCACAGAGCCGAAAAGACACGTGTTGAGCCGATATAGCCCTCTTCGCTGGGGTAAATGAAGACGGACTTCTTCATAGACATCCAAAACTTCAGCAGGGACCGATCCTTGAATCCAATAATCCGTATGGTAGAGCTGCCAAACTGCTTCACCTCCTTCTGTTCCTCGGGGCTGAAGTAGACATATTCGCCCCCGAATTTGTAGGCTTTCTTCACCTCGCCTGTCGACACGGTTCTCGTGGTGTCTTCAGCCATGCGGGTTGTCTCGCTGACAGCCATCTGGGCTGTCTCGCCATCAAGCCAGATATAGCAGCTTCTGGCGGGTGACTGCTTCTGAATAATATTATACCCTTTGACAGAGATGTTGAGCCCGGGGCCCAGCTCGAATGTCATGTTAGAGAAGTAGGCTCTTTTAGGGGTCTGCTTAGAGGTGATGTTCTTTATTAGGGAATTGAGATCACCCGACTTTGACGTGTTGAATCTCTCGGAGTCCAGCGCCTCTGATGTAGGGTCTGGATAGACAATATTCTGCATTCCTCAGGTAAGCAGCGGACAGATGATAGCGTGACCTTGATATACCTACATCGTAGAATTTGGTAAGGTCGAACTTGCTGTCCTCGCCGTGGGTGATGGGGAAAACCTCAATGTTGACGCCCAGATCGTACAAGTCCTGTGCTCGCGTACGAGCGGACTCGGAGGCGCTCTTGTCGCCCGGGTGCGGGTCGTCGTTGTCGGTGATGATGAACAGTCTTCGGGACCCAAAATTGGGGGCTTTCTGGGTAAAGATCTGGTTTGCGCAGAAAAGGAGGTCCTTGATATCCACGCCGTCGGGTGATGGGACGAGAAGCTGGTCCTCATCATCTCCATCATGGACAAAGCTCCTGAGCTGCTTTACATCCTCGGCAGCAGGTACGTCGAGTGGGGTGTAGACATAGCAATGGGGATACGACAGGTTGCTAGGTTTGCCGTCAAAGTCGACATACTTTGTCTTCTCCGTGCCAAACAGGATGATGCCCATCATGTCCTTTGCGTTGGATATAATGCGCTGCTGCATGACCTGGTGGGCCGACTTGAGGGCTGCTATCACGGCATTGTCCTTGATGGCCTTCTTGTCCTCGGACGGAGGTGGGTCCTTCAGCATTGATGGGCTGACATTGATTGCGAACAACAGGGCATCCTTCTGCGCCTTGTAATACTAGGAGACTGTGAGCGGCGGCGATTATGGGAGAGGCCGAGGGAAGAAATTGGACTCACGTTCTCATCAAGCTCCTCTTCTTCCTCTTCCTCCTCATCCTCCTCCCGTTTGTAGTGATCGTTGCGCTCAGCCATGCTGCCGTTCATGCGGTCTCTAGAAAGCTGGTGTTTCTGGTATTGTAGCAGAACACATGAGATGCAAACAAAGACGTTTGGGGGGACGCCAGGAGGTTTTGTAAACGCAATTGAGCAGGCGGACCTGGGGACGCCAATGCCTCGACGCTGGAGTGGGATCAGATGCCAGGGTGGAACGCCAGGCAACCGCGGCGAGCTGAAGCTATGCCCTGGACCACGAAACGCGAAGTCAGGTGACGGAGCTGGCTTCTAGCACCTGGCTTTATTGGCTTCAGCAGTTAAGTTATTAGCTCAAGCTATGTCCTTACTAAGGCGGTGCCTGGTTTAGCACCAAGACAACCTTGCAGGCGGACTGTCGGTTTCAACTTTCTGACTCCGAGTTGCTGCAGCGATTGTTTTTACGGTAATGGATATGAAAGCCTGACAACAGCGACCTAGGCATGTGCTTGGAGAACATGGATTTGAGCTATGCAGACTCGTTCTGCGTTGCCGCACAGAGGCTCCGGACAATGGAATGGAGGGAATCAGACTGAGCCTCTGACAAACGCTCGAACATGATTGGCTATCGCCGCGCCTGCCACAGGAGGGACTTGGGCCACCTACTACCTATCCATGTACCTTAGGGAGGCCGATCTGCCCCAAGTTTTCGGGGATCGGTACGGGCGCGGCCATCGGCAAGTTGGAGCTCTGTTGAATGCACCCATCATTGATGACCACCAGTCTACCCTTTCTTGTCTTGGGCCACACCGCGACAAGTCCACGTTTGCGCATCCGGAACCCACGGTTCAATTCGCTCTTTACTCAACCTCGGATCGCTTCGCCCCTTCGAATTCTGGTGCCCTCGTATCCTCCAGACCAGAATGTCGCTCCGGCACTCTGTCGGCCGTCTCTCCCAGAGAGCCGGCGCATCGTGCACGGCTGCTTCGGCCTCGCACCTAACCAAGGTCGCAGCACTGCAGACCCGAAGCTTCGCGACGCCCGTGCCGCCCGTCACCCAGAATGCCGCTGGCTCCAAGGGCCCGACGGCCATGGTCTTCCTGAACATGGGCGGACCCTCCACTACTGACGAAGTGGGAGACTTCCTCAGCCGCCTGTTTGTACGCAGCGCCCACCACACACTGCCGCACGCTCCCAAAGTTGCAATGAGCTGATACTATTCCAGGCCGATGGCGACCTGATACCCCTTGGCCGATTGCAAAACTACCTAGGCCCATTCATCTCGCAACGAAGAACCCCCAAGATTCAGAAGCAGTATGCCGCCATCGGAGGCGGGTCTCCCATCCGGAAATGGTCAGAACTACAGAACGAAGAGATGTGCAAGATCCTCGACGAGATCTCCCCGGAGACCGCCCCTCACAAGCCCTATGTCGCCTTCCGTTATGCCAACCCCCTGACGGAGGAGATGTACAACCGACTTCTGGCCGATGGCTTCGGCAACGGTAAAGGAGGAAGGGCCGTCGCATTCACACAATACCCCCAGTACTCGTGCTCCACCACGGGAAGCAGTCTGAATGAGCTGTGGAAGTGGCGCCAAAGATTAGAAGGCAAAGCCGGCCCAGGCGCGATACAGTGGAGCGTCATTGATAGATGGCCGGTACATCCGGGCCTTGTCGAGGCCTTCGCGACCAACATCGAGCAGAAGCTTCTCGAGTACCCCGAGGAACGACGCAGCAAGGCCGTCCTGCTGTTCTCCGCCCACAGCTTACCCATGGATGTCGTGAATAGAGGTAAGCTGCGCCTTTCCGTGAGCAAACTGCCAGTCAAGCTAACAGTGTCACAGGTGACCCTTACCCAGCCGAAGTTGCGGCGACCGTATACGCTGTCATGCAACGCCTCGGCTTCTCCAATCCCTACAGATTATGCTGGCAATCCCAGGTCGGCCCCAAGGCTTGGCTCGGGCCTCAGACCTCGACATCCGTAGAGGACTACATTGCCAAGGGTCAGAAGGACCTCGTCCTCATCCCCATTGCATTCACGTCAGACCACATCGAGACTCTCTATGAGCTTGACAGGGAAGTCATTGGAGAATCCGGCCATGCCGACACGGTCAAGCGTGTCGAGAGTTTGAACGGCAACCCCATTTTCATCAAGGGACTCGCAAACCTGGCCAAGTCACATTTGCAGAGTGGTGTTGCGTGCTCCTACCAAATGGGATTGAGATGCCCGGGATGCAAGAGTGAGAGATGCGCCGAGTCGAAGAAGTTCTTTGCCAGCCCAGAGAACGCATTTGCTGTATAGATTAGTGTACAACTACCTTAGCTTGGATGGGTCTACGCATTGGAGTTTGTGCGCAAAAAGTGCCGTTATACAACCATCTTGTTTGGGTGTAGCACAGCTGTAGAATAGAATTGTGACGAAATTTCGACGTGAGCAAAAGTCTTCACAGCTCTGCCAAAGGGGTGGCTTGGTACCTCTAACACATATCTGTTAATGACATGGACGGCGCATGAAACTCGACTATCAATGTTTACGAAAACGCCCTGGGTATAATCTGTGCCCAACAGGTAGCCACATCTGTGGTGTAAGCAGAAACACCAGTGGGGTATAGAGCCGGCGGCTCCCCGCTCCCCTGCTCGACGTATGTACCTAGGTAAGCAGGCAAATCAACCGGTCACCACACCATCAACATGTTCGAACACCATTTCGAGTAGTTGGGAAAGACGAACTCCTCGTGTCTCCCAGTACGTTAAGAGTCTATGCGCGGCATTTACCATGGCCGGAGACCTGAAGCAGCACCTCACACCAGAGCTATTCAAGTTCATGGTAGACCGGTCGATTCCATTCAAAAAAAACAGAATCTCTCGACTTTGGCAACGCAATCTCGATCGTCTTGTTTGGTGGAAGTCAAGAGTCGCAAGATCCTGAATCACGGGGCATCAGGGAAAAGGCGTGGCCAGTGCTGAAGGCGCTCAGCCAGTACGGGCTGGATCAGGTGCCCGACATGATGGAATTCCTGCCGCCGCCCGAGGATCCGGACTTCCCGTCCCAGGCCCTGGGTCTCCAGCTCGTGTTGGACCAGGCGCCGCGAGACCTCCTGGAGGGCATCCACAACCGCTGGACCTTCGACTACTTCGGCGACATCGCCCTCCGGTTCGCCAGGCAGCTGCAGGCGCTGCCGCCCCATCTGAACCCGGCCGCCTGGGCCCGGTGGAGGGACTCGGTCTCGCTCGACTACTTCATCTTCGTGCGCCTGTGGTTCGGCGCGCCCCTCGTCCACCACGAGGCGACGCCGGACGAGGCCGGCGCCTTCACCGAGGAGACGCGCCGGCTCGTGGAGCAGACCCTGGAGACCCGGGACCCGCACCGCGACCAGCCCGAGAAGCGCTGGGATCTCCACGGGTTCCCGAGGATGTTGACCGAGAAGGGGCCCAGCAGCCCCTGCGGCGCGGCCGAGGGCGCGTTCTGGATCGCCTGTCTGCTGGATGTGCATCGGCCGCCGCTGGACCGGTTCGGGCGCTATCCATATCGGAACGGCTTCCTGGGGCGCGTCGACACGCCGGAGGAAGAGGCCTGGATGGAGAAGGCCCCCATGTTCGCCGTAGACCCCGACGTGCGGAGACGGATCAGGGACGACGTGGAAGCTGGACGGTGGACACCATTGGATGAAGGTACCGAATAGAGGACAAAGCAATGAGGTTTTTGTTAATTCGACAGTCATCATCCATCCACCCCCAAGTTTTCAATCAATATATGTAAAGCATAATTAAAGCGGGCTGATTCGGCAAGGTGAAAAAGTAAGATGGCTTTACGGTTGTTATGCGAATGAGGAAGGTATACGGTTTGATACAGCTATGATTTCGTTTGTGTTAGTGGCCTAAAACTTATAATGTTGGAGAGTCACGCCAGCTGCTTATCATTTCAGGCGAGTTGCCGTTGAGTGAGTGCGCAGCCAATGCTTTCCAATGATTGGTCTGGCCATCGTTGTTGTCTCCCCAGTGAGAGAAAGCGCAAAGATAATGCTGATATGGCGTCCAAGCGGTTGATTCTGTCTTTCGAACCAGCATGACCTACTCTCACGGTGACAAGCAAGTTTTTTCCAGGTTTCGAGAAGACCAACAGCCTATGGGTGCACATCGCGATCTTCCACAAAGTTCAGTGTGCAGGCAAGTAACTGAAAGTAAACAGTATGTCTAGAAGTGAAGACTAGGGCATCGCTACATTATACCTTTCCTTTAGGTACTAGACCCACCGCCCCGCGTTAATTGCCCCAAAGTCGCGTCGCGCTTGCTACAGCAGACTGCCAGGGGTGTTTCGGGGCCACTGCGAGCCAGCCAATTATTTCGACCTGCAACCTCGACTTTTACAGGAGAACACGGTCTCGCACGACTGCACAACCACCACAATCAAGCTCACCATGGCATCGAGAACTGCATAGTCTTCTACTCCAAACACGGAGCTTCCAAGAGTCTCTTCAATGGCACCCGAAACCGGCCTCGGCCGCCGAAAGCGGGCGCGACCACAGTCTGACCAGGATTCGACTGCACCAGAGCCGAATGTTACCACGACGTCTTCAGCAAAGAAACGACGGCTGGACGGTGACGCCACCTCGTCTCCCGCTCCCCCAAACGGCTTTTCCGCCTTTACTTCAGCCATAGGGAACGTGTTCGGGTTCGGGCGAAAGGCCAGTGCCCAGGGCGCCGCCAAAGCGAAGCGGCAGAATGGGAAGACCCCGTCGGCATATGATGATATCCCCAGTTCCAGTGACGAGGGACGAGGTGCGCCAACTCTTCAGAAGGGCTCTCGGCCTGCAGTTTCGATTACAAAACCGAAAAAGCCGGCAAAGTCACCACGACAAGCCCGGAAGAACGATGTCTACGATGTACCTAGCTCTGGGGACGAGCACGAGATCCCCTCGGAAATAGCTGAGCAGTCTAACACCCAGGATAAGGCATCGCGCAGCACGAGACAGGCCAATGGGCCAGTGAAAGGGCCTGGCACGGCAAGAAAGAGCACGGGGAGGCCACGAGGTGGACATGCCCCTGACAACGATACAGCAGAGCAGGAGGAGGAAGCGGAGGAGGAGGTTCCTCAAGGAACTCCGTCCAGAACTCGTGGCCGACGACCCGCGGTAAAACAACTTGCTGGGCCAGGTGCAAGATCGGGCCAAAAGACCACGACCTCAAAACAGCCACCGCCAACACCAAAGGGTATTTTGACGCCTCGGCACAAGAAACGCGGGCGGCCTCGCAAAAGCGTCGCTTTCAATAGCGAGGACAACAAGCCGGCAGCCGAAGTGTTCTTCGATGATCTACCTGTCAAATCAAAGTCCAAAGGTGGGCGCTTGAATCAGACCGACGCCCCTACCAAGGGTGGGGAGCCCGAGATTCAAGCCTCCGAGGGTGAAGATGACGAGGAAAGCGAAGACGATGAAGTTTGCGCGATATGCGGCAAACCTGACTCCGAGGCTCCAAACGAAATAATTTTTTGCGAAAACTGCGACAAGGCTGTACATCAGAAGTGTTACAATGTCCCAGTGATCCCCGACGACGACTGGTTTTGCAAGGACTGCCTGCAAGAGGACGTGATCTCAGGGACCAACGGCTCCTCAGCAGTACACCAGGTGTCAGAGTCGGCAGAATTACCTGATATTCCCAATTTTGAGCAGCACCTACAGACGATGCAACGCGTTCTCATCGATCGCTGTTCAGGCAACCGGCGTATCAAGTTAAAGGGGCAAGAAGAGGCGTATGAGAAGGCCTATCAGCTGGTGGAACAGACCGTGCTAGCTGGTGAAGGAAATTCGATGATGGTGATAGGAGCTAGAGGTTGCGGCAAGACCTTGGTAAGCCATCTGAACAGCAATCATGATTTCCAGTACTGATCGAACATAGCTTGTTGAAAGTATTGTTCGAGATCTAGTTGCCGAGAACCACGACTCCTTCCACGTTGTCAGGCTCAACGGCTTCATCCACACGGACGATAAGCTTGCCCTCAAGGAGATCTGGCGGCAATTGGGTAAAGAGATGGAGGTCGAAGATGACATGAACAAGGTAAGCCGTTCGGAACGACTCCACAGAAACACGGGTTGCTCACTTCCCTGCAGACGAGCAACTATGCCGACACTCTTGCTTCGTTACTGGCTCTGCTCTCCCACCCTTCAGAAATCACTGGTGCCGATGACGGCGTGACTTCAAAATCGGTTGTCTTTGTGATAGACGAGTTCGACCTGTTTGCTACACACGCTCGTCAAACCCTGCTATATAATCTTTTCGACATTGCCCAGGCCCGAAAAGCACCCATTGCCGTGCTTGGCCTTACTACCCGGGTGGACGTTGTGGAAAGCCTGGAGAAGAGAGTGAAGAGCCGATTCAGTCATCGCTATGTGCACTTATCGTTACCCAAAAGTCTCTTGGCTTATTGGGATATTTGCAAACAGGGATTACTAGTGGATGAGGAGGACTTGGAGACAGAGGGATTCGACTTAAGTCTGGATGGCCTGGACGAGTTCCGCGCATACTGGGACCAACAAGTAGAGGTAAGCCACGGTCTATGTTCTCCTTTCTGCGCCTATGCTGACCCCTGGGTAGGCCCTCTATAAAGCGCCATCTTTCCAGGACCACCTGGAGTACCACTTCTACACGACGAAGTCTGTCGCTGGTCTTCTCACTACATTCATCTTACCTCTGTCGGCACTATCAGCCACGTCGCCCCGGCTGAAGATCTCATCCTCACCAGCCTTGCCCGGTCTTGATGCCCCGGACTCCAAACTTCATCTCTTGGCAGCCCTGTCAGATCTAGACTTGGCACTGCTGATCGCTGCTGCCCGCCTCGATATTGTCGCGCATACTGATACGGTCAATTTTGCGATGGCTTACGACGAGTACAGTTCCCAGATGGGCAAGCAGAGGCTTCAATCAGCCAGCTCCGGCATGGTGGCGCTGGGTGCTGGAGGAAGAGTCTGGGGTCGAGCTGTGGCTATCATGGCCTGGGAGAGGCTCGTGTCTCTCGGGATCTTGATACCAGCTGGTATTGGCGGAAGGAGTAACGCTATTCATGGTGGGTTAGAGGGCAAGATGTGGAAACTGGATGTTTCGCTGGAAGAGATCCCAGCTGCCGTAGAGTTGCCGGGCTTCCTCGTGAAATGGTGCACCCAGATATAACCTCGAGGTCCGGATGGAACGCACCACTGAGCTAGGGGATGATGAATATAGCTAGGGCGTGCGGCTATGCAGATATGGACTACAGCGAGGCGGGAATGAACCGCAACTAAATATACAATCCAGGTCAAGAGGCCGGCAATGGCACGGATATCAAGTCATCCGAGACCGTTTCTGCAGCCGCTCCTCCAGGTCGATGTTATTTGCGTGCGGCGACACAACGGTTTTATGCCGGTGCTGCCACGTCCCATCAGTGCCAATCGGCACTTGTGTTACTATTTTCGAACTCGACGCTAAATGCTTAGCAACCACATTGCTCACAGCCACGCGCCGCCGGACGCCGAGGCTTTTCTAGGGGCATGCAGCCGGCCACCTGGGGAAGAAACGCATCCGCGTACAGGAGATGCATGCTGCTGTATTGGGCTGCGAACCCCTGGCCAGGCGCAAGCTGATTGCATCACAGGGCGACAGGGGGTGCTCAACAATTCACCTCCTGTGTCCCTGAGCGGCCTTTCGGTATATTATAACACACACAACACGATGATGCCGAGTGCGACCCCAAGTCGCATAGCGAGCGCGCCTTGTTCCCCACGAGCCCTTGGGAACGTAGCGCCGTCCACTGTCAATAGGCTGCGATTGACGCCCTTCACCGCTCCACCCGGCGATCGAGCTACGTAGATGCAGCCTAGTTACCATAGTATTGTGTACCTTGGGCGCGCAGACGTCACCTGCAAGCCCACGTCTTAAGCTCTGCTCGGCCCCGGTCGATCACCCGTTTCACCTCGTCCCGACATCTCAACAACGCCCTCATTTTCCGGACCTGGCAATTTTTACTGGGGCCCTTTTCTGACACTATCCGCCGCGTTGGGATAGCTACCATCAACTGCGCACCCAGCGCGAAAGTCCACGATCCTCCTCTTGGCTCGAGACGGCAGACACGCAGGACGGGGTGTGGCTGCTTACTGGTCCCCAGCTATCTGACTTTCGTAGACGGCGCCGGCGTTCTTCACCAGCGCGCACACTGGTCGGCCAAGGTTTTGCCTTGTTGTTCATTCTACAGCGTTGCCGGCTTGCCGCAATTTTTCTTGGACTGGTTGAAATTCCCAACGATCACATCTGCATCTTCGCTTTCACTTCAACTCGCAAACCCCCCCTTCGTAGTACCGGTTTGCGGTACCGGGGTGGGCCAAGCTACATACAAAATATACACACGTTTATATACAAGATAGACAGACAGGCCAGCCATGTCCAAGCGCACCACATTCACCACCATCTCGCCGCTGCCCCCGGGCGTCACGCGGCAGGGCGTGCTGGACTTCCTGCACAACCACGCCGAGATGATCGACCTGAACCCGCTGGTCATCGAGCGGCATCCCATCCCGCCGCCGGCGCACGCGCCGCCCGAGGAGGCGGCCTGCACCTGGTGGAGCATGACGGACAAGATCAGCTACATGCCGGGCGTCAAGAGCGACCTGACGTACACGGCCGCCTTCCAGGACCGGCCCGACGGCCTGCAGACGCACTGCTACGCGCCCATGGGCACGCACATCCGCGAGCGCTGGAGCCTGGGCGGCACGCTGCCCGGCGAGCCCAAGCAGCCCGTCGAGCTCGGCCTCGGCGCCCCCAGCCAGGGCCTGTACATCCGCGAGGACGTCGAGGTCCGCTGCAACTTCCTCATGGCCGGCTTCGTCAAGAAGACCATCCTCAAGGCCCACGGTGTGCTGGTGGAGCACCTGGCGAGCCGGGTCAAGACGGCCAGCAGCGCCGCGGCGCCGTCGCTGGGCCCGGGCGCAGGCCTCAGTCCCGGGAGCGCGTACCGCGGGGGGACGACCAGCACGCACTCCGGGAGTGGCGCGAGGTCGAGCTCGACGCACGATGAGCGCAGGACCTCGTATTACGGCAGCTCGGGCGCGAGCACGCCGCAGGGCCAGCCAGGAACGGCGTACCACCAGCAGCGGCCGAGCCACGGCCGAGTGCAGGGTTTCTACGGACACCAGAGAGCGGCGGCGAGCGAGACGGGGCTGGAGAATGATTCGGTGCATACGCGGCAGTTGTCCGGGCAGTATCAGCAACCCCACGGACTGACCGGAGGCTGGGGTGCACATCAGCCATACGTGCATGATCCTCATAAACACTATAGCCAGTGTCCGCAGCTGCCGCCCCTGGGTCAGCTCGGGAACGGGCAACACGGCGGCCAAGGCGGCTGGCCGAACGAGAAGCAGGGCCAGGGCCCCAGTGGCCCCGTTGCAGAATTGAGAGGGAGCGAGACGCATGTGGCGGAGTTGCAATAGGGCGGAGTCCCAATGGCGGGTTGAACTGCCGGATGCATCGGGAGCGGAGTTTGGGCGTCGACAAATGGAGGTACAACATACCATAGGCGTAAGGTTACATGGACTAACACGATTGAAGAAGGGGGTGGCTCATTGGGATTCTGCAGTCTTTCTTTTATTTAACTTTAATTTCAACTATGCCCAGAGAAAAGGGGGGATGTATCTGAGGTCAGGGCGAATCACAATGCATAACGAGCTGTCAATCTCAAGACATACGATCACCGCTCATCGTTACAGTTGCAAATTACTATAGGGGACGAATCCAAACCAAATCAGAAAGCATTATGAACTTGAATCAAACAAATCTCCCTGTCCCCAGTCCAGAAATACGTAACCATTCTATACCCGTTTGTTGCCCACCTTGGGGTCCCCCGTCATTAAAATGAAACCTAGTAGTTCATGTCATACATTGGCAATCGCGTGTCTGTCTTCGTGATTTTCTCCTTTTCTTCGTCTGTGCTAGAAGGCATCATCAAAAAATGGCCCGGACGAACAATAATGTCCCAATATCCCCTCGTATGTGAGAACCTCATGGCATATGCGGGTCGACTCGGCATCGTTCTGGGCACATTCTCCCACAGTTGTCTTCCCACCCTGTCCCACTGAAGCCCAGGGCAGCGGGCGGCATGGAGGGTCTTAGAACGCGAGTCCCATGAGCCCAAAGACCATGGCGGCAAGCATGCCGGCCGCGGCGTTGCCCGAGGCGCTGTTGACCTGGACCGGGCCGGTCGGGGAGGCGGTGGGCGTCATGGGCTTGTTGTAGGTGGTGCCGGAGCTGCCGCTGTCGGCGTTGACGGGCGGCGGCGGGACGGGAGCGTTGTTGTTGGTCGGGGGTGCCGCTGGGCCGGTCGAGCCAGGGCAGATCGACGAGGTCAGCGTTGGGAATGTCTGGTTGCCATCAGGTCAGCCAAACTCTCCTCCGAGCCATCCGCTCTCCCTTCATACGCCGATTTGGCCTTGTGGTGCCGATGGGGCTGCTGGCGAGGGAGGGGTGAGACTGCAGAGCGCCCATAAGGTTCCTCGCGGCTTGGGGGGTTGATACATGGCTCATAAGCGGACAGAAACTGCAACGTACCTTGGTAATGGTGCACGGGCAATTGGTCACAGTGATGGTCTGGCCCTTGGTGGCCGGGTACGTGCAGTCGTTGAAGGTATAAGTGGTAGCAGTCGCACAGATGGTAGTCAGCTCCGCGACAACGACTTTGGTAGTGACCGTGGTGTTGTAGTAGGTGTAAGAGACATTGGCGGTGACGGCTGGGTTGGTGCTGATACTCACGGGGGCGATGGTGACTGGCGGAATTGGGGACAGGGTCGAGGTGGTGGCCAGACTCGCGATTACGGTAACAGACCCCATATCCATGCTCGTGGAGGAAGATTGGGCTGAAGCAGCGGCAATGAAGCCGAAGAGAAGAGACTTGGGCTGCATCTTGTTTGTGTTAATAGCTTGCAGAGGGCTCTCCCTTGGTGGTCCCGCTGAAGTGGTTGTAATAGCAGGTATAATAACGAGTGACTAAAGTCAAGTAAGGAGCGACAGGAAGAGAGACGAATAGACAGCTGGAGCCACACAACACCGAGAGGATATATTGGAGTGAAGATTTACAACTCGAGACGAGCAGTACTTCTTAAAGATTCGGGTGTGCGGGTGAGGATCGAGGATGTTTGGAAGTGCTTAACTTGAAAGAATCTGCAATTAGACAGCAAATAACGTTCCAGGTCCAATGAATGTCGCGATAAAAGCCAGGCTTACCAAACAAACCCAGGCACAGAGAGAATAGCTTGCTTTATTTTGGGAATGAAAGGGGGCTGGTCCTGGTGACATATTCATTCCAGGCCAACATACATCGTGCACCGAGGGTCTCACCTATCCAAGACAGTCACGCTTCAACTGCATCCCTACGTTCACCATGGCCAATCGAACACGAGCAAGAGTTCTGGAGCAAGTTTTTGTTTTCCATTCCGAAGTTACGGCGGATGGCGGGAGCCGTCACCCAAGCAGATCGTATATACAGTGCCGGAATTACCGTAGCCATTCCTTGATGATGCCTCCTCCAAGATCGGCAAGAGCTGGCTCATGCCACAGCCGGCCATTCTTAACACAGCTGCTTCTTGACAATGTCGCCGAAATGTTCCAGCCTCGAGATCTCTCATAATTGCTTGTTGATCGACGTCCCCAGATAGCCAATGCGTGGGACACGGAGCGGCTCCGACGAGGCACGTCCTGCGAGTCCGCTCATCCAGTGCCGGCAATATGTTGGCCTCCCCCATCGCAGAGCGGTGAACCGTCCAGTCGGTAAACACATGCCGGCTCCAACCCTCGACAATACTCCGTCGATAAGACTAAAAGGAAAATATTCCACCCATGCCGATCGATAATTCTGCAATTCGAATCGCCGACAGGGTGGTGACTTCTATGCTGGTTTATCATCCTTCCAACGCCACCATGTCCAGGCAGCCGGGAAATTCTTGGCTGTGGTGCAAAAACGAAAACGTGGAAAGATTGTATTAAGTTGATCGAAGATGAACACGCTCAAGAGAACAATGTCGTATGCACAAATAACGGCTGATTGACCGACAGGCGGGCTGTCTGGGGGTATAGCTAAATCAACCGATTTCAAAGTCGAAGAACCAAGCTGAATACGTTGAATGCAGTATGCTGCTGCACCGTGCCAAGGTCAAGATCTTCACTTGCGGTTGGACCGGCTCTGGCTTCGCTCGGGGATGCGACCACCAGGCTGTGTAATCGTGTCAAAGTCGTAGTTCTTCAGCGTGTTCTCGTATTTAGGGTTGCGCAGGAATTTCGGCACCGAGTCCTGTTTGATCAGTTAGTTTCGACTTCATAGGGATCAACGGTCTTCGACCACTTACGCTGGCCATCAACTTGAAAACGGCGTTCTGGGCATCCTCGAAAAGTGCCGTGACTTCGTGCAACGTGTCGATCATGGCGACATCCTGGCCGACGGCCTTTGTCATACGTGTCGCCAGGTTGTTGCGGAGCTGATGATCAATGTTCAGCTCGCAGGGAGAACCGGGGGCGAGGAAGGCGTTGTAGATGCCGTAGGCTTGAGCCATGATTTCCTTGATCCCGTCCATCGACGTGGCATTCGGGTTCTTCTGGGCGGAGCGGATAGCCTGTCGGCAGCTTCGCACGAACTCATCCACGTCCAGGTAGAAGGAAAGATTCTCTTCGCAGTGAGTCTCGCGCAAGTTCTCGCGGAACAGCAGCCTCAGGGCAGCATCGTTAAGGATCTTGTCTAATCGTTGAGTATTCGAGTCTCGGGCGATACCGGGTCGAGATGACACGGTGCTCTCGCTCTCCGAGGTGCGGCCTCGGCCACCGGCGCCGTTGAAAACCTCTCTGCCCCGAGTCGTCATCTGGTAGATCGAGTTCTTGGTAGGTTGGAAAAGAGCGGCAGACGGAGAGGAGGCTATGTAGCCTCGGTCTTGTTGTACCGACTCCATCAGTCCGTATTCGACAAACAGGGAAGCCATCTCGTAGGTCTCTCGGCGGTCTACAGTCGAGGCGCAGTCCATCAACCAGTCGGAACAAGCCTTGCCCGTGAAAGTCTCCTTGTACGTCTTGCCCGTGATCTTACGCTCCACTGCCATCTTGACACCCGTCATGCCGTCGCGGTAGTCACTTAAAGAGTCGGAGTCTGCGGTGCTGACGCTGGACTTCAGGTTGAGGCCGTTGTGACCGCAGAATCTTCTGAAAATCACCTCCATCGTTCCTCTGTCCATAACAATCTTATCCGACTGGGCATCTCGCTCAAGAGTGACCAATTGGCTGACACCCGTCGCCACCAAATCACCAATCTGTCTCTGTTGGATTCCATTGCGCGAGCAGAACTGATCCAGAATAGCGACACCCTTGGATGTTAGTTGCCAGACCGAGCCCTTCATGGTGTAAACCTGCTGCAGCTTGCCATCGGCAGACTCGATGAATCGTGCTTCTACAAACCGCTGACATATTGACCTCGCCATATCCTTGGCCATGGAGAAAGTGGTAGTCGTAGTGGTTGTTACAATACGGGAAGGGTCCTTGGGGTCCGGCATGCGGTTGGACTGCGAAAACTTGAGCGAGCCAAGGTTGTTGATTGCATCTTCCGACAGAAATGTGTGTTCCACTCTGGTCAAGCGAACGCGATGTGCGGAAAGCGGCAGCAAACTGACGATGAGAGTCGAAAACAAGTCCTTGAAGTCCTAGAGAGAAGAAAGATACTGTGAGCAACAGATGTCTCCCGAAAAGCGAGACACGGGGGGAGGAAGGGACGTCATCACGTAGGAGACGAGAAGACCACCACCACCACCACCACCATCCACACAAGCACCCGTCAACCGCAGAGCATGATGTGGACGTCGGTGACGACAGGCAGGGAAATTTTTGTGTTTTGTCTTTTTCCCTCTCTCTATCACAGTTGCTCACTTGCTATGAGGTGACCCTACGTGACCCATATAGAAAAGACAAAAAAAAAAGCAAAGAGGGGATCCCGAGGTAGGAAAGAAAAGCACTTACCCTTGTGAACGGACGGTCGTCGTCCGTCATACGGAGCAACCTCGACGACGTCTGATGCATCTTGTTGTGCGCAACAGGGAGGCGGATGGGCGGTTGAGTGTTTGGGTTTGTCTCGCTGTAGGGGCTGGTGATGGGATCGCCCAGGAGCGAGGACTGGCTGGATCGCTTTGGGTCAAGGTGAGGGCTGAGGAGGGTTGGAGTCGTGGCCGCGGACGAGCTGGTGTTGGTGGGAGAAAGGCGAAAGCGGGGAGACAATTCACCAGCACTGGACGGTGAATCTAGCGCAATGGACAGGCGGTTCTGGCGGCCGAGTCCGAGGGCGGTCGACGAGTTGCGGGGGCGGACGGTGGGCTCTGCAAAGGCCGAAGACGAGGCCGACGACGACGAGTTGGAAAAGGAGCGGGCAAATGCAAATAAACCTCCGGACTTCTGGGAACGGGTCGACGACAGCGACGACGAGATGGTGCTGCTGGTGGATGCAGTGGCGTGGTGTTGACGAAAGTTGTTCAGGGAAGCAATGGGCCCGTCGGGGGAAGCTTCAATGATTCCAGAGCCTCTGTTGGCCGCGCCAGTGGTGGTGGTGGTAGTGGTGGTAGTATTATTAGGAGTAGCAGTACCAGTAGTTAAAGTGGTGGCAGCAGGCGGAGGCGTCGCTTTGACGGGCGGCTGCTGTTGCTGCTGCTGCTGGGCGGGAGCTGGTCCTAGTCGGCCAGGAGAGGACGGCGCGGCTTTATTCCTCGTCGAGCCCACGTTGTTTGCGTTGGACAATGCGGTGCTGGTATTGGCGCTGGTGCTGGTTCTGGAACTGGTTCTGGTGCTGGTGCTGGTGCTGGTGCTGGTGCTGGTGTTGGTGCTAGTCGGAGTCGGCGTCGGCTGGTTTTGCTGAGCAGCCATCTAACTGGGTTTCAGTAGGAATTTGTCAGTTCAAACCAGCCCAGGCCCATAGTCCTGATTCAAATAGGGACTTTCAAAGAGGAAAAGGGCTTGCGGCAAGGAAGCAGAAAAAAAAGAGGGGGTCGCTTTTTTTGGGGCCTGGGTCCTGGACATTTGATGGGTGCGGGTCGCCATGTGGTTAGGAAGGAGGAGTGAATCGAAGTCAGGCTTATAAGCCGGGGGGGCCCCTGGGCGGCCAGGAGGCATTACGCGATCATGTACTCGGTACTCAGCGCGACACCATGTACAAGCCTACAGGGTTGCAGGGGGAGCACCAGCCCATGCCGTCTTGGGGGGTCAGGGTACCACTGTGGTATGGTGTTCCAGTGGGGAGGGGGGTGAGGAGGGTATCCATCTAGAGACAGGCCCCGGGCTGCGTCTAGCTAGTTACCTGGCCTTGGGATGATGGACGCAGGACAAGCACGTCCCCCTCTCCCCCTTGGGTTGCAGCCGAACAAACTGCCTGCCGCGAGAGACTCGTTCGTTGGTAAAACGCAAAAAGGCCGAGAGACACGCGCAATGCGCCGCACGGGCGGTTACAGAAACCAAATACCTCACTGGCGTACACACACATGCACATATACATATATACATACATGGGCGTCGGCGTGGAGGGCAAGGCCACGTTCTTCCGTGCATGGCTGCTTTCGGAGGACCTCTACATAGTACACATGCGACGGGGATTACATATGGGACGGACGGTTGTGGTGCGGCAGACGTTGGGTGGTGTGTGAAAGTGCCATGTGTCTTGGGGAGGAGAAAATCTGCATGCAACGCTAATAACTCATCCACGCGGTGCTCCATGCTCGTTCCCATCGATCCAATCTCTGAGCAATTTACGGTGGCCGAAAAGCAACTGAAGGTACTGCCTGACCAGTCGCACTGTGGTCCATACATCGCACTGGACAGACATGCCTAACAAGCCATGATCCGGCTGGCAACGGAACGGCCTCCTGTCCAGTGCTGCTGCTTGTTCAAAGGTTGCCCGAGGTTCCAACTGCCTGCCACCAGGAATGTGTGCGCGCCACGGAAGACCGACATTCCACTCCCAAGGCGATCGTACAGTATCACTAATCAACAGCAGCACTAGTGGGCGGTCGTAGCCAACATCAGTTAACTCACCCGCACATTCGAGACATGGCTGGTAGTTACATAACTAACTATATATGGCTCATCGCGACGAGCCTCTGCCGTTCTCGAGAAAGCCGTCTTCGCCCCTCCACTGTTCGCCTCTCGGCTTCCATGACGAACTATCTCACCCGACAGTTGGCGGATGGCCCAGCGGAATGCCTACATATGGAGCCAAGCTCGTCGCCGTGACCGTCACCTCCGCGCTGAATCGATTGACGATGGTGCGATTGGGGGTAAGAATTTATAGTAACGCGGGTGCAGGGTCATCTCACACAGGCTTATGTTATCCAACACGCAGGGCCCAATGGCCGATGTCCAGACTCCCGAGAGCTGCGTACCCATGTGCTCACCTCCAGCACCTCATCTCGGTGTCACTGGCACACAGGAGCTAGACTTGGACTACATGGCAGCTGTGAAACCCGTAAACATGTATGCCACATTCGTGAAACCTCCTATAGCGGACTGGCTTGGACGTCTGTCGTTCTCCGCGCCGACCGGATCAGAGGCCAACTGCGCTGTCGCCGGCAACAGACGGGACAGGCAAGACCGTCGGAGCAAACGCTGTTTGTTCGTCAGTTATCAGACGGCCAGAATGATGTGTCAGCCGCCATCTTGAGGAGAGCGATCATTGTGCACCGTACGGAACTACTGCACAGCAGTTCGGTAGCAAGAATGGCTGAGAACATGGCCCCAGTGCGGGACGGGGACACGGCTCACGAAGCGCCGATAGGAGTTCTGCACTGTAAGTACGGTGCAACAACGATGGATGGCGACCACATGGATGTTGGGACACCCTCCTACGAACTAGGGATCGAATTCGCTTCGCGCAAAGCCAGCCCTGCTTCCCATGCTCCCATGCATTGCTACCGATGGTGCTAGAGGGCGAAGGCGCCCACTTGGATGTAACCGTAGGCATGGGTCGGCCGCTGCGGTCCTCAGCCTTTAGTCATGCCATGTCCACTGCCATGCTCACACGCCGTCAGCACGATTCGCCAGGCCGTCAGATCTGCGCGTGGCTTCAGGGATCATTCCCACAGAACCCAGGCTCTTTCTGGCATGGCCCTCTGCCTCCGGCTCAACTAGTTGTCCGCCGCATCCACAGGCCTCGGGTCCACATCTCATGGGTCTGTCGACGGGGCCTTTCGCCCAGGTCCACCACCATTTTCGTTTAGCACAAGCAAAGGGCTCCAGCCGGCTTCCCCTTCACGGCGACGCCGCAGCTGCCCGTCTGACGAAATTGCATTGGCTCATTATTCCCGACCCTGTCTGGCCTCTGCCCCATGCTGAGCGGCAGACGTCAGTGAGTGAAGATGGGATCAATCACTGGCCATGGGGCTGGTAGTAGATCATTGCGAAAGAGTGCGCGTCACCGCCTGCGTCCGGATGCGCGCGGGACTGGGCTCTTTATCGGAGAGGCACCGCAGCGCAGCAACTACAGGAAACTAACTTGTACTATGGTATGTGCCTGCAGCAGCATACTGGTGCTGTGACACAGCATGATGGGTTGAGCATGCTGGGGTTTGCTGCATTTAGTATTGCCGCGAGCAGACGTGTGGCCCAGTAAGAACTCGCCCATGCGCAAGTGCCATGCGAACGGTGCCAGGCAAGGTTTGCTGACGGCCAATCGTGGGAATGGTCTCTCAGTTACATAGTACTGCTGATCCCACCTCGGAGGCGGGATATGAACCTGACCACGCCCGGCCGCGGCACCAACAGCGGGTGAGAACGGCCTTTGATGCGGCTCCATCGCGGTTGGTATCAGTGGCCCTGTTGCTACGTACTGTAGTAGATATCAGGAGAACATGCCATTGTCGACATCGATGTAGGTGCACTGCAAATGCCGAATTCAAGGGTTCCTGTTTGGGAGGGTTGTATGTGCACACTCCACATGTTGATGTGATGGAAAATCGGATGCAGGAAGCGTTGCCACCGCCGAGGCAACAATTCCATCTGCTCGTAGGCCTTTCTAAATCTAGCGACTATGCTGAAGATCGGTGACGCCTCCTCAAGCCACATGGCCAAAGGTCAACCCCTAGGCCGCACTTGAACAGTCTGTGTGTCAAAGGCGGTCGAGATGGTATCGTGGACTATTGCTAGCCTCTCACGGAAATCGTTCCGTGTCTATACTTCGATCAAAGGACTATGTCATGCCTGTCCAGAAGCGCCGTACTGCGCCCAGGGAAACCCGAACCAATTCCGCGGCGAGCAATTGACTCAAAAGACAACGGCACCTAAAGCCGGCGTCAGCGTCGCCAACTTCCCCAGTTTCAAGCTATCCGCACGGTGGGGCGGCTTATTTTTATGGGGGGCTCTTCCGGCGGCTTTCGAGTGCTTCTAGCGCTTCTGGAAATGCTCGAGTATCAAAAGCGTCGAGAGGCATTGGGGCGCAGCAAAAAGCAAACAGGACGGCTGGACTACGATGGAGTACTTGCATCCATGTCTCAGATAACCGAAAGATGGGAGCTTTGTCTAATGCGTCACGATTCGCGATCTCTACTCTCTTGACGCCTAACGTTTCGTGGACGGGATCATACGCTGATACGTACGTAATTACCAGCGACGTCAACTTTGGCCACTTTCCAGATGGGGACCTGGGCAGCTCTGATCGAGAGCCGACCAATGAAGTAGATATTCAACTTGACACAAGTACAGATGATTTCTTTCCAAAAAGATGGCAAGCACTTGTCGCTTAGAGGAACACGCTGGCTCAATATCGTTCACCGATAGTCTGATGGCAATGCCTTCTGATACATATCATGCCATGGTTCCTGATCGCTGACCCGGCGGCAGTCCTGGCTGGCGGGCGGGCGGGCGGACCCTTTTTCGGGATTTGAGTGAAACTGACAGGGTCTCCTCGTGGCCGGCTGGTTCTTCTGGGCATCTCCATTATGATACGATCCCAGCATCTCACATGCAGAAAGAAACTTGCTCATCTCGCCGCCTTCCTTTTCATCTCAGCCCCAAATGCAAACTGTCTGGCTTCAGCGCCGGTTTCACCTCAATCACCACAGCCAATTCATTGGGTGGCTTAAACGCATGATTGTCAACACGTGTAAAGCTGTCTTCGTTCGTCTGCCGTGCTTGCCACGTAACCAAACAACAGGTATCGCCCGGAACCCTTCCGGTCCTTCAATGCAAGGTGGCATCAATAGCGGGAGATGTATACTTACAGTGGTAAGATCCAGGGTGTTTCGCCGAGAATGCTTACAGATGCACCTCGGGGTCTTCATGTAGGCTTGGCAACTTGATGCTTTACACGGCATCCGCAAAGCAAAGCGAGCCATCAGTGTTCGCCTTCTCAGACAGTCATACAATACATGCCCAATGGTTTCTAGTCGCCGGGTTACCAGACAAGATGAGGACTAGTCACTTACACACCGTGTCTACTTGCGTAGGTCTTTAGACACCTAGTCTGCAGCGCCGCATATGTATATGCAGAGCGTGGGACCATTGTCAAAGAGTATCTCGCACGATCCGGCATTACTGTGGGTTATGTAAAACAACAATATCTAGGCGTGACGCGGCGTGGCTCATCTAGGTCTTGTTGTTCAGGCTGCAGTGCAGCTGCCTGTCTGTCTGTCAGCTTCTCCTTGGTCAATTGCCAACCACCTAAAATTCCAACGTCCCTAGCAAGCGGTGTCATCAGCGTAGCATGGTACTCTGCAAGTAGGCGTGGGTACCAGACTAAATCACCCAAGTTTGTCACTTGTTGCCGATCCGGGCGCCTCGAAAGTCAGATCTGAACCCAAGCTCTATTCCGGCAGCGAGTGATGCATACCCTAGGCTTGTTCGGTCTTCCTGAATACCCAGTTCGGGGTTCTTTATGAGGTCGCCATGCATTCAGCTATAAGTGATCAACAGCATACAGGCTTTACTCGGCTTAGGCTGCCTACTATCTGCACCTTACCGCACCAGCTCTGATTGACTCGGAGCTCGCGGGATCGGAATACCAGGCGGGCGGTCGGCTCGCATCATTAGACCCATTCATTCAGTTCCGCCGGCATTGGCTACTTATAGTACGGCAGACCGTGTCACACTAGCATGATACTAGGAGTAAGTCGACTAGAAACCTCAGAAGTCGTGCGATTTTTGGTGGGTTGCCTAGGAAATAGCGAAAGGATTTTGGCAGCGAACTAATCCATGTCCCAAGGCTGCCACGTGGGAAGTAAGCCACATCCCCAGTTACGGGCTATTTTTTTTCGAGGGATCGGCAGCAGCGTCTTCCTGGCGCAACACCAATGAGCGGGCTCTCGACGGAGTACACGGTACAAAGACATTGCGCCATGAGCAGCATCACCGCTCCTCTCGTGAGAGAGACACCTTCCCGCATGTAGCTTATCACAAGATGTCACGAACTCACGCACCCCCTGGCAAGGAAGACCATGGGTCTACCGAAAGTTAACAACCATATTGTATCTTCTGAGGTTTCAGCCACGCAAATAAAATTCGCCAGAGACATTTACCGGCTGTGCAGCGGATACCCACAGAGAACAAAAACCGTTTAACCCAGGTGTTTGGAAATTTTGTCCCACTGACCCCTCAGCGCCGCTTGACAGGTCGATGCAAGGAGTGCGGTTATGGTAACCTGGCACCCGATGCTCACCAAATCAAATTGACTTTGCCAACAAGCTTGGGTGCGTGCTGGTTATCAAGTCCATCACAGAGTGTGCGTCGTAAGCGTATAAGATTCGTCAGAGAGATCATACATGCTAGAGACCAAAACGGCAGAACAACGATTAGAGTTTGGCGATCGTCTCTGGTTGAATGTCTAGATACAGTACCACTTGTCCTGCCATGCATTCTCCGCAGTGTCAAAAGCATAAGCATCGGGTAACATTGGGGAGTTCACCAGCCGCAAGAGGCTGGGCGATCTCTCACGTGTGCACACTACTGTACCTAGCAGTCCAGCACAATCACTAGTAATTAGTGGTTGAGCAATCTCTGTTCACTGGTTGAAGAATCTGCCACATGTGGGTGGATCCCTTGGGAATTTCTATATACCGTAAGCCACTTGGCCACGTCCCACAGTTGTCGTACGACTGATGCTTCCGACCCTTTTTTGCGAGCTTCTGTACGGAGTATTCATCTCGTGACCGCCACGCGTAGCCACACCGAGAAATTACAAGCCTGTCATCGCGCGACGCTGATCACTCCCGGTTTCCCCCTATCTTTCTTCTGGTTCTGCTCGCCTTCTAGAAGGGCCGCCGGGGCCTTCTGAAACCGTGCATCCAAGCGAGGATCACGGACTAGCTCGTGCTGCCGACTCACCAAGAGTCGCGGATGGGGACTTTTCAATCCAGGGCTTCCTGGTCAGATGTAAGAGATTTCGGTCTCTGACCAAACAGGAAGTCTTCTAGAATGAAACGATGTCCACCTGGCTGTTTCTTTCCGCTCAGGACGCCCGCCACAATTGAGGTGCAGGGTTTCGGGCATACTCACGATATTGGTATGCAGTACTGAATACTTTGGCCCCGAATACGCCTTAACTTAGCGCGTTCAATGCGCAATTCTAACCTGTACCAAAGACATCGGTCGCTGCGTCAGGTATCAGCCCAGTGGGCCCAGACACTTGGCGGTTAGCTTGATAAATTAAATAATCGGCTGTTCTGCGTGGGCGCAGTCCGGGTAACTGGTTTCATCCTATACGACGACATGTTGCTCGGATCATATTAGGTCGCGACCGAGATGCCGTTGGAAGCTAAAACTACGCGCGCAAGTCGATGATTTGGTGGTAAATTAGAGCTGGACGCATGTTGGCTCTGTCACGAACGACAAAAACGGCCCAACGGAGCGTGATCCCTGTTGGCCACGTTGCAAAGACCAACCAAGATCAACATCGCAATATGCTAGGACATGGGGCTAGGCCATGTGGCTACCCAGCCCCCCAAGCAGGTAGACCGTGGAAATTTGCCGTGAAGTCTGAGGGTTTGATTGAGCCCTACAGTCGGACCATGATGTCGGACATAATAAAGTAACCAGGCGATCAACCCACAGCTTCGTACGGGCAATAGATAACACCCATATGTCCCAGAGGGCCTTGCAGATAATGATGCAGCATTCACTAACCAAGGTTACGCAGTAGGGTCGCGGTAATAAGGCGGTTATCACCCACAGATCAGCTTAGTGAGCTATGTGCTCTCTTAAGGCAGGCCAATGAACTCTCGATTCGCATGCCAAAGTCCGGTTGTCAGATTGTACGTACCGCATCTCGAGCTCCAATCAACGACTCACCGCCATTGCTTTCAGCTCAGTACCCAATACCAGGGCTGCGAGGAACTTTGATCACTGAAGATCAGACACTAAGACCGTTCCGGCGGCGCGATAATCTAAGACTGACTCAAGCTGAGCATGGCATCCCAGCCAACTGTAATCGTCCTATCAGCACAATGTACATCACCATCGAAAACGGGGCCGGCAACGGTCTCGAGCGGCTCTAGCAAAACTTCCCACGTGGCTATGGAGCTTCCGGGAACGCCAGGGAGTCTCACTCGCGTGTGGTAAATTCCCGAGAATCGTCAAACTGATCACAGGGCCAACCGAGACGGCGTGGTGCATCATCACTTGCTAGACTGCTTCGTCGCAAGTCCTGGCCAACGCTAACGACCGTAGATCCCTAGTATCCTACCGCTATAGCAAAAGAACCGTGCTCATATATGAGACCAATCATGGCCACTTCACGGGGACTAGATCGACTTTGACTTATCTGTGTGAAAAGGAACATTGGCCCGCGTCCCCGAATGGAAAAGGGGCGCGGGAGGGAGATTCGGATCCAAATTCGGAAATGACTTCTCGGCCGATACACGTGCTGTGGTGTTTCGGGCGGCGGTAAAATATCCAGTGGACCGGACCGGTCACTGCAGCTTCCCTTCACCAAAATGATATAGGACCCAAGACTTCAGTGGTAACGGGTCTTATAGCCGGTTGGTGCAACCAATGATCTGCGACCGAGGCCGACCTGTATCCGATGCCTTGCCACAAAAGTGAAGGTGAAGTCATGTCTCGCAATGTTCTCGGGACCACGCTGCGAAGGAGCGGTAACATACGTTGTGCAACCGTCAATGGATCACCCTTTTTCCAACAAGGTGCTTGTGTTCCTGTGATATATGCGTCTAGTGCATGACGACTGATAATCATTCAGCCAGCTGGTAAGCATTATACCGGTCTAGCTCTGTTCTCAACGTTCTAGACGTTCTCGGCCATGTTCGACAATTGTGATGTTGTCGAACTTTGGAAGGGTGTAAGTGTGGCCTCGGAACGACACCTCGAACTGATACCTCGGAACGAGGCAGGAGTCTCAGCCTCTGAGACGATGTTGAGAGGAGATTCGTTAGCTACTGGTAATTCATAGCAAACCTGGTAAAAAGAGTGGCTATAAGAGTAAGAACTCTTTTTGGGGGGATAACGGGCGTAAGTGTGTTTATAGAGTTTACCGAGCCGTCACCATTGAGGATAGTCTACCCTTCGCGTAAGACTCTTGCTTTCACTCCATCCCAGAGGGTGTTCAGCTTAAAATGGCCATGCACATCTTAGCTGAAGTAGAGTTCAACGTGGATGCAAGATGTGCTAGTAACCGGCAACCATCAGCGGTTCTCCCTGCGCGACCCCGGATTTCAAAGGGGGCGTTTACCACGGTCCTTTGTCGTCAGCCTTACGGAAGCAAGATCCGCTCCCAAGCCCAGCAACTGGGGCCGAATTCATACGCAACTCGCCGCATCATTGCCCCGATATACAGCCACATGCAACGGCAACCCCGGGGAGCTCCAGGGCGGTCCTCCCGACTTGTTGTCACAGTCCCGAAAGCCAGCCATAGGTTGTCATCCGGTAGACCCTTCGAGACCCCTGTATTCTTCATGTTCAAGATAGCTTAGACCTTACCCTTTCCAAGAGTAGCACTCTTGAATAGTAGCACTATTGATTCTCCCAGCCTGCCGTATCGTCGTGCCTTACAGCTTTTGGAAGTGTGAAGGGCATCTGAGACCGAAGTCATGACTTTCGGGGCTTCTCTCTCCCTGCTACCTCACTGTAATTCATGATTCGAATCGGTTTCTCAAGGTATCGCTCTCAATTGCACCGAATATCTCTCGGCCTGTGGAGCCACATAATGTACCAGTAAGAGAGCCTGCCTGTTTAGATATCATATTCAATGATTGTCATGCAGTATAGCAACCCTCCAGGTTTATGCCTTACCGATCCTCAACCTTCGAGCACCTGGATATGCAGGGACTTCGTTTACCCAACATCGGGTACCACTGACTCGGTCTCATTACTATGGTAGATTCGGAAGAGGGCTGTTGGGGCAGCTTGAGCTGGGCTGAGAAATGCAGCCCAGTAGGGCGGTCCGGGGAAGTCCATATTATAAATCGGCATATCCCATGCGTCATCGAGGCTTGATAAGCCATGTACTTAGACCATCTTCGGCGAGGGAGATCCAGGGAGGTAGAAACCTTATGCAAAACCTTATTACGAGAGCCCTTGGAGCCGATTGGTGCTTCGAGCTTCATGTTTACTCACGAGCCGAGGCTTGCTGTGAGTGTTGCTAAATACAACGTTTAGAGCCATATCTTCATCTGTCGATATCCCTACTGGGCGCCTTATAGCGTGAACTCAGACATTGCTGAACGGGTACACATAGACTATCGAAGTACTCCCCTGGAAACAGTTACAGCACCCCGAGGTAGCTACCCACCTGAATCAGAAGGTTCACCAGAACGTCTGTTTCCTGACAAAGGCTGTCTATAAGTCGCCAAGCCCGGCTCTACAGAATAGTTAATGGTCAACCTACTAAGCGATTGGTCAGCCTACTAAGCTCTTGGCCACGATAATATCATTGATTCTGAGGAAATAGCTAAGTTTCACAGTGCAGAATATTGCAACATGAATCGCACCTGGAAGCGGAAATAATCCGAACAGTGGACTCGCTGTCTCTAGCAATAATTCAGGAGGACGAGGGATGGAGCTTGACAGGATCGACTGCCATTGAATCGACGATCGCAAGCTTCAGTAAAGCAGCAATGGATAACCAGAAAAGCCTGTCCAGCATATTTGACTCATGAAATCGATAATTGTTCAAAAGGTTCATTCTATTTATGTGTTACAGACTGGCATAGCAAGAGGAGTATCATTAAACAAGTGCTGACTATGCTGACTCTAACGCGGCAACGGGTTTAGGAACGAGCCAGTTTATCATCGGCGATTAACCCCGATATCTGACATGAGTGGTAGGTTTATCGAACCCTGGATCTATGATGTTCATCTATACCCCTAAGTAGCCATTGTCACTTCGACAGCCCCTGGTTATAACCTTGGCACCGGATACCAGATATAAACCCATTGCACCATGAACAGGTCCGTGTGGATATCATCTCAAACAGAAAACCTATTGCGTAATACCAAGAGATCCTTTTCAGATGCAAATAAAGAACTGCGGTCCAGGACAAACTTTACTCGGTTCTCTTCCTAGGCGTAGGGATACAATACCAGCACAGGACCATGAGTGCACAAAGGCCAATGACGATGGGATGTAGGACAAAAGTACCCACTACCTGGGCGAGGATACCTGTTGTAAAAGGAGCAACTGCACCTCCCGAGCTTCCAAACGCACTGATGAGCGCCAGGCCGCTGGATTGGTCCTTCCTCGGCAGATTCCTCGTAAATACAACTGCTGCCGCTGGCCAAACTGGACCTAGCAAGAGACCAATGATGGCTACCGCGACTGCGTTTCCGACGATATTTGGCACTAGCCAGACGAGGAGCTCGAATATCCCGGATCCTACCACGACTCCATAGACGAATCGTTTCTCTCCAATCTTTGACCCGAGGGGGGAAAGAAAGAACCGGCCTAGGGTAATGCCAGCCCAGAAACCTGAAGTAACATATCCGACCTGAGATGGGTCGCCATTTCTCGCACTGATCAAGAAAGAAATAACCCAGCCGGAGATGGATACTTCTGCGCCTTGGTAGGCAAATATGAAGACAGCGCCAATAAGTACGACTCGGTTTCTGAACGTTGAGAGCATGGCTTTTCGTTGCCGTGTTCTAGGTTGACCATTGTCCACAGGCGCCGCCTCGCTGTGAGACTCCTGCTCGTAATTCCAGAAGGACCAGGTAGCAAAGAACAGATTGAAGACAGCGATTCCCATAGTGATGAGGTAGTACCGACTCCAGACGATATGGCCCGTGGAGGCCATGCTCGTCGCAATCAGCGGCCCGATGGTGCCACCGATGCCGTAGGATCCATGGACCGCCCCTAACGCTGTTGCCGCTTCCTTGAGATTGGCAAGGAAAACATTGGCAACGGCAACAGTGATGGCGAATCCGAACCCGACCAGGAAGAAGGAGATGACGACTACAGGAATAGGTGCCGTGCACACGATGGGTATGTACCCAGCGATGAACAACAGCATACTCAGTCCGAACAATCTGGCTCTTCCCAGACGAGCTTCCAGGCCGGCAATGCACGGTGCTGCCGTGATGAAGCCCAGAGCAACGCCGACAAAGATGAGAGAGACGACGCCGTAGCCGATGTCGTAATGCCTGTGCTTCATAAGCTCTACTGGTCGATCCGTTGCGCGACGGAGGTTGCTTACGTTTCCATATAGGGAATTAGAGCGCCGGCGGCAGAATCGTTGAGGCCACCCAGGAAGTTCATACAGCAGCAGGCGGCAAGTCGAAACTTGTTTTTCTGAGGGCTGAATATGCTCGGTAGGACCTCAACGGCGTCCCCATCTGCGGCTGGGGTGGTAGGCCGGCTCATCTCGAGGTCAGGGGTGGCCCGGCCCGGGAGACGGGAGAGGCCTGCAAGCTCGATGGGATCATCTTGGGGAACGGCAGGATAGTTACGAGAAACAACTCGCTCAGGCGGATTCGGGAGTTTACTATGGTGGGATTCTACCCGCACCAGAGAGTTGAGCATGACAGCTTCCATCTTGATCGGTTTTAATGTCACGAGCGACCCGTTAAGAAAAGGTTGGAAATAGAGAGCAGAGCTTATAAATAGCTAGATGCGCATGATCTAGCAATAGGGCAGGGACTTCGGGAGCTCGCCTCGACTTACGAGAAACAGCGAGAGAAAGGCCATGTGTGACAGACAGGCAAGCACGGTTCACGATGCTATGACATCGAGAACCGGAGGAGAATTTGTAATCCTTGAGCAGCTAACATAGGCGGTCTACCAATTGGCATTAACAATCTGGGGCTGTCTACACAATGACGCTTCCCCACCTCGGTGACGGAGCAGTTGAGACATTTGAGTGCGACGGGTGAGGGGGTAGTCCATCCAGTGCCAGCCGGGCGGAGACTCCGCCTGCTGCATAGGCTCGACATACAAGTTGGCTGCAGTTTCAAGTTCCGATATCCGGGAACTATAGCGCAAGTCGAGGTAAGGGTTGGGCGCGGATACACTCAGAAGCCATGACTCTAAGCATCAATTACTGGGAGCGCAGGTGGCGAGATTATCAGAGCGAACCTCAGCTAAACCAACAACAGCAACTCCGCAGAGTAGCCATGGCCGAAGATCAACCTTCCTTCGAGATGGTTGGCCATTGAGCAAGTAAGCACTCGAGGTTTAGTCTCATGAATGCCACCACGTATCAGGAGCGGTCTAACCTCACAACCTACCCCGGAAAATGGGGCTAGTGCAACCAATAAGCTATACCACCCAATTTGGGTATCAGTCGTCGACCGTACTGTTGTAGACTATCTCCTCAGCTTTGAAGCCTTGCCTCCGTGTCAGCGTTTTGGGATTCCAACGGTGTACGCCTTATGAGCCACAAGTGCTTGGAGCCAGGCAATAAAAGCGTTCAGTGCATGGTTTTACGGTCTTTTTCTTTTTTTCCCTTTTTTTATTAATTATTTTATAATTCCATGTAAAAACCAACAATTGAGAACAGTCAAAACAATATACCAGCAGATAAAAGATAATTGCTCATCAATCTTGCGTCAGTGTTGGTCAGACTTTACAACATCATGTCGGACTGGTACAGTGCAGCTTGATAGGGTATCAGAGCCTTCGCCCAACGCAAAACGAGATGAGATCACATTTTGGGCTCGGGCACAAGACTGCAGAACGGCTAGCCTCTGTTTCTCGAGAAGCACAAAAGCGGTTGCAAACCAATATTTATTCCTCGATTTACCTCTCCAAATCTGCTGCTCAGACAACATCTCGGGCAGGAACCGGGATAACCACGGCGAAACTTCTCGTGCGAAAATTCCGCGACCAGTCTAAATTTCATCAATTCATCATCTTCAGAGGCTAGCTGCCAGGTGTACGAGAACTTTGGTTTCCCGCACGTGCAATCGATTTCGGTGACTAGTATTTCCAAGATGGGCCGTCCGAAGCGCAACGTCCTTGCGGCGGCTGAATCCTCAATGACCCCACCTGACGAGTTGAACGAGTCCCAGTCCCTTGCCCGCGTGGTCAAAGCCGAGGGCAACAACCTGTATAGCTGCTCCTTGCCAGACAAACGCGCAGTCATTGTTGAGCTCGCAGAGAGATTCCGCAACACCATCTGGATCAAGCGTGGCGGTTATGCCCTGATCGACCTGTACCCTATCAAAGAGGTAAAGGGCAGAGTCGAAGGGGAGATTGTCAATGTTGTGCGCGATGAGAGAGAATGGCGAAAACAGAAGTACTGGTAAGCCATGCGATCGAGATGCCCGAAACCCAGGACTAACAGCTCTTTTCAGGCCCAAGGAGTTTGTGAGAGTCACTGACGATGATGATGACGACGAGTCAAACGTGGGCAAGATGCCACCCTCAGACTCGGAGGACGAAGAGTGATTCGTCCAACGGGAAATGATCTCACGCCTTCTTCTTTGCTTCAGGTGCCCGTTGCGTAGCAGGAGCCGTAGGTTGAGGTGCAGGTTCCTTGTCAGCCGCAATCCAGGACAAGCCTACAGTGACGGCGAGCACGCCAACTACGACAGCGGAGCTCATCGGTGTGCTGGGAAAGACATTCCACGCCCATTCTTGAAATGCCCAAAGTCCATACTGGATGATAGGGTGGACTCCACTGCGCCATAGGAGGTAGGGAGTGGACCATGCAACGTAGGCATAGAATTGGTAATGGAGAGAGCGAGCAAACAACAGACCAATCACATTGGCCGAGAGGATGGTGGTCATGACGTATGTGGTGGTGACGCTTGACGACGCTGCCACTTCTTCTGCCGGGGTAAAAGGGGTTGTGAACTTGAGGATGGGCATTATGATGGCGGAGATGGGCCTGGGCGAAGCCTTCAGCCATTTCTTGACGAGAAAGGCGGAAAGAACGGCGGCATGCAGCGCAAGCAACCCTAGTGCAAAGGGACGACTCAGGAACGTCTCTTCCCCAACAAAACGCCAGTTGACCGTCCACTTGAAGAGGAACTGTCTGGATAGCTCGAAAGCCCGGGACAGGTACCCCATAGGATTCTGCAAGAGAAACGGGTTCGCAGTCGCAATCTGATGTTGCAGCATGATCGTTGCCAGCGTGATACTACCCGTGACACCCCTGCCCAGGAATAGAATCACACCTACTGCCGGCAGAACAAGTAGCAGCGACATTTTGGTGCCGAGGCCCCATGAGTAGGCTAGAACGCCGACGGTCCAGAACCGGCGCTGGAAGCAGAGAATGGTGATCCAGAGGAACAAGGCGGCGAAGCAATCATTGAAACAACGGAGCACAAAGATGCTGTGGAGCCTTTTCGATGCGATCAGGAGTGGGAAGACGTACAGGGGGACCTGGCTCGTTAGCATGAGGGTGTTCACGACATGCCGTGTTGCTTGGGGTTCTCGGGCGTCCGTACCTTTGCTCGCCAGTAGCACAGCATCACAACCCCGAGCGCAAGCAGGTAGAGCAGCGCAAAGATCTGCTGCGCCCGAAGGATATCCGTTCCTCGATCGGTGAGGTAGTACAGGGCGGCGTAGGTGTATACATGCGATGCCGGGTACACCAAGGGGCCGGTGCCGCCTTTGATCAGGGTATAGTCTCGTTCGCCGGCGACATATTGCGAGATCTGCTCCATGTACGCCTTCCAGTCGATCTCGGTGTCTGTGATAATCCTTTAGTCAGTCCAGCGATCCAGCGATCCAGCGCCACGGGGCCACAGGGCGACGGCTGGCGTGCGACTGTTTGCTTACATGGGACCTTCCATATGATCAAGACACAAAGGACGGCGTCGATGCCGAAAAGGGCGAAGGGGACAAGCTTGGACAGCGCATGTCGGCGGTTCACGACGTCGGATACGAAGCCGATTGCCTGGGAAAGAAGACCTGGTTGGGTGTCTGCCATCGTGCCTCTCTAGCGGGTGGACGCGCGCAGTCGCGACAAGGTCCTCGTCGTTTGGCAGATGGAAGCTTAAGCTCTGGGTGCTTGGGGACGTTCATTAGCGCCTTGGGTAGGCATTACGGTCCCGCTGCTAAACCCCCCTGGAGGAAGACAGGCCGGGGAGCTACCACAGCTGCCGCCAGCTGGGTTGACGAAGCGCACCTATGTACCTATGTATGTAGTCGATTGGTGATGAATGAGAAAGCCGTGTGTCTAATCGTTCTCCCTCATTCTTGTACTTCTTATACTGTTTCTCTGTCAATAGTTGGAAATTACTCCATGTCCGGCAAAAATAATCTCACGAAGAGTCCAGATCCGCACAGAAACGCACGGCACATAGACCTGAGACCAAGACCAGTCACATAAACATACAGATCCGTAGCAAGTCGGTCTGCAAGTGGTAGTCTAGAGTCATGGAGTAAGCTTCCACCTACATCTACTGCGAAGAACTATAGCTTTGCACGAGCCTGGATCTCGTGGACCAACTCGACGACCCTTTCAGCACAACCGAAACTTCCCTGGTAGCCCCAGCCAGCGTGGCCGTAATTGTGAACAACCCACGTGCCATCCATATTCTCCTTTTCGATCCTGACTCCGCCTTCTCTCCAGGGACGCAGTCCTACAGCGTGCCGAATGATGTCGAGTCCTTCAACTCCCTTGCCGTGCGTCAGCTCCGGCATCTCCGCCACGGCCCTCTTCATGATTCGCATTGCCACGTTGGGGTCGGGCTGGCTCTCCCATTGGCCCTTCTGATAGGTGCCCCCCAAGATCGTGCCACCGCCCGCGGCTCGCATCATCGTGTAGACCAGTTCGTCCTCTCCATCATCAGTGCCTGACCTGGTCGTCATGTAGGGAATTTCGTTCCTAACGACGACCAGCTGGCCACGTACCGGAACCATCTTCTGATCCATGACACCGCCAAGCTTGCTGGCCATGAGCCCAGTGGCGTTGATAACGACATCCGCCTTCTTCCCCGTGTGGCTCCAGCTAGCGGCTTCTGATACATGCTTCACGACACCGCGTTTGAGCACTACGCCGTTAGCTAGGCACTGGCCCACGAGCCATGCCAGATATATCGCAGTATTGATACATACTGAGCCAAACTCACACCCCGACGCCACGTCTTCGGGAAGCTCGTCCCGCGAGAGCTCTCTGAAGTCGTCGAAGAGGGACTTGTACCAGGGGTTCTCAAGAAAAAGCCCGTCTATGGCGTGCTTCTGCTCTCTGAGAGCTTGGAGGTCTTTCTTGCGACGGTAGACTCGCGATTCTGTAAGGGGTAAGCATGGATCCTGCTACCGCACCCGTGGTTGTGTGTGAAACATACTCATCTCATGAATACCGGCTTCTGGGACCTCGACCGCGAGCCTTTTCAGCTCCGGCCATGTCCGTGTTTCCCAGCGGCTGTTCGCTTTTGACGCCATCCTACAGCACATCAGCACATTATCACAGGAGACGCTGAGGGGCCAAGGCTTACGGCACGACGTTGGCACCGGCAAATGGAGACGCATACTCAATGTCATAGTCTCCAGGCATATGCTTTGCAAGGATTGTAACCTTGTTCGCCTTGTCTTTGGATAGCAGGTAGGCAGAGGTCAGCCCAGACACACCAGCACTGCACCGCGATTAGCTAGATCATCATGTGCAAAACCGACAGCCGCCGAGATGGTTCCTCACCCTATTACGACTATGTTTGGCATGGTGATGAAATACTTCTTTCCTTCGAGTGAGTGCTTTCTTTGATGTGTTGGTGGTAATGCCTTGTTGGGTTTGATCTTGGCGCGATAACCTTTTTGACTTGAAGCGTCGTTGCCTTGGCCGAGAAAGCTGCCTTGGGTCCCGGTCAGGAGTTTCAGCCCTGACGCCCGGGTAGCGAAGGAGACATCCAGTTTGGGAGGCAATGCACGAGATGTTGAGTCATTATGGCCTGACTGGCTTCAGCCGTTTATTGACGCTATAACGGGGCGGAACGCCCCGTGGGGACTAATGACGGAAACGCGCTACTTCCAACGACTAAACGCAGCGCAAGGCAGAGGCGGAGTTGGAACAGGCATCGGTCTTGGTTTCTCGGCTCTTCCCTTTCCAATTGCCTTTTATTGTCTCTTTCCAGTCATCTCTTGGACTGAGGTTATTTCGTTGGATCCTCTGAGTTGCATACTCAAAGAGACGCTGCGGGGGATCGTCGGAACTGCAAATGGCTATGTCAAGTGTCAACCTAGCCGAAGCTAGAGCCATGATCGGAAGCCAGAATGACTGCTAAAAGTTCAGTCCAAAGACCTACAATTCTCCTCTCTTCCTCAAAATATGGCTTTCTGGAATGGAAGTCCGGGAAACTGTATGGAGACCGATATAGCAGTTGATGCAGCGCACAAGCAACGCTTGTGGATCAAATATTGTTATCTGATGTCGAGAAAGATGTCTAAATGATGATTTGGGTTACTATAAATTTACAGCCCTAAAGTGATGGGGAAACCAGAAGGCTAGGAGCTCAGCGCTCCAGGCTTGAGATGGTAAACGCGCTTGTGAGGTGAGCGAGTCTTACGTAGTCAATCTTTAGGATTTCAGCATTTTGCGATAATAAACCTTCAATTTCTGGTCTTATGATCACTTGAGGCAGGATTTGCCACGTATTATGATGATGTTACTTTACTATACTAGCTAGTATAATGAGCGGTGCTGGGAGACTTTCATGCGTGTTTCACTCCCTCCTTCGTGAGGCTGGTGCTTAGACTTATCCACGCTCACGGAAAGAGATTGAGTCACTTGGTGTATCCAATGCCTTGTGGCGTGGCAAATGCCGATGTAGACAATTTCTGGTCGTTGAAATGGCAAGGGGTCTACGTTCCTGGGACGAATGGACCGGTGCCATGTCGGCTTGCGGCGCATGAGTGAAATCCATGGCATGGAGGCCAACGATGATCCTCAATACCCAGAGGATTGCAATGCGACCATGTAACGTGCCAACGGTGGTTCAAGAGAACCGAAACCACCGGGGCTCTACAAGAGAACCTTTGATTAGTGATTGAAACGCAGGCGCACCGATCTGGATGCTTTCAGACACGGAAGGCAACCGTAGTTCGGTTAAGCATATAACTGTGGGATACCACCCTCATCTGGATCAGTGTGGGTTTCATTGCATTGTCTTGATAGCCAAGCAACACTGCAGATATGCGGCCATTGTTGGGACTGAACTGAGGAATGATAGGACACGATCCCTGTTCATCATGATGTGATGATATTTGCCTTTCTCAGGCCACGTCACCAGAGTCCTTGCCCTTGAGGACTATCGTCGATCAATACTTGTGCAAAGTTGAATGATTGTACTGGAGCTCGAAGTTTCTGGGCACCGTCCAGGGAATTTAGCGGTGCAATAAGGTAGCGATAAGGTCGACAAACGAGGAGCTGCGCCCACGAAACCGGTCGGATGGATTCAACACTAGAACTACTTCTACAGTGGAATTACGCTGCCCCAAGGATTCCAGCTGCCAAAAGCACGTCAAATCATTCTACTGCAATAATGGCCAGATGGCTTAGCCCGGTTCTTCGGTTGTCATGGCCTAATGAAGGTGCTGACCAACCTCCTGCTATACATCGATGCCTACAGTAGGTCTATCATGTCGGACTGTCAGCAATGCTCCCAACCAAATGGTTGAAACACAACCAAACGCTCTGCCGGTCTCTTGGCACCTTGCAGATAGCTTAAACCGACTGTCCATCGTATCGGGTCCAATAGCGGAGCTGGTGAACTGGTCCATGGAGCAGGCTCCCCGCTGATCTGAGAATCCTCCTCGAGCCGCTAGGTCGAGTACCCCAGCGTGAAGAATATGGGCACTCCAGCTCTGTTCGGCAAAGCGGATTGAACAATGATTGGGTGGCTTAAAGTGAAGGAGGTCTCAAGCCATCAGACTGCGTGATCATGCGGTAGCGGGAAGATCTCACACTAAAGAAATGCCGTGTGATCGCGTGGAAATCGCTTCGCAAATTGCTCCCAAAGAAGTTGGATTTGCAGCCGCGCTGGCCGAACCTTGTTCCGGGCATTTCTAGAACTTGCAAAGAACTGTCTCTGCGATAAGTGAACCATGCCAGAGCCCCATGACGGCTGGCCCTGCAGTCCATAGTCCCTGTCGTGGCTCGACCACCCAGTTATCGTCATGATCAGATTGGCACCGATGGACACAATGAAGGTAAGGGAAAGTCATGTCGCTTCCATGCAACCGCACCTTGTCCTACCAAGAGCTCTGGAACCCAAACTGTCACCCCACAGTCCTGCAGCATACACATCCCGCGTTCCCTTGTTGGGAAGCGGCATCAGCAAGAGGAGTCGAACTCCAATCACAAACCAAGCCCGGCGCTGCTTCCGAGGTGCCCTTCGGACGTGCATACTATGTGTGGTAGCACGGGAGCGGTGAGTTTCTGTGGAAGTCAACTCGACTGGGACAATCCAAACGTTTGGGCAGCTGAAATCGACGCTTGCCTCAGTAGGGTTTACCGGGCCATGTGGGCTGAATCACACTTCGTCTCGCGCGTATAAATTTCCGGCCCGTGAAAAGAAGCAAAAGCCTGTCTTCCTATAGGCGCACTGCTTTCTTTTTAACCATCTCTCAGGCTTCTAACTTTCGATTGGGCGGTTTGTACCTAGCTGCATAACATGGTCGAGGAAGTTCTGGAAGAAAAAGAAAATAAGGCTCTACCGCCAATTGCGCCCAGCCAATTGGCGGCTAATCTTCTTTACCAACGGGCCTAGGCTGACTCGCAGGGATCAGGCGTTCCAGCTATTCGGGAGCCCAGCTGAAGTGGCTTTCCGACGACCCAGCCTGTCGGGTAGCCGTGGAAGTTATTCCTCAGAACTTTTGCTGCAGAAGTGAGCTCGAGATATGCCGAACAGGAAACGAGGACTTTCCCGCCTCTTGTTGCATTTGCCAGAGTTCCTGCGTCCCTCGCCTCGTGGTCTCGGCTCTCATGTTTCCCTGGCAGGGGGCCGTTATTCCCCCGCCGTAATTCCAGAGTCACGGAGTCACCGTGCGTCCCTGGCCTGCCGCTACGGGACATTTTTAAGGGAAAGGAGCAAATGTTACATCAATTGTGGGCACAATGGCAGACACCGAACAACCTTGCCTGGCACGAAGAGCAAACCCCATAACCTTAAGCCATTGGTGATCAACGATCTGTCCAGAGGAGTATTGATCCCCGTAGTGCATAGATGGACTGCGATAGTGAGTGGGAAACAACAGAACGTTGCCGCCCGGAACTAGAAGTAATGCGCCGCCCACAAGAGTTTTACCCCATCCGAGCTCGCTGGCGAATAGTCGTGGGCTGAGAGACGGGTAGAGAGAGACGGAAGGCCAGACTTGGGGGAGGAAAAGTGGCTCACAGCCAGCCAAAACAAGGTGTCGTCTCATGACTTCTACAGTACTGTACTAGCCACGACATCAATATTCTCCTGCATGCAGCTTCCAATATACCTTGCTCTAGACTCCAGTCCCCCGGGTGGCCTAGGTCGGCACGCAAGCGAAGTTGCGGTATCCCGGTAAATGTAAGTGCACTTGCTTGTGTCATCGTCGAAGGGCGCTATCTCGGTACCTGGCGCGTAACATAGTAGACGCAGGTAGTGGCATCAGATGGAGTCTGCAATATCCGGACGACTGAGAAGATTGGTCTAGACGATATTAAATGAGAAGTTACCAAGATGCAGTACCTCAACTGCCAGCGGAAATTGTTTGGTGCTTTTGTGGATGTAATGTGTTGTTTCATGAGCGTACCATCCAGTCGGTATCATGCCACAAACTTGCCCAGCCATGCACCTTGGACATGGCGCGATTACGTCGGTGACGACGGGGCAACCTCGTCGGGCCCTGCCAGAGTTTGATTCTTCTTAGTGAATTCCTCATCATAGTCGGTCACGGTCTATTTTGAGAGGCGACAGCTGTAGTATAAAGCTTGCAATGGCGGAAGAGGTGGTCAGGAATGCGTACACAGGGTGGTGCAAGACACCATCTTGCCCGGAGTCTCAATCAACCCCGTCCCGACCCCACGGTTCGCGCTCGCTGGATATCAGTGGGATAAAGAACTCGGGTGACGCTTCCCATTTGGTCGCGACACGACCAGGGGACGACAGACGAATGCCAGGATTTCACCCGCCCGCATCGTACCATTCATGGGTCATCGCGCGTCAAGAGCACAGTGCCCAGCTTGATTAATTCTCCTGCATCTGGATGCAGCCATGGTTTGAGAGGACCTGGGACCCAAGCAACCTGTGGACAACGAAGCACCCAGTCACTCATCATCAGCAACGCAGGGCAGAGTGCTTCATCGCTTCGCGACAGCTTCCGCCGCGACGAGCGCGGCGGTTGGACGGGGCCCGCATGGGCATGGCCTTGCGCAATGACTGTCATCCACACACAGGACAGTCAGTCAGTCATACGCAGTGCCGTCGGGTTGGGACCTGACTCGACGCCCCCAAGACACCGCAACTCCGCAGCCCGCCTCCCCAGACTCTGGTTCCCAGCAGCGCGGCCCCCAGAGCGCCCCGTTGCATTTGAAGGCGGACTGGCTGATTAGGACGACCCGCTGGCGACTGACTCGCAGCACTGTGTGCGCTGCGCTAGCGGCCACCTCTACAGCGACAGTACGTACAGCCAGAGTAGCCACCAAAGGTACTTTTGCTGGGGGGGCTGCAAGTTGGCAAGGTCGTCAAGGTCCCGTCACCCGTCCACCCGTCGCCGGGGCCCTGGCCGTCCTGCCTTCTGAGCCATTGGGAGAACATGGGACATGGGGGTCGCAGGGAAGGGCTTCCCAAAGTAACCTAGGCGACCTCAAGCGGCAGTCAATCTGTGTGTGGAAGGGGAGTCTTGATGCCGCAAGCTTTAGTTAGATACATACTACTGCATCACCCCGTCCACCCACCCAGCTGGCCGGTTCTTTACTTTCCCCCTCCTGTTTCTTGTTGTCGTGCTCTCAAGGGAACATATTCTTGGGACCTCTAGACTCTAATCTACATCATACCTCTGCGTCCGCACCAGACGGCCAGGAGGCCTTGCTCCGGCTGCCACAGCTCCTGAAAAGAAGCTCCCGCCGTGTCTTGGCTTAGCGGGAACCCGTCGGTGGCGCTGGAAAAGTACCCAAGTCGCGAATTGACTTTTGGGCTTGTGAATCCCGCGCATATTGTCGCACAGCACTCTCTGGACTTGCGGGACAGCAAATTTTCGCTATTTGGACGAGGTCGTTCGCATTGGTCGGCGTGCGATTTGGGATAGCCATCGCTGGGAGGGGACACAGGGCTACTCGGCCAACCACCGGCCCCCAATATCCGGATATACGCAGCTTGGGGGAACCAACTTCTGAACCAAACACGAACCCTTAGGCCGTCTTAGCTGTAAAGTTGCCCGGAGGCCTACCAGCATGAGCTCATCTGTGGGGAGACGATCCAGTGATGTGGAAAGGAAGGAGAGGAAAGACAAGAAAGGACTGTTCTCACGCATGAAGACAATCTTGAAGAAACCGGCCGGTGAATCCTCCTCAAAACGGAACCCGACGCCGCAGCGCTCCAGGTCAACACGGGGAGAGATCATGGCTACGAGGTAAGCGACTTTTACCAGGATTGCGCTGGACACGGTTCGTACTGACATGGCCCAAGCATCGAGTCTCCCTCGGAATCACCAGCGAAGACAGAACCCCAATATCCCGGGGCGGCTCGGATTCCCAGGACACAGATTCATGAAGAACGAGCCAGGAAACTGGGCACCAACTACGGGGTGGAGATCGAGCCCGGTGACTGGCATTCGGCGGAAGGCGAAGTTTACCGGATAGAGAAGCCCGTCCGCATACGCATCCACAGGGACTGCCACCGGTGTCAAACCCCTTTCGGCACTCGAAACCAATGCTCCAACTGCAATCACATGTACTGCTCAAAATGTGGACGCAGCCCACCCAAACGGACCGAGTCTCAGAAGAAGGCCAACCGGGAAAAGCGAGAGGCGGCAGCCCAGCAGCACCAAGAATTCGCTCCCATCATCCCGCATTACGGTCTCGCAGAGCCGATCGTCGTCACACGCCCAAGTAAGACTGGTGGGCAAGCTTTGGTCCACAAGCCTCCGCGCATGAGGGTCCGGAGGAATTGTCACAAATGCGCTACTCTGTTTACACCGAATAATCGCATCTGTGGCACCTGTGGCCATACACGATGTGACGATTGTCCCAAGTCACCGTGAGTCTATCCCCAAACATTGAACGAACAGGCAAGCTTATTTTGTGGTTACAGTAACAAGAAGAAGAAGTACCCTTACGGGTATCCTGGGGACGAACCGGGCCCCAAATCGTCGTCCTTCCACGCGTGTCACGAATGCAACGAAAAATTCCCTCCGAACTCAGAGGACGGGACCGAGTGCGCTCAATGCTCTCACGAGAAGTGTGCAAGCTGCCCCCGAGTGCCACGCGTGAAAGTGCAGCCCGAACCCGACGCCGAGCTACTAAGGGGTATTTCAAGCCGGTTTGAACAGCTCGAGTTGAGCTGAGAACATAGTCATTTGAGGAGTAGAACAGCGGCTGCATGATAGCGTTAGGTGTTTTGGGAGCATTGGAGCATTGGAGGCTATATTCTATCCTGACCTGTATCTGGCGTCCCTTTAGCATACGCATTTCAATACCCCCACGCGTTGGACATTACGAAGCTGTGCAGGAGTTCATGTTTGGTTCCATAGATCATGCTATGAGGCTAAGACGTTCGATACGATCAATGGCATCTTTGTCTAAACCATTCTCTGAGCCTAAGCAGGCCGCACATTGGCGATACGGGACGTTGACGCGGCATACACTCACGATCCTGTCGGGCCAATTGGCGAAGCTGGGTAGCTCGAAGCCGATATGCGGAGCTGAGCGCATCAGCTTTCGACGATGCAGCCTCTTTTTAGTCGGCTGACTGTACATCTTCCGTCACATCCTTCAAATTTCATCATGTTGCGTTGCGGCAGAATCGCGCCACGCCGCACGCAGCTTGCATACAAAGTACTGTATCCTCACGGCTGACTGGTTATCTGCGCACCACAGACCGTGGAACGTGTACGCCACGTCAAAAAGCACATAGCCGATTGAGACCTGCCCGCATGACAGGGCGGCCGTCTCCCCCAGCCCCTGTGCTGACCGCCGGATTCGATATGTACCCCCGACCCAAGCGCTTGGTTGACTACGACACGACGATCGGCGCCGATTAGACTAGTGAGAAAATCCCCGAAACCTCTGGAGAGCCAAAAGTCCCTCCTCATATCCGGCGTTCCGAATGTTTGGTTCAATCATGTCTCATGTCCTGTGAGATTCGCGCATGACATAAGCCCAATATAGCCCCTACCTACGAAGTTGGGTCCAATAACAACAGCCCTTCTTCATAAAAGACAAACAAGATATTGATCTAGAACCCCCCGCCGCTGCTGCAAGCGGTCCAAAACTCCCTCCCGGCCGCTTCCAACAGCGGTCGGCGCCGAAAATATGTGGTGACGCTTTGGCGACCTATCACGGGATCCCTCGCTTCTCACTCCCTTAGGCGTGACCCCGCCAGTAGCGGTGCATCTTGCCTGTAACACAATCACATTGCAGGCGCGATGCTGCGGCTTGGGAACCGGCTGATCTGTCAGATTCGCGGTGCTCCCCCTCCCCCACCTATAGGGTTTCAAGCTTTTCTGCTCAACCAGATCCGTGGGAGAGAGCCTGTCAGCCCGGTAAGACGGTTCCTCCTAGTATCCAGGTTCCCTGGTCTCCAAACTGCCGTTGGTCTCTGAGGACATGGCCGTGGAGTCAGCCGCTTGCATACTGAGAGCGCGTGCCGATTGGCACAATCACCAGGCACGGTGCAAGCAGATCCGTGTGCGGTGATTGGGCAGCGCTGGCGCGGGGGGAAAATAGGTTGATGGGGACTCATTATAACATGGCCCAGAGCATACGATGATGAGAAACTATAAGCGCGTTCGCAAGGTCGGTCATCCCAACTACTTGGTAGTAATCACCATTGTGTTCTGCCATTTCGATCCCGCTGTAGTGCTATCTTGTGGTTGTCTAGTGGTATAAAGCGCCGCTTTAAACCGCCATATAGCTACCGCAGGCGGTACGTCGAAGAGGAGTGCGATCAACATTCCAAGCGTCATGCTTGAGAGCTTATTGAACAAATGGGAGGGAAGTAACTTGGGACGCATTGATGTAGTAAATTGTGCTCTTCCTCGGCAACGGCGCCGTTGTTTGTCTTCGAGAGCCAGGCTGTCGAGGCAGGTAGACGCAAGTAGCACACAGCTGTCAAAGCACAACCAGGAACTCTGGCTTCAGGGTCCCTGGTGTCGCAACGATAATCACGTGTGTGGGGGCTTACGGCAGTTCATTGAAGATCAAGCAGATCAGGATCGACGCCGCTACTGTGAGGCCATCCGGCCCGGACTGAACATTGGTCAGTCAATGATAACGGCGTTTCGTGGGAGATCATGCCTATCAAGCAAGAGTCAGTGCGGGAGCGGCAGTCTTGGAACCCTGAATCAGAGCGCACTTAGACGATTGGTCTCTCAAAAAGGAGTATACGCTTTGTGCTTGTGTCAATTGCTCTCGACAAAAGGTATAATGCCTCAAGTCAAGCTCAAACCAGCGGATCCCCCAAACTCAACATTCAACTCTACCCGACTGCAACAGGCACGACTCGCCGCTCGCGATGGCACGTTACCGACGCTCTGGTTCCCACTCGACCAAATCCTCGGAATGTGAAGCCACCCGTCCAACGGATCGTGTGCAATCTTGTCGCGCGGCCCACTCGGTTCCGGCGGCATGGTTGAGCGGTGATACTTAGTACACGTACACACACTAGTTTATAAGTTAGCATGGTCCAGCTGAGCCAGCTGGGCCAGATAGCGCGGCAGTCTATTTTAGTGTTCTGCGTTCGAGAAGATCCTGCTCCTTGCGGCAAGTCGTCCGTGTCGACTTACAGCACCACCCAAAAATCCCATGGGACAAATTAGATTCCCATGAACTAGTTGGCTGGCAACCGTGCTGCACCATCTCGCCGACATGTGGGCCGCCCCCTCATCCTCCCTGCGTCTATCACCAAACCGGGCTCAAGCATGGTGTTGCGAGGCTGGAATAGGCTCTACTGATGCAACTATTTACTATTTCGGCTGAATGGCTTTTCGAAATAGGCAGTCAATAGCTGACTGAGCTGAACTAAGGAGGTATAGTGCTGGGTAGTGTCAGCATCGTCGCACTGTACGGACTTAGTCTGGGGACCCCATCTGAACCCTAGGTACAGCAGCCAATGGACTTCCATGGTTCTGCCTCATCCGGCAGCTTCGTTGGCTTTACTGGGATGCCCTGGGTTGTCTTGCCTTCCCAGAAGTTGTGCTGTCTGGGGCGACGTGAGAGTGCATAAAGTTGGTTTTATTAACAATTTATCACCTTTATTGCCTCAGTGAGTGAACAATGCAGCTAGGATCTGACGCAGGCGTTGTCTTGACCGCTCCCCTAGCCGTCCTATTTGGACTCATCTCTACCTGCTCCGACGAACCACTAGTAATGGCAACCCGCATCAGCGCTTCAAGCGGATCTGACATGTGATCCCGTCCAGTCGGATGGCGTTAGACGACGCCAGCGACTAGAGGCCATTCATTAGTTAGGCCGATTCGTTGCAGTAGACTGCAATGCCGGGCCCAGCCGATCGTGAGTGCTAACTACGCTTGATCATCGCAAAGATGGCAGACTACTGGCCTGGTGGCCGAACCTCCACCGTCTCGCTTATTAGTAATGTAACAATACGTTCCGAGCTTTCCTATGGGAGCCTCAAGGCATGTGCCACTAATATATTGGACTCATAAACTTGTGTGGCGTATGCCGTTGAGTCTCTGAAGACGTCGCTGCACCTTTCCCCGTTCAAGATCAAGTCACAAAACCGTAAACGATAAACCTGAAGTGAAGTGGCTGGAATGATAGTTGCAAGTCATTGATTTATTCCCAGTGGACCGTCTGCTCTATTCCTGCGACTGGATCACACCTAGCTACGTAAATATGACGCCATTGCACTTCAATTTCTCTGATTGTCCAGTTCGATAGCACAGCATAAATAACTCTAGGTAGAGGGGGGGGGG